ATGGATGCTGTCGTGCTGTGCAGTTGCTGGCATTTGAATGCATGAAATTGTTTTTGTCGCGTTTTCTTCTACTCCTTTTTTTCCGTAGAGTCATCCTGGCAGTGGAAGGATGTGAATACTGTTACCACATTTTTCGCCCACTTGGCCGGGCCTGTCAAGAGCGCAGCCGATTTTTTGGCTTGGCCGACGCGACGGTCGACGGCATCGCGATAGCGCCAGTCAACTCTCCTGCAGTTAAATTCAAATATCGGCCAATGCGTCAAGGAATGCCCGTTGATACCAGAAGCCAAGCAAAGAGGCACGCAGCACGCATATTAATTTCCCTATCTTGGACTCTAACTCGAGCCCAGAGTGGGATGGTCGACTGTCGAATGGCTGGGCCAGTCATGAGCTGCATCTGCATGCAGAATGCGTTGTTTATGGCGAAAAACTAAACAGCATTTTGCATTCAGTATGCAATGCTAAACCCTAACGATTGCGATTGTTGTTGTTGTTGTTGTTGCTATTGTTGATTGATCAGCAAATTGAAAAATCAGGGCAAACTTCTGTTGCCTATGCAAATCGTGAAAGTTGAACTGAGAAACGGCATTCACAATGTTGCCAATTGCATTGATTTGTGAGCCAACTAAGCTAAGCCTAACGATCGGGCTGGTAAATAGTCTCACATGAAACACTTGATTAATGCAAATCCTGTTATGGAAAGATTTATGAGAAAGTGTTTTTGCATTTAGTACATTTAGTGCTCAGCAGATTTTCATGCGTTTCATGAAGATATACTCTCCTTATACTCCGATTCACTGTGGCCCCATTTGTTGTCGACATATTTGAAACAGGTGTAGACGCCAGCTATATGCATTACCTATGCTATTTACGGCACGCGCTTGCTGAATTTGCTATAAATAGAAGTTGTCTTCGCAGCAGCTGAAGTTTGAAGCGAATTGCAGCCAGCAGTTAAATAGATGACAACTCAAAAGGCACAAACTCTCACACTCAACTCGCTCAGTCTCACACTCTCGCACACTCGGCTGCACTTTGGACACGCTTGTGTCAGGAGTCAACGTTCTTCAATAGCTCCATTACCGTTGCTCGGGTTATGGCCAAGCCGCAACATTGCGACACAAAAACACTTGAACGAGCAGCCGCAACAGACCCGGACCCGGAGCAGCACTTTTTTGTTTGAGTTATTTTACGAGTTTTATTGGCTTTTATTGGCAACGAGATTTGAATTTTTCAAAACGACACTTGCGATGCAGAGGCGAAATGCTACAGCTGCCTGGACTGCTCCAGCTACTGCCACTGCTGCTGCTCCTGCTCCTCCTTCTTCTACTGCTGTTACGTCCTAATCGCTTTGCTGCTAGCTGCCCTGTCGCGTTGTTAGTCATTTTTTATGAGCTTTACTCTGACTCTGTATCGGCTCTCGTTAGCTGCCTGCAGGTCTAACAGGTGTCGTCCTCTGCTCCCCCCTCCAGTCATCCAGTCGCCTGGCCATATGTGCTCTGACTGTTTCTGTGATTTCTGGCCACATAACTTACCGCTGATTGCAGTTTTATGGTCAAAGTTTTTGGCGACATTTATAGACAACGATAACGTACAAACTGCTAATTAACTTGGGCATGAAACGCTTAAGCCTTTGCCCCATGCTCTCGCCTGGCCAGCCAGGTCGACAATCAGAAAAGCTGCCAAATAAAAAAGAGGCGAACTCAATTCGCGGCTGCCATTCAAAGTGTGCCGCATAATGGCAGCCGCAGACAGACAACTTGCTAATTTTCATGCGCCATTTACGGGGTGAAATCTGGCGAGGATAAGCCACCCACTAGGCAGCATTCGAAGTGTGAATACCCTGTAATGGTTAAGCGAACTAAGTAGTTAGGGGCAGTTGTATAAAGGCTAATAGTCTAATGAGCATCTTTGTTATTTCCTTATTTAGCAGCCACAAAGTGGGCTTCTGATCAAAACTTTTCTTCAATACTCACACATTTATCTATCTTCATTTGCTGCAAGCTTAGGGTATGTACTACTTCGTCAACTGGGAAAACCCCACTGCCTACTTGCTAACTGCTGTTTTGCCTGTCGCATCACGAATTCACTTGACAACTCTTTTATATTTCTTCCCCATTTTTTTTCTGTTTTTTGCTGCATCAGATTGTCAGCCTCCTTTGAACTACTTAAAATTCAGTGGACTACATAAACATCCTTAAGTAACCCAGTCAACAATGCCAAATGCGCTTTAACGATATGTCAGAGATTAGAGCGCTAAAAATGCTAAAGCAATTAATTTACATCATTTGGCAGGATGAGAGAGGCGAACAGAAAGGCAAGAATTTCTTGGTTTTGGCTGAAATTTTATATGAAATGTGTTCTGAAAAACAAAAACTCATTTCAATTAAAAAAATTAAATATTAAATTGGAGTTTGTATTAGAGTTAAATATAAATAAATTAATATAAATGAAAATGAATTTAAAGACTTAATAAAATAAAATTGCAATTCTAAATTAAGAAAAAAGTATTTCTTCGAAAAATATAGAGAAAATTAGTTTATTTCATTTTTATTTTAAAATTAAATGTGAAAAGTTTATTAATTAGTTTCTGCTTATGTTAAGTTGCCTAAAAGGTAAAAGGACTCTAAAATATTATAACTTAATTATCTTAGATCAAAAAAATTTGCTATATAAAATGTGACTGAAACATTTTCTAGAACATTGCAATGAGTTCCTTCTTCTCTTCTTCTGCCAGCAAATGCAATAATAACCACAATAAAATGTTATAAAAATGAGCATTGGCCGGAAATGCTCATGCATATAGCTTATATATACTATAATAAAGGCAGCCAGCGGCGTTCGCAACAAAGCAAACAATAATTTCCCTCATATATATATATATATATATATATATATATATATATATATGTGGGGAGTATAGCCAAGTGTGGCGGGAGTAAGCAGCGACAGGATATAGTGGAAAAGTGTGGGCGATTTCAAGGCAGAAACGGATGTACAAATTGCAAAACATAATTCAAATTGTTTGACTCGCGTTTTTGTTTTTTTTTTGACAATGACTGCGCCAGTTCCACTTGTGCTGGAACTGATTCTTTGGCAAGTGCTTTTATCTTGGCATATGTATGCCCATGTGTGTGTGTGAGTAAAGGGAGTGGAGGCTGCCAGTATTTATCTGTTTATTTAAGCTGCAGTCACTGCGCGGGCCTTTAAAGGTTATTAACGGGCATTGTACTACGCGGCGTATGAGTAACATTAATTAGCTGAAACTGCCAAGCAAAGTGCGCTTAAAAAGCAATTAAATGTGCTTAGCATAAGTTGCCAAAATATTTTGCATGCATTTAGGCGCCGCTTCAAAAACCATTGCATACTCTCAGGCGGCGCCAGAAAATTCGGTTTTAGCTCGATTTTTAGCCTTTTTTGACTCACACTCGCTCAAGCAGCGCGCCATTTGACTTAATTAGTTGGCCAACGCCACTGCTGTCGACGCCCCCACGGTCGGGGGCGTGGCTGTTGCGGAAAAACTATGAATTTATTTGACACTTGAATAAATGCGGTTTTTGCGGCGACAACGAAAAATGTCAGCCCATATTTTTCGCCTGGCAGCAAGCTCTCCCTCTCCCTCTCTTTCTCTCTCACTCTGTAGCACCGACCACCCATCGACAGACAGCTCTGCTCAGGCGGTAAACGTTGCTCCGTATTGATATATAACCCATGTCTTGCTTGTACTTCATGTTCGATTCACAGCGCCGCTTCGCACATTTCCGTTTCCTGATTTTCTTAGACCAAAGCCTGGCCACACACACGCACACACATGCATTTATGTATGTGGTGTGTGCTTAGCGCTTTGTAAATCCCATTTTGGCTGTCTAATTTATGAATGTACGCGCTAAGTATGCGCTCCTGCCAGTAATTGTGATATGTGTAAGTGCATTTGGCTGCCAGAGACAGCGAACAAAGCCAAAGCCCAAACCACAAGCAAAAACCTCAAGCGAAAGACCATGATGTCATTTGCCTCAAATTTTTAGCTGCACATTTTTAGGATTAGATTAATTTGAATTTGAGTGTAAAAGACATTTTAATGCATCACTAGCATTTCTTGGTAACTCAGGCAGCAGCTACCAGTGGCTAAATAAGCTTAAAGAATAAAAGATATAGATAGATAGATCAGATCTTTATGTTATAAAAGGCTTCCAAGTACAGTCTATCCAAGTCCTGTGCAATAAGAAAAGGACATATAAATCTTCTTTTCTGACGAGAAACAATTTAGAGTGCTCTAGTCGGGAGTGCTCGACTAGTAGATACCCTGAAGCCCGCTTCGCTCTGTTTAGTACTCAAGTTACGCTTAAAAATGTAAACAAATGATCGATAAGAAGAAAATGGGAAGAGTTATAGAAAATAGATGAAAATACATTTAAGATTTCTAGTCTAGAGCTTTTGTGGCTTAAGAGAGCGATCCGTTTAAACGGACGGACAGACGAACAGGCTAACAGGCAGTCAGGCGGCCATGACTGAGTCGATTCAGCTCATCGTCTACCTAATAAATACACTACATTTAAACATTTCCAACAATCATTTCTAAAAGCTACTCTGGCATATGTTGGCTGATAAGATAACCATATTTCACTTTCAATACTATAACATGGAGGAAAGTAATCAATAGATAACGAATTTTATGCAATGTCCAGCTGTACTTTGGAGTAGCTTCGAAGTGAAATGACCTTGAAGGTGCATATGCTATATGTCAATAAATCGAGCAATGCACCCGATTTGAGACGCAATGCAATGCGAGGATAATTAATAAGCAATCGAAAAAACAACGCAGCTCGTTAAAAAGAAAACAAACGTTTTATTGTTTAACTATTTTATAACTGTTCGCTGGGCGGGCAGATATAGAAATAAGCGAAGTCACCAAATTGGTCAGAGTGTTGGAATGCCTAATGTCGCACTTCTCAGGTTTGTTTTGACTCGTTTTAATGTACGAATTTGTATTCCGCGCAAGAACCTTTAATCGGCAAGTTTATATTATAAACACACAATTCACATGTGGTTCGATGTCAGTCTTGGTACGCCGTCGATGTGTACAGTCCGTTGTTGGTCGAGCGCTGCTGAGCACGGGAATTTAATTGAAATTCAAACAGAATGTGGGCCGGCCTATCGACGTTTCTTATCAGCGTGGGGGTGTACGCACTCGTCGCTTATCTATACGAGCAGTTGCGAACGCCGTTTCGCTTGCTCAAGCTGCGTCTGATTGGCGATGCCAGGCACAGGCTGAGCATCAAGGAACGCTTTGGCAATTGGGCGGCCATAACTGGCAGCAGCGATGGCATTGGCAAGGCCTATGCCATGGAGCTGGCGCGCAACGGCATCAATGTGGTATTGATAGCCAGGAACGAGGACAAACTAAAGGCAGTTGCCAAAGAAATAAGTGTGTTAATAGAGGAGGCAATATCAGAATTCTATTTCTTACCATTGTTCAACTCTTCCAGCCACGGAGTGCAGCGTGCAGGTTAAGATTGTCGTCGCTGATTTCACACAGGGGTCTGCAGTCTATGACCATATTGAGCACGAGCTTAAGGATGTCCCAGTAACCATACTAAGTAGACACACTCATTGAGTAATGGAGGTCTTGTTCTCATCTCATTCTACTCCCGCCTAGTTAACAATGTGGGCATTGGCTTTCCGGGTGGCCTCAGCAGAGTGACCAAGGAGCAACTCCAACAGCTGATCGATACAAATGTGCTAGCTGCTGCACAGCTGTCGCGCTACTTCTTCCAGCGTCTGCGCGCCGCCGACCAAAAGGGCGCCATTGTCAATGTGAGCTCCGGCACGGAACTGCAGCCCGTGCCATTTGCCGCGCTTTATGCAGCCACGAAGGCTTTCATGCGCAGCTTTACGCTGGCGCTGCAGTGGGAGGCTGCTCGGTTTGGCATCCATGTGCAGCTGCTGTCTCCCAACTTTGTGGTCACCAAGATTAACAACTACTCCAAGCGCATTATGCGCGGCGGTCTCTTTATACCCACAGCGGAGCAATATGCGCGCAGCGCTGTGGCCCAGCTGCGGGATGGTGTGGACGAAACTCCTGGCTACTTCTGGCATCATGTGCAGAATGCAGCTATGACCGCTTTCCCATGGAGATTGCGCTTAAATGTGGCTCAGCTGTTCTTCACAAGGATTGCTGACAAAGATAGGAAGTAAAATCATTGCATACTTCTAGGCTGTATGTGTAATGAACAGGGTTTGTGCCTTGGCTAATTGTCTTAGCTATTGAGCTTGTAGCTTTTCATACATTAAAAAGCTCTATGAACAGTTGTTTTTTGTTTTCACTGTCAAAATCAATAATTTCTCATGAATGTACATAAATTGAATGGGGAGTTATTTTCAGTCTTGAAGTGAATACGCACGGCAATAGTTCTTCGGACTGTACAGGTATTTAATTATAGAAATTTGCAATTCAATATATGTATAAAATCCTTTTTTTTTTTACAAATTTGTATTTATAAATAGTACTTTTTCTAGTCAATCAGACATGCGTGTAAATATAGCACTCGCACCCAAAACAAAATATATAACAATTTCCTTGTTTATATTATCAATAGCTTCTGTTGCTGAAAGTCATTCAAATAGATTTTGCAATCAATTTACCTATGTACATATATGAAGATTTTCATTCACTCAAGCCAAGTGCAATGAAAATACTTTTCAATTGTTATGTTTACTTAGCTTCTGGCATTTGATGTATGTTTTGTTTGCTTATTTTGTATAGAAAGTGTTTAAAATACGTCAGCGCCTATATAAGGCGTCAAACTACTTGATGATATCTATGCAATTGATCTTTTAATCGGAAAGGGGTGGAAAATAGAATATTTTTCAAATTTTGAGAAGCATTTTGGAGAAGAGAAAATTTAACTTCAGATATCATAATTGCATTTCAGAATTGAAAAGTTGTTATTATGATGGAATATAGGTTACAAATGTAGCTAAGAAAAATCGTATCTTTGCGATTAAAAATTTATAAGATTAAGAAGTATTTAAAAAACTTTCTTGGGGGAGGAACAAATATTTTTTAAAATTTTGAAAAATATTTTAAAGAAGAGGAAAAGTACTCTCGAGTATCTTAATAGAACTTTAGGAAAAAAGTAAAGAGATAGAATCAAAAATTTCTTCACTGTTAATTTTCTCAGTTGTGAAATGCTAAGTTTTCTGAATTTCTCTAAAACTTGATAATAACTTTATGTATTAAAATATTTTATAAACATTTTCCTTACACTACTAATACCAGGAAATAAGTTAATTAACCTCTCCCTCATGTAAAAGTTTTTCTATCTATATAAATCGTTTAACATGTCAGAGCACATTGACAATTTTTGTAAATTTGTTATCATTACCAAAGGTCCCAAGTTCAGTACATGGCGTGTAATAAATAATTTTTGCATCTTTTACTTAATTGATATCAATTAGTTATAGTGTACGATATACAGTGCGGCTCCAAGTACGTGTCCGAGTCGGACTAGTATAATTATGCACTTGAGAGCTCTCAAAATGTCAGCCAATTTAAGAGTCACACTTTTGCTGGCATCGTGGAGATTGTCCAAAATCTCCAACAATAGCTGGGCGATAATTAAATGTCTCATAATTTGTCAGATTTTGTAATATTCACACCGCGAGCAAAACATAAACTTTTGCTGCTTATGAAGTAATGAAGCTAAAAAACTGAAAAAGAAGCCGAAAGAGCTACAAGCCGACTACAAGATACGTGTTTTTGTATCTGTCTATCTGCAGTGTTGTTCATGTTCATGGCTTAAGAGACAATTGCAGCTTGTAAGGCCCGAAAAAAACTATACACATACATTTATATATATATGCGATTTGTTGTGGTCGTGAGCTCTGCGCGGCCTGCAGCTCGAGTTCAGTTTCGGTTTCGGCTTCGGTTTTTAGTGCGTGATCGACGCTCCGAGTCGCTACTTGTGCCCGCAGTTCAAGCCGTGCCACCCATTGGAAATATAACAATAACAAATTAGTTTTAATTAAAATTCAATGAATTTAAAATTGAAAGCAGTGCGCGTTTATTTCCTATCTAGTATATGTGCCTAGCATGCTGATAAGTGTGAACTGAACTTACATCAGCTTTGCCAGCTATCAGCTGCCGCTTATCAATTCCTTTCGTCTACACATGTATTTGTGTTGTATTTGTGTCAATATCGTTTTAACTATATACACTTTATACTAAAGCGACTGTATTCATTATGCAGCCGGCACTGGAATTAAGCATTTACACACTGCTACGCATGGCGTTCATTTGGCAGCTCATTTCCCTGGCCATCTACTTGGTGGGCACTCTGGCCATTGCCGCCTATCTCTACGACAACTTCAAGTCATTGATCAGTATTATAAAGGCACTGCTGGAGCCGTACTTCCAGCCACAGCTGCCGCAGACCTTGCTGGATAAATTTGGCAAATGGGCAGGTAAGTTCAGTGTGGGAGACCCTTAATCTCTCTTTCTGCCTATCTCTGAATCCACTTAAGCATTTACAATTTTGTAAAAATAATATCTATTATAATATCTATTATATTTTTTTTTATGAATTTTTAGCCAAATAAAAAAGAAAAAATTAATTTATATATATTTTAATTATGTTATTTTTGCTAATAATAACTAGAACTAAATCAAGTTGAGCAGAAATCAATTAAATAAGCCTTACAAATATTTTATTTGTATTTAACTTGATCTTTATATTTGTTTCATACTCAAAAATTAAATTAAGAAATTAAATTAATGGCAAAAGTCGATCGAAATTTGTATTCTTAAATAATGCTTGTTATATATAGAATGAAGGCAGAAGTAAATATAAATAGAAGAAAATATATAATATAAATATAAAATAAAAAGTGAATGTATATATATAGAAATGTTGTATTTCTATATATAAAATCCTTTCTACTTCTTATAAAATTAGCCCTCCTTAAAGCATTTCCAATAAAATTTATATAATTGCAAATATAATTAAGTATTATCATTATATTACATGTAGATGCGATCTCTTCATATAATTATAATTTATGCAATTATATAGAAGTTTATAAGCTTACAAAATTATGTAAATTGCACGCCAATTGGCAGTTTAATAGAATTTTCTCGTGATCATCTATGCTAGTTATTAATACAAATTATTTCCAAGATCCCATAGTCTAAGGCAAGTCAGCATGAAGCATCAATTACTTATCATTCCCATTCACTATAACTTTTCATTAGATAAGGTACTTAACTTTATTTTATTGATAACAGCAGCATATCAAACAGCTGTTTCGGCATTCCCATTCTCTGAATTTGTTTACTTGTTTATAGACTAAAGCAAAGTCATTCAACTTGCCTAAAGAAAACCAAAACAAAACCGGATTTGTTACAGATAATATCATAAATAAATAAATAAATAAAATCATCTTACTTTTGGGCATGGCTTAAAATTAATAATTTAAAAAATAATATATATATATATCTATATATATATATATTGTTGAGACAGACTCTCAAGAGCCTGTGCACATTTTTCCGTATTCGGCTAGCAATGCACGCGCCTCGCTGCAGCTGCCGTTTGCTGCCAATATTTCCGCTGCACAAATGTTTGGCAACACATGTGGCCAACAGCAAGAAACAACATCAGCAGCAACAACAACTTGCATTTTAACGGTGCCAGCAATTGCCGCCTGTCGGCCAATTGCGCACTCGCAACGGCAACTGTTGCATTGACTCATTGCAACAGCAACACCAACTGATCGCAACATCAACAACGAGCGAGTTTTTTCGTTGCCTTCATGCCAATTTTTCTGCTGTTGAGATTTGTATTTGTCTTCGGCTCTGCAGTGGCAGCTAACAGGTCTAGCAAAGATTTCCAACTAAATAAGCTGATTATACAAATAATTAGCAAGGGAGTGTGAAGCAGTTACCTGTGTATTACCTGCGCCAGCAATCGAAATTGAAAGTTTTTTACATATGCTTAAATATAATACTGCGCATAATATAATAGAATGATCTCAGGTGGTTGAAAGGATTTGTATTTATGAGATACATACATACGCATACATACATACATACATACATACATACATGCACATATTTATACACATACCGGAAATGCCGTAGGCTAAAAGCTGAGTCCCTTGATTACTCCATTCCAAGAACAATTGAAATGCTTTCCTTTCCCTTTTCAGTGATAACCGGTGCTACAGATGGCATTGGAAAGGAATATGCCAAGGAATTGGCACGTCAAGGTCTCAATCTGGTGCTCATATCACGCACCAAGGAGAAGCTCATAGCGGTAACCAACGAGATTGGTGAGTCTGGCACATCTTTTGCAGATGACAAACGTAAAACTTCGCTAACTTGTGAAACAACTTTTACAGAGAGCGAACACAAGGTGAAAACCAAATGGATAGCTGTGGATTTTGCCAAGGGACGTGAGGCCTACGAGCAAATCGAAAGGGAATTGGCGGGCATACCAGTTGGCATACTAGGTAAGTGCAGTGCACTGAGAGCAAAGATTAAGATTAAGAAGTCAAAATGGAATAAAGTCTACTTGTATGAAAGTAAGGCATATCTGAGAAGAGTTGAAATTGCTTAAGAATTTTTTCGTTTTGTTTAAAAAAAAGAATTAGCATAGTGTATATTACACTGTACCGAAAAGATAAAAGTGGATTTAAAAAAACACTGAAAGTATTTCTATCTATAAATCTAAAAATTTGACTTTTCTTGAGCCAATGATGGTCAAAGTATCTGAAGCCCATTTAAAAGAGTGCAGATTCGAAATCATCATAAAATACGTCTTTATATTCAGCTTAGTTATACAGAACACATCTCTCCACTTAAGATTCTGAAGAGATATTGCCTATAGATTCTAAACATTCCAAATTAATCAGCAAATCTCAAGTTTCATTTCGCATTTCAATCAAATTTCAGTCTCTAAACATCAACGACTTGTCTGCGGCACCCGCCCATCTCTGATCTTGTATTATAGCCTACTCATTGTTAGCTAACAGTAGCCGTTTGTAACCGTATGTCGAGTGACAACAACAATTAAAACTCCGCTTTTGCTTGTTGTTTGTTGTCAATGTCATTGGCAAACGTAAGCTGAGCAGAGATACTCGTAATGGCGTGCAATTATAATGACTCTGCCGCTGACTCTTTGGTAGGGCCTTTTGACGGACTCTGCGTGTGTGTGGCAGTTTTTCAAACATTTTCAAGTACATCTAAATAATTTCTGTGTCGAATTTTTGTTTGCCAAACTCATAAACGCTTTGACGCGCTTCAGCAATTTACATTTTTGGTTCGAGACAACCTTGCGAGCGCAAGGTTTTCGGCCGATAAGCATCTTTGGCCTTAACTGATGAAAACTCACTCGATTGATTGCAGTCAACAATGTGGGCAGAATGTATGACTATCCGGAGACGCTGGATCTGGTGGCGGAAGACACCATCTGGGACATATTGACCATTAACATTGGCGCTGTCACCATGCTCACCCGCAAGATAGTGCCACAAATGAAGGCGGCACGCAGAGGCGCCATCGTTAACATTGGCTCAGGCTCGGAGCTGCAGCCTCTGCCAAACATGGCTGTCTATGCGGCCAGCAAGAAGTACGTCACATACTTCACACAGGCTCTGGAGCAGGAGCTGGCCGAGCACAATGTCACCGTCCAGCTGGTCATGCCCATGTTCGTCATCACCAAAATGAATGAGTATTCCGATTCGGTGATGCGCGGCGGCTTTCTAATACCCAATGCGCGCAGCTTCGCACGTTCCGCTGTCTTCACGCTGGGCAAAACGAGCATGACAACGGGCTTCTGGACGCATGGGCTGCAGGTGAGTCTACAATCATATATATGGCTAAATTAATGAAGTGTTTATATGCGAGTAGACCTTAAGACTTTTAAGCAGGAAAGCTTGTTTTCAATCTTTTATGTCCCATTCGAACTGGAGCCTTTTCTAGCTTGAAACTGTGTGAAAACCGAATTCAATTCAGTTTGGCTCGCTCAGTAATGTTCTAAGCATAATTGAAATACCTAAAACCCATTTGATTGCATAATATTCAGCTATAGTAATGCTAATAGCTTTTAAGCTAATAATAAACTGTTTAAACTTAACTTCGCTTAACATTTACAGTATTTCTTCATGAAGCTGGCGCCGCTGCATCTGCGCATGCTCATTGGACACCAGTTGACGCGACGTCTGCGCCTCGAGGGGCTGAGCCAAAAGAAGCTGACTTAGTAGGCTGCAGGCGGATTGCAGCAATAACACATAAATCGTACATTTTAAGAGTCTTGTAAATATTGGCGCATAGTCTGAATCAACTTAATAACTGTAAACATTTTTCGTACAAAAACCGGCTATAAAAATCAATTTTTGAGTTTTTTTTTGCCAGCGGATTGCGCAACTTCTGCAGTGTGCGAGAGAGAGAAAGAGAGAGATAGAGGGAGTGGAGCAGAGTAGAAGCAGCGTCGCTGATTACTGCACAAACGTAGCCGGGTAACCGGTCTTGACCAGCGGGCGGAAGAGCCATCTGTAAGCCATGCTTCATTGCATCCAGTTGGCATTCTTGAAGCTTAAAGTTTTTATTTTGGGCTTTAGCCAAAAACCCAAATTCGAGTAACATGCAAATGAACTTCAAGTGGAAATCGCGAGGGTCTCTCGAATGTGGTCAGTGCCCACTATTGTGCAAGCTGACATTACAATGCAAGTTTTGGAGGCAGTAGCACAGCGGCCGCTTGCCTCTACCTGGCTTACTTGCAACTTTTGCTGGCCCAAAGTGCACGGTAATTGATAGAGCTAATACGCCAAGTTACCAGTGTGCATCTAGGTCAATTATATAATGATACAGTTAATCTCTGTTATATATGTTTCTAAAAGTGACAAATTTGAAGGGTGTCAAATTTAAAGGTTCTGGTGAAACTCAAAAGAAGATCAAGAAAGCTTCAATTAATTTTAAACATCTTAAATATAAAGTACTTTATGGTAAGTTTTATGGAAATGTAAGGAAAAGTCTTCTTGAAATTGATCAAATATATTTTAGCAGCAATCATAGATCTGAACATTTAAAATAATTTAAATTTTCTAACTATTCTGTAATGCATTTTTAATGTTTTCTTTTTTTATTATTGCAAGCCCTATGAAGCCTATTTAGTCAGTACTATTATCAACTTTATAACTTAGTCAGCAATAACTATTTCAAATAATTAATTAGAGAACCTAAACATAAGTCTTCATCTCTAGTGAATTCCAACTACATCTCTCATGGGAAGCTTCCAACGCTAATGAGAAATTCATGCCATTTGTCAAAATGATAGCGTAATCAGTGAAGCGAAAAGGTGAGGCAATCAAAAAAAGTATGCGCTGTAAAAGTAATCAAAAGCATAAACGGAAATTACGCAGTTTCCGGCTTGATACAAAAATATATAATTTTCTATATTTTTATTGCTTGTATTTTAGCGGCATCATTTTTCTTCAACTCCAAATTATTATTTATTTCATTTATTTTAATAATTATAATTTGAATAGAGGTATTTTTAGAATGAGCTGCGATATCTTATTTTGAAATGAGAATAATTATTTTAGATACTAATGAAAGTAAATTAAATTAAATTATAAATGATAGCTATGGGCTATCGCCAATTGGCGAGTATGAGAAGATTTAAATGGCCTAGTGGCAAAAGTTGTATTGCAGAGAATAGTCAAGTTTTGAAAGGGAAACAAACTCTTGCAACTCTCCCAACTCTTCTTGCATACTAAACATAATTTAATAAATTTAATTCAATAATTTAAAAAAAAAATGATTTAATTAAAGCTCTAAAGCTAGCCCAAACCAGAAAATAAATCATGTTTTTTTGCTTTTTTTGTTATTTTATTCCTGCTTTTTTGTTGTTATTTTTTGTTGCATTTTGTTGCTTGTGCAGCTGTTGGTCTTGTTGTTATTTACGAAAAAATGCAAATAGAATTAAATAAAGATCTTACATATTATGTGCAAAGTGTTAAACAATGAAATACATAATTTTCCTATGTGCGCCATGAGCTGTTGTTGTTGCTGTTCGTGTTGTTGTTGTTGCAATACACATTTATACTGTACATTATGGTCAATTAATTATTAATTGAATAAATTCCATTGCGAAACGAAAATGTTGCCTGTTAATATTTATGATTAGAGCAGATGACGCCAAGGCCGTGCCGGCTATAAAAGTTGAGAATGTCCCAAACGTTTCAATTGGATCGCCCGAATGACTGCAATATATAAATAAATACAAATATGTTATATTTAAATATGTGTATTCGAACCAAATGGAACTCACCGGATCACACATTTCCTCTGGCGATACAAAGCCCCCAATCGAACCGAGCAGCTGCTCTTATTGCCTGCAGCTTTGACGTCATCTGCAGAGGAAGTCAGAATCAAATAAGAATGTCCAATAAGAACACTTGTTACAAACAAGCCAAATGGCCTGAGCAGCAATATATTTAGTTTTAAATGCAAAAATTATTGCCCGCAATCGCAAGTCCAAAACAAGTTACTTGAACATGGAAATGCGCTCTTGAAATTGTTTCTTTTGGCAGCCGATATCGAAATTGAATTTGTTGTTTTAAATACAGATATATAAATATAATGGCTTCGTATTCAAGTGGGTAAAACGCATAAACAATAGCCGCAAAAATGTGTTTTTTTTTTTCAATTTATTTTTAGCTAAGATTAAAATCTTGAATTTTTCAGACTAACTATACTTTTCTCTACCAATGCTAAAACAGAATTTTATTTATTCAAAAACTTTTTCCTAATTTCATTCAATTTATAGCAAAAAATCATCAAAAAGGCGTCTGCTTTTTAATGCAATAAATAATTTTATTTTAATGCATTTCGCAAAGATTTGAAAACTTAAAAAAAAATCTAAAGGAAATCAAAAAAATTGTCAACGCTCAAAATATCACGTCGAATTCATTTGACAAATTTCACACGCCGCAATAATATTTCAAAAGCCATTTTATACACATGTATCTACAAATTCAAATATATATATATATATATATATATATATATATATATATATATTCATATGCATATATATAGCATATATATGTATCGTAAGGGAGGTTAGCTCTCTAGTGGGCCATGTCGAAATGTCGCTAAAAAAGATAAAACTTTTTGGAAAATGATTTTTTTAATGTCGCAACTTTTGACAGCGCTGCCAAAAAAATAAACTACAAAAAAAACTGAGCATAGTCATGAGATATATCTAAGGCTGTATATCCATGCTACATTCTTTGCTAATTTAAATAATTAATGTCATAGAACAGCTCATTATGTTCTAAAAAGAAAAAACTTTTTGATTTGCGATGGGCAGCAATAATTTTGAAGATTTTTATTAGTTGGTTTCGACTTACCTGACTTAGGGTACTAATAGAAATCCATTAAATGCTAGCGGCTTAAACGCGCGTAACGCTCTACAAAAAATCCTAGTCGTATGTAATTTGGTATTTATTTTTTCATATTTTAAATTATTGTTTTTGGAATTCAAAATTCAACATGTAAGCATATATCCTTGAATTAGAGTCAAATCATTATTTAGAAAGCGGCTTCGTAGAAGGCATAGAGCAAGAAGAGCAAGAAGGCCAGGATTATGAAGGTGGTAAACAAACTTCTGGCTTCATTCATTTTGTTATTGTCGTTGTTGTTGTTGTTGTTGCTGCTTGCTGGATTTTTATAGAGAAATAAAATTGTAATTAACTAATTAGTCAAGTGGAAAACACCATTAACTATGTATATAGTAATAATATATTGCTTGAGGCTTGCTATATCAATGCACTCTATGATTACACACAGCTTGAGAATTTGCAGGAATCAGCAAACCGTTCGTAGCAAATGGCACGGAATAACTGAGAAACGCACCAAAAAATATTTCTCCACAAACTGGCCTACAATTTTTATCACGAATCAAAATCGGACAGCAGCCAGCAGCCAGCTCATTGGAATTATGGTTTATATATATAAATATACATATAGCCCCTACACATAATCAAACACATATATCTAAATATATTTGAGAGATATATATGGCGGCTGGCCGTACGTATTGGTGTCCAGTTGTTGCGCATATTTTGATGCGGCACACATCGCCGCTATATGTATGTACCACCATACGTATACGCAATATTTATAAGTATGTTTAGATTCCATGTGGATGCGTGTGGGCGCTTGCTTGAGTCTTGACAGCCTTGCCACGGCAACTTCTCCAAAGTTCTCCCAGTTTTCCTCTCTATCTCTCTCCTCTTTTCAATTTCAGCCATCATTCATTCGTGGCGCTGGCAAATTGTTTTCTTTTTTTTTCCGAAATATATTTATTTCTTTGTTATTCGCTGATTGCTTCTATAAGGTTGGGCGACGTGCTACTTTATTTTCCAGGCAGCTGTAGTCAAAATCGCAATTCATATTTATTTTCTTTGGCCAGCTAAATACATTCTTAAATTGCTTGTGCCACATGTTTGTTTGGCTTTTTGAAACATGTCCAAAACATTTCGAGGCACGTAGCCAGGCCGCTGCCCTACATTCGCAGCTAATTGAATTTCTCAAGAGCTATGTGCGTACCTATTTTCAAAATGCATATTTAATTTACTATTTGGAATCGTTTACTTAAGCATGTAATAAGAAATTGCCGAATGTCTAGATGGCATGCCTTTGAAAATTCATGAAAAATTTTTTTGAAACAAAAAAGATAATTTTTCAAATAACTATTTCAAATTCAATTACTAGATACAGAAAGCGTAATAGTCGTTCCCAATCATAAAGTAGCTTTCAAAAGGTTTAGCAGTGACTTTTTGACTTATATATGTAGATATATAAAGGTTAATTTTTATGTCTCTAGTGAGCGTGTACAGTTCCCTCAGTTCAGAGTTTGTACTACAAATTGACTCAATCTTTTTCTAATTTGCCACGCCTACTGTGAGCATACTAATTTATTCTTATGTGTTCTTAATACTTGATCTATAAATTTATATATCTTTGTATACCCAAATATATATCTTTGTGTATACCTACAAAGATATTTATCCTACTTTCCCAGCTCTCTAAATTTCATACAAACTTATGCATAAATTACTCCTAGCCAATATACCCTTTAGCAATTTCTGAGCGAGTATGAATGTATATTTAGCTGTTATACACACTTCTCACATCCGATTCCAATCAATTTGATTTGCTTAAGGGTCTTTTGAAGTCAGACTACATTTTATAGTTTTTTTTTTTTTGTCTTTAAGTACCATAAATTCTTATCAAAATACATTTTTAATTAGCAAAAATTTTTAACCTAAAATTTTTAAACCCATTAAAATTCATCCTTACTCACTTTAAGTCACTTAGTTTTCCCTTTCTAATCGTAAGCTACACTCACCTTTGCTCTATGCCCCAGCCATGGAGTCTGTGTTATTTACAACACTGCATAGATGATCCAGAGGAAGAACAGCAAAATGGCCAAAATGCCGAAGGTGGTAAACAGATTCGTAGCCTCATTCATTTTTATTCAAGCGCTATAAATAGATGTTGAGAAAGGAAATTAATAAATGATTAAGGCATAATATTAGAGTCCAATTGGATAGTTTTATCTGCTCAGACAACCTCGCAAAGGTCAGGCAATTATAATATTAGATCGCGCGTGATCATTTCATATACAAACTAAACACTAAAAAGGCGCCCATTAATTTTCAAAAACACATATCATTTTGTTTTTAAATTATACAACTTGTTTTATTTTATTATTTTATTTCTTTTTATATGCATATAAAAAACGTAAGAAAATTTTATTCAAACGGGCGACAGTCTCTATATAGACGAGTATACTATATATATACTATATATACTATATATATTTATATATATTTTTATTTCATGTTTTGCATTAATTTCTATTTTTTTTATTTATTTGTATTTTTGTTGTTGCGCTGTTGATAGAGCAATCAAAATGTCTGTCTGTAGTACATATAGCAGAAATATTGTTGGCATAATAATTCCAGCTTTATGGATTGGAACAGTTCCAAATATTTCTCGATAAATTTATTAGCACGGCACACTTAAATTCGATTGGGATTATGCAAAGAAATTTCACTCGACACAAGATTATTTAATGAATATTGGATGGGCCTTGGGGTTACCTGGATACGTTTTAAATTATTTTTTAGTTTTAGTTTTATTTTTTTGCGGACTATTTGCGCTATTAACTGCAGCGAGGCTTTGGCCCAACTAAAATCGATTCACGCACTTGGCCACTGGGTTGCGCAAAATATAGCAAAAATTAAAATACTTTGCGATGCTAAACATTGGCGTGAAAGTATCTATAAAATAGAAAGAACACACACACACACTCACATTTGGATGTTGGATATTTCGGCAAAGAACGGCACTCAAGAGAAAAACGTTGCGCTGTCAACTGACAAGTGGAAAATGAAAATATGTCTGTGTGTATATGTAATTATATAGTGGAAAAAAGTCTTCTTGCTTTGCTTTGGCTTGGTTCGGTTTCCAAAGAGCACATGGGCCAAAGCGAGACCCCAATAGAAATTGTTGCTTGGAACATGCTTTAAAGTTTAACGAAAATCCACATCGAAAATAAATAAAATAAATTTTCTTAGCCGCTTTGACAGTTTGCGAGCAGCCGCAGCCGCTAAAAAATAAATAAAACAAAAATTATAAAAATATATAAAACATAATGGAAAATAGTAGAACAATGCTTTTTGCATGAAAAATAGTTCAAATACTATATTATATAAACATTTTCCAAACATGTTTGTTTCGAAACATGCGAATCGTGTCACTCGCAAGTCTTTTGTTTCAGTTTTTCAGGTGCAAAAGAACCTCCCTCAGATGACGTTATCTAAAACATACCACAAAAGTCGCGATGACGTTGTCGAATGTCATTAAAATTCATATGATTTGAGCTAACACATAAATTCTCAGCTTTAGCTGTGAAGATTTTGAACACCCAAAGCAAAAATACTAGCAAATACGCAGAACTGTATATACTGTATATACTATATCTTATGTACTATAAGTTAGAGACTCCGCCCACGCTTTCGTAAACAATTTGACGCATAATGTGGACCATGTCTCCATGCCAATAGTGAGTACCTGACAGTTGTCATTAACTCAATTTGAAAATGCACTGCGCAAATGTTGGAAATGAACTCTAGAAAAATAACAATACACAAAAATAAATGTATATATACATATGTATGTCGAAATCATGTGCATAATGACTGAAACAATTACTGACAAATGTTCGGAAATATTTCAGGTTCAATGATCACGAAATATTGAAAACATTTCATTTGACATCCAGTCGAGAAATGGAAAAAAAGAAAAGAGTCGAAAGCTGAAAGTAGAGAAATACTAAATTTAAAATTTATTTATATTATTATTCTAATACTTTTGTATATTTATATATTTTATATTATATATTTATTCTAATTGTATTTAATTTTAAACATACTTAGAAATTATAAAATCATTTTAACCATTGAATACTAAAACATTTTTTAAGCAATCTTTTTATAGCATTTGGCACATTTGGCAAACGAATTGAAATTTTAAAATATAAAAAATTTATAAAAATACATATATATAAATATTTGTAAATAATTAAAGTAATTTATATATTTTTTATATCATTTTCAACTAAAATTAATTGTATTTAAAATTTTTAATTATTTAATTATTAAATTTTAAATAAAAATTAAGTAGTTTCTATGTTTAGAACTAAATATTATTAAATATGAAAATTAAATTTTCAAAAAATAATTGAATTTAACAATAATAAAATTTACAAATACTAATCAAGAAAATAATTTTTATATTAAGAAAAAGTAATTAAATTTACAAATATAAAAATGCATAAAAATTTAAGTTTTTACATATATACATACATATTTACATATATACATATATATATTTATTTAATATTTAATAATATTTAAAAAATATGCACATTAAAAATAAAAAGAAAAATAAATAAAAATTAAATATATTTTTTTTTATAGTTTTTATTTTATTATTATCTTAAGTAACATTAATTATTATTTATCTTAAATAACATTAATTAATTCTAAGAATTTCCATTTGACTATTCACATCTGTTTATCATACACTTTGCAGGAGGATTCATTTGTGCCTCCGGCTCACATTTGAAGGCGGCCTGAAACTCTGGCATATTCATATAGCCCCGATTGAGCTGCGCCGCAAAGATCTCATCGTGGCGATTGCACAACTGCTGCGCAACCGCATAGAAGAGTATGCGATGCTCGTCGAGGCCGAAGTATTGCAGCACAAACTGTTCGGCAAACACGAATCGCTCGCCCTGCAGCCAGAAGCGATAGTCCCGCAGAGCTGCCTGAAACGAGCGATGGAAATGAAAGACATTTGCCACCTCATGCGTGCTCAACGGACGATAGATGGCCGCCTGCTGCACATCGTAGCGCTGCTGCGTCTGTCGCTCCAGGCAGTCGAGTGCCGTATAATAGCCGTCGGTATCTTGCAGCAGGCGCGACTCGCGCCAAAGCTCCAGGCCCTGCGTGGCATAGTAATGATACATGGGCCGGTGCAGCGAGAGCAGCACAAAGTGTAGAAAGTGGCGCAGGAAGTAGGCGGATTGCTGCACATCTTCCGCATCCACATACGGTGACTGGAAGCTGTGCCGCAGTTGAGCGCGTCGCAGCTGCAGCAAGTTGCCGTAAAAGTAATACGGCTTGAAGTGCACCTGGCCATACCTCGAGGTTAGCTCAGTGATGTTGAGATAGTGCTGGGCATGCGCCTGCAGCAGGCGTGCCACCTGCAATTCACGGCGCTCCACAGACGCCGGCAACAGATGGCCATACCAGTCCCGACTGCCCAGCGTGGAGCGTCGGCGCTGCTGGAAGCGCGTGGTGTGCAACTGGTACATGGCCAATGCCACATCCCGTGTCAGCTGTGGAGCCAGCACATGCCATTGCCAATACTCGGCATGCAGCAGACGCTCAAACTCCGTGGCCAGCTCAAAGCAATCCTCGTAGACCAAACGCTGCTGCGCCTGCCACAGCACATAGTTGTAGACAATGCGCGGCTCAGTCTGACGCAGCACGCTCCACGCCCGTGTGATGCGTGCCACATTCACGGGCAGCTTGCGTGCCGTTGCCAGTTCCTGTTCCGTAAAGTTGAGCAGGCTAAAGAAGCTTTGCATATAATCCATGGTATTGTCGTCCAGCTCCAGCTGCTCCTGCCCAGGTGCCGGTGTGCTCTGCCGTTCTCTCTGGCCCTCGGTCAGGCTATTGGCCAAAGGCAGCTCACCGCGCATGCCACGGCACAGCATGCGCATCTCATGCGCCACAATGTGCGCCACCTGGGCATGACGACCCGTCAGAACGTCTGACATGCTCGCCTTGAACTCCCGCTGACTGGGACACGGCAGCTCTTGTATGGGCGCCACATAGATGGTCTGCTCGGCAAAGTAGATGTGCAGCAATGTGGGCAGACCATGCGCCGCCAGCTGCGCAGCCAGCTGTATCCAATTGAGCTGCCCATCCAGCTGCTGGCGCTGCCATTGATGACGCAGAAATGGCCAGCCCGCGAGCACCACCTGGTGGGCAGCTAGGAATGGCACCTGCTCTAGCATGTGCTCCAGGTGCGCGTGCTGCTGCCCTCGCATCCTGCACTCGCCGTACAATTGGGCCAGCAATTTGCCCGGCAACGTTTGAAAGTTTTCATGCTGCACCTGAAAGAATTGCATGCGATCCTGCAGGTTATACAGAAATGGAGGCAGTGCATCATCTGGATCCGGCGCCTGGCCCAGCGCTCCAAAGTTTCCGCATGCGTGTGCATAGAAATCGTCACAGGGCTCAATGCTCTCATTTCTCAGTGCCACCAACTGCTGCAGATTTCGCTTGTACAATCGGGTAAAAAATTTGGCTGCCTCGTCCTGCTCCTCCGTGGTTGCTTCTGCTGTCGCCTGTTGGCCATGTACCAGGCGCATGGCCATAAGCAGCATTGGCAGCTGCCATTGCCAGCGCATTTTGCTCACCCGAACGCTAGACGTAACGCGCGCGTACTACGTCTCGAAATCGAAGCTGGAGGCAACTCGCGACTGATAAGCCCCCGCCCGAGTAGATGTGGAGCATAGTGCCCAGATTGTGACGTCCACCAAACAAATGATAGCACATGCCTCTTGCCTCTAACGCCTTGACCTTACAGATTTCCGCTCTAGCGAAATAGACGCAGAAAATGTCAACAATCTATTACTCACTGCCAGGTATTAACCGGCGTTGCACGGCTCAAATTAAAAGTTTGGATTGCAGTTATTTGCGGTAGATTTAGAAGCTTAATTTTATAAGCCCGGGCCCTGATACTGTAGTGCATTTTAATTTTATTAAAATTATTAGAAGCAGATATGTGTTTGGAACCTTATAAAATATATATATTTCTCTGACTAGCATCGACAGCCGAGTCAATCTAGCCCAATCTGTCATTCTGCCTTCAATCTTAAAACTTAATTAGGTCCTTCTTTAGCACGCGCCACATCATCGATAGGTTTTTCATTTCCCTTAAGTCGATTAAAAACGCTATCGAAGTACAGTTATTTGAGCACGTTTCATATGTATAAGGAGTTTCTCAGCAAATTTGGTAATTAGATTAGTCTAAGCTAAATACACATTTTAAATATTTCACAATTTAGATACCTCTATAAACATTCAGAACATGGACATATTTTAATATCAGACAATTTTTTCTATTGGATTTTAGTTGAAAAGTGCTTGTGTATACAGAGTATTTTCAACTCAAATACTCTTTAATATAATGAAAAGAGTATATTAGCTTGTCCGTCAGTTTGTATGAATTTATTTTGTTGCCGATGAAGTTAGAGACTTAAGAGTTAGGACTCGTCTAAAGATTTTGTTTAGAATTTTTTGAAGTGCTTACAGAGAACGAAGTAAATTCTGATTTACTATAATTATAATTTGTTCAGCATAAATTCATATATAATTTAAGAATCTATATTAGCACAGAATAATCAATATAGAAAGTCAATATCAAGGTCGTATTTACGCGCACCTGTATTTCCAAAACCTTTGTGGACCTCTGCTACAGTTCGACTGCAAATAAGAAAAACAATGTTTCCAGCTAACGTCCATATATATTAATGAGCTTTTTTCAAATAGATTTCAAAATTTTACGTTACGCGGAGCATGGTAAATTGTAAAACTAACATATGTTTCCGTTATCGAAGCATGAACGCGTATTTTGCAGTTGGTTTCACCCGACTGCAATATTCCTGCTTGTTTTCTAATAACTCAAGTATATGAAAATTAAGCACATAAATTAGACAACCTTGACTTTTCATTCATTCAGTCAGATTTGCTGTAATGGAGAATACAAAGAGTAGCGTCGAGGAGTCCCAAACCCCTGGAGAAATCGAGCAAAATGAGAAAACCCAGAAAACTGAGGAAGCCGAAGATGATGAGGATAATACATCTCAAACAGATGAAGATGCCCGCCTCGATTTGAGCTTCGAAACAACGGAATATCTAAAGTTTTTAAAGCGTAAACTTAAGAGTTATCCACTACATATTAAAAATATAATCAAGCTGGAGATCAAACGCATACTATCTGGAGCTGATAACGGGTTACTCGAAAAGCCAGAAGATATCAATTGTCCAGAGTGAACACAGAGAAAAAACTTTATAAATCTAAAAAACTTCAACTGTGAATCAATCATTTACCAAGACTGAATAAATATATAATAAAATTATAATAATATTACGCCTTCAGATCGTTTATATATATAGTATATTTATATATATATCCAGATATAACTTGTTGCGCGTGTCAAACTTGAAAAGTCTTCATAAATTTGACAATGTTGCTAAACTAAGTTATAAATAAATTAATGGAAGCTGCCATCAGATCATCTCCCTCAGAGATGAGAGAGAGAGAGGAAGAGAGAGAACGGGAGAATGTCAGAGATGTCGCTCGTTTAGGCGCTAATGCTTGTTCCATTGGCTTCCATTTTGCTTGACATTCCATGGCGGTTCTATGTCGAAAAGATTATTAGTGCCCCTGAAAATATAGACAGCAACTATACGTATAAAACTTGTGTATATACATAGCTATATATATAGCTATATATCTATATATATGCTATAAAGCCATCTACTGTGGGCGTTGCCAGCCACACGCAGCGATAATAAATTGAGAAACTATAGAAATTGGCCAAAAGCTAAACTATGTCCAGAGGACAGGCCTGGCATCAATTAATAAATCAATTGTATAGCTGCTGCATACCACTAATAATCCCGTAGTGCTCCAATTAAGTTAACTCAGGCTAGATTTCAAGCAGGTAAATAAAAACAAACCCAATTTTAAGTGTGTTGACGCGGGTCGGGAATGTATTTATTAATATTTATATATATATATATATTTAACTGGCATTGTCTTAAAGCGCTTAAGCCGTAAGCCTATAGAGCCGACGCTCCATATATGTCTTAAGGGTTTGTGGGCTATAAAAGCTGCAGACAAGCAACATTAAGCGATCGTTAGCTTCTTTTTTTTTGCTGTGCGACGTGCTTAACTTTTTACACTACGTACTTATTGAAACAACAAACACGTACGCAGCACAACAGGTGTGCGTGTGTGTGTGAGTGCAAATAAAGTTTAGGTCTGCATTGGTCTCTCAGCACTTTAATTCACAGTTAGCTAATCCTCTGACTCTCAATGTTTTCACTTTTTTCATGCTCAACTCTCACTTTGCACACACACACACACACACACACACCCACACACTCTTAGACTCGCTGCCCAGCACATTGGCCAAATTGGTCAACGGCTTGAAGCCCGGCATTCAGTTTCTCCAACATTTTCGGACAGGGCACAGCTAGCAACGCTTTAATTGTTAATAAATTGAGAAAATAATAGCAACAACTTGGAAGATGAATTGCAGGCTGTTGGCCCTAGTTTGCCTGTGCTTAGGTAACTCCTCAAGTCTTTACACTTATGTCACACTAAATTCCACTATTTCTATAGCTTCGACTTGCCAAGGCGGCTCGGTCTTTGATTTCGTCACACAGTCAGCTGCAGCAGCGGACAATGCGACAACAACTGCTGCGCCTGCGGCAGCAAAGCCTGTTGGCAATCGTGATATAACTGTGGGACCCTGCAAATGGGCCATAGGACGCAGCTGTCCCGATCCCGATGTCAAATATTATATTTATACGCGCCGCAATGTCATGGATCGCCAGAGTCTGCACATTGATGCGACGGCCGAGCAATCCAATCTCACCAATTCCTATTTCAATCCCAAGTTTCCAACCAAGATACTCATACACGGCTACAACTCCGACATGTTTCTGAGTCCGCTGCAACAAATGCGAGATGGTGAGTCAATAAAGTGACAAATTGGAATCAGTAATAGAAACATATTTGGTATGCGTTATAGAATACTTAGCCAAGGCGGACTACAACATAATCTATGTGGACTGGAGTGTGCTGTCGCCGGGACCTTGCTATATAAGCGCTGTGCACAACACGCGGCAAGCGGGCGCCTGTGCTTCGCAGCTGATTGAGCGTCTGGTGGAGACAGGCAATACGGATATACACATCATTGGCTTCTCGCTGGGCGCCCAGGTGCCCAACTATATAGCACGCAATTTGAAGTCCTTTCAGCTGCCACGTATCACAGGACTGGATCCGGCGATGCCACTCTTCATTACTGCCGGCCTCAATGACAAGCTGGATCCGAGCGATGCAGGATTTGTCGATGTGATACACACGAATGCGCTGGTGCAGGGCAAACTGGAGCGTTGCGGTCACGCTGATTTCTATATGAATGGCGGCATTTCACAGCCAGGATGCTCAAAGCCACAGTGGATGAGTGGGTGCAACTCTGAAAGGGAATATAAAAAAATGAATTTAACTCGTGAATATTTCTTCTAGATTCATTTGCCTGCAGCCATCAGCGCGCAACGGCCTATTACCTCGAGTCCATACGCTCACCCAAAGGATTCTGGGGCTGGGCCTGCAGCGGCTACATCTCCTATCTGCTGGGCATGTGTCCGCCCACAAACTATCTGCTGGAGGCCGGCGAAAATATACGACCCGGCACGCGTGGCATGTTTCTAATAGACACCAACGACACCTCGCCTTATGCGCTGGGCAAGTGGACGGATCTGCCCACGCTTGGCGTCAAGCGTCCACGAACACCTCCGTTGCCACAACGCATACCAACGCCGAATGTCGATCCATTGCTGCAGCACATCGATCAGTTTGGCAAGCTGGCCTCCAATTTCAATAACCTGCCCAGCACACCTGATATTCACGATCTCTATGAGCACTGGACCAGCTACAGTCCGCCACAACTCACAGACAACGAGAGCGACGACTTGATCGAGGAGCAGGATTTAGGCTCAGGTGAATTTATAGAAGTGCTCGACGATCGTCAACTGAATAGGCCACTAAACTGGTGGGATTACAGACGCAATCTTACCTATGGATACATAGACAATGATATATTCAGCATGCCAAACGTGCACTAACTGAACAACGCAAATACTTAGCTCCCTTCCCTTGCCCCTAGCCCATTGAGGATCTGAAAGAGACTCTTATGAATATGACATTCCAGCGAATGATGTCTTAATTTAACTAGATATAAGTAGTAAAAAAGCTTACAAAATAGTCCAGGACTGTAATGAGTGCCCCTACTATTGATAGTAGTAAATGCGTTTCTATCTTAATTGATTTATTGTATTTTTAAACAAATCGCAATACAATAGCAGTTCGTATATAATTATATTGTAAATTGTAATAAATCGCCATATATGTATATAATTAATAATGGACTTACGAATGTTGGTGGGCGTGCGCGTGAGGTGCGTCCGCAATGGGAGTGGAGATTAGATGGGTTAACTAAACCAGTGGACACTAAATCGCGCCCCATTGGCATTTACAATACAATTTGATAGGAGCTGCCCTCCTGCCTCGGTACCGCCCTATATGGGGTTGACTGGCAATAGAGCGGTGGCATCTTGATTGGTGTTGTTGGCATCCTGCAACGCCATTACATGTTTTATTATTTGAGCTTATGGATAAAATGCTAAGTCGTATCTTTAATTCCGCGCTGCTCTGGTTGCTCGCGACCCGATGCGTCCTACACTTTTTTCTTGACCACGCGTTTGGCGCGCGTCGCTGGTCCAGCGGCAGCAGTCGTGTCTGTTGTCGGTGCTGACGTTTCGTCTGCGATAACATTTTCAGATTTGATGGCTGATTCTAGCAAGTCTGTGGCTGGCGTTGCCGTCTCATCAACTTTATCGTTCGTGCTTGTGGGCTCTGGCTCTGGCACTGACACTGACACTGACACTGGCTCTGGCTCTGACTTTGGCTCTGTCTTTGGCTCTGCCTCTGGCTCTGGCACTGTCGCTGGCACTTCTTCAGTGGGCTCGTTTTTCACATCAACATCCATCGTGGTGTGCTCAGTATCGCTAGTGCCCGACATGGGCGATGGTGGAGCACGCATGGCATCTGGATCATCGTCCTCCTGTGAGTTCGCTGTATCATTGTTGCTTGCACCGTCCTCTCCCGCTTCAACCTCCTGTATGGTGATGTGGTAGAGTTTCATATCCTCATCTGAAATGGGCACCGGTGCATTAGAGAGCGGATCCCGTCCGTTGAGGGACTTAGGGAATGCAATCACATCGCGTATGGAACGCGCACGACATAATATAGCTATAAGACGATCCAGACCCAGAGCAATGCCCCCATGCGGCGGACAGCCAGACTCCAGAGCGCTTAACAAGTGCGCCAGATGATCGTGGGGGATTTTGAGAACTTGCTCTAATATGAACTGCTGCATATCGCGATCGTGGATGCGCATAGATCCACCGCCCACTTCCTGACCATTAAGGACCAAATCATATGCTTCGGACCGTATGGATTCCAGATTGTCGCAACTGGTGGCAAACTTGTCCAAATCCTCAACAAGCGGCGCCGTGAACGGATGATGCACGCTTTCGAGCTGATTTGTGGCGGGGTTGCGTTCAAATAACGGAAAATCTACGACCCACAGGAAGCGATAGTCGTTTGGTTTTCTAGTTTTTACATTCTCTACAAGAAAATCGTGATAGTCCACTCGAATGCGACCCAGTAGATTGCGCTGTGGAGAGTAATGAAAGGCTAAGTTAGGTCTCATTTGAAAATGAAAATGATTTGTTTCACTAACCGTCTCCACTTTGGGTCCAATACACAGGAAAAGCAAATCGTTTTCCTCCAGATCAAATTTCTCAATAATCTCAGTGGCCACCTCGGTGCCCAGCAACTTAGTCAGTCTCTCCTGCACGTCCTTGGCAAAGTTAAACTTGCGTACGAAGAGCGTGCCAGAGAAGACCTTGCTCAGACTCTCGTAGTGCTTACGTGCGGCACCATTCCAGAAGGCTTCGCTGGAACGCACCACAATAGCATAGGCGCTAAAGTCATTATATTTGCCCTTGAAGTTTTCACTCTTCTCGATAATATCCGAGACGTTGTTAAGCAGAAAACCAAAACGTGTGTCCGGCTTATCTGTGCCATATTTCTCCATGGCCTCTTCGTAGGTAATGCGCCTAAACGGCGTCTGCAACTTGGGCAAATGCTTGGGCCACGAGTAGCGCAGAGTTTCCTCAATCAGTTGCATTATATCATCGCGACTAGTGAACGACAATTCAATGTCAAGCTGTGTGAACTCCGGCTGACGATCCGGTCGTGTGGCCTCATCACGATAACATCGCGCCACCTGAAAGTAGCGATCGATGCCGCCCGACATCAGCATCTGCTTGAACTGCTGTGGGCTCTGCACAAGCGAGTAAAAGTGACCCGCCTTGCGTGTTGGTACCACAAACTCCTGAGCACCGCCGGGCGTGCGTCGGAATAACGTTGGCGTCTCCACCTCCACAAAGCCCAAATAGTTAATCAAATATTCGCGCATGCGCATTATAACCGCCGAACGCAAGCGTAAATTATGCTGCATATCATTGAAACGCAAGTCCAAGTAGCGATGCGTGAGCCGCAAGCGTTCGCCGGCTCGATTAAATTTGCGTATCTCGAAGGGGAGATTCTTTTTGGCCGCATTTAGTATGTCGATTTTGTCCGCCTCGATTTCAACATGTCCTGTGGTCATTTTTGGATTAATGGTGGCTGCTGGACGCGGAATAACGGTACCCTCCACGCGTACAATCGATTCTATGGGTACACCCGTTTCGGCATACTCCTCCAGTCCCTTCGTTTTGGGCAAGATTAGCACCTGCGTTTGGCCGTAAGCATCACGCAGTATGAAAAACTTGTTCATGCGCTGAAATTCCAGCCAGCCGCATATGACGACCTTTTCGTTGATTTCATTGGATGTCAGTTCGCCGCAATTGTGCGTGCGATCTGCAAATTTGTTGGTGTCCGCCACCTTTTGACGCTGCTGCTCGACAATGGCCTGAGCTGTGCTTGCTGGAGACGTTTCACTGCCATCCACATCACCCTCCCCATTATTGGCGCTGATCGCATTGCGTGCAGCAGCTGCGGCCTCATCGGCCTCGAGATCATCGATGGACATCTTCTGTAACTTCTCTTTAACTTTGATGGGACCCTCGTAGGGGTCGTCGGGATTTAAAACTTTAACACTGGTCACACTAACTTCCACCGCGCCAGTGTCATATTTCTGCATATACAAACAAATGATATTAATGTATTGAGACATTGAAATATTTATAAACACTTACCAAGTTTATGTTTGCCTTCGGCCTGCTGAGCACTTTGCCAACTATTTGCAATACGGTTTGCTCCGGTGTAGACATAAATGTGTCCATTAGCTGTAAAGAAGATTAAGCTTTATTTATGCATAGAACTACACGTTTTACTAAATTACAAAACTTTCTGCAATTAACTTCAACGAAACACAACAAATATAAGAATTGCATAACTTTCTTAGCGAATATCATTGTATTAGGTTACATTGACTAGAAGAGGAGATCTCCCATACTTCCTTAAACAAATTCTAATACAAATGTTGTTTTCTATATATTCATTTTAACCAATATATACCGCTATTCATACTTATTATATAAGGAAAATATTTATATTTACTCACAGATTGATCTTCGATCATGAGCTGAGTCTGACCGTAGCCATCCTTTAGCTGTAAGAATTTGTTGTTTTTAGTCGATGGTATCCAGCCCACCAAGGTGACTGTTTTGCCGACATCCTCGCGTCGTAGATCATTACAGGTGAGATCGCGGTTTTCAAAGTATTTCAAGATATTCTCGTTCTCTGCAAAATGAGTTATAAAGTCATATCAATTTGATTGATTCAATTCATATACTCACTGGCAATCTTGTACTCTGTGCTGGTGATGCCCAGGCTGCTCTGTTGCTGTGCCATGGTGCTGTAGGTGCGCTTGTCGCCGGCACGTTTCGTGCCGCTAGCTGGAAAATGTATGCTGAGTATGTCCTGCACCTCCACTTCTATTTCGCCTGTGGGCATTGTCTGGTTACACGAATTGTGGGGCCTTCGCATCACTTGGCCCACAATTGTAAGCGTTGTATTTTCTGGCATGTTGTTCATGCGCCGTGCCACTCGCGGATGTTTGTCCTCCAGCACGACCAACTGACAAGCTCCGCCATTACGATCACGCAGCTCGGCAAAGCGATTGACTCGCTTTTTAAACAGTCGCCCTGAAAGTTCCACAAACATGCCGCAGTGATGATTCCGCAACTCTCCACAACTCTGACGCATTGGGTGTGGTGGCTGTGAGTTCATACTAAAATTACTGGCCATTGCGCTCATCAGCTGCATCAAATCGTTGCCCGAGATGTTGGGACCCACTGAGAAAATAATAACATTAAATATGTTAAATATGCTCAAGCTCAAAATTGCCTTCATTTGTAAAACATATACTTAAGTTTAGTTTTCCTACGGAAGCTAACTCCACAGCTCGAGAAATTAAAAATTAATACTGCTCTCCATATCATCTTTTGATAAATATGTGTTGTTAAGTAGAGTAATATTTACATTTAAATTTTAATTTTAATTTTTGTGGGCTTTACAAACTATAAAAAGCTCAATTAACATTTACTTGAGACCTATGACTAGTTATTTATATAATTCTCGTTAATCGACGCAGCTCGTTCTTGACATTTTTGTCGACTGTGCAGAACTTGAATACTGTTGCAATTTATAGTTTCCTGTTGAAATAAGTTACTTACTGTTGAAGGGATTCGGACCAGGGCCGAAATTGTCGTTGTAACCGCCTCCTCCACAACCGCCACCGCCCCAATAGTTGTCAAAGTCATTGTATCCGCCCCCACCACTTCCACCACCGCCGCCACCGTAGCCACCTCCTCCTCCATATCGTCCACCTCCTCCGCCTCCACCGCCGCGATACCGACCGCTCATGATCTGTAGTAAAAAAATAAACGAAACAAACCATGAGATTTGCGCCCTAGCCAATCGGTGCGCCAGACTTACGTGACTACAAACTGCTGCTGCCGCTGTTGGGGCTTTTGCTGCCGGATCGCTGCTGCTGGTGGTGCTGTTTAAGTTAGTTTGTTTTTGCGTTGATTTGGAAGTACTGTAGACCGCTGATGGTTTCCCAATTTGTAGCAGTCTCTGCTGCTGACAACGCCAAACGTTTCTGGAAATTATAAGCATTTTTATTTAAATCGTTGCTTTTTTCACTCGCAAAGTTTGCGCCTTTTGGTAGCCGATAAAAAATTTTTCTTTCCAAAGCACGAGCACCACACACACATTTACAGATAACCTATGTGTGTGTACGCATGTACGTGTTCTTGCTAATGTTGTTGTATGTGTGAGTGTGTGTCTGTGCCGGGCGTCGCGAAAACGCCGATGAGCTATTGACCAATTTGCAATTGGTATTCGCGCTTACCTAAGAAATATTATGTATATCTTTAGCTCAATTTTGGGAGATATCAAATGAACTTAGCTAGTTCAACACACACACATAAATTTGTAGTTTCAACTACAAGTAACTTCCTTTTCTTATGAAAAATAACTCAAATATGTTTTGGCTTGGTTCTGGTGGAGGAGAGAAAAATTAAGTAGAGCAAACACTTATCGATAGTTCAAGCGAAAACATCGATAATTCACGTTAGTGATGAACTATCGCCACTCGACTAATGCTGCTCGTCAATCATCTAAGCCCTTGGAACTAGTTAAAACGCGTATCAAATAATCATTTTTAAGACGGTATACAAAATCCATTCTCTTTATTTACATAAAGCTTAAGATCATTAACAAATGCATAAAATAACAATATATTTCTGTTACTCAGTACTATGCATGACTTGTATGTGGCATTCAAGTTTCCTCAACTTGTATTTGGCTTATAAATAAAGAAAAAAGTACAGACCAGATAATATTACCCAAAGTCTACCTATGTTCAGTGCCATTCAGTGCATTCTGCAAATGTGTAATGACATAGTCATGATAATATGACATAATGCACAGCGGTTGTCCCAATATAATAGATGCCCAAACAATAATATTTCCCATGCGGGGGCCAAAACGACGCTCTACATATCTAGATACAGCTGATAACGGTATTTGACCCATCATGCCAAGAAAAGCCCAAATCTTGTACGTTTGCAACGGCACTGAGACCTATAAAAGAAAATTAATAAATTGAAATGTACACTATAATAAGCTTTCTTATAATGGATCTTACCAAATACTCGTGGAAAAAGGCGCTGAATAGGAACACAATTGTGGATGCTTGGCGGGAAGAATAACCCATTTGTACAACGGGTATATACAGATGACGTACACACCACCTATGCACCGGCATATTCCAGGTGCGCCAAAAAGTATCAATATTGTTCGCATTCCACCAATCACAGTAAAAGTTTCGATCTGCGAAATTTAGCACTTCGCCAATGGCATTAAGAAAAGAGTGGAACAACAGGTAGAAGAAGATTAGCCAGACTAAATGATTGGGAAGCTGTAAGAAATATATAAAATAAGTGGGATAGAATAACGGTTAAGAGACACTCCATACTCACCGCAAGTTTCAACAGACGTTCTGTGGCTAGTGCCATATCCATGTTGGAGAATGGTATCAAGGAGTTGCGCACCGAGGGTATAATCCATTGTTGAAACAGAGCCATCAAAACATTTACACCAATCAACACTTCCAGCAAACGTTTTAGCAAAAAACGTTTGCGGACGCGCGAAGTGCGTGGAAAATTCAATTCATAGCAAAGCGTGGGTGCGCACAAGAAGTACATAATGTCTTTATAACATAAGTTTTCGGGATATTGTACTAACTTAGTGACATCTTCATCATCCTCGCCACCAGTTGAATGTTTTCTCTCTAAAATTAAACAATCAGAATATTGATTGTTAAATTAAAAGAAATACCTACTCAGCTCTGCTACCGTAATACTTGGTCTTCTTTCACGTGGCTGCCTTTGGTAATAGGTTTTCCGACACCACATGTTGGTCTGCACGTAACTCCACAGCTTAAGGAACAGTACGGAATAGTAGAAACAGACAGTCGTTGCACCCACTATAATAGTAAAAATAATTAAAAATATATACAAAATACTTATCTTACATTTCCTATCATACTTACTTATGCTAAAGGCAGATCCTTTGAGATGAATTATGACTACAGGCAAACAAACCGAAACAATTATGTTTGCTATCTGAATAATCATACCAAGGCCTTCGGATATTATTTCCTGCAAGAATTGAAAAACATTGACAGTTATTAATCGATAGTCATTAATAAACATATTTTTATCAAAATTTCGATGTATCGCTATTGGTCGTGACGATAGTCTTACTTATCGTTCATCGCTAAAACTCTCCATCGCCAACATATTCGCATTCGTCATTCCACCGTTTCGCACGACGCTTGTTCGCTACCGCTTTATGTGCGCAATTTCGACATATGTTGTAAAATAGTGTTTAACAGGACTAATAAAAAACGCAATAGCCAACGTGATATATAAATATAATTAAATAAAAATAACTCATCAACAAAATGGAAGTCACCGACGCCAATTTGCAATTGCTTGCCGGTTATTTGCAACAGACGCTTAGCGCGGATCCAAATGTCCGCAGACCTGGTTAGTATGAGAGAGCATGCGTATGTGTGTCTGTGTGCGAGCTTAAGAGAGAGGGAGAGAGAGAGAACAACGTTGTATCAGTGCGCGCGCGGGAAAACGGCGGCGCCTTAGCGGTTTATAAAATCAACTGCGAAAAATGAGATTGTTGATCAAATAACTCTTTGTCTTTTCTACTGCTCTTTTTCTCTCTTACTGACGTACATTGTTCTTGTATAAGTCTGAATTAAAACATGTTTTTGTTTCTTCAAACAGCCGAAAAGTTGCTGGAGTCAACGGAGTTGCAACAGAATTATCCGGTGCTGCTGCTTAACCTGATCGACAAGGCCACCATGGACATGACCATACGAGTGGCGGGCGCCATTGCATTTAAGAACTATATAAAACGCAACTGGGCCGCGCACGAGGACAGCGACGAGCCCGATCGCATACACGCGACCGATCGCAATACGATCAAAACTCTGATTGTCACATTGATGTTGCATTCGCCGACAGCGCTGCAGAAGCAGCTGAGCGATGCGGTGAGCATCATAGGTAAACATGACTTTCCTAAGAAATGGCCGCAGCTGATCGACGAAATGGTGGAGAAATTCGCCTCTGGCGATTTCAATGTAATCAACGGCATATTGCAAACGGCACATTCGCTATTCAAGCGCTATCGCTACGAATTTAAATCGCAAACATTGTGGGAGGAGATCAAATTTGTGCTAGACCGAATGGCCAAGCCATTGACGGAGTTGCTGCAGGCTACAATGCAGCTTAGCACTGTGCACGAAGGCAATGCTGAGGCCTTAAAGGTCATCTACAGCTCTCTAGTGCTGGTCAACAAGGTGTTCTTCTCGCTCAACTCACAGGATCTGCCCGAGTTCTTCGAGGACAACATGAACACCTGGATGGGCGCATTCCTCCAACAACTGGCAGTCGATGTCGCCATTTTGCGCACCGATGATGACGAGGATGCCGGCGTATTGGAGCATTTGCGCTCCCAGGTCTGTGAGAACATCTGCCTGTATGCGCGGAAATACGATGAAGAGTTCAAGCCATACATGGAGCAGTTTGTGACTGCCGTCTGGGAATTGCTAGTGAAGACCAGCCTGCACACAAAATATGATGCCGTAAGTAAATTTTATATTTACTTCTGATTTCGTACTTATATCAGAAATCTTTTAGCTCGTCTCAAATGCCCTGCAATTTCTTTCGGTGGTCGCTGAGCGCAAGCATTATCATGGCATCTTTGAGAATCCAGAGATATTGGCGCGCATCTGTGAGAAAGTTGTTATACCCAATTTGGACATACGTCCTTCCGACGAAGAGCTGTTCGAGGACAGTCCAGATGAGTATATACGTCGTGATATTGAGGGCTCTGATATTGATACTCGAAGGCGCGCCGCCTGTGATTTGGTCAAGACGCTTTCCATCAATTTTGAACAAAAGATCTTTGGCATATTTGGGCAATACCTACAAATCTTGCTGGGCAAGTACAAAGAAGATCCAGTTGCGAATTGGCGTGCGAAAGATACGGCCATCTATTTGGTCACCTCCTGGGCATCACGTGGTGGCACCCAAAAGCATGGCATTACGCAAAGCTCCGAACTGGTGCCATTGCCACAATTCTGCGCTGAGCACATTGTGCCCGAGCTGGAGCGACCCAATGGTAATGAAACTATAGATATATATCATAGTTGACTTGACACTCAACACTTTTCTCTATTTGTACCACACAGTAAATGAACTGCCTGTGCTTAAAGCAGCTGCCATTAAATATGTGATGGTCTTCCGCAGTTTGTTGGGACCACAAACTTTGGCTGGCTGTTTGCCACACCTCATTCGCCATCTGCCCGCCGAGAGTATAGTGGTGCACAGCTATGCAGCTTGCTCGCTGGAGAAGATATTAACCATGCGTGATGCGAGCAACACACTATTGTTTGGCCCTCAGGTAATTGGTCCACACTCGAATCAGCTTGTCAGCGGATTGTTTGCGACGCTTTCGCTGACTGGATCAGCGGAGAACGAGTATGTGATGAAAGGTGAGTTGAAGGTCACACTTAATATATGTATATATATATATTCATTAAATTGTTCATTTCTATTGCTTAGCCATCATGCGCAGCTTCCATGTGCTACAGGCAGGCGCTATGCCATATATGGCCGTTGCTTTGCCACGCCTCACCGAAATTCTGACATTTGTCGCCAAGAATCCCTCTCGCCCGCTGTTCAATCACTATCTCTTTGAGACATTGGCCCTATCGATTAAGTATGTTATTTTGAGGAACTGCAGGTGCAAATAATTGATAATCTTCTCTCTAGAATTGTTTGCCAGGCGGATGCGTCTGCGGTTAGCTCGTTTGAGGAAGCGCTATTTCCCGTTTTCCAGGGCATCTTGCAACAGGACATCACCGAGTTTATGCCCTATGTTTTTCAAATGTTATCTGTTTTGATGGAAGTTCGCGAGGGAAGTGGACCCATACCAGAACCATATTGGGCACTCTTCCCTTGCCTATTGGCACCGCCTCTATGGGATCGCCGTGGCAATGTGACGCCATTGATTCGCCTGCTCTCGATCTTCATTAAACAAGGCTCTACACATATCCAGGCGCTCGGCAAATTGGTAAACAGAGTTACCAAAACACAATGAACTGTCGTATTAAATAATCTTCATATTTCAGAATGGCATTTTGGGCATATTCCAAAAAATGATCGCATCCAAGGCAAATGATCATGAAGGCTTTTATCTACTTCAGAATTTGTTGTTCTATTATAATGCCGCTGAGTTGCAGACGAGCATGCGTCAAATATTTGGCTTGCTCTTTCAACGACTGTCACTCTCAAAGACCGCCAAGTATCTGAATGGCATCATTGTGTTCTTCAGCTTCTATGTGGTCAAAATCGGTGGCAGCTCGTTGGTGCAGCTCATCGAAGAGATACAGCCAGGCATGTTTGGCATGCTGCTGGAGCGCGTTTTCATCACGGACATGGCAAAGGTCAGCAAAGAGCTAGATCGCAAAATGGTCGCTGTGGGCGTCAGCAAACTGCTCACCGAATGCTCCGAACTGTACTCTGGACAATATAAAGCCTACTGGCCACGCCTACTGCACTCTCTAATCGATTTGTTCGAGCGCCCGCCCGAGAAGCTGCCCTACTTGGACGGAATTGAGGGTGGCGCAGACGCCGATGTTGTGGTAGATGCTGAGCCTGGCTACCAGGCAGCCTTCTCCCAGCTGACATTTGCGCAGCCCAAGCAGCTGGATCACCTGGCCGAAGTGACTGATGGTCGCCAATACTTGGCTAGAGCGTTGTCAAACTTATCGCAGAGTGTGTCCCCAGTAGAGGTGACCAATTTATTGACACCTCTGGAGTCGGACTATAAGCAAATGTTGATGAAATATTGCGACCGAGCGGGCGTACGCATTGCCTAAATCTATGTGCAACAACAATACCCAACAGCTGCTCTCACACATTTACCAACAAACACACACTCAATGCATGAATTATTAATTGTCATACAATATTTGTTTATAAGTGTAATAATATAATCAATATAAAGTTATGTTTGAAACAAGGTACAATGTGGAATTGGATTGATTAAGAACAGGAGAAGGATACCAACTATATATGAATTGAAAATGTCAAAAAAATATAGAACAATTCTGAATATAAGCATTTTTCAACTATCGCTCAGTTTCAAACAGATGCTACAGCAGATCATGTGTGCTTAGCGCCCTCTGCTGTAAGCATATTAAACTAAAGCCAAAAAAAAAATCTAATTGGAATTGTTTTTCAGCTGTGCCATGTAGCAGCTGTTTAAAACTAATTCTCCTTTCGACCTTAAATTTAAATTGGAAATTCAAGTTTTTAACAGCAGCCTTTAAAACTAAATTCGCCGGAGTAACATGTGGAGGCTAATGAATAATTTCGATCATCGATTGTACAAACTGAGCCGCCAAAAACTACAGAGTGAGTAAAGGTTGTACTTACCAGAGCCAAACCCTTTTCGACAGCCAGACACAGAGATATGTGCACAAAAGAGTCTGCAAGGAAAAGTCGACAATAATTAATGCTCAGCTAGAACATGGTCCAGCAGAGAGCATACTTACACATGATTAGGAATAGAGCATTGTGACCTTCGCCCTGATCGCGGCCGCTTACAAAGAAATACCAGTCAATGGGGTTGATGCGTATGCCGTATCTGTAAGGGGTGTTCGTAGTCTATAGGATTCTCTCTCTCTATATACTCACTTGATAAGGTTCTCTAGGCCCAGACGTAGGCCGCCAATACAGAGCAGCAGAAAGCCCCAGTTGACCAGGCCCGTAAAGTTGGTAAAGCCTGAGCTCCAGGAGAACAGCGAATCGCGGGGTCGGTGTATGCTATTAAAATTGATCGTTAGACAGTTACCCCTTAAGCAGTTGACTTCTGTCTTCACTCACGATCTGTCGGGCTGGGCCTTGCGCTGTTTGGCCTCCTTGTTGGAGATTTCCTCAGCCCGTGTCACGCTCTGAGTGCGTCGATAGCGCAGCTTCTTCTCACTCGTTCCATTGCCGTTCTCGTCCTTGTCCAGCACCTTGCGGTACTGACGCAGATCAATGGGATTGCCATGCTGGTCGAACAGGTGCTGCGTCGAGTTTCGATTGCGCAGATTATTCAAATTGTGTTCGGTGACAGAGGCCGAACGTCGTAGACGCTTCATCAGCCCACCTGCGGCGCCATTCTTCTGACTCGGCTGCGTCGCTGTCTTGGGCACCTGATCCTTGGGATCTTTGGTCGCTGTCATGGCTCGCTCGTTGTCAATAGCTGCACGGCTGTGCTTGTTAAAGAGAAACATCGATTAGATTTCAATATTTTTTAGTATTATTATTTATTTTTACATTCTTCGAATCTTATCGTTCGCATTCTTTCTAAGCGCTAAAAATTTTGCAATTGATAAGAAAAACTTTTTTTTTGCTATTAGCGCTTTATCAACGAGGCTCTTGAGCTTAGCCAGAAGATCGCAGCGATCGCAACAGTTGAAAATTATTGTCTAAAATTAAACTCTCACAAATGTTAATAAGTATCATAAAACCGCAACTGGTTTGCAACAATTTGCGGCTAAAGTTCATGCACTTCAATAGGAAGAGCGAGAGGGAGTGAGGCAGAGAGAGAGAAACAGAGAGGCTATAGTAAATTGATATTTACCTATCCACTATGTATGCATATATATAATAGAGAAACATATTAACACATCTGTGTAACTGGAAGCTGTTAGCTGGCTTCGAAACTTGAACTGTGATAAGCAGTTGCATGTGCTAGCCTGGCCTAGCCCAGCGCAGCTCAGCTCAGCCCAGGTAACAGGCATTACGCGATCGAGAAGATTAGCAACAGTACGTAGTTTAACACGCGAGGTGATCGCAGAACGTAAATCGCAAGTCGTAAATTTGCATTGCAAATTCTAATTGAGCAATCGACGCTGAATGTCAGCTAAGCTCAATGACATTATCTAAAACTAGCATAGGAACAAAGGATTTTTATAGTAGAACCAAAGCTTACGATAGAAACTACAAAATTATTCCAATTTACTTTGCTAATTGGGAAAATTAACAAGTATCTAATATGAATATAACTTATACTATCAATGCAGTCTTATTAAGAAACGCCACCTATTAGATTTTGCGTCTTATTGGGAAACGATTAGATACTGGTTATAAACAAATCTCTTATCGAAGCTTATTGGGTAAAGACAAGTTCTAGTTAGAGATAAACTGTTTCATGTTTATGCTCGCTCAGAAAGCGAAGATTTGGTTTTGTGAAATATACGTTTTGCTGTTTGTATTGAAATTTGCGTGTGCAAAAAGTTGTTCATAAAAATAGTAGTGTGTATCTAAAATTAGTTGAATGGTAATATATAATATGTATTCCTTTTTATAAAACAATTCAATACTAAGAGCTGCTGTGTACCTTGAACTGAGCCATCGACTTATTTTGCAATATTTTGACTGAGCTGAGATTAGGGATATCTGAGCTTAGGCAGTTTTGAAAATTGAGTTATATACAGATTTATAATTTAGTGAACTTTGTTAATTATCTTAAATGTACATTGCTATGTAGGAATATTAGCTCCACAATCTTAGTTCAGTCTAATCAAATCTTTGTTTTGGAAAAAGTAAAAAAGATTTTTGAAAAATGCCTAATCAGAAATCTAATAAAACAGCAATGCACAATCTAATTAAATTAGTTCAAATCGCTTTAAACACGTCAACTCGAAGCAATTAGGTAAACAAAGAGCAATTTCCAGAGATGTTAATCTGCATTACTAAATGAGTCCAAAAACCAAAACTTTTCTGGGCGGTTTTATTAAATAATGGCAGCACATTCTATATATATATATATATATATATATATATATACGTGCTCAAGACTATTCCAAAATTGCTATACTAGCTATATATATTTATATATAATGTGTATATATAGGGAATTAGTATGTATTTTAGCTTGTGATACGATTCGCATTCGCAATTTGCGTTCACGTAACTTGTTTATTGATATTCTCACAAAACAGAAATATGATTAGGAATTAGTTTAAACAATTACTGCAAATGTACGTATTTAAATATATATTTTGGTTTATTTTTAAAGGAATTTAGCATTGAATCACAGTTCGGTTTGAGGTTATCACAAATAATTTAATAACAAATGTTCGACGTCATTTGTAGAGCTAAAACTCAGAATAAAAGCTATTTAATTAATGAAATTATTGCGACTATATTTAACTTTTATTATACGTAAACACTGCGATAGCTGAGCAAATACGATCTATATCACAGCTTATCGCGGCCTGTAAAAACTTTATGATGTTCTTATTGGAGCAAATCAAACGAAGTGTAACTACGTGCACTGAACTGCTCTTATACGCGTGAGCGCATTATTGAACTGCTCTTATACGAATGCATATTTCATTGCACTACTATACGTATACCATTAAGCTGATCTAATGACATTTCATTGTTATACATGCGTTTACATGCGTATGCCGATTAAATGTTCTTATACGCGGTTCATGCATGAGTGCACAAAGTCGAGTCATCGTGACGCGATTTCGTTAGGCAGCTCTTATGGCTCATCGGCAACGCGGAGCAGAATGAGAATGCGGCATAAAAGCTGCACTCAGCCAACACATGGAATACCAACTTATACAGGAAGAATACGTGTATTTATATACATTTATATATATACACGTATATATATGGGTGTATTTACATGGACAAGGTGTTCGCTGCGGTTTTTCTTTGTAAATTTGTTCATATTTACTTATACTTTAAAGCAGGGCATTGACATTACGATATCTTATACTCTTATAATAAGTCCAATAAGATTGACCAACTCATTTCCAATTGTATGTACATATTACGTAATTGTTGATTGACAACTGATTGAAACGCATTGAGTAAAGCACATTATTTATATATCTTTTCGTGTTTACTTGCAATTAATTGAAGCGCATGGTCAGTCTGCTAATTACCCTCAGAAACCGGTCGCCGAACCGGCAAAATTAGCGAGAACCGAAGCCGACAGCTAAAGTAGGTCAGTAATGCAGGTCAATTTTGTTGCCTAGACGACTAAAGATGCGGCGATAAGCTTCAATTGTTTGGCATGCATTATATAAATTCCAGTAGGAGAAGGTTATCTCAGTTCCAATTAGAACTACTGTGCTGTGCCTGTTACTCAGACGCAATGAGTCAAACATACGTTTTTTACAATGTAAACGGATGCTTAGCCGCGCACAATCAAATTTAACAGCTTATCAGCCGGCAACTGTCTGCTCGCACCGAAATGCTATCAGCGACGTCTGACATATGGCCGATAAGAGCAACCCAGCACTTTTTTACATCAGTGGAATTTGACTTCCAATTGGTTTTCTGCTAAGTTCATAGGAAAAAAAAACAGATTTCTTCATTGCAGTCTGTTTACTGCATGCAATTCTCTCATTCAACTTCTCTCTGTTTCTCGTTCTCTTCTTGTGCTGTTTCTCTGTTTTTGCACGTTGGATCGCTGAACCTGTTTTCTGCTTAGAAGTTTGTTTGGTTAGTTTTTTGTTGTTGTTTGACGAGACGCCAACGACCCAAAATATTTGTTCAATCTGTTTTAAGACGCTAGCAGACAAATCAAGGTTATTTCAAAAGGCACACATACTCATTCACATACATATGCATATACAGGCTGATCAGATATTTTTTGACACCGACAGATTTAGTCACACTTTCAAAGTCCAAGTGTGCGGGTGAGTTGTGCTGCATAGTTGACTGATTTCTTTCTTTTTTTATTTTTATCACTAACTTATCGGCAGCAAGTGCCTGTCTCTGACTCATAAGGGCAGTAACTACACTACACGTGTTTAGTCGAACTTTTTGTTGCTTCAATTTGTAAAACTAATTTCCAATACTGAACAGATAGAGAGAGATTGAGAGAGGGAGAAAAACTGCAACATGTTACAGTTAATTGCTTTGGTCTTTCATTATTTGCTTTCTCACTCACTCCTAAATATGCAAACAAAAGCGAAAGCGAAGCAATGAACAAAATAAAACAGCAACAACGTTACGTTACGTTTTTAGCGGTCAGCTTGGCGCTAGGTAAACAAAAACAAATACAAAAGCACTCGAATTCACCGCTTAAATCAATGCACTCATAAAAATTTAGTTAATCTAATTTGACAGGAATATTCACTATATACAGATTAGCTTAATTTAAACACTTGTCATACAATTTAGCTGTGTGTAGTAGTTGCTGTTATTTGTCACCCACGACGCGCATGGAGCTTCTTTCCGAGAACGTTGGAAGAGGTCTGTTTTACCGTTCCCTTCGAAGTCAAATTCTCAACTGTTGCTTTGAAAATCGAAACAGAAATAAACAAAGCGAAATTGCAGAGCGGCCGACTTCATGCATACAAACGTTTGTCTGTCAGTACAGACAGTGTGCGAGCGAAAGAGAGCACGCAACAATATCCAGTTGATTAAAGCAGTAGTAAAAACTTAAGAGAAGATTTAATGAAAGAGCAAGTAGCGATCTGCATACGGTTAGTGGTGGTAGTCTTTGCTAAGATAGCTTTGGGTTTATTGTATAGGTTGTTGTAGTTGCTAATTGTAGTTGCTAACTGCTTGCTGTTATCTGCAGCATAGTCACGAACCATAATTTTTAAATAAATTATTCTTTATTGTCAATTATTGCACACTTAACAACTAAAAAACAATTTCGGTCATTCAATTTAAATTACAATACGAACAACAAACAGTACATGATATATAAACCTTAAAACTAACCTCAGATCAAACGATCAACTTCTTTAAAGCTTCTTATTATTTACAATTTAAACAATTAGGTGTATGAAAAATTTCTGATAGATTTGGTATAGAGCGCAGTTTTAAGAAAAAAATGCTGAATTGATGTTAATGACGCTGCCCAACATCAACATCATCGGCCTCATCATCATCAGCATCAGCATCGTCAGCTTGGTCAGGTGATAGACCCTCAATCAAATCGTCCAAATCATCGTCTCCATCATCCACATCATCGACGAATTTATCGATGCGTTTGAGTAAATTATGTTCACTATCTGACGTCTCGTCTTCACTCACATCTTCCAGATTGTCCAGTTCGCCATCCTCCAGCAGCTCGCCAGCCTCATCATCGTCATCGGCGTCGTAGTCGTCAGCTTCGTCTTTGGCCTCGGCCTTAATACGCGACTCGGGCAATTGATCATAGTCAAAGATTTGGCGGGTGGCACGCGGTGGCTGTTCAGGTTCCGTGCTGGTCGCGATCTGTGAACCATTTTTGACCTTCTCAGCATCATCATCATCATCATTATCATCATCAGTGTCAGCTGTCTCCAGCAGACTCTCAATGCTGCCTGCCTGGCTGCCTATGCGCGGCTCTGGCAGCTGCGGCTGCAGCTTCGTTTTCATTGTCACCGGCTTCAAGACTGTGCTGCTGCCCACTGTGGGCGTGGCCTGCGAGCTGGTTGAGACTATATCTTGCGCATCGGCAAACATGTTGTCCAGCAAGCTAAGCAGATCATGGACCCCAGCATTTGCTGGGCTGTGGCTGCTTGGCGTAGCTGCCGTTGTGGCGCTTAGACGTGGTCTGGCTGTGGTTGTTGTTGGCGTTGTTGTTGTCGTTGTCGTTGCTCTTGTGGTTGTTGTTGCTGGCGTTGTTGTTGTCGTCGTCGTTGTTGTTGTTGTTGTTGTTGTTGTAAGCGGCATTGTCTTTGTATGCAAATGCTTGACCTGATAGCTCTCGACGGTGCCGCGTTTCTCATTGGGATCCGCAATGCGCACCACCGGCTCGCGCTTCGAGATGACGGGCACAATTTTTGGGCTATGCGGATCCAGTTCGTTCTGTCCATAAGTCTTGACCTTGGAGTGACCTTCGATAATGAGATACATCGGTCCGAGCAGTGGCTTCGGTGGTTGCTTGTAGTGCGAGAAGAGCGCATCGGTGGTTAGCTCCAAGGCAGGCGCCACAGTGGGTCGATGGGCCAGATTGCTCGTCTGCGGTATCATCAGTCGAGAGCTGCTCGTCGTCGCCGTCGTTGCGGCACTCTTATAGATGGGCAGTGCTGTGCTTGTTGTAGTTGTTGGCGTTGCCGTTGGCTGGGCGCTGGACATGAGCATGGGTCGAAAGCCGGAGGTGGCTGTGGGCATGGCCATGGTGGGCGTTATATACAGCTCGGACTGTGCGCTGCTCGCTGTGGCTGTGGCTGTAGCTGTGGCTATGGTGGGCGGGCCTGGCACAAAGGTCACTGGAGCATAGGTGAAGGGCGGCCGAGTGGCGGTGGCCATCGACTGTTGCTGCTGCTGCTGCTGTTGTGGCTTGGTGGTGCCCATTAGATACTTCGTAGCCGGCATTGTGGGCTTCATGCGCTGCTTCATCGTCGGCTTCACCAGCTCCTTCTGCAGCAGCTCGTGCAGCCAGGGCTTACGTATGGGCGCCGCCGCCGCCGTCAGCTTGGCGCCCGTGGAGTGCGGATGAATCGAGTTGGGTGCATAGCTCACGGCTTGTGGCCGCGAGAAGCTGTAGTGCTGCATGGATTCCTGATGATGTGCATCCGCATAGCTCATGCGATGTGGCATCGTCACGCCCATGCTGGACATGCTCGCCATGCTCGACAAGCTGGGCTGCGAGTGTGTGTACCAAGGCGCGGTGGCACTCGAGGGACTGCTGTAGAAGTGCGTGGTGCTGCTGGGGTGTTTGCTGTGGCTGCTGCTGCTGCTGCTGCTGCTGCTTGGCGAGCTGTAGCTCATGTAGGACGAGCTGCTGGGCGAGTTGATAACATTGTGACGGTACTCGACATGACCCATGCCCTTTGTTAGCATGGGCGGCGGCATCAGGTGCGTGTGTGGCATGTGCTGCATTTGCTGCGGCGCATAGTAGCTTCTGCGTATGGGCGCATATTTGGCCTGCCCCAGAGACGGCAGCGGCTTCTGTTGCTGACTCGGCCGTGGGCGTTCGCCGGCCACGCCCAGCAGCAGAATTTCGCTCTTGGTCTTGTTGCGCAAGAGCTCCGCTGGCAGCTTCTGCCTGGCCTCTTGGCCGCTGCTCGCATTGTTCTCTGCCCAGTAGCGCACGCGATCCAAAGCCGGCGGACTGTAGTCGTAGGTGGGATCCTTTTGCAGTGGATCCCCGTGGCCCAGCGGTCGCCATTCGTTGTTGTTGTTGGGGTCCATCCGTGGCGCTGCAATGAATTGAAGAGTTGCATCAATTAAGTTCAACATGTGCAGCTCTAATTGAGCCCACAACCAGCCAGACGGAGCGAGTGGCCCCAACAGCTATGGCAGCCGCCCAATCATAACTCGTTAAAGTGTTAACAAATGTTTTGGCACCGTCAAAGGCGAGGGTACAACGACAAGTAACAGACTTTATAGAAAGCTGAGTATGTAAAGAATCGAGTGAGTTAGCTCTATGAAGAGCTTTGAGCTGATCAGAAATGGCAATCTGCAGAACATATAAACGACAGTGAGCGACTGTCCTTGTGGCTTTATGTCAAATCATTAGTTGATTTAATCGCTGAATATTTCATAGAAATTACTTGGCTTGGCTTAGCTTTGAGTTAGCACAACAAAAAATTGTTAGCTGTACGCTTAGCTACTGCCAAACTGTTTGCTGAAGAATGTAGAAATATGAAAATAAGATCAATGCTATATATTAATATATTCTATCCTTGTGAAGCTATATGATATATGAAAGATTTTGGCGCCTTGATGCAAATGCTGCTAGGTAATTATATATGTTGACAGAATAGTATTAAATATATAACATATATATAACTAGAATATACACTGAATATACAAGTTGCCTATGATTGAAGTTCAGATTATATGTATATATATATATCAAGCTGAACATTCACATAAAAAACTTGGCTTTATTAGCTTTTATAATCTGCAAATAGCTCAAAATCCAAATCATAATATGGACAATGAAAGAGTTATCGAAAAAGTGATAAGCTCATACTGCAGATAAGAGAAAGGAATATATATTTAAGATTCCAAGTAACTAGCTATGGCTTAAGCGGACTACTAAAGCTGCTCAGGCTAATCAAGAATAAACATAAGAACCAAATAGGAATAGAAATAGTTCAGGAATAGCACAAAATATGAATGCAAAATGATGACAAATTGAAGACAGAGCCATGATAAGATTAGGCCTTCATTGTTTATATGAAAACCCAACTCTTGCGGCTACTCTTCTAACTAACCTCGTAAGCCTGTAAATACAATGGAGTTAGTCGCTGTTCATGGGAAGCGAGAGTGAACTCTAGCATTGGCTTCGGGTAATCATGACAGTGTCGGCTAAGACTTGTGTGAGGCCATCCAATAAAGTGGAAGTCGAAGTTCAAGCTGCCGCCTTTAGGCAGTGAGCCATAGCGCGCCCACCTGAATGCCACATGGCACAATCACCTGGAAGATCGTAGCCCGAGCACTGGAGGCCATCAGTCGAGGCAGGCAATCAACACAGCAAACAACGTGGCGTTGCTTGATTGACTGATCAACGGGGCAGCAGCGTCGCTGACTGGCGACTGCAACTGCAACTGCAACTGCCACATCAGACTGCGAGTCTCTCGGCGGTAGCCGCGTATAAGTTATTAGCTAAAACCAGACAAATCGCTTTCCATTTGAATGCGACGTAGATCAACGTGAGGACATGCACTGAAGTAGGAAATGCGCCCGGACTCTAGCATTTTGATCTGCTGGCCATGCGCTGGCAATTTTCGATTTGTTTGGCTCAATTGGTTTTTGTGCGGAGCGCGGGGCAGTGGACGCTTTATAAATTGCCAAAGATTAAATGGCTCTGGGCGGCAACTATAACTGCGCTCTCCATTCACTACAGACTGATATATATATATATGTCTGTGTGTGTGTGTGTGTGTGTGTTCATATATTTGGTATTCCCATTTATCCTTGCATAATTGCCAAGTCCCAAGTCGTTTTCACTTTCATTTGCTGCACCACATTAAAATACCGCGCATGATTGCGTTAAAATTGTTTGGATCTCCTAATGCTGGCCATTAAAATAGCCTGTCCCCCCCCCCTCTCTCTGCCTGTGTGCTCACGCGATGCGACTGATGCAGAGCAAACAGGTGGTCAGGTGGTCAGGTGGACAGGTGATTGCGTCTCGTCTCGTAGTCGATCTTGTGGTCGTGTCAATTATGTCGGCATTTGGCGGTTAAAACAAAATCAAAGTGCAAATCTTTCATATTTGCGGCATTTCATGCGGTTCATTGGCAGTTCGCATCAAGCTAACAAATGCACCCCGCTGTCAGCGGCGCTCCTCTCTCTCTCTCTGCCCTGGCTCTGCACTCACCTGTTGTCGCATTGGGCGTTACAAACGTCAAGACATTCACTTCATCCTGTTGACTGGCAGTCTTTACCGTCTTCGCTGCTGCCGCTGCTGATTGTGGCAAAACCTCAAACACCTCATCAGCTGCACAGGGGGCGTGGCATGCGGCGTATAGGCAGAGCCAGCAACAAAATGTTACCAACCAATTGAGGGTTTTGTGGCGTTCGCTAATCATCATGAAACGGTGCGGGTTATCTGGAAATACAAATGCAAATTACGTTTTTTTTGCTTCTGTTATGCATGCCGGATGATTCAATCGAAAGACTTAGGCAACGAACGCGCCATTTAATTGATATAGTTTTACCCATAATCTGATTGGTATGCGGCATTTTTTGAGACTAAGATACGTTTGCAGAGGCTGCGTCAAAGACTTAGGCAACAAACTTGACAGCTTAGAAATTCTCTAAATTATATAAAATTTTTAAAAGACAATAAGAAGTTAGTAATCAAACAAATGACTTAGGCAACAAACTTGGCACATAATACACTTGCAATTTTAACAGTGAACAAATTTGTATTAACTTAAAATTAGTCATTGTACATCAAGTTTTTTGCTTAAGTCATTTACTCTATTAACAAGATTAGATCAGAAGTTTGGATTTAAAAAAGTTTTTTTTAATGAATAAAATTATTCGTATGCCAAGCGAACGTCCTTCAATAGTTAACATTCTGTTAGCACTGTCTCCAGGATATCTGCTAGTCGATCTCGCTCTTTTTTTAATGAAAACTTAAAATGATCTCAAGTTTTCAAGGCGTGCAGACAACTTTATTAAAAATCATATCGTCCGGCAGATCAGTTTTTTGGGTGGTCCACTTTGAAGCGTAGCAACGACGACGACAGCTGCTCTGCAGATCACAAAAGGCAATGTCTTTGGTGCATGTCCTTAGGGTTTCGTACGTCGCTCAGCGAACGCAACGCTTCACGCAGCGCTGTCATCGGACGTGTTCCCGTTGAAAGTGAAACTTGTGCACAGTTTTTCGATTTTGGAACATAAAAAACGTATATACAAAAATTTGCATTTATTTTGCAGCTCTACTGGTTGTAGTCGCTGCTGCTGTCACCGTTGCTGTTGCGGCTGTTGCACGGCGTCTGCGGCCGCTTGGCGGCAATCGTAAAAATTAACTTGATTACTACACGCATAAATAAAGCCATTAAATGGCAAACATCTCAGCACGGACAGCAATTAAAATCAAATAAAATTCACCGACGGCTTTGCTAAAGAAGCCACCGAAGTTGGCTAATTATTTGCGGCCTCTTTTTGTATTTTTTTTTTGGGCGTGGCCTGCACAGAATTGACGGTAATTACTTTTATTTTAATGCCCCCATCGCAAAATGTGTATGAAAATAAATTGTATATTGCACGGAGCAGTCGCATGTGATGGGAGGCTGTGCGCGGATTTGTTGATGAGAAATGTAGATGAGAGGTTTGTGTATAATGTATGCTATGAACCAATCGAATTCGGTATTCCTCTATCAAAGAAACTAAATCTTGCTTCTATTATACATAGAGAAATATGAACGTCACTTGTGATGACATTAAGCCTGGGTCTTGAGGCTCTCCAGGTCTATGCACTTCAAGCGGCTTCACATTGTGCCTTATGCAGAAGTTTACAAATTATTTGTGACTAAAATGTAGCACAGAAAAAGATGCTGATGCAACTTTGATGTACTTACATCAACTACTCTGATGTCCTTGTTGATTTTGATTTAGTTATAACAACAACTCTGGACTTTGAATTAGACAAGCCAACATAACTTAGTAATTTGATAAAGAAATTTAGCTTTTCAAACGAGATAAATCCATCCTAAATCTATGAAGTTTGGTATTTTAGAATTATAAGCAAAACAAAAAGCATTTCATTGTAGATCAACTGTTGCGAAATTTGATTAAATTTTGTCAACCTGAGTTTTTCCTGATTTTGAAATATAAATTTCGATTATTGCTTTCACGCCTTATTAATATTATCTCTCTCTCTCTCTCTCTCTATATATATATATATATATATATATATATATATATAAATATATACATTTAGCTGCATTTTACCATCAATTTTTACATCACAACTATAATATAAACAATAAAAAATAAACTATTTGAATTGGGCCTAGTTTTGTGCCAATTAAATTACTGTTAATTGCAATTTTCACACTATTGTCGCATCGCGTCGTCTCGCTAACTGCTGCGGTTACGATTTGTTTTGCATAATACATTTAATTATGCATAACTTTTGTGTTATTTAATTGACTTTTATGATGTTTACATGAATGAGCCGCCAGTTCGGTCGTTAAACAAGTTTATCTTAAAAGCCAGCACGAACTGCAGGAAGTGGCTCGAAAGTCTATCCATGCGGCTCGCTCAGCTGTTATTTGTGCAAAAAAATTGTGATCTAACATTATATTTTGCTAGACTCAAGCGGATTATATAAATAAGATGTGTTCTTTTCATTGACTTACTTAACAGGATCTTTCTTTGTTAACATTTATTTTAACAGCTTACTGTTACTTGAGATTTCTGTAGCCCTCCCCTTACGCATAACATAAGATAGAAGAGCTAACAGAATACATTTATGTTACTGAAAGAAATTCTTTTAGCATTATGTTATGCCTTACAGGAGAGCTTATTAACAGCGTAACATTAAAGTACTTAGTTTAAAATAATTTTTAACAGAATTAGTCAAAGAAATTCCTTTAGCATTATGTTATATCTTACATGAATCTTTAATTGCATTAACAGCATAATTCATAAATCGAATTCACTTAACACATCCTTTTAGCCCAAGCTATTTGCTGAATATATAAACATGTATATGTATATATTATATTGGAATGTAACTCAATTACTGAGTTGTATCAATATATTGTTGTATGATATATTGACTACAAAACGTTTCTCTTCACTTTCAAGCCTATTTGCTCTCTCCCTCTCTATTGAAATCTGCCTTTTTCAATCAAAAATTGAGTTACAGTTAACTTTTCACTCTATTGAAAAGCGCAAGTTATTTATATCCTATTTTCGCTGAGTGTAGACCACACTGGAGTGAAATATATTGGCTTATCTATACAATAGATCAACTGGGAGTACGTGACGATGTGTGGGGTATTGCAAGCCAACGGCTTGTGTGAATATCGCCAATATTTTCAATATGTATTCAATGTACTTTCGATACTTCAGACTATCTGCAACGGCATCTGGCTGTGGCCCAACCCAGAGACCTCGCTCGCAAAGTGACGGCTGCTGTTAAGTGAACGCTTAAGCCAATGAGCCGGCTGTAAATGCATGAATAAAGAGCTAACAAACAGACCAATAAATAAACAAACAAGCGCAGCAACAGCAACAGCAACGACAACTAAGTGACAAGCAAAGCCATAGCCAAAAGATTCATTCAAGTGTGCGACACTTTTTATGCGTGACATAAAAAGCGACCACAACAACAACAACAACTGGTCAACAACAAAACCAACAAAAAGAAGAAAACTGGGGATGCTTACCAACATGGCAGCGTATTAGCAAAGACAAATACTAATTGCAGCCAAAGCAGCAGCAACATTTGCAGTAGCAGCAAAACTTGCTGCAGTTACTGCTGTTGCTGTTGTTGTTGTGGTTGTTGTTGCTTTTGCTGCCGGCAGTTAATTTCATTTAAAGAATGTCATCTTCACTTTAAGTGAAAGATAAATACACACACTCACACACACAGATTCACACACACAGCTGGAAAAATCGACAGTTGCAAGTGTTTGGCATTGTCTCCTTTTCCTTCAACTGCAATGCGACCGCTGCGTATGAGTGATGTATGTATTTATTGTTGTTCTTGCAGTTGCTGCTGCTGCTGCTGCTACTGCTGATGAGCAGCGCCTTAATTCTTAGCGCAAATAGCATGGCACATTCGATTTCGCCGAGAGTTGCAGCATCCGCCGCAAAAATTGAGAGTTTGCACAAAGCTAAACAATCGATAGGTAAACAAAGGCAACTGACAATCGATCAATCAAACCAATATTAATAGATAATGGTAATAGAGATGGGTTGATTTTTAGCTTCAAAAACTAATTGAACTAACTAGTTAGCTAAAGAGCCACAAGTTTACAGCATTTGACTGCAATGCTTGTCTTCTAGACCTATGTATGTAAAGCCTAAATAAATTGAAATTGACTTTAGCGCTTATCTTTTGTTTGAATAAATATCTAAGTTCTTCGATACTTTCAATTGAACGAGCGCATGGAAGGAAATTGTGGAAAACCTTTTTTAATTTGATATAACACGTAGTTCCTTAACACAATTATATCAATATTTACGTATTATTATTTAATAGAAAAAATTATTATTATTATTATTAAAATTAAGTATAGTAAATAAATCATGAACAAATCGTCGATTCGATTTACCAATTTAAATGTATCAAAAAGTATATAATTCAAAGTATTTAGTTAGGAGATAATCTATTATCCCCATCAAGTACTCACTAAACAACAAAATATATTCAGATTTTTTAAAAATATTATTTACAAAAAAAGCAGAAATAAGTTAAAAAGAAGTCTATATAAATATAAATTTTCACTTATTAAATTTAAAATACTTTTTAAAATTTCTTATATAAATTTATATTATATATTTCATTTGCTTTATATTAAATTTGATTTGTTTCTTAATTAATTTATTTTTTATATTATTTTTTTTTTAAATCACATATTTTAAGACTCCAAATGCATGAGAGCTATTTAATAAGGCATTGGCTTTGTTTGATCATTGTTTTATATATAGAAACATTTAAATATATATTTATATATTTCTTTTTCTAAAATCTAATCCCGAGTCACTCAACGAAATACCTACCATACAACGAGAGATAAACACGAAGCACACTTCACTTGACTGCAGATAAATGTAGCTGCTCTGTCGCAGTATAATCCTGTTTCTTTTGCTAAAATATTTATCACTTTGCGTTTAGATAATTTGCAGTCATTTCCTTTGCGGCTGCCGTTGCTGCTGCTGCTGCTGCTGCTATTGTCACAAGTCACAAATGAATAATCAGACTTTGGCTTAATCGCTAGCCCATTCCCATTCCCAATTCCGATGGCAATTGCATGGGGCTGGCAAACATTTCATTTCATTTCATTCAGTAAATTTCACTTTTAAGCGACAAAGCTCGACGTGCTGCGAATCACACTTGTTGCTCGCGGACCGAAGACTCTCAAGTCATGCGCACTGCTTCGAGGAGCAGGAAACTTAAAGCTGAAGCTGAGGCTGAAGCTGAGGCTGAATGGTAAAGGCTGCGCGGCTAGCTCGTCGGCGCATCCGTTTCAAAACGCGTCCGTTTGTTAACTGATTTCGCGTTGTGTTGGCCAAAACTCAAATTCGAAAACTGCTCAAGAAGCGTCAGCGTCAGCGTCGGCTTTGACGTCGACAGCGGCGTCGCCGCTGCAGTACATCGAACCAGACAGGCAGCCAGACTGAGACCCCAAGCACCCCGCCCTCTTTCTACTCCCCGCTCTCTCGCGCTCTCTCTGCAAGCCAAGCGGCGTTTACTTTACAATTGCCAGCTGCACTTGTCGCTGCTTGCTGACCAAAGCGAATCAATATAAATGCGTCGCAGTCGCCGTCGGCGTCAACGTCGCTGCTTGCCGGCAACGTCAACGTCGTCACTACACGCCAAAGTTGTCGTCTTTTATTATTTGTTGTTGCTGCCGCTGCTGCTGCTGCTGCTGCTGTCTTTGGCTTTGGCGTTGCTTTTGGCTAGTTGGACTCGCGCCTTCCACAGCTCCTCAGTTCGCCTGCCAACAGACTCACTTTTCACTGCAACATGTTGCTGACTAACTGACTGACTAACTGACTGACGGCCACAGACTGACCACGAAGCTGTCTACGCGGGGATTATCAAACACAACAAACCGGAGACAATGTTTACGCTTAATATGATCTGAACGAAATGTTAATCATGTTTCCTTAGCTAATGCGCCTCGTTACAATATTGAAATATATATTTTTTAATTTAAAAGAACTCGAGGTCCTCAGTTCTCAGCGATCATTATATATGGCATAAATAGACTCGCCTTTAGTTTGCTTCCTTGAGCTAACCTTAGGCAGTTATTCGAGCTTAGCTAAACAATTTTCCATTATAGATCTCATTTTACACTTATTAGATCTGGTAGAACTTTCAGTTGCTTTCACACTATATAAATTAATTTATATAAATTTAATTTATTTTTATTGTAAATTATTTTATGTATTTAAAAATTATTTTATGTCAAAAATCATGTAAATGAGTTGGTTTAAAGGTAGCTGATAAGATAATAGCCAAAAATTATTTGGAAATATATATATTATAATGCCAAAAATATTTGCAATTGGAACTGTTTTTTTAGAGCATACTCCAAAATAGCTTAAATATTCTGAACACACTTATGCTTATAGCTAAATAAGGTTAACTTATTATATTATTAGAAATGCATTGCTCTTAGAATTAGAAATTCTAGACACGTTTCGGCTTACAGTTATTTGGCACAAGCAACAAAAAGCATTTCACCCAAAATAAATCAACAATTGTAGCTACAAGTCTAGCTTTCAAAAATATGCAAAAGAATTTGAAAAAATGTTCACATACATATATATATATATATATATATATATATATATATATATATATATATATATATATATATATATATAATAATATTTAAGCTTGAGCTTATTCAACTTGCCAAGAAGCTGCTGCTGCTGCTGCCGCTGTCACTGCTGCTGCTGCTACTTGGGCGGTCAATGTCTGATCCAACTTTCGCTTTTGTTGCATGGACAAGTACAATTGGCATGTTTTGTGTGTGTTGCATAAAAAGCAATCTTTGGCATTTGACTGAATCAACATTTCTTTGGTGCTGAAATTGAAAAATATGTTAAAAGCTTAAGGCAAATAGCCGCAATAACAACGTCGGCAAACTGTGACAGTCCAGTCATGCTGGGCTCCGACTATTGTCGATTCGCTGTTGCTGCTGCTGCTGCTGCTGCTGTTTGGGCGTGTGCGTCTTTGGCGTCGCGCGACTTGAGACATGCATAAAACTTGTAAAGCTATTAAAAGCGCTTACTGTGACAACAACAACAATTGCTCACGCGGATAAAGAGACAATCATTCAATATTGTTGCTCGTTTCGAAGCCGGCTCATTAGCTTGATGTGTTAATTAAAGCGAAATGTTGCAGAAATTTTTGTCAAAAAATTGCAAGAAAAAATACAAAAGACTTAGGCAACGAACTTGACGTTGCATGACTTTCACAAAAGAATGCAGAGTGCGCGTTTTGTTGGCGTAAATATGAAATTGTTTGTCAGACACGCCCACTTATATACTCACACACACATGCCTACACCCACTTATACACATGCCTACACCCTCTACTTAACTCCACGCTGCTCCGCGTCAAAGCGCTTTGTCGGCTTTGCTTTGTATGAGCAATGGAGGCAAGCAGCCAAAGTTGGTCAATTGGTTAGCTTTGCTGCAGCCTCCTGCTGCCCTCCCCCCTCTAATTAGCGCGGCGTTGCGTGTTGCATGTTGAACGTCCTGCGCCGCGTATATAAATTGTATCAATAAATTTATTGATTTCAACTGTTGCTGCTGACTTGTTAAATATTTTGCGCAACGATTTATGTTGCCAGCATGCAAATTTGTTTTTCCTTTCAGTTGTTGCTGTGCGGCTTTAATGAACATGTCGCCGCATGGAAAGAGTCATCAGAGAGACGCACACGCACAGGCAGACGTAGAGGTAGAGGTAGAGGCAGCAGCAGCTCGACAGCAGTGTTGTGAAATTAGGCAACCTTTCACTAGCCATAATAATTTCACCCACAACAACTTCCGCTACCTTTGCGTAGAACACTTTCATTTGTCTTGACTTGCATTTGGGTTAGGGCAGTTTCGATTTGCCGCTGTTGCTGCCGCTGCCGCTGCCGGCACCTGCCGTGCATGTTAAGGCTGGCGAAAACCGATCCACAATAAACCAAGTGAAATGTTGTTGTCGCCCGGTGCATAGCTAATTAGATAAACAAATTTTGCGTTTCATGCGCTTTTTGCTTTTGGCCTACGGCGCGCCGTCAGAGCTCCTCGCACTTCGGCTACATTGTTGCACGCATTCGAAATTCGAATTATTGAAAAGTGAAAAACAAAAACAAACATCAGCTGCATACGTAGCGTACGGTTTCTAAAAGAAAGTGAAAATCCAGCGCTGACAGAACGCAGTGTAAGCGTTAAGCGTAAAGTGCGCCGCCTAATGGCCGTTCAACGTGCAGCGCCTTAGTTGGCCAGGACCAGCCACAGCTGCCACTCAACCGAGCTGAGCTCGTGTCGTGTCACGTCACGTGTCAAGCTCTCTAAGCAATTGCTGCGTAAATTAAGTCTATAATCTAGCTTAAAGCTCATTAAAGCTGCTTGCTGACTTGCCTTGAAAGAGCCTTACATAAAAGTGCATGTTGAAAGCTTGTAAAAGCACATGCTGGAAAAAATAAATTGAAAGCTTTAATCAGCTTAGACTTTTATAAACAGTAAAAGCTGTTGCTGAACTCTTTTTATTTATTTCATTATAATTATATTAGTCATTAAACAAAAACTCCAATCCAATTCTTATGGGATTAGGCGCACGCTAGGCGTGCTTACCTGCTCATCTCTGGCGGCCAAGAGCCACTGATCCACAGGCAGCCAGGCTGGCGAAGTCATTCACAACTTTTGATGCTAAACAAATATGACTAATTATGGAGGAACTGAGACTGGCGCGCACTAAACAGTGCCACATAATGCGATCGTCGTCTTCGTTTCGACATAGATGGGCTGGTCGCCTTCGTCTGTCTGTCTGCCACTCCCCGACGGCGGCTTCGACTAGTAACCTGTTGGGGATAGATAGACAACAAACAGCAACACCCGCAATTTCGCCAATTCGTGGAAAAGCAAAGAAAAAAACGTAGAGATAAAAATAAAATAAACCATGCAATGGCGATTTGTATGAATGAAATGCGTTTTACGCGACTCGCTCCGCGGTCCGACGTAGTTTATGCTATAGATGGCAATTGCTCGGCTAATCTGAACGCCTTTCCACACTTTACTCCACTTTGTTCACAGGTTTGGCCAGACGTCGCATGCCCCATATGAGGACATCCGTCGTGCGTAGGCAAAGCACACAGCAGGGCGAATCTACATGGATCTCAGGCGAAAATGAAAAGCCGCAACGGCAACTGCGCTGGGGCATTGCGCCCATCAACATCTTGGCTGAAGATTTTGTTACCGCAACAACCACGTTGCCACCGGAGAAGCACCGCATCACTGCCTGCATGGGCACCTATCGATCTCAAGCACTCGAATTTGCCGATCGCTACAAAGTACCTAATGTCTTTACCAGTTTTGAGGATTTGGCGCGCTGCCCAGATGTAGGTAAGTAAGCGGAACTAATTAAATAGAGAGACGGATCGATAGATAGGACAGGCAGACAGAAGGACGAACAGCTGAACAAGCGGAAAGGCGGGCGAAAAGAGACGAACGGACGAATAGATAGAATGACGAATAGATAGAATGACGAACAGATAGAAGGACGAACAGATAGAAGGACGAACAGATAGAAGGACGAACAGATAGAAGGACGAACAGATAGAAGGACGAACAGATAGAAGGACGAACAGATAGAAGGACGAACAGATAGAAGGACGAACAGATAGAAGGACGAACAGATAGAAGGACGAACAGATAGAAGGACGAACAGATAGAAGGACGAACAGATAGAAGGACGAACAGATAGAAGGACGAACAGATAGAAGGACGAACAGATAGAAGGACGAACAGATAGAAGGACGAACAGATAGAAGGACGAACAGATAGAAGGACGAACAGATAGAAGGACGAACAGATAGAAGGACGAACAGATAGAAGGACGAACAGATAGAAGGACGAACAGATAGAAGGACGAACAGATAGAAGGACGAACAGATAGAAGGACGAACAGATAGAAGGACGAACAGATAGAAGGACGAACAGATAGAAGGACGAACAGATAGAAGGACGAACAGATAGAGGGACTAATAGATATGAGGTAGACAGACAGACGGAAGGGATTGTATACAATACAAAAAATATTCAAGAGCAACAGCAGTTATACTTTGACCATGTTGCAGATGCTGTCTATATATCGCCGCTGAATTGCATGCATTGTGAGTTGTGTCACCTGATGCTCAACCATGACAAGCACGTACTATGTGAACAACCACTCTGCATGGCTGAGCAGCAAGTAGTACAGCTTGTGACGAAGGCAAAGGCACGTGGCTTGTTTCTGATGGAGGGGGTCTGGTCGCGTTGCCTGCCCTCCTATGAGTATATGCGGAGCGAGATCGCTAAATCAAAACTGGGAGTTGTCTATGATGTTAGATGTAGATTAGGCTGGGAGCTGCCAAACGCTCAGACCAGCTCATCGGCCTATGCAGGTGTAACAAGAAACTGGGCCGCTGACTGCATACAGCTAGCGTTGTGGATCTATCAAGAGGTGCCGATGTTTGTGAGGGTTGACGGCAAGCTCAATGACGCGGGCGTTGATATAATAGCCGAAATAGAGCTGTCCTTTAGAAACAATCGTCGTGCTGTGCTGGAGCTGAGCGCGGAGAAGAATCTTGCGAACATGGCCACTATACGCGGTACCAAGGACTGCATCATAGTAAGTTCTTACACTTCGATAAAATCAAATCGCAAAATTTTAATCCAAATCAATACAGATGAACAACTTCTGGTCTCCCACGTTATTGTTTTTCAATAATAGAGAAGTCGAGTTCAAGTTGCCGACGACTGAGTGTAAAACCTATTTCGACAGTCGCGTTGGCATGTGTTACGAAATTGAGGAGGCCCGTAAGTGCATACTCAATGGACGCACCGAGAGCAAGCTGTTCAATCATAGCGAGAGTCAATTGATGGTCAATTTGATTGATCAAATAACGGACATGATGGCAGTTAAAGATAAACATGTAAAGGTACAACGTGTGGCCGCTATTCAGTAATATAATGGTTGGTTGTGTAAAAATCTATAACTTAAGAACTTTGTCTTATTTTAACATTTTTTGATAAATAAAAAATGTTTTCATTAAAATATTGCTAGTGCTGCAATGTTAGCCAAGACACACACCCAAATGTAAAACGCTTCAAAGCTTAGCGTAGACAGCAATCTAAACAAATTTTCAGGTTTTACAACACTTCAAGGCTAGTACAGTGATCATGTCGAAAATACAAGTTTATTCGTTTATTTTGCCGAGCTTCGGGAATCTTCTATTGCGATGTTTCTCGAATTTGTTGTGAAGCACATTGAACTTTTGGTTCGGCGTAGTTCGAGAAAGCCCGATGTGTTGAATGACTAATGTCTTCCAGCTGATAGTGGTAAGCAAAGCTTATCACCGGCATGTCTGATACGCAAGCAAATGCATTTATATAAACAAATGGTCTAATCAACCTAAAAGCTTCTTTTCTAAACATAAACCTCTTAGGTATTAGGGGAAACTAGGTCGACGGACAGGAGGGTGGCAACTGACGTCGGGACAGGCCTTCGTTCTTAAGCTATGTATGTGTATTTTTATGTATGTATGTATTTATCTGTATACACACATGCATACGCATAATGTACTAACGTGCTCCCATACACGTTAGCTCTTTGTTGTTTGAGGACAAGTATTCATTTTCTTTTCGTATATATTGACATTCTATTTGTAACGGAAAATTTGTGGCAATGAGCTGGCCAGTGACTCGAATATGCAACATGTGTTACCTGATGACGATGATTATGCAACATAAGACATACTTGCATACATATGTAAGTGCATTTATGCACTCTCCCAGCCAATGACGTGGCTTCATAAGAACAATTGCATACATTGGCATTTAAATTTATACATACAGACATACATATATTGGAAAACGTGTCTATTATGAAAGACTTTTAATTTAAATAGCCGAAGCGAAAAATATGTTTGACGTTGTCATTGCGTTTCTGTTTTTTTTTTGTTTTTTGTTTACCGCGCATTTTGTAAACACAACAAAAATTAAATTGCGCAGCAATAATTGTGAAAAGCTTGACATTCTCTCTCTCAAGAACTTTTCGTGCACACATTATACGTACGAAAGAGAGGCAGAGAGCAGAATAATAAACAACGACCCAATGGCAAATCGCATCGAAACTTCTAGACTTTAAATAAAACTAAAATAATACGTGGCGAAACATTTTTTATCTTAGTAGGCACTCTGTGCACCAGCTTACTTTTGAAGACACTATTTGGAAATGTACTCAGATTTGGCCAAATATACAAACTATAAACAGTTAATTTGGAGCTAAAAGTCAGAAAAAAATTCGACCCAAATTGGAAAAACTGTTTTTTTAATTTAAATTATTACAGATAAAGAATTAAAAATACAAAACAGGTAAGTGCCAAAACGTAAAAGCATGTAGAGAAAATACAAATTTTAATTAGATAAATTGTCTACAGGGCACACGTTTGTGAGAGAATTGACGAGCGAGAGAGGGCACGTCATTAAGCCCCGTGAGCGGTGCGAGAAAAAGCTCGGATTGGGTATAAAAGCAGGTGGCTGTATGCGAAAAAAGTTCAATATCTATTCGTACTTTGCTGTGACAACGTCGAAGACCATTGGAAATAACGCATATACCAAAATAAAAACTTTCATCCAGAAAGAAAAATCAAATTAAAGGCCATACCTACAATAATAAACAAGATCTCAACTAAATATATAAGAAAAATAATCAACATGTCTGAGGCACACTTCGATGAATATGAGCACTACAACTTTGACCATGGCAAACACATCTTTTCCGGCCACAGCGGCAAGCAACGCTCAAAGAAAGAGGCCAGTGAGCACACCAACCACTTTGACCCGTCCGGCCACTCGAGGAAGATTTTAACCAAACTCATGAACACGAACAACAACAAAAAGATGGTGAAAAACTGATATATCAGGCATACCAACAAAGAGACACTTACACATCGAAAGACTTGAGTGTGAAAAAAGAAAGAACAAAAATAACTGAATTGAAATTGCGAATTAAAAGAAACGAAAAGAGCATAGGAAGATATTTAAAAGCAACTCAAAAGCAACCCAAAAGGAAAGGGAGGAAGAATATTGAAGCTGCTTCGGCGGCAGCTGGCACTGTCGGCTGGCGCTGGAAAAAACACTGGAATTACGTATTGAATATAGTTCTAGTTTTGTAAACTTAATACATATACATACGGACTTATAATTTAGTCTTAAGCTTAGTGCGTTTCAAATTATGAAGTTTGCTTTAGGTATAACTTATAAAATAAATATAAAAACTAATATACTGATTTTATTGTCTATTGCATTGGAAGTGGAACTCGAATGCGCAACACACACACAGTCAGTAAAAGCTTTGTTCGCATATGGCTGTCTTACATCCGACTGCATCTCCCTCCCGCACTGAGCGAGTGTGTGTATGTATTTATAGCCTTTTAGTTGAACTCATTTGCACCCAGCTCAGCACCTCGCGATCGTCGGCATATACATTTATATATATATATATATTTATATATATATTGCTTTGTTTTTGTAATCATATAGAGACGGAAATAATGCTATGACCTTAACTACTTATAAACGTAATAACTAATGCTTATTTCAGTAAGTGTGATAAGTAAGCAAATATAAGTATATAGTATATTTATTATGCTACGCCCTTTATGTAAAAGCCTACTTATATTGTCCCTGTGTTATTCAAATAAGAGTACCTGTTAACTCTAATATGAATCGAGTTATCGTTATACCATATTCTGTTTAGTGGTGAGTATTTTAAGAGTGTCATAGCAGAGACCTTTCAGTGCACGCTTCTCCCAACTGTCACATGTGCATAACAGTCGTTCAACAGCGCAACAGTTCCGCAGCTGTTCGGTAATTCGGTGTGTTCTATTTTCTAAGCAGGCTAGTTGTATTCCATAATATTAATTTTTATTTACTTTTCACTAAAAAGCATTCAAGCAACAGTTCATATTTGCAAAATTCATTGCAGTGTTAAATTACAAGACAAACGTGAGTAACCAAAGGTCGCCTGCCTCTCACACTCCAAACCATGTGTTAAAAATCAATAAGGGGAAGGGCATAGCTAAAGCTGACGATTGAGGCCCCCCGCCCGGTACACTTAGCGAATCGCCGCTATTTGCGCTCTGAACTCTGTGCGTATGATAAGACGACCGGGCAGTGACTATTACACAATGTTTTTGTCTACTTACAGTTTCTACAAGCTGCACACACATTTAGGAAGGCCCACAAATGGCAACGTTCCTTAACATTCACTCGGTCAAACTAAACAAATGGCAGGTTGCCCTTCTTTTGGGCACGCCCCTGGCCATCGGCCTGGGCATGTATGTGCTGAATCGCAGTTCTCGCGATGGCGCCAAAAGCGGTAGCACGCAAGGCAAATCAAGTGAGGGCGGTCAGTCGCGACAAAAGAGCAAAATTGAAAAGCAAGCCCTCTCCATTGATGGCACCGCCTCAGATTCAGAGCTGGAAAGAAAGCAGAAATCGGCAGAGCTGGGTGAAAAGTTATCACCGTTGAAGGAAGCCAACAACTACAAGATGGAGGGCAATAATTGCTATCGGAATGCCAAATTCGATGAGGCAATCAGCTTTTACGACAAGGCTATAGACAAGTGTCCCCCCGAGCATCGCACGGATATGGCAATTTTTTATCAAAATCGCGCGGCGGCTTACGAAATGCTTAAGAAGTGGAACAAGGTGAAGGAGGACTGCGGTCTTTCGCTGGAATACAATCCCCGATATGCGAAGGCCTATTATAGGCGGGCGCGTGCCCATGAGGCCACCAAAGATATGATTGAGTGCCTGGACGATGTCACCGCCACCTGTATATTGGAAATGTTTCAGAACAACAATACCATTATGTTCGCCGATCGAGTGCTGAAGGAGACGGGCCGCCTGGACGCCGAACGGGGTCTGCGGGATCGTGTGCCTGTGGTGCCCTCGACGAGCTTCATCAACACCTACATGCGTTCCTTTATAGCCGATCCTCTGCAAACGATGACCGTGCCCCCAGCGGTGGACGATGCGCCGCCGCGCGGTTTTGTCCGCGCCCGACGCGCGTTCGATGAACAGAAATATGATGAAATCATTGCGGCATGTACAGAAGAAATTGAATCTTCAGAAGCGGAATCACAATACAAGGTGGAGGCGCTCCTAATGCGCGGCACATTCCATTTGCTGTGCGGCTCCTTCGCCGACAGCAAGCTCGATTTTGATGCCATACTGGCGAATGGTAACTGAATCCCTAGCGATTGATATAAATCATGAATGTGTCACTAATGCGAACCCCTTTTTTAGCTGATGCGGATGTCACACTCCGCACCTATGCGTATATAAGACGTGCTGCCTTATTCATTCAGACGGAAGAGCGTGATAGGGGACTGGAGGACTTTGCGGAAGCAGAGAAACTGACGCCCAACAATCCAGATGTATACCATCAGCGTGCGCAGATCCTGTTGCTGCTGGAACAGATCGAAGCAGCGTTAATGGAGTTCGACAAGGCTGTGCAACTGGCACCCAATCATGCAATAGCCAATGTACAGAAATGCTATGCGGAGTATCGACTGTCCCTGTTATCCGTCGATCAGAAGCGCCTGGAGCGCGTCATACAGGACTTCGAGCATGCTATCGAAAAGTTTCCGGACTGTGTCGAGTGCTACAGTTTGATGGCTCAGGTATTGGCCGATCAGCAGCAGTTCCCACAAGCGCAACAATTCTACGACATGGCCATGAAGAGGGCGCCCACAAATCCCGCTTTGCTCGTCCATCAGGCGATAATGATGCTGCAATGGCGCGGCGACATTGAGGCAGCTGTAGCGCTACTAAATCGCGCCATTGAAGTGGATCCCAAATGCGAGTTGGCCTATGAGACGCTTGGCACCGTTGAGGTACAGCGCGCCCAGCTGCGGCGTGCTGTTGATCTGTTTGAGAAGGCGCTGCTCTATGCCAAGAGCCAGGCGGAGCTGGTCCATGTGTACTCGCTGCGTAACGCGGCGCTAGCTCAAATCAATGTCACTCGCAAGCTGGGCATCGACATGAACTCTGTATCAGCGATGGCCCAATCAGGTTTTCTATCACAGGGATCCGCGTAGACGAGGGGCGATTGGTCAGCAAACGTTGCCCCAACATGGCGACATGTAGGCAGCCAAATAAGCGAGCATTTATATGCGTTTCAACTGACGTTGTGTGCAACCTAAGTATATTTACAATGACCTCCCCACTCCCCCCGACGCACGCACACACAACAACACAAACACTAAAAATACAACACACCACAAACACACACACACACACACACTAATCAATGAAATCAAATGATCAGCCGTGTTATATACACAAGACACATAAAAAGATATGGAAAATCTTATTTTAGTTATTGTGCTCCTCTAGTTTTAGCAATGAAAGTCGTATATAATGAAACTTATAACAGAACTGCTAAGTATCTTTCAATGTATTGCTGTATATGTACATATATATAACTTTCTATATATATATATATATATTTATATATAGTATTGCCTAAGCGAAAGCTCTATGATATAGTTAAATATGTTAGCCTAGCTACAATACAATTATAAACATTTCTAATTGAAAAACGTTTGTGCTCAGGACCGATTCGCCGTTGAGTCCAAATGATTGTAGGACTGTACGTCGCCCGATATGTAACCAGCACAGATTAGCCACAGGGCTGCGCGAATGCTGCCAATGATGGCATAGTTTTCCTCCAGTTTCTCCAGCATGGGCAACACCAGTCCGGGCAGCGCGCCCAAGCCATTCGTGATGCCCATCAGAGTGCCGGCAAAGTTGGGACTCATGTCCAGCGGCAGCAGCTTGATGCCGGCATAATAGGCGCCAAAGGCCAGTATGCTCCAGGGACGTGCCGAGCTCTCCTTGTCATGGATAAAATACATAGTCACGCTAATGAAGACCAGCCAGGACATTAGACGTCGCGTCTGTGTGCGATTTAAGATGCCCTCGGAAATCAGATAGTCGCTGAACGAGCCGGAGGTTAGGGATGCCAGCCAGCTGTACAGATGTGGCGCTATCAGCTGAATGCTATTCGCCAGTTCGCTCCAATAGGATTTACCATTGGTTTCGATCTCTTGCAGCATCTGCTCCAGTTCCTTGGCGAACTCCTGTTGATTCCAGTCGTGCTGCATGTTGGACGCTATCAGCGCCCAAATGGGCGCATTCATGAGCATGTTGCTCCAGGGCACAACCTCATTGGCATCCTCATCCTCCGTCTCCAGCGTCTCACACACTTGACTCTTAATGTACTCCCGCTCACTGTTCTGTATATACGGCGATTCGTCCGGCTTGCTGTAGCAGATCACAACCTGCATAGATATACATACTCATCAGATCATCTACAGGCAATCGGTGAAGGGTCACTTACAAAGCCCAGGAACCACAGTATCGCTCCACCGCCAACCACATAGAAGGCTACCGCCCAGTCCTTTTCGTCGATCGTAAACCCGCTGACCAGATGCATGAATATGATGCCTATTTCACCAGCGCTCAGCACAGAGCTGCACAGCAGTGCGCGCTCGTTCTCCGGCACCCATTGAGCCAGCATTGCGCTCACAGCCGGAAAGGTGGGTCCCTCGAACAAGCCAATCAGCATGCGGAGCAGCATCACAAACTTGGGTCCTCCACTGCGCACCACGGTGGGCGTCAGCAGCGTTAAAATGCCAGACGATAGTATTGAAGCGCCCAATATCCATTTGCCGCCATAACGCTCCGCTAGACGACCGCCCGGAATGTGGGTGAGCATGTAGCCCGCATAGAAGGACACTGTGATGAGCACCTGTACCTCCTTTGTCCAGATATCGGAACTGTTGGCCAGAGTAATTGGCACCATCTCAAACCTTCTCTGCGGCTGTGGCTGTGGTTGTGGCTGTGGCGGATAATCCATGCCACTCTTCATCCTGGAAAACTTTTTCCTCTTAGGAGTGGCTATTGCCCTACTCGCCCACTGGGCATGCTTCTCAGCAAAGGTATTTATGGCCGATAGGACGCTTCTCGTCGTATATGGATTATTTGTGCGCCAGGAATTCGCCCTCTGCGCATTCTCCCATTGGACGGCCGTCACTTCATTGCAATCCCTGGCTATGCGATTCAGCGAGAAGTCCAGGCACAAGCGCATGCAATAGGCATTCACAATTGCCAACAGGGCGAAGCCGCAGAGCACCAGGCGCTGGCGCACCTGCAGATCTATTACGATTAAACTTTTTATAGCCCCATTCCCGTTCGCTACTCACAATCAAAAAACATTCGTAATTTTGGCTGCATTTGTGACATTTTGTTGAATAAAAAATAACTATTAAAAATTTAATATCAAAATACTAAATTAAAAATCTAAATGTATGTGAAATAAATCACAGCTCAACTATGATTTCAATTGAGCAATGTTTACACAATAATACAGTAATGAATGCCTATGACGTACGGGAAAGGTTCGAGAAAGCGTCAGAACAGAGGCAGAGAAATAATTCAAATATCTTAACTATTTCCTAAATTGGTTTAAAGGTATTTCCAAGTGTAACTAGAAATCGTGGTATAAGGTATATATATTCCTCTATAAGGTATAAATATTCCTGGTCAGAAGGACGAGTCTAGTTGATCTATGCAGCAATCTCGTAAAAACACAGCTGGACACTTGACAATTTAAATGCCTAAGCCATACGAATTGTGGGTTCATAATTGGTTTACTTGATCACTCATCTTTAAAATTCAATTATTATCGATCAAAATCGATAACTGGATTTTAAGCAGACTTTGAATTTTTCGGCTCTTGGATATCTCTCCTCCTTCTAACCTAATTTTGAGATCTAAGTCTTAGATTCTTTATTTAAGACGTAGCAAGCCATGCTTGCAGAATGGCCCTAAGGCATAAACTGAAACAGAGCTCATTCTGCTGCGCTCAACTCTGCCCAGTTCCACCAGCGCTATTGCTGCGAAGGAGCTGATTAAATGCCAGGCTGCCTCCGAATCCAGCGTGGTGTACACAAGGCTCTCTGATGGAACGGCCTAATGTTTCCTCCAGACGTCGCCTCTGCTGCAGAAACCGTCCATTCGAATATTTTGTGTTTGGCATCGCCTAGCAGTCATCACACCAGGAGCACTTGTCAGTGTCGTCGTGGCCAAGCCACTAAATCCATGTCCAGAGAGAGAGAACAAAGTTAATAATCGTCATGCTCATGACTAAAGATTCCAGTTCCGGCAGCTGCGTCACCTTCTATGCCATCATGTGATGCTATTGACTCGGCTTCTGTCGCTGCCTCGCACAGACTCTTGCGTACTCCACTCTGCAGCTACAATGATCAGGACTTCTAGCGGACGAGCGCAGCCTCAATCGTTACTGTCCTAAAAGCGCAGCTGTCTCGCATTGGGCCCAATCGGGCTGTGGCGTGTGTGAGTGAATGGTTCGGGTATATTCTAGTTGGGCGCACCCGACAGTTTTGTTTGTAACTCCACTTAAGCAACAAGTAATTCGAATACACAATTTGTTTAAAAACTAGTTTTTTAATAAGTTTATGCACTTTATTTGAACTAACATAATAAAAACAATTATGTCTTAACGTTGAAGTTAAGAGCACATGTATTACACATTGATCAACAATTAAAAAAGTTCGTACAATAGTTAAACTGAATGTTTTCCTCTTCTTTTTTTACATTTTGCAATGCAATTAGGTACATGTTATCTTATGTTTGTTTCTTTTTGTTGTTTTTCTGCTAAACTAAAGTTGGATTTTTTTTGCTGTTTCGTTTAAATACTAAATAATAATTAAGAGAGTAAATTGCTGCAGGTGCTGGTGGGAGCTGGGCGCGGGGAGGTGGCAGGTGGCAGGTGGCAGGGTTGTTGGAATAGATATCAAAGCCATCTTACGTATAACAGGCATAAGTTAGAAACATAAATGGGACGGGGCGGGGTACTATAACTGCAGCTAAAAGCTTATAATTTACTATATATATATATATACTTAGTTAGACAGCGCACTGGGGGCCGACATTTTGGCATACTATAAAACTAGCAATTGCAATTGATGATCGCAAGATGTACGTTGTACATTAACAATGTCTTGTAAGGGTTCCATAACAACAAAATTCTCGAAATTCAACTGGTGCACAAGGACATCAATGTACTACGTACACAGACAGACGCACAGGTATTGGAACTAGAGCACATTGGCTATGGCACTTTGGGTCTGATTGCTCTAGGAGCTCTGCTCCATGGCCTTCAGTTTGGGCTGCGGCTTGCGTTCTTCGGCCTCGAAGTCGACGCTGCGTGGCTCGATGATTGCATCGTTGAAGGGCTGCACCTCGCCGGACGCCCAAATGCAATAGATGACAGCCGTAACGCAGAGCACGCCGAAGGCCACCCAGAAGACGGTGCGCCATTCGAGCAGCGAGGCGTTCGGCGTCATCACGCCCACCAAATAGGGCGTAACCACGCCCGTTATGGCACCAATGCCATTCGTAATGGCCATCAGAGTGCCAGCATAGTTGGGACTCATGTCCAGCGGACTGAGCTTCATGCCCGCATAGTAGGCGCCCATCAAGCCCATGCAAATTGTGAAGAGCACGACGACAATGACACGATCGCAGCCAGCATACGAGGCGCCCACCATGAAGATGGCCGGACCAAAGGCAGCCAGACCGGTCATCACCTTACGCGTGTTGGTCGTATTCATGATGCCACGACGAATCATCCAGTCGGCCACAAAGCCGCTGCCCACCGACACGATCCACATCATCACATAGGGCAGCGAGGAGTACAGGCCGTTGGCCTTGATCGAGAACTGCAGCACATCGGCCATATACTTGGGCAGATCCGTAACCATGATATAGAAGCCCCAATCGTGGCCGATCTGAGCGCAGACCAGCGCAAACATGGGCAGATTGGTGAGGATGGCCTTCCAGGGTGTTGGGGGCAGACTCTCGTTGCGGCCAATTGTTCCAATCTCCTTGTTCAGATACTCGCGTTCCGAGGGCTTGATGAAGGGATGGCTGCTGGGGTCGCTGAAGCACAGGAAGATCTACAAGCATATATAAAGAACAGTTGCGTTAAGAATACATCAAGTAACGGTTTTAATACTAAACAGTAGCTTTAAAATACTGAATTGTTGTAATAAATACAGAAAATACTAGTAAAATACTAGATTGCCACAGCTTAAAGTTGGAATACTGAAATGTCTCAACTATGCCAAAGTGAGCTAGATAAATATTAAGCTCTTTGAAAACTAAAACTAGAAACTAGATTAAAGTAATAAAAATATGAGATTTGCATATGAATGTATGATATATACTGTCATATGAAGATTATAAGAGTGAACTTGTCAAACAATAGATTGAGCCAAAGCAATACTAGAGTGAAGCAGTTTGTAAAACCAAGTAGCACATAGCAATACCAGATTGAACTAGTATAATACTAAGTTAAACTAGTATGATTTGCAATTTGAATATAAGAAAAATATATTTTATCCCAGATCACAAACAAATTAGAATGAAATTGATCAACTTTGTTCATAGAAGATAAACTAAACTATAAAAATCAAATTGAAATTTATAAAAATATAAATCAAATAAAATATAATATAAAAATACTAGAGTCGATAACTAGATTTGGATTCAAGCAGATTAAACTGGCAAAATTACAGGCTAAATTAAGCATATTATAAGAGAAATGAAATAGAACTCTAATTTTAATAGGTTTTACTAGTATTATCCATAAATAAATGCATTAAAATATAGGAACGAAATCTCACAAAATTTAAATAATAAACATAATACCTAGACAAACTGTTAAAATACTAGTTTAAACTTATAAAATATTATATGAAAAGAAATAAATAAAAGAAAATACCAAATACCAAATACAAGTAAAATATAATTATAATAAAATAATACTAAAATAATACTAATTTGAACTAACGAAAAATACTTTTAGAAAACTTAAAAATAAAATACTAAAAGAAGATGAATTTCTAAAGCTTCAAAGTGAGCTTGATCTCATGTAAAACAAACAATTTATTTGGCTTGAAGCTTTCAGAAGCTTTTGCTCATTCCAAGTATCTTAAAGCTCTATACCAATTGATAATACTTACGAAGATGACAAACCAAATAACGCCCAGACCGCCAAAGAAGTAGAAGACGAATGGCCACTCGTAAGTGTCGAGGAAGACGCCCGATAACAAGTTGCCCATAATAGTGCCAACCTGACCACCGCCCAGCACCAAGGCGCCTAGTTTGCCACGTTCGTTGGCTGGCACCCAGGCAGCGAGCAGGACACTCAACGCTGGGAATGTGGTGCCCTCACCCAGACCCATCAGCACACGCGTCACAATCAGCCAATCCGAGCCGCCATGTTCAATGGCCACCGGGGTGAGCATGGTGAAGACAGCCGTCGAGAGAATGCCCAGGCCGAGAGTCCATTTGCCGCCAAACTTCTCGGCGAGCAGACCACCAGGCACATGGGTGACAATGTAGCCAATGTAGAAGGAGGACAGAATCAAGCCCTGCAACTCCTCGGACCACTCGTATTTCCCGCCATCGGAGGCGGCGCCATTATCCAAGTCGTCGGCTTCACAAATCGCATGACCCCCATCGATCGAATCCGAGTTGTTCTTCTTAATCACGAGCACAGTAATTGCCTGGGAGAGGCAGACGCGCATCGTATAGGCATTCAGGATGGCCAGAAAGCCCATTATGGCCAATATCACACGTTGTGGCAGCACAAAGTCTGTAAACGAGTCAAGCGAGCCAAAATTAGTTAAACAATTATTCATTTGCATCATAATTAAGTACTAAAGTTACGTTGACGTCAATGTCGATTTGTGAATGTCCATCGAGTTGCAGTAAAAAACTTAGCACGCGAATAAAGCGCCAATTTGCTGGGCTGATTTCGAAAGTTATTCAATTAGAGTAGACAAATCAATTTTCAGCTGTTAAATGACAAATTAAATTTGATTGCCAGCTATCAATGGAATAAAGTATATATTCATTCAGTTAGTTAGATGTAATGTGTTCCAGGCACGTCAGCTTAGCCAGTCACAAATGTCCAAGAGCAAAAATAGAATAAAGAAATCCAGTTAGGAGTGCTCGGCTAGCAGATGCCCTGACTACAGCAGTAACTGCAGTAGGATAAAGAATAAAGAAATCCAGTAAGGATTATCCAGTTAGGAAGGAGTGCTCGACTAGCAGATGCCCTGACTACAGCAGTAACTTCAGTAGCATAAGGAATAAAGAAATCCAGTAAAAAGTATCCAGTTAGGTAGGAGTGCTCGACTAGCAGATGCCCTGACTACAGCAGTAACTGCAGTAGCATAAGGAATAAAGAAATCCAGTAAAAAGTATCCAGTTAGGTAGGAGTGCTCGACTAGCAGATGCCCTGACTACAGCAGTAACTGCAGTCTGTGAGTAATTTTAATTGAAGAACGCTTATCGATGGGGTAATATAAACCTGATTATCGCGTGCTTCAGTTGAACGGAACTACATGTGATGCCGAGGTTGAGAGATCGATGATTTCACACATAAACAGTTGGGTTGATGGATAGATGCACGAACGGAATGACAGAGTGAAGGACGTACATTTCGAAGGACGGATAATGGCCAGAAGGGCGCACGGACTGACAGTGGGACAGAAGGGTGAGTGGCCGGAAAAGTAGTAGGACGGACAGACAGAAGGACTCACAGATAGACGAACGGACATACAGCCAGAATGAGGAACGGATAAGCAGAAGGACGGACAGTCACAAGGATGAACAGACAAAAGGACGAAAACTCAAAAGGACGGACAGACAGAAATAAGTACGGACACACAGATACTTCTATCTGGCGGAGCGGCGGGACAGGCAGAATGAGGAACAGACAGACAGAAATGAGTATAGCTGATAAGCAGAAGGTCAGACAGTCAGAAGGGCGGCGAGTCAGAAGAACGGATAGATTGAGTTAAATGGATTCGTCAGTTAGTACAGATCAAGAATGTATAAATTCCATACATACATCTACTTCTACTTGTGCTTCTACCTAGACATCCTAAACAAAATACTAAAAACTTCAGTGTGCAATAAAAATGATAAAAATTATGGAAAACTATGAAACTTTTTAGCTCTTGCATAATCTCATATAAATATTTATGAATTTATAATATAATGGGCTTTTCATTTGAATTATGGCCTCGAGTTTATGGCGCCCTATGATCATAATTTGTTAAGTGAAATTATGTCTTGATAAGCCACAAGCATTTCTGTTATTGTGCACGATAAGTTAACGTGGCTAAATCCGAGGAAGGAATCGTAAAACAGCACAGTTGCTTGGCAATTAACAATTTGTACTCAAGTTGATTTTATTATTCGACTTTTAATTTGAACTTCAAAAAACAATCATACGAACGTAATAAATACCAACAAATTGATATGGCTCGACTCGAAAGATATTTCAATTAGAGAATTTTTCGTTTCTAAATTTTGTTGTTGTTTTTTTTTTTTATTTTCTTTTCAATGTACGAAATGGCAAGGTTAAATCAATGTAAACAAACGCTATTTTATGCTCTGGACCACGGACAACTATTTTGTCAATAAAAATGAGCTTAACAATTTATTAACAGCATATTATATTGTAACAGAGAAGTGCAAGAGCTAACAATTATCGTTGTTATACTCGCTCAGGCAATGCAAAGAGAGTCTCTCTTGAACTGTCCACTTCACTATATATACTTGACAATGAAGTCTTTAGATTTTTCGGTACACTCGCGAAGAGCGTGTTAAATCTAGAATTTCTATAGCGCTCACACTGTGTGTCGAGGCTAATGCGTAAAAATCTATAATCTACTGTAGTTATAGAGCTCTTATAGCCAAGTTTTGGAAGTGACTTTTTGTTTACCTCCAGAACCTAAGCTTAATCGTGCACGAGCATGATGCAGTCAGGTGAGCTCCAACGCTCCAATCTGTTTATTTTTAAACAATTCATGACGATATTATTAGAGCAAACAGTATTGTTGACGTGCTGATTGTCGCAGCCGTAATTATCCACGCTTCAGTCAGCAGCAGCAGCAGCAAGCATCATCCGCCGTAGCACCCAATTCCCCTAAACCAAACTCTAGATTCCCAACCCAATTTCAAGCTGCTAGCTGTTAATTTTGTTTCAATCACAGATGGGATTTTTGATTTATTAAGCAGAGTAAACAGTAAATCTTATCGACGTCACCGAGTTGCAATTCTATTTGATGTATTAATTAGCGCTCATAAATGTCTATATATATATATATATATATATTTACGTAGTTCCAGTAAGACTGACATACAATTTAATGATCTCTCAATATTTAACATAGCGTTTAACAAATACTTGAACCGAATGCCGACAGGCGGCACAAAATTTATAACCAACACGACTCTCAAATAAAATACAATCCAATTACCAGGCACAGCAAATTGGAAAGGTATTGATAAGGCGGCACCCGCAAGCGATGCAACAATGGCTCTATATATATATAGATAAATATATATATATTATATATAATTTTGTGTGCTTTTCTATGTAAATAGGGCGCTAATCATATCATCGAGTAGGCCATAATTTACTCGACTTTAATCCTCAATCACGATTAGTGGCCGTATATCAATTGGGTTTTTTATTCCGTATGCCCAAGTAGCTATCTAGCTGATAGCTATGCAGATATGATTACACTAGATTAACAAAAACAAAACCATTTAGATTTACGTATTAAGCGATAAGCACAAATAATTACTATAATAAAAGATTAATGAGAGTTTCGTAGAATCCATTTCCGTGCTAAAAGTGCATTAGTTAACTGAATAAAAAAATATATAATAGATACAAGAGTGAATAGTTACAATAGGTGTGTTCAAAAAGATTTGAAATACTTAAAAACCTTATAATTCGTTATAATATATTTCAAATACTTTTTGAGCATACCTCGTGTAACTATTTTGATATTATCTGAGTTAGCTGCATAGAATATTAGATAAATGTAAATTACATATAGAAGTTTTTTTTTGCAATTGCATTTGGAGCGGATAAACTTAAGTTAATTATGAGCTTTACGTTGTGACAAAGATCTGAGATAAGCTCTAACTAGTATAGTCTTTACTTTTATCAGCTTATACACATATCTATATATAAGCGAGTGTATATACATATATATTTATATTATGATTGACGATAGCACGACATAGTTCTTATACAATTCCTTCAGACATGACTTTATATATTCGCTTTCTGGCGAAAATTGAGCACGAGGCTAGAGTACGAGCAGTATATATATATATATATATATATATATAAGATATGCGTTCACCGATCCACTTCGACTGCGGATAAGGCATGGAAAAGTTTTGTAGAACTTAGAGTTCAATGAATGAAGCCTGCACATCGTAACTGTGCCGGTCAGACTCCAATAGGCCTAATATAGCCAATGACACATGATGGACATAAATGATGATCATAAGTGTCAAGAGACTCATTCAAACAAATCAAAACTAAAAAAGAAAATACTTAAGTACCTAACTCACGTTTACAGCAAAAAAAAAAAAAACAAATAATAAAAAAGTACATAAATAATAGCAAAAACAAACTTAAAAAATATTTTTCTCCCGCTATTTTGAACGTAAACAAAAACAAAAAACATTTGCATTCGACAAATAAAAGCGCACAAGTCAAAAAAAAAAAAAGCATGAATACAAATTCCAGTTGGAAGCGTTACAACATTTCTTTTTTCGAAGATATACACTATATATATATCATAATATATTTATATATTTATATATGCTTAAGTTCTTACAATAGAAATGCTTGCCCAAGACTGAAATGCTTATTATGAACGGATTGGAACAGGGCGTAAAACGGAGAAAGAAAATTCTTTTATTACATTGACCTTGCCCAAAAAAAGAAGAGAAACAATGGAAAGGAAATGAGCATTGGCTTTACAAGGAGGTCACCCTCTAATGCTAGTTGCCCAATTGAACAAGAAGAAGAAGCAGCAGCAGCAGCAGCAGCAGCTGAATTTGTTTTGAGTTTTTGAAGAGAGTTTAACAGGTTGATGATAATTGCCTAGGCACAAATCAATTTTGAATTTGAAGCTTAATTGATTAGTGGGTTTAACTAAAGTTTTATGCAAAAGTTATACTAAAACGATGTGGTCTATATAAATATTATATGAACAATGTTTACCCAAATGTTTTTTACATTTGGCGACACAAAAATAAATACTTTTGGAAATATAAATTAAAAAACTATTTATATATTTTGAATTCTTTAGGCATTTGAAATAATGTGCCGCATTGTTTTGTGGTTTTTTTTTTATGATTTTGCAAATATAAGCCATTTTATTTACTTTTTATATAAATATACCTAACAGACGAGTTGTCAGGCATAAAAAATTCAAGAATTCACGAATATATATGAACACGTTTGGCTACTTTATTTGACGTCGTTCAGAGAAATTCGACTATAAATTGCTAAGTACCGCATTGGGGTAGACGTCTGTCTGGCCGTCGATCTGAAGATTACATATAGTATAAATATTCATATGAACGAAAGGCATGTGTGAAACGATAAGCTCCACTGCTGTGCACCCTACAAGCATGCGTAGGCAGCATGGAATACCAAGAACTCTCCGAGCTGAGCTTTGTTTAATTTATTTATATTTTTTGTCTTCTTGCTTTCGTCATCGTCTCGCCTTTCTTTATTCACATGCAAATTCGATGCCAGACGTCGTCATTTGTACATAGAAATGGGCAAATTAGAGATCGATCGACCGCAAGATTATTGATGATTATGTTGACGCGTGCCTGGCATATAATATAGTTAAACAAAGATCAAACGGATTCGTATCCGTAACCAAATCATGTACGAAACAAAAAAATGCAAAACAAAAAAAAACTGAATCGGAAGTGCAAATGCAGAGAAATAAAAAATGTTTTGTCATTGTTTATTTTATGCGATATACATATGTACATAAATATATATATATATATATATATATATATAGATACATATATATGTACTCATAAAACTTAAGTTTGCATTCAATTTTCTGTTGTTGTTGTTGTCGGTCAATGTCGGTTGAGCAATAATTAAAGAAACATTTTAAGAATGTTGAGCCAGAGTTCAACGAATTCGAAATCCGATTTGAATTTGATTTCGAATTCCCAATTCAAAGCACAACACAACTAAACACACACAGACGCACTCATACACTCGCAAACTCACACTTCCAATTGGATTCGATTGTATTGGATTGGATTCTTATTACACTTACACTTTGATAAACTTATGCCCCATTGCGGTTGTTGTGTCATCTCGGCCTTGTTTTCTTGTAATGTTAACAAGTTGGCCAATTCCTTCGCCACGGTTACGGATTACGCTGATCGATGCTGCGAATTCAATAATAATTCACACTTGCTGCACAGATCCTTTATGGACACAAGTTATTTATTATTCTTCTTTGTTACACTTTTCACTTTTGGCGCACGCGCAACAGGACAGATAGCGAAAGCAAAACAAGACAGAGACAGCCGCAGTATAGGAAGAGGAAGAGTAAGAGAAAGAGAGAGAGGGAGACAGAGACGCTGATGAAGAACCGCACGCAACGACAACTTGAATCGTACTGCGCGAACGAGACTGGAATGTGCAATGAAAGTGCACTGGAATCACGCACTTCTTGTGGGCTTTTCAGTCTATTGCTTCTGCTTCTTCTTCTTCTTCTACTTCGTCTTCTTATTTGGTTAATGCGTGTGTGTGAGTGCTTTTACTCTGTCGTCGTTTATTTGTTTTAGCGGTTTCTCACACCATACGATCTACCGCGCTTTTGTTCTGCCTTCCGCGCACGTCGGCTGTTAAATTTCAAATGAGAAATTATTTCCACTGACTTTAGTTTATATGCGAACAGATAAGCGCTGCTGCTGCGCAGAGCAGCTGCTCAGTTGCTGCTCTGCTTGAACTGTTGCTGCTGCTGTTGAGAGTTATTGCTGCTGGCGTCGCTGCCAGCGCCGATCAGTACGTCAAGGAATCGCAAGCTCGATATGTACTTTAGTTCATACATACTCTACGCTCATATAGTTTTAAGAGACCCTACTCATAAAAATCACTATCTGACCCAACTGCCCGTCCTCGTGGTCAACGACGTCGTCGTCGTCAACGTCTTTCACATGCTTCAAGCGTTCCCACCCAAGGAACTTTGTTTTTTATATATATATGTACTTCACATTTTGTGCGAATTCGTTTTCGTTTCGTTTGACTTTCGATTCGGAGCTGTATTGAATATTTTAACGGTTTTTCGCTTATCGAACACGCGCCACATATACTATAGAACAAACAACTAAACTAACCCGCCTATAGCTACTGCTATAACTAGAAGAGTTTAAATGTACCAAATGGTCATTAAACTTCAAATTAAAACAATTGTCTATACAAGTTATCCTCTACTAGCATTACAAGCAAAGGGGTATACTTAACTAAGAAACGTTGGCAACTGCATACTATTATTAAAGACTAAAACTGGGACTTAGAAGTTATAGTATATATATTGCTATATATAATCCAGCGAAATCGGAGACATAAAACTCGTAAAAATCTTACTATATGTTCCTTTATACAGCTAAAAATCCAAAAAACCATTTGAATATCTGATTTTCAAAATAACTCGAGAACTATAGACACTAGAGTTATCAAATTTAGTATATATATGCTTGTATGGCCTATAAACATTCCAAATATGTTTTTAAGAAAGCAACGCAAATGCAAAGTCAAATATGAATAGTCGAATGCTAGGTGCTTTCGGCATTTAGCTAGTCTATCATTTCCAACTAGATCGCGCTTAATTGCTTTCAACTAATTTATAAGAAGCTGCCAAAGAAAAAGCTCTTAACAGAGTATTCAACACTTGCAACAACTTTTGCCAGCTAATTCTATTATTTTTACACCAAAAACAAAAACGTAACTAGTTAAAAACCGTTAGCAATTTTTATTAATTTTTTTTTTGTATTTTGCTTTGAGAAATACGATTAAGTAATGTTTTTAGGCGGGAGGTAGCTGGAGTAGGAGGAGCTGGTTATAGCTGGTTCTAGCAGGGTGCTAAAGTGAATGGTTTTACTATTAGTTGACCGAGCACGCTATATATTATATAGCAAGTATACGAGTCGTTAATATGCAACTACATCTATAATTCTAACCAAAATTGGTTGCCAGCAGTATTTTTTGTTTTTGTTCTATAATATTCGACATTTGCTTGGTGCAAATTGTGCGGTTTATTGCGGTTGAGTTATGTTAGATACATTATATATATATTAATATATACATATATAGTATTTATCTGGTGCTTATGTATATGTACATATAAATTGTTGTAAGAGTATTGTTGACTAGTTCTTTGATGAGCGTAACTCGAGCTGTGGCCTAAAACTAAACGAGCAATCTAAATGAACGATCATTGCCAGTGTTTAATTGTTATAGGCGCAACGTGATCTGTATGCCAAAGACAGTCAGATATGAGTGTTATCTAACTACGTTGGATTTCGAAAAGTTCTATTCCATTAACCACAACTATGTACTTTTATACAGATTAATATAAATCACAATCGGCTTTAGATTATTGATTATTTGTCAAGTCAAAGGCTCGGTGCTTGGTGACAGTTAAGTATTATATTATATATGCAATATATATATAAATATATATATACAGATTTTTATGTGTATGCATGTGTATTATAGGCATTGCAGGTTTATCAACCGAATTTTTTTATTTTATTATCAATGGCACACTTTGTTCAGACGGCAAAGCAATTGAACAACGATTGAACTCAGCACAACTCTGATTATACAGAGCAAGCACTCAGAAAGCTGCAAAGTATATATTATATATACTATCTGTATGTTATGACATTACCAAGAAATATATTTAAAGTGTTCGAAAAAAAAAAACGAAAAAGGAATTGCCATATTAATTGATAATAACGGCCACTAATAAAACTTATTTATTAATTGTTAATGCTATCAGCATATTTATTGTTCACTCTGCTGCCCTCCCCAACTAACCCTGAAGAACTCTATATATGTTGTTTATTGAATGTCGACAGCTTAAATTAAAGAGCGCCTCCTCCGTACAGCCAGACATATCAAATGGCCCACGCATGTGATACAATCCGATCCCAACTGATCTGACAGACAGCTCGGTAGCTGCGTGCGATGATCTTCATTGTTGTCGTTGTTGTTGATGCTGTTGTCGGATCTTCAATTGGCCTGCTGACTTGCAGCATACCAGATCACATAGAGTCATTCTGCAATTGAAATTGAATTGTTTGTACATCATTTTAATCAAAAAAAATTATGCCAAATTATAATGAAAAATAAAATGTATGCGGCAATGACGAACGTTAAATACCCCTTTAAATTATAAACTAAAGTATTTAAGTATTCATCGTGGAATAATCGAGACAATCAAGACAATTATAAAATTATATTATCCAATATAATTTAAATTTGAATTTAAATATATGTATAATTAAAAAAATGGAATAAAAATAAATGTTACTTTTTTATTTTATTTTATATTAAGTATAAAAAAATTCCAATTTAATATTTAAAATTTGTTTTACTTATTATTTTTGTTATATATTTCATATTTTTATTATTTATTTATTTATTTTTTCAGAAAAGTTTTTAATTTTTTTTTATAATATGTCAAAAAACATTTTTTGTATATATTTAAATATTTTAATAAAATTAACAAATTAATTTACCAAAACAAGGTCTCACAGCAAGCCCAACTTAAGGCTAGTTAGGGTATTTTTTAAAATGAATACAAATGCCGGGTATATTTCCATGTAAAGTCCCAAATCCGGCTAAAACCGCTAACCGCGTGTCCCTGACCGAAAACATTTCCGGTTATAGCTGGAATGCTGTGTATATGAAAATATCTACATATATAATACAAGAATCGACTCAAACTGCTCGTACTCTCAATATCTAACTTCCATTCGACTATTTTGCGTTATTTATTCGTTCAAATTAATTGAGGCGTACGAAATGAAATGTCTTTATGGATGGGCGTCTATTTATGGCGCTGCTGCTCGTCTCGGCAAGAGTTTTGTCAATCAGTAGAGTGCGGACTGTGACCTTTTGAATTGATGGAGCCGTAACTGGAACTGAGCTCCAATAGGCGCCACATTGAGTGCTTGGGTCAATTAAGACAGCGACCAAAGGCGTAGGCAAAACAGGGCACAGACGCCCCTGAGCGAGCTGGGCTGCAGAACGTGCACTTGATTAGCTCCCAAAGTCACAAGTATTGGCCCAGTGTAATCCCAATGTCAGTGCATACATTTCCCATGTCCAAGTGTCAGCTGCTAAACGCACTTTCATTAATATTGGGACAGGCCAAGGAGCCACCGGACAGAAAGCAATGTTGACGATTGATTGATTTGAACTAAGCACATATCATTCTAGTAGACACAGATCAATTAAATGTGAAAAAGTATATATTATATCATATTCTTATGTTATGAATTACCAAGAAATATATTTAAAGTGTTCGAAAAAAAAAAACGAAAAAGGAATTGCCATATTAATTGATAATAACGGCCACTAATAAAACTTATTTATTAATTGTTAATGCTATCAGCATATTTATTGTTCACTCTGCTGCCCTCCCCAACTAACCCTGAAGAACTCTATATATGTTGTTTATTGAATGTCGACAGCTTAAATTAAAGAGCGCCTCCTCCGTACAGCCAGACATATCAAATGGCCCACGCATGTGATACAATCCGATCCCAACTGATCTGACAGACAGCTCGGTAGCTGCGTGCGATGATCTTCATTGTTGTCGTTGTTGTTGATGCTGTTGTCGGATCTTCAATTGGCCTGCTGACTTGCAGCATACCAGATCACATAGAGTCATTCTGCAATTGAAATTGAATTGTTTGTACATCATTTTAATCAAAAAAAATTATGCCAAATTATAATGAAAAATAAAATGTATGCGGCAATGACGAACGTTAAATACCCCTTTAAATTATAAACTAAAGTATTTAAGTATTCATCGTGGAATAATCGAGACAATCAAGACAATTATAAAATTATATTATCCAATATAATTTAAATTTGAATTTAAATATATGTATAATTAAAAAAATGGAATAAAAATAAATGTTACTTTTTTATTTTATTTTATATTAAGTATAAAAAAATTCCAATTTAATATTTAAAATTTGTTTTACTTATTATTTTTGTTATATATTTCATATTTTTATTATTTATTTATTTATTTTTTCAGAAAAGTTTTTTAATTTTTTTTTTATAATATGTCAAAAAACATTTTTTGTATATATTTAAATATTTTAATAAAATTAACAAATTAATTTACCAAAACAAGGTCTCACAGCAAGCCCAACTTAAGGCTAGTTAGGGTATTTTTTAAAATGAATACAAATGCCGGGTATATTTCCATGTAAAGTCCCAAATCCGGCTAAAACCGCTAACCGCGTGTCCCTGACCGAAAACATTTCCGGTTATAGCTGGAATGCTGTGTATATGAAAATATCTACATATATAATACAAGAATCGACTCAAACTGCTCGTACTCTCAATATCTAACTTCCATTCGACTATTTTGCGTTATTTATTCGTTCAAATTAATTGAGGCGTACGAAATGAAATGTCTTTATGGATGGGCGTCTATTTATGGCGCTGCTGCTCGTCTCGGCAAGAGTTTTGTCAATCAGTAGAGTGCGGACTGTGACCTTTTGAATTGATGGAGCCGTAACTGGAACTGAGCTCCAATAGGCGCCACATTGAGTGCTTGGGTCAATTAAGACAGCGACCAAAGGCGTAGGCAAAACAGGGCACAGACGCCCCTGAGCGAGCTGGGCTGCAGAACGTGCACTTGATTAGCTCCCAAAGTCACAAGTATTGGCCCAGTGTAATCCCAATGTCAGTGCATACATTTCCCATGTCCAAGTGTCAGCTGCTAAACGCACTTTCATTAATATTGGGACAGGCCAAGGGAGCCACCGGAACAGAAGCTGAAACACATGTTGCTGCCATATGTCACTGTCTCAGTAAATAACGATGATGATTATGATGATGACGATGATGATGATCATGATCATAATCTTAATTAGAAACAACTTCAAATATGCATTGCTGCCCCTGACCTTGAGCGTCCAAAGAAGTTTCAACTCGTATCGGTTAAACACATGTATATATATACATATGTTTATGTATATGTTTATAATAATTGTATTTAACTGAGCTGAGGGGAAAAGCAAGAAAACAAGTTTCACTTCCCATTCAATTACAATTCAATTGCAGTTATGTTTCCCAAGAGCTAACTGAAGTATTGTTTAAATAGATAAATAATATTTTACTATGCAATCATAGTATGTAAGCTAAATGCTTATAAATGATACATAAATAGCATGTTTTTCAGGTCATCGAACATTATTCAGTTTTTATGTAAAATTATTTATATTATGTTACTCAGTCAATATGAAAGAACTGAATGTTCTAAGTTAGGAGCATTTCAGTCAGGATTAGACATGTTTGCTGACTAAGCACTATAGAGATAGATTGAGACAAGTGAGTAGATATATAGATATATAGATATATAGATATAAAGATATAAAGATATAAAGATATAAAGATATAAAGATATAAAGATATAAAGATATAAAGATATAAAGATATAAAGATATAAAGATATAAAGATATAAAGATATAAAGATATAAAGATATAAAGATATAAAGATATATAGACATATTAATACACAGATATACAGACATATATAGATGTACAGATGCACAGATAAATAGAGAGATTGATAGATAGCTATAACTGTTAACTTCTAGCTCATATTGTAAATTGCTGTTAAATAGCAAAAGCACTTATCTAGCTTTTATATGAATACGTTTATATATTAGTTACACTTAAGCCTAGACAATCGTGTGGGAATTACCATTCACTTTAACTACTATATATAATTTCTATAAAATATATCGGGTATTTTTTAACATGTTATATAAAAATATTACATGAACTCGCCAACTGAACTAAAGTAAGTGAATAAACGATTTACATTTCAGAAGGGTCATAACTCACCAGGGTAACCACCGTATAGACAGAGAATAAAACCAGTTAATAGATACTCAAGCAATTAAAATAGTTTGCCACAAATAAGTCGAGCTCTAAAGTCGGCTTTTGACATTTTGAGGGTCGCGTGGCCAGGAAAAGCAAGCACAGGTTTTCGCCTTACCCAGTTAGCTCAGGTATTATCCATATTGTGGATTAGTCATGCCAAGTTGTCACGAGACTTGAACTACTTTGGCTGGAGTGAAACACGTACAAGTGCCTGCTTAGCTATCAAATTCAAGAGTTAAGTTAAGTAATCTAGAGGAGAGCGCCAGCAAATTGAAGGCTGTCAACTAACTGAGAAGTGTGTGCGCGTGTGTGTGTGTGTGTGTGTGTGTGTGTGTGTGTGTGTGTGTGTGTGTATTGGAATCGGCCAGCACGATTTGATCTTTACCCTGCATTGAGGTTGGGGTTTTTTTCATTAAGTTTTGTTTTCCTTTTGGCAAAGAATATTTCTTCCCTCACATTATCTAACTTGTGTACATGTCGTAAAAAGAACTAGCAACTTGCTATCTCAAATATAGCGTTTACAGCAGTACTAATAATAATATACAGTCTAATCTTTATAGCGCCAGCGACTTTATATTCAACGACTTTTGTACCGCGAAGCATCATGAGTTGACATTTGAAAGGCTCGCGCCGCACTTCACTGCAACTAGAGTTAGATAAGATTTTGAGTTTCTATTTTCGACATGCGTTACGATAGTAAAGCATATATCCGATATAAATCTGACAGCATGTGACTCAGTTTATGGAAGTCGCACGCATCTTACAGTAAGCAAAGTCCTTTTTTTTAATTGTTTTTACACTCGCTTATGAGGTAAAAAGAGTATATGGGCTTGCATCTTGTTGTTGGGCCAACTGCCTTTCAAGCGAGAAACTGGAAATTTCACATATATAATCGGCTTACTCTCGCCCAATAAGGAAGATATTCTGAATACGCCCACTGGAACAGGTATATCTTTCAAGTTTGACAAGGAATTAACTGTTGACAGACTCCCATATTGACCAATAATTACGTATAGAGTTGCCTGTTGGGAAGTGGTATTGTAGGACATCTTGTGATCTACCTTAAAGATATACCTACCAATTATATGAACAGCTCTTTGAGCCCTCTCAAATCAGAAAACATTAATAACTCTAAATTCTTTATATTTATTTTGTAGATCCGAGCGCGCATTATGCAGTCAGCTGTGTAGATCTTTAGATATTGTAAAGTACCTCTATAGATAGACGTAGAACTTATAAAAATCTCTTTTTAACAACTATTTATAGACCTCGAGAGAGTATCATGCAGTCAGTTAAGCCCGCCCACAGCGTTCTTAGTTGTTTCTTTTTGAAGGTGTGTCATCGAAATTCGTAATATCTTAATTGCGCGCGCGGCTCATTAATGGTTCAATAGCATTTATTAAGCCTTTAAAAAAAAAAAAAAAAAAAAAAAAAACACAAATTATATATGGCGAATTTCCCAACCTAATTATATGTATTTACAAGCCAAATTGAAGTACATTTAAAATGATAAAAAATTTATTAAAAAAAAACCGCAACTGATCAGGGAGAGAGGCCTGCTTATGTGCATACCTGTGTACACCTGCGTTCAATACATGGATAACATGGATGCAAAACAAAACACAAAATAAAAACTTAATATTCACAAGTCATTAAAAGTGTGAAAAGCTGTAAGAACCTTTAGCACGCAAATACTGTCTGTTCGCTTGTCAACGGAATTAAATATTGTTGTTAATGTTTTTGTTGTTAATATTTGTTCGAGTGTTTCCTAATAAACGCAGCCGGATTCGTATCCAGTAGCTGGGGGCGGGCCGCTTAGTAAAGCCAAAACTTCAGACACATGTCTCATGCGCATAATATTTGTAAAATATATTTTTAGCCGGCAATTTGTAAGAACGGAAGTGAAATACACTCGATGTGTGTGATAATTGTCGTTTTCCTCAACTCACACTCAACTGTAGCGCACTCAATCTCTGCGTATGACCACCAGAAGCTTATTTGTCTGTCTATTAACGGTTTTCCTTTTTTATATAGATGAATGACCCACTACATTTACTCGCTACATTTACCTGCCATAAAAGCTTCATTTTGTACGCTCTACAACAAATGTGTGATAAAACTAACTAATTTAAATACAAACACACACACGCACTCACACATACACCCAAAAACACACAAACAAAAGGCAGTCAAGCAATGAAACACCTTGACCTTACTAACAGGTGTAACAATGTGCTCAAGTGAAGTTTGCCGACAGCAGGGCAAAAGTAAATAAATGCTTATTTACTAATACACGGTTACAGTAACAATAAAGGTAGCATAGAATCTGGAGTCGCTGATAAGATTACGCAAGCGGCACATGAAACAAATCCCAGAAGAAGCAGCTGAGGAAGAGATAATCAACGAAAATAGTATGCAAACTTTTGCAGATATTCGTTTTATTGAAAACTAACTTGATGATACTTATAGCGAGAGCCACTGAAACGCAGAAAACGGAACATGTTCCAATTCCTTTCTTCACCAAAAAGTCATTATACTATAGACCTAACGCTTGCAATAGTTTCATGTGCCTAATAGGTTTTCAAAATAAAAACGAAAGTGCCCGCGTCTTGTTCAATTTGTTGCTTTCGTATACATATTTTGCATAAGTAAACAAAAATCACAAAAACTTGCTGATAACGAAAGTGAAAATACTCCCATTGCAGTACACAGCATACATGCAATAAATTAACGCAGATAACTTGTCATTTACTGTACCGCAAACAATGAGAGTTATTTATTTTATGAATTTATATATATATATATATATATATGTGTGCATATATATTTTTGTTTTTCTTTGCGCGATTCTTTAAAATAACAATAACATGGCATTGGCTTGTGCGACCAGTCAACAAGATATCATCAAGTGTTTTCGCAGCATTGTTGATCTTTCGGCCTTTTGAACTCGACACAAATTTGTTGGCCATTGACCTGACGACGAGTGGTTTTCTAAATACCCAGAAATAGGTACATTTAACCTTTAACTGATGGCCTAGCAGGGAAAGTGTACGTTTAACGTGCAACATGCTTTGAAGCTTAATCAATTTCAAATGTTATCGAAACATCGCTTTGTACATTATCGCAAGTCAAATATTAATCGTTTTTATTTGGTATTTTCTCGTAGTCGTGCACAGCTGATAGTGCTGCAAAACAGCAAGATTAAAGTCACGATGTAGCACGCAATATTTACTTATAAAAATCAAATAATTGAACTAAATTACTTTTATGCATACAACATTTGATATAAATACCTTTTTACGTTCTTACCATAAGTATAACAAGATTTTTATCATTAGATAATTCATTAATTAACTTTTTCAACCTGATATATGATTAAATATATCGTTTGGCTCATCCGTGTTACCTATCGTGCAAACCATTTGTGACAGAAGCCCATCTCTATTTTTGCACAACTCGTATTGTTTTTGTGCTGAAACTAACTTTATATAGTTAGAGGTGGATGTCGGAGGCCTAGACATGAGCGATAGCGACGACGCGATATGGCTAGAAATCGGTATTAATCCTCAACATGTTGTCTGTGAATCAGACGAGGGCCTCTACAAATTGATATGCGATAAGGCCTGGCTACAAGCACTTGAACGTCATCGCAAACTTACTCAATTCACAGCCTGGCCCCAGCTGGATAGACGCGCACATCCCACAGGGCAACTGGAGCATCCTTGGACGCGCATATTGGTGCAAACGTATCGCAAGCAATCGCAGCGCAAAGTCCACCCCTTGCCAGCAAAAGGAGCGAACAGTAATAATATACATTTTCCACTAAGTTACTCACAGGCTGTATCCAATGTGGCGAGTCTCAACTTCAAGCAGCTTTGGGAGGCGGCCTACAAGCAATATGCGGGCGCCCATGTCAAACAGTGTAGGTCGAATGCTGGCACCCAGTCCAAGCAGATGTCAGCAAACGGATGCGGATTTCAGCCACATGATGTGGTGCTTCGGGAGCTCATACAACGTATCTACAATTGCCCCGTGATTCCATGTCAACAGGAGGGAGATGGAGTCTCTAACAGTGATGTAAGCTTAGCCGGTGATTGTCATGCCAATGTGCTGCCCGCTGTGGTGGCCATCGAGACTAACACGCATTTCTGCATCCTGCACTATCCGCCAGCGCTGGAGTGCAGTCTATATGACTGCATCAGCTACAGTCCCGCCTTGTTGGGCCGAGGCTACAATAAGACACTATTCATCATCTATCAGCTGTTACAGCTGTCGAGGCATTTGCAGGCCCAAGGGCTGTTCCTTGGCGATCTGCGACTGCAGCACGTGATGCTGCGCGAGAATCTCTGGCTGCAGGTGCTGCCACGCCTGCAGTGCAATTTGCTGGTGGGCGAGCAGTCGGCAGCGGTGGACATGTCACCGCTGAGCTGCCCAGAATTGCCCGGCTCACCGGAACAGCTGCCATCCAGCAGCACCATCGATCTCAAGCTGGCCTACGATCCAGCTCAATTTAATCTACGCGAATACTGCGAAATGTGGTGCAACGGACAACTATCCAATTTCGATTATCTCACCATACTGAACAATGCCTGCGGCAGAAGCCTCACGAATGCTGCCCATCACCACATTATGCCTTGGGTCACGGATTTTGCGGCCCGCAACGGCCTCAACTGGCGTGATCTGACCAAAAGCAAATATCGCCTCAACAAAGGCGATGTCCATCTGGATCTCATGTATACGCATGGCAGTCAGCACGCGACTGCCGAAGCTGTGACACCTGTGGAGCAGCTGCAGGTGGCACATCATGTCTCCGATTTCCTCTCGGAGATTACCTACTTTGTATATATGGCACGCCGCACGCCTCAGTCCATACTCTGCGCCCATGTGCGACCTATTTGGGTGCCCGCCGAGTATCCGGTGTCCATACAGCGCCTACAAGAATGGACGCCCGATGAATGCATACCAGAGTTCTACTCAGATCCAATGATATTTAAGAGCATACACGAAGACTTGCCAGATCTGGAGCTGCCTGCATGGGCTACTTGTCCGGAGGACTTCATATGTAAGCATCGCGAAGCGCTGGAGTCACAGTATGTTAGCGAGCGACTGCATCATTGGATTGACTTAAACTTTGGGTATGTTTCCAGTGGCTTAGGCAAAACTTTCTTTATTAATTCTCATTTTTACAGCTACAAACTCAGCGGCAAGGCGGCCATCAAGTCCAAAAATGTCTGCCTTAGCCTCGTGGATCAGCATTGCAATCTCAGTCAGCGCGGCATCGTGCAGCTATTCACGCAGGCTCATCCGCCGCGTCGCTATGTGTCGGCCTGGTTCAACAAGACGGCGCCCCGAATGACCCAGCTGTATGGCAACAACATTAGCCACACCAACAGGCGGCTGGCCAGAAGCACCGAGAATCTGCACGCATCCTCCAACAGCAAGAGCAACAGTTCCGTTGAGAACAGCTCACCACGAATGTCACTGCGTCCGAGTGATGAGTCATCGGGCTCGAGCGCCAGCTTCTATAATATGACCAACTTTATTGAGCTGCCGGAACAATATAATCCAGCACTTTTGCTGCAGCAATTGGAAACGCTAGAGACCTTCTATGCGCGCACCTTCCCGCAGCAGCGTGCTTCAGCTAATCCCGAGGAGAAAATGATAAGCAGCGACCTGCTCTTCGAGCACAATTCGGCCGAGCATTCGTTCACAAATCAACTGTTCGCATTTGATGGCGCAATTCAGACCAATTCCAAGAATTTGCTGGTGCCACCAGCGCGACGCCTGCAAAGTCTGCAGCAACTTTTGAGCGATTGCCGGTTGCGAGAGCTACAAGTGCTGGGCTGCCTCATTGTGGAGCTGTTTGCCATGCAGCGCTTGCGACCGCTGCTGACCAGCAACGGACCAAGTGCGAGCTTCGAATGCCGCCTGACTGCCTGCCGCACGCTAACCCAGATACACAGCCAGGAGCTGCCTATGCCGGTGCGTCAGGTAGTGCGGCAGCTGCTGCAGCTGGAAGAAGACCCTGGTCGGGGTCTGCCCGTGCCGACGAGTGCGGCCCAGTTGCTGGAGCCGATGTTCAGCCAAGCGTTGCTGCCCTTTCCCAGTCACTATATTGCGATCTATGCCTTTGTGCGCTCCCTGCACGCCTTTCAGCTCAACTTCGAGCTGCTCGACCTGCACACACACCTCAACTGCAGCGGCGGCAGTGAGTGCGCACGCTTCACAGAGCTGGATCGGCAGCGTGTGCTTTTCGAGCGTAAGATAGCCGAGTGCAAGGTCATGTCCTCCTGTGCCCACGTGCGTCGCCTGCTGGAACCTCTGTCGTATGCCTATGAGCAGTTCGCACCTGTGGAGCTGCTGCTGCCACACATAATAGATCTGCTGCGAGATGAGCGCACTTCGATACTGACCGCCTGGAATCTGTTTGATCCCGTTGCCCAGGCCCTGGGCATTGCCCAGACACAGCAACATTTGTTGCAGCCACTGCTGAAGCTGTACGATGTGGAGAGCAGCGCGCTGGTAGACGAGGCAAACAGCAGTGCGAGCAGCAGCAACAACAATGGTGGCCACCTGCGTTTCTCTTCGAGCAGCTCCTTCAAGTCGCGCAAATCCGTGAAGCTCTATCATCACAGCTTCCTGCTGCGCCTGATCGTGCGCTTCGGACTGCGCTGCTTTCTGCAGCATTTCATTGCACCACTTATCGAAGCTGTGGGTGGCTACAAGGAGCCGGAGCAGGGCAACGGCTACCACTATCACAGTGCTGGCAGTCGGCGCACCAGCAAGAATCTGAGCTATGCCGCAGAGGAGCCGCCAGCAGCGCAGCCCGAGCCTAAGCCAGACGTTGAAGAGCTCTTCACATTCGAGGAGGATCAGGAGAACAAATCGATTGACTCCTTTGATATGCGGCCCTCGTCCACGGCCATTGCCGAGGAGGCACGCGAATCCGATGGCAGCTCACCCGACAAACTGGCCATCAATGAGCTGATGTACGGTGCCAAATTGTCCCCGGATAAGATTTCGCTGCAGAGCCAAGGACAAACGCCGCCTACCGCACTGCCGCCTCCTCTGATTGGACCACGTTCACCCACCATCGAAATACCCGCGAGCAGTTTACGACGCAGCTTCCAGCTGAGCGCTATCGATTGCGACATTGGCTCTAGGAAGAGCGTCGATAGCTTCGAGCTAATCAGCCAGGTCACCAGCACAGCGGCCAACGAGTCGGCGGAGTCTGTGCCACAGGCAGAACCGGAGGGTTGCGACTCACTGCAGGCTTCGGTCATATCGCGCATCTCAGAGGCCAAAGCGCTGCAAAACAATCGCATCAGCGAGATGAGCGCGGAGAGTCTCGTCTGGTTGTCGCATCGCTTGGGTCCCGTGCTCACGGCTCGCCACATAACGCGCAATTTGCTGAAGCTGCTCTCCCTCTGCTATGTCGGCCAGGAGAATCTGCTGCCCGAGCTGGAAGCAGCCAGCAGCAGCGCTGATGACTCAACCACAGATGCCTCCAATCTCAATTACTTCAGCATTGCCAATGCCCGCGTTGTCGGCGATCGTAGCGCGGCGCGCGTTCTTGAGTGTCTCATGTCAATTGCGGGTAAGTCGATCTGGAAGGCTGATGATGTCATTTATAGACTGCAATTTATAGCTATTTTTATTTGTTAATCAATTTGCTGGGCTTTACTATAAGTTATTTATCGGAAATAATTCACATTACTTTCAAGCGGCATTTGTCTACCCGCTTAAGTACTCTACTTAGAGCTTGTGCCTTGGCACAGTTGACATAGACGTAACCAGGTGCAATAGTATCAGATATAGATATAGATATATATTATACAAAAATTCATTTCTTGATGGATTGATACTATGATAAAGTTAACTATATAAATAATTTTAAATTTTTTAATCATTTTTATTTTACTAGCTACAAATATTTACTATGAAAAATATTATATGAATCGGATCAGTTTTTTTTTAGAGTTAAATATATATATATATATATATATATATATATATATATATATATATATATATATATATATATATATATATATATATATATAAATTGAAAAACACATTTAAGATTACACTAAAAGATTTTCCTATTAGGTAATTCTCTCTCCATCACGGCTTAACCTCATTTGAGTCCCTTATAAAAAATCCTTCAACTTCATCAAATAGAATCTTTGAAAACATTTCTAAAATATAGACCCAAAGAGTTAATATTCCTGAAAGGAAACAGCTTAAGCTTTGCTTCAAATCTTATCGCAATTTGTGCTTTCAGCTCTCTATGGCGAAAACTTCCTTCTGCTGCAGTACTTCCCACACATCAGCGAGCTGATCGGACTCTGCTCGAAGCGCATGACGGGCAGCCTTGAAGGCGCCATCATTAGTTCGCTGCAGCTGGTGAAGTACATGTTGCCCTGCCTCATGGATGCCAGCATTATGGAGCATTTGCAGCACATACTGCTCGATGCCATCCTGTTGCCCATACTGCGCCTGCTTAGCTCCACGAACCTGCTCATGCCCAGTGGCTATCTGGGCAGATCCGTGCTGGCTCGCAAATTCCTGGACGCTTGCTATGCGCTCAGCGTGCGTCTCGGATCGGATATGACGCGGGAGCACCTGTGTCAATCGCTGTTCGCGCCCTTTTTTCTAATCTTCAATAAGGCATACGGACTGCCCAATGACTTCAGCTGCAATCTGGCAAATCTCTCGCTAAGCGGCGGTCCAGGGCAGCAGGAGCGCGCGCAGGAAGAGCTGCGCGACGTCTTTGGGCCGGAACTGGCGCACACCGCCTACTTGGCCCTGCTACGCTTCCTGGGCGAGTCCATAATGAAGCGCACGTTAAGCAACATGGAATTCGTGCTCACGCTGTGCCACGAGCATGAGCAGCCGGCCGCTGGCCAGGACAAGGCAGAGCTTAGCCAGTCGGCCAATCGTGTTAGCCCAGTAGATGTCACAGATGCAGCGCCCTGCGAGACGGCAGCAAACAGCTTTGGCACCCAGATCGTTGGCAATCGCCTGCAAGTGCCCAGCGGCAGTATGGAGCTGCTGGACATGGTCGCCTACAAGCTGGATCATATGCCCAGCACACGGCACCTCAAGGGCAACTGGCTGGCCTACTGGCGACACGAGACGACGCGCAGCGACAAGGACAATCAGGCACTGAATCTCAAGCAAATTCGCCTGCAATCCTTTGTCGGGCACACGAATTCCGTGCGAGCAATCTATGCGCTGGAGAACGAGAACAGCTTTATATCCGCCTCCAAGGACAAGACGGTCAAGCTGTGGTCGCTGCGCAGCGAGGGCGACGGGCGCAAGAGCACCGCCTGTCAGTTTACCTATACGGCGCACAAGAAGTCCATAAACTCGCTGAGTTTCCTCGAATCCCTGCGCTATGTTGTCTCCTGTGACTCGGGCGTGCATCTGTGGGATCCGTTTATAGGACGGCCTCTGGCCATACTGGATGCACCGCGGCATAGTGCAGTCACCGTTGTCAAGTGCCTGCCCTCACATTCCCCGCTGGTGGTCGCGGGCACAGCCGAGTCCACGGTGCGGATCATTGATGCACGTTCCATGCAGTATGTGAATGAGTGGCGCGTCTGTCATGCCGCCTTGCCCAATGCCACGGTTCGATGCCTGGCGGTGGCGCCATCGGGCAATTGGCTAGCAGCAGGCCTCTCCTCGGGCGTCATTGTACAATTGGACACGCGAACTGGCATTGTTCTGAACAACTGGCGTCCCATGGAATGTGATTTGCTTCAGCTAACGGCACCCAGTGATCAGGTGCTGATCAGCTCAGCCTTGGACCACAGCCTGGCCGTGTGGCATGCCCTGGACGGCATTCTGCACTATCAGCTTAAGTAAGTTCCCCATTGGAGTTGTCCCTTTGGATGCACATCTATAACTGTCCAATCTCTTGCAGACCACCGCCGGAACCCGCGCACTTCCTGCAAAGCGTTGGCTCCTCCTTGGTCTATGCTACAACTGGGAATCGTGTGGGCGTCTACGCGGATGTTGCCAACTCGCATGCCCTTCACACCATCACGAAACTGCGCTCCGAAACCTTTCGGGGCGTGCTCACCTCACTGGCAGTGTTGCCACTCAATCGAGCATTCCTGGCAGGCAACGAGAGTGGCAACATTGCGCTGCTCTGCTAGCGGAGATGATATTACTACACAAAAAGAAAATTATTTACACCGTATATACACACCTATATATTAGTTATAGCAATAGAGTCATCTCTGTATGAATTCTAATTTAATGGCACCAAAAATTAATTTAATACAACTGAGGAAATTATTTAATATACTCAATCGGCACTTTAGAGGTTCTTTATTAAGATGTAATTAGACAACGGCTAGATGCTAATTGTATTCCAGAACACAATGTTTATTTCAAGTGTTAGACTTAGGCAATCAATATATATTATATTAATGGGTAAAGCTATGTATGTACATGTTTGTAACATATAAATAATCAATTAAATATTTAAAATGAATTTTTCTTAAGCAGACTCGCAAAACGTACCTTCTCCTTCGACAATTCGCGCTGAACTGAGTGTCCCAAGTAACACAGCTCAAATTTAAGTGCAGCCTTGTCTATGTGTGCGTGGTCTTAACATGCATAAGAATAGACTCTCTTCTCTTACAGAGTTCGATAGGTCGCAACATGCGTAAGCTGCAGATCGGATACTGTTAACTCTCTTCCACTTAACACGCAAAGAGAACTGGTTAAATAATTAACAGAGTGAGTGCAGTTTCGACTACATGCATTAGCTGCAGTTTAGACAGCACTAACTCACTCCCATGTAAATGACAACATAATTAACAGAGTTCGAATAGACTGCGGTCTTGTCTATGTGCGCGTAAGCTTAGCTTGAACATGCTGCAAAATACTAACATAATGGCAATATTATCTGTTAATTATAAATGGGGAAATAAGGTTGCATTTAAAAATGTATTCATACTTTAAATATTTTCGCTGATTGTTAGCTGTTATAAATTATTGTAACTAAAAATTTCATGGCTAAGGTGTTGAGCATGTTGATTGTTATACTCCTTCTGTTCATCTGGCGTATAAGAGTTTGTGTAAGCAGTTATTCCTACGATAAACACAAAAGGGAACTTACTGCTTCTTTTTAGTCTTTATCAACGCTGATGTGTGACTGCTCCATGACCTTTAAAGGAGTTTGCAAAACCAGAGCGAAACTGAAACATGATATGGGAGCACAGAACTTACAAGAAACATACAATCTTGGTTATTTTATAATGATTTTGCTTTACGTTTTTGTTTTATTTGTAAATTTTTTCTCAATTTCCTCTTCCACATCGCCTTGAGTTCGGCCAATGAACTTGGAGCACTGTTAATCAGCGAGTTGTGATCTCAAAGGCAACTACTGTGTGTGCGTGAGTGTTTGCATACGCGCGTATGTGTGTGTGTGTATGTGTAGGATGAATACTGAGTGAGTATATGGAGACCGCATTGCATTTATTTTTGGGCGACGCCTGGCAAAGTGACTTTCAGCGATGCGACGACATTTCGCTTGGTTTCTTTTTATGGCAACTTTTTGCATTGGCATTTGTTGTTGTTGTTGGTGTTGGTGCTGTGGCTGCTGCTGCTGCTGATTTTATTGTTGTCGCTGTATGCACTTTACGGCAGAGTCTGGGCAACGTATGCGTAAGACATTGATTCTGGGCGCTTGTTACAATGAGGACTTACAGAGGACAATAGTGCGTCTAACTCCGAAGATGGAGCAGCTACACCCTAAACGCGTGTCTCTCCCATTGATGTCTGCCCTGTCCGATATGGGACTTGCTTCACCTTGAATTTAAGGAATCGTCGCTACCAGCTGCCGTGCGTAACTAAATGCCTTTGCATTTGATAACAACAACAAAGAGCTTAACTGGACCAGCGGACCAAGGCAACAAGTTGGCCTTGATGATATTTGTTGTCGTTGCATGTTGCAAGGCGATGTCTGCTAACATGCTTCAAGCGAAGGCAGAAAGCAGTTCGGAATGGTACATGTTATACTTAAGGGAAAGCGGAGCAAAAAGCAGTGGAATAAAAGTGCGAGTAAGTTGAACAATTTATCTAATATAAGAGTATCACATACAATGTATATACTTATACATATGCATTCACTTGGAGATGCAGTTAAGTAAATGTAGTTACGTTTACAATTTCCCCATTTTGATTTTGATTTATGTGAACGGGGTAATTTGTAACGTAAGTGCTTCTACTTATATGTAAATGAAAAGGCTTTTATACATAGTAGTATTAGTAGGTACGTTATAAATGACCCCATCTATAGTAAGAAGCAATACGTAAATACATACGTAGTATAAGTACCTGCTATAAAATAATCTTGTCTAAGCAAATTAAATAATATGTTTGTAAATAATAAATCACGAAATTTTTTGTTAAAAAAATAAATAAACAAATCCAGTGACATCGCCAACGTCAACAACAAAATCCAATTCAAACATCATGATCACGATTACGCAGTCCAAAAAATATATACATATATGTACGTATACTTGTATAAGTATGTGTACACAGCGCGACACAAAAGTATGCGGGGAATTTGAAATTTCCGAAGAATGGTTTTGCATGAAATTTCACTTACTTGCCCGAACAGGCTAACAGCGTAAAGCAGACGGCATTGTTATGCTTGGAATGCTTTGGCATTGGTGGATAGACTGATGCGCGTAACGGGGAGAGCGGCGACAGCAGGGTTGCCAGAGCGCGCGCCAGGGCGAATATGTTGTGGCGCGGCGTCCAGCGATCGAATCTGGCAGCCCGACAACACTGCCACGAGACCGCAAGAATGTTGAGGTTGTGAGGTTGCCTCCAACAAATAATATGTATGTTCGCAACACACAGCACACAGCACACAACACAAACGGCCGGCATGTGGCGAGCATGTTGTTCTTACATAGCGGCAGACAGCCTTAACATGCGCGCTGCAGGTGCGAACGGTTGGGCAACAGCAGCGTTGCCAGAGTCACAGCAGCAGCACTTGCGGCGAGAGACTCGAGCACTCAAAATGACAATGTTACCAACATACAAGCGAAAAATGGCAGCAGGCGCGCAGCATTGGCCAATTGGCAAATGGCAGCCGTATGCGAACAGTGTGGCCCGCGCTCATATTTATAAATTCATGACAGTTTATGCCATCAATTTTATAACTCACACCCGTTGCCGGGGGCGGCGAGTCAATAAATTCTCAGAGGCCGACTACGTATTTTATAGTCGCGCATTGCAGATCTGACATAATAACTAAGAGGCGCGCAGAATGTGTAGCTGCTGGTCTGTTAGCTACATAGACATTCGAACTCGACGCTGCTGTTACCTACCATTACCCCAACTTGCGGGCTTAGGCCAGACGGGGCCGGGTAGCTCCCTCTGTACAATTAGCTAAAAGCGTAGCTGCTCAACGCCATCGACCGTCGACTGTCGACTGTCGACCGCCGGCTCTGTGGCCTTTGTGGGCGTTGCTGCATTCTATAAAATCGAATTTTTAACGTTCAAATGCTAACAGAGCCACAGAAGTGGCTGCAGCAAACGGCGGCGTTTGTCTGCCTATCGATTTTCGTCATGTTAATTTTCGCGCGCTCGTTGCCTGCTAGTTAACAGGCGCCCACCCCATGAATTGGCATTACATATTAGGATTGCCAAAATAATAGCAAGACGATTAATGGGCCACAATTTTGTTACGGAGAGATAGAGAGAGCGACAGAGTGAGAGTCAACCAAACAACGAGTGTAATAGGCTAAAGTGAGTTCGTCGATTGTGAAAGTGACGAGTGCAAGCGAGAGAGCTACAAACAATTCAGCATTAATGCCCTGTTGCAAACAGGCATGCGCATTCATGTGTTTAACTGCTACGATATAAAGACTTTTGGGCGAGTTATTTGAAGTGAGCAGCCATTTGGTGACTGTGCATACACACTCTCCTTTCCTCCCCTGATCAACAGTCCAATCAACGCAACGAACTACCACCATAGCAAATTGGCAACTGGCAACTGGCAACAACTCGACGTCGTTGACTCGGTGCAGTGGTGCGAGCGAGATAACAGCTGTGCCGGCTGTGCGACGCTTCTGAGTGGGCAATTTGAAATCGTTTTAATTTCGAAAAAGAAACTGCAACCCGCCCGTAAATAGCGCCGCAGCGTACAGTCAAATGCTGTGCGCCTGTTCGCAAACGATTAAATTCAGTTTAATCATCCACTAAACAGCTACGAGATACCGTTTCGTTCGTTATTATTATTATTACATGCAACAAGTCATCGCCTGTCTCTCCCTCCACACACACGCACACACAATGTAAGGGAAACGACCGCAAAGTGGTGTCGAATCGCATGAGAGGCCCATTAGCCAAGCCAGCCATACATACTACGTAGATGTGTGCTTCTTATACGAAACGGGGAAGTGTTTTCAATTGAGTGCGCAAATTGGATTATCCATTCGACAATGAGGAGCACAGAGCACAAGCACCACATCAAACGAATGCAGCAGCAGCCCAGGCCCCAGCCACAACAGAAACATCTCTAATCCCATAAACAAAAAAACACACATATTCGTTCGCTCTACACACGTTTGTCTACACGATATATTCATCTCTGTCGCACCTGCTGCGAGACTTCTAACATAATTTCTATTGAGTTTTCATTGAAAATCTAATCGTGCTGTGTGGAGAGCATGCTGCTAAATCTCATGCAGACCTAGTAAAAATGTTTGTTGTTTCTTAAAGAGCAAGAAGAAGCCCCGGCCCAGCCCGATGTGAGTGTGTATACGTGTCTGGGGTGTGTATGTTCGCTTGAGTTCGGGTTGGTTGGTCGGGTCGGTCTATTTGGCAATGTTGCTGGCACGACGCGGAATGAGTTCGCTGTCTGCTCCTCTCTTTCCACCACATTGTGCCCTGCCCATTGCACACTCACGCACACCTAGAGCTGGCACTCAAGCACTTGGTCACACAGATACACACTCATACAGGCACACACCAATCACTCGCCACTGCGCTTTCTCAGCCAATCACGCTTTCAACTGTGTGTAGAAATGTTGTAAACGGCTGCTTTTAGCGCTGTTCGCCTGTTACCATGTGGAACATTCGCTGAATTGAAACGCCGCTGTTGGCCACGCGGATTGGTTGGATGTGCGCAAGCAACAAAGAAGCGCAACTTTTTCAACTTCATCGACTCTGCTGCGACTGCTATGACTGTTGTGACGACGGCTGCTGCCTGGTTGGGGCCCCAGGCAACAGCAGCGTAACCAACAGCGTTTGCAACTGGCGCAGTCGCGATATTCGCGTCGCGTCGAATGAGAAATGAGAAAATAATTTCAATTGCCTTCCCGAGTGGTTGTTGGAACGCCCGCTGTCCATTCATTGGACACGGCCTATGGACAATTTCCGTCTCCGCCAGCTGTGCTCGACTACGGCACTTAAGAAATTTACCTGCTTAAATTTAAGTGGACGGCATTTTCTCACAACAATCTAGACTAAAAGTATGCACACAAGATCATCGACTCTTTTTGAATGCCAACTTTTTTTGGTTTTGTATTTTTGGAACTCTTAGTAGTTCATTGCTTGACTATCTATACCTAGGTATGTGTTATATAAGTGTTCTATGTCCGTTTAGTTCTGCACGCTCATTGCCAACGTATCGCCGCTGACACTGGCCACACTCTCCTGCGCACCTGCTGTGCCAGAGCTGGCATGCTTTTCGCGTATGCCCAGCCAGGGCAGACGGCGCTCCAGTTCCAGGCGATACTTGGGATGGCTCGTAGCATAGACCCATGGATCGAGGCATGAGACCGACTTGCAGGCCAACATGGGCAGCATTGATATAAACGGAGTTATCAGCTGCTGCTCGCCAAAGCAGCCAATTAAGGCCACCACCGAGTAGGGCGTCCAGGCCAGCACGAAGAGCATATAGATAATAAGAGCTGCCTTGGCAATCCTTAGCTCCACGCTCATGGAATCGTTGCTGGCATTCGCTGACAGAGATTTCACGTTCATCTTCTTGGCCTGGTCGGCCAGCATGCGCTCGTGGGTGCGCACATGGGTAAAGAGCTTGTAGTAGGAGACGAGTATCATGGTCATCGGTATGGCGTACGACCACACGAATATGGTGCGCACAAACAGGCGATTCTCATCCGTATTGGTCAGGTAATCGAAGCTGCACGTAGTCAGGAAGCCCTCTAAAATCGAATGTATCTATAATAAAAAGAGAAGGGAACATTATCGGCTTCTCACCTGGCAGATAGCGACCCCAGATCTGAAAGAGAGGCAGCACCGAAAATGGCGTTGCCCACATCCAGGTGAAGATAATGCACATTATAATCTGGCCATAGCTCAAGCGTCCATCAATTGGATTCGATATGGTCTTATAGCGATCGAAGGCTATAAAAGCATTCGTAATTGAGGCACCCATGCCCGAGATGCCGCCATTCAGTGCATAGATCTCACAGCCCAAATCCCCGCCAGCTATGTAGCCCAGTGCAGCATTGAGTAGGTAATGCGGCATGTTGGTGCACATGAACAGATCGAAGACGGCCAGATTCAGGATTAACAAATTGGAGGGTGTACGCAGAGATTTCGAGCTGGAAATTTAGGTAATTTGGGGCACATACTCCATATACATACATAAAGTCTAGCTTACGTTGAGAATATCCAGATGACCAAACCATTGCCAAAGAGATTGAGAGACATGAGCACACAGAACGCTATGTAGATGCCAGCACGATAGTAGATCGGGGGCGCACGAAAGCCACGCCAATGAGCGTGCACCATGTGCTGATATTCCGCCGGATAATCGTGGCCCAAAGGTAAAACGGCGCCAGCTGCATCGCCGGAGCTGTCGTTCAGATAACTCGCATAGGGCTGTGGCCCGGCGAATTCGTCCTGGCTCAGATACATTTTAACTGAATTACACTTGTAGTACTCGGGACTGCTTGGAATTGAACCACATGTTCACTGTGGATGTCCGCCTCTTGGCTGACCCCTGACATATCGTGCAGCGGCAATTTTATAGTGCACCTTGGTGGCGGGCATGGAATTTAATTAAGGTGGATTAAAAGCCGCACAGCACATTTATCCCCGGATTAGCCAGACTTAGTGGCGTCTTAAGACATTTCTGTGCAGCTTAAATTGAATTTCTGACGCGGCGGCGAACACATTCAAATTCAAATTCCAACGGTTGCGGCTGCAACGGTTCGTTCACTCGCTCTCGCTCGCTCTCTCGTCTAAATCGTAAATTGTAGCAGAAAAATACGAACGAACTTTTGTGCGAAATATGACACTAAGTAACAGGTGCGCAGCACGCGGCAGCTGCTCACAACTCGACGTCTGGCACGCCGGCGAGCACGTGCCCTGTCGCCGCATTTCCGCGGGTCTTTTGCGTGCTTCGACCTGTTTCTTTCAAACGCAAAAATGCGCACCGGCGCGCAGCATCATGCCAATGGCTGCAGGCGAAAACGAGACAACAGCAGTGTTGCTCAGCGAACGATACACTCGTTGTCTCGCTTGCGCATTGCATGCGGTTGCAGACGCTGCCATTGGTTGCTGGACGCCTGGTTGGTTCGGCGCTGTCATTTCACAATGACCCACCTTCACGACGAAGTGTTGACGACTGACAGGAGAGTTTTTTGTGCGTTGGTTGTGTGTGTTGTTTGTACAACAAACGTGTATTGCAGCAACAAAAAACAAGAACAGCAACATTTTCATTAGGCGGCCAGAAAACAACATACACATGACACACAACAGCCTCAGAAAAAGAATAATATGCTTATTTGTTTGTGCTTGCGTATTGGCATATACGTGTTGTATTATTATTGTTGCTTTTGTTGCTGTTGCCGCCGTTGTTGTTGGTTTGTATATCCGCCACCGAGTGAGACCTTGTGCGCCCTACAATGCAGCGACGAGATATTACGATACATCTCATGGGCACAACGTATTGAGAACTCTTCTACTTGCTGCTGTACTCTATATAAGAGTTTTCTTATATTTTTATGCTTAAGTGCTAGCCCTGATTGGTGGTTAGTTCAATCAATTGTTCGTCTTTCTAAACTCTATCAACTGCACAGAGCATAGCTATATGCCGTGTGTACCGCATAACGCCAAGAACACAAGGCTAAACGAGTCGTTCTCGTTCTCGTTCTCGTTCGGCTGAGTTGAGTGTGTTTGCCTTGACCGTAATTTGAGGCCGTTCCCATTGCCAAGTGAAGGACGCACCTTGAAATTCAAGGATTTTGCGCGACTTACGAAATTTCGCAAACATTTTCGGTTTGTCAGTGGGTCAAAGCAAAATTTCGCAAATGCTGTTGACTTGTTTCGACTGTGTTTTGGCTGCTGAGCAGAAAGCCGGATGATGATGACATAAGCAGCTGCTATAATTTTCGAGTGGCATTGAAAGTCATGGAACAAGTTTTCGTTTGAGTTGTGGTGGGCAACTGGAGGGGAAGGTGAGGGGAGGTGTGGTCTCCACGATTCACTCGATGCGTGGCAGCCAATTCAAATGAACTCTCTCGATTTTTTTTATGTTTTTTGGGGGGCAGCCAACGCATTTTGGCTGCCGCAGCCACTTGCTCTGCATTTTGGGCGCCTCATAGCACAGGTTGTGATTTGAGCTTTTTTGGAAGCTAAGGTTAAGGTTACTCTCGCTAATTGTAATGCCGCGCTAACGGTAACTAACCACACCCAACACGTGTGGAAACAAATTGCTGTTGTTGCCGCAAAAAAATAACACCAATTAACGTCTGCGCTTATACATATATAATATATATGCATATATATACATATATATAAATATATATAATGTGCCTGTCCGTCCCGTTTTAATTGTGCGGTCAGTCAGGCCCCAAAATCCAGTTTGGGGAACAGGCGCACACAACGCAGCAACAAGTAGCCTCTTGGCCCCAATGCCAATGGCAGCAGCAGCAGCAGCGTAAATCGTAAGTGCGAGCAGCTCCAATGGAGGCGGATATGGGACGCGTGTTTATTATGGGCGTGTTGATTATCGATGATTAGGTATAGGGAAGACATATGGCTTACATACATACATACTTTCATACTAATATACATGCATATGCATATGGTTGCATTGCCATTTAGACGCATCTGAGCTAGCAATTCCAATCACGTTGGCGAATATATATAGATATATACAAACACATTTTTATTATCATTCAAATTTGAAAAAAGCTTTCTGTACTATTATTATTTATATAAGTATTTTTTAATTAGTTTTCATATATATTATCGTAATATTTTTTTTTGTAATTTTTTCTTATCTACGGGTACATATATGTATATTTCGAATAATATCTACAAATGTCAAACACAATTCATATGCTTAACAATAAAGGTATGTGAGCTCTATAAATTTATTTTGCATATTTATTTATTATAGATAGTATTTTGTTTGGTATTAATTATTATTTTTAAATTATTTAATATTAAATTGCTATAAATTATATTTATTACTGTAGAGAAAACAACTTCAAGGAAATTAAAATTAGGCTGTTGTTTGCAATAATACATATATTTTAAATTTTAATATTAATTATTAATTTAGTTAACCAATGATGTGTTTATGTATTTGTTAAAAAATAATTTTAAAATATTTCATTTTATATGTAATATAATATTTACACACATAATCCCATATAAAATAATGAAATGTATATGCATGTATGCATGTGTGCATGTGTGTGTATGCTCATATTTACATATATTATGCGCCTGGTAGTTAAATGAAATGTATGAAAATATGTGTATAAGAGTCAAGGCTGACCACAAGCTGACCACCAGCACAACAGACAGGCAGACATATAGAGAGCAGCTCCAACGGCGACCGCCACAGCCACAGCACGCACATAAAAACTGGTTCTCACTGGGGCAGCTTCTTCTCAGTCACGCACAGGCATACATACATACATAGAGATGTACATGTACTTATGTCAGACAGACACATCATGTGTATGTATGTAACACTCTGTACTCTTGCATGTGTGTGTGTGTTTTTGTAGTTTGACTTTTATCTTTTCGTATTTTTTTGTGTTGGGGCACGCAGCTGTGTGACATGGCGATCTGCAGCTGGGCATGCTGCTTGCCTGTTAGTATGCATGTGGGAAAACGTTGAACGCCCACAATAATAGATGTTTTTTTGCTTTGTATGTTTGTTGTTTGTTAGTTGTGTTAGTTGTAGTTGTTAGTTTAGTTGAATGAGAGTGCTCTCTCGCCGGCTAGGCAGCTAAAGTTGTAGTTGTAGTTGTGCCGCTTGCGGCACTTTAGTCACCTGCGAGCGCTTTTCGCGTTTGCTGCGAGCCTAGCTAAGTTTTGTGCAATAAGCAAAATGACGGGCACAAAACAAAATGTCCGGGGCCCCCAATGTGTCGCTTCCGTTGCCGGGGGCCATGATTATAAGGCGCCATTGCAATCAATTTCAATTTCAATTGCTAGTCAGCCAGCCCAGCCCATCACATCAACAACAACGACACTGTGGCGATGGCATCTAAATCCGTTCCGTCATAGTTGTAGTTGTGGTCGTATGTGTGTAGTCGCAATCGCAATTGTTGGCGTCATTTCTGTTGGCCTGTGATGTGAACAAACAAAATGACTACTCAAATTTGCGCAAAATGTTCGTGCGACGTGCTGCAACTTGTGTGTGTGCCTGTGTATCCAAAGGGGAGGCGAGGAGCTCTGTTGTTTGCGTTAGAATTTCAAACAAACATGTCGCTGTTGCTTTTCTACCAAATACATACAATATGTGTGTGTGTGTGTGTGTAAGTGTATGTGCCTGCAGAGGTTTTTTCCTTGTTGTTTTTGTGACGCTTGGCAAGTCGCTGGGGGCATGTCCGGGCGCATTTGGGGGCGTATTCAGCCTGTTTGTCGAATATAATTGCTGAGCTTGGCCAAGGGAAATTTGCAATTTGCTAGAGCGCCATCTGTGGGGCGTTGGCAAGAGCTACGAATGATAATGCCACGTTACTAGTCAAGCCTCCCAATTAGTAACACAAGTGTCTAAATACAAACGCACACAAATACTACAAACACAAATACATACATACATGCATGTACTTCAGAGCGTGCTATCTATCCACAAAGGGCAACAGCCTCACCGAGTTACCTTGTAACAAAAGTGACAGCCAGACTGCAACACAGTTCATATTACGAACAATTAGCTTAACTGCCAGTAATAATCGTTTAAAGCGGCTCTTTCTTACTTATTATAGCACACTCGGCAAAAGAGCAAACAGCCAACACTCACTCAGCATGCAAACACAAGCGCGCACACAAGCAAACCAACTCAAACACACACACATACGACCAGTCGCATGGCAATTGAACCAAACCCCTGCCACTGTAACAGCTGCCATCTCGTTCGCACACACAACTTGGCCGCACCTTCTCCACCAGTGTTAAATGTGATGAGATAGCGCTTAGCTCTTTTTGCTGGTCGCCTGGTAAAAAAGAGGGAATTCACTTTTGGCGGGGTCTCGTTTTTCCTGCTTTGTCCAATCGGCCTTTTTGTGGGCGCTGTCTAAACTAGTCCAATTGTATCGCCCGTCACCACGTCGCAACCCTCGGTCGACCAGTCGATGCCAGTTGTTGATAAGGCAGTGCCAGCCGATGATAACAGTGCGCTGGGCCTGGAGAACTGTTCTTGCAAATTAATTTGTACGGTAGGCGTGGTTGTTAGGCCTCCGCCCACATAGCACGTGTTGATTACAAAATTGCCATTGCGCACAAAGCTCGGCATGCAGAGTCCACGTTGTATATACATGCATACATGCGTACATACAAAGAATGTATATGCATATACTTTTAACATGCGATTTAAAGTACTTCAAATGTACAGTACTTAATCGATTCCTACGAAATTAATGAAACAGCATTTTTTGCTCTGTTGGAACGCTCGGGACATTTTGCTGCGTTTGCAGTAGCCGTGATCAGCATACTAGGCAGAGAAGCTTTAAGACCGGCCAGCGCACAGCGGCGGCAAATTGAGCAACAAAGTTGGGGAAAGAATCGCCCCACATGTGCTGGCAGGTGTGTGTGCGACCCATGATATGCCAATTATTCTGCACTTGTAGCTACTATCTTAATTAGTTCTAATATTGTCTAGAGGATGCAATCTCTTCAGTCTTCGCCTATTGTTGTTTATAGCCAGGTTGCTTGCGAGATGGTTAGGATGCGCTGCAAGTCTGTCCGCGTATCTTGAACTGTGTCGCCCAATGAGTTCAGCAACTGTGGGAATTGCTAAATCCCTATGTAAGACTGAGTTTCTTACAAACCAGCTGGCTCCAGTCCATCTGCGTAGTGCTTTATTCTGCAGGGTCTGAATTTTGTTCCTTGTAGTCTTCGCCGAGGAGCCCCATAGAGAGATACCATATACGAAGGTTGGGACAACTATTGCCTTGTAGATGGCGGCCTTGCTGCTGTAAGACAACTTGCTTGAAGCTCTCAGCATCCAGTCGAGGGTTTTTAGCTTGCTTTTGCATTTTGAGGTTACTTGACTTATGTGCGCTTTAAAAGTCAGCCTTCTGTCAAGAGTGATACCAAGGTACTTTACTTTTGAGGCTTTGGGAATAGTGGGCCCCAATGCAACGCTTGGGCAATCTCCTCTTCTAGTGGCGAAGGTAGTATGTACAGACTTTTGTGCATTAATGGTGATACACCACCGTTTTGCCCAGCGTCCGAAAGAGTCCAGATATTTTTGTAGTGAGTCTGAAGCTTCTTGCGCAGATACGTGACGTGATAAGATGGCGGTGTCATCTGCATAGGTCGCTATGAGTACTGCATCTGTACTTCCTATATTTGGCTCGGGAGTTGGCATATCTCCTGTGAATAAAGTATAAAGTGTTGGGCCTAGAACACTACCCTGTGGTACTCCAGCCATAATTGGTCTAGTCAAGGATACTGTTTGCCCCCTTGACACTTGGAAGGTTCTTCCAATAAGGTATGAGGATAGCAACGCGAAAAATGGGGCTGGAAGGGTGGTCCTCACTTTCTGCAGCAGTCCCAGGTGCCAAACTCGATCAAACGCCTGTTTGATGTCTAAAAAGACGGCAGAGCAGTACATCTTTTCTTCAAAGGCTCCAAGGATATGGTGCACAACTCTGTGAACCTGTTCCGGTGTTCCATGCTGTCTCCTGAAGCCAAACTGATGGTTTGGAATGGCCTCCTGGCGTCCCAGATGTGTCAGTACTCGTTCCAGAAATATTCTTTCGAATATTTTGGAGAGTACTGGCAACAGGCTAATTGGTCTGTACGACTCAATTTCTCCCACGGGTTTGCCAGGCTTAGGAATCATCACAATCACGGCGCGCTTCCAGCAGGCTGGAAAGTGCCGGATGCGGAGCATGGCGTTGTACACCATAGTTATGTAGTCTATGGTGGAGTCAGGCAGTGCTCTAAGGACTCTGCCGTTTATTAGATCATATCCAGGGGATTTTTTTGCCTTCACTCTTCTGATGTGTTCAAGAACCTCTTCTTTTGTACATCCAGTTATCTGGTCTTCAGCTGGGAGGGGCGAGAGAACGATGTCTTCTGTTGCTTCGATTTCTGAGGCCTCTGCGGTAATCACCGGCGTGAATTGGTCTTGAAGGTGGTTTGCAAAAGCCTCAGCTTGAGCTTCGTCTCCAATGTGCCAGGAACCAGAAATGCTCCGAATGGGATGACGTCGTATTGGCTGCCGTTTGAGCTTTCTTGTAAATTTCCATAATTGAAACTCTGCGTCAGTGGGCGATTCAGCTCGTACCAGCGCATCGCTGATACACCTCTTTTGAAGCAGGGCGAGAGCAGCTTTAAGATGCCTCGTGGCTTCGTTGTACATGGATTTGGCATCAGGCGTGCGTAATCTTAACCAGCGTCTCCTGGCCCATCTTTTGTGTATTAGTAGGTGTTGGGCCTCCAAGGTGAGGGGGATGTTGTACGGAGACTGTTGTCTTGTTTGGCAAGATGGTGGGGCGGCTTGGTGCGCAGCTTTGACTATTTCTTCCTGCAGTTTGTTTGCTGCGTAGTCCACGTCTTCAGGAGTGTTAAGTTCCATTTCTATGTGCAAAGAGTAATGGAGCTCGCGCCTAAAGACTCCTAAATCTGATCCTGCTGGCAGTAGTTGTTTCCTAATGGGCAAGGGCTGTGGCTGCGCGTGGATTGTGACTATTAGTGGCAGGTGGTCAGAGGATAGGTCCAAGGATTCTTCAATGGTCAATTGCCGGTCACAGATGCCTTTGTAGACAGCGAAGTCGATTGCCGAGGGCCTGTGTCCATTAATTGGGTAACGGGTGGGGGCTCCAGTCGCCAATATGCTGAATTGTAAGTTTTGAATCGCCTCAAATATGACTTCTCCGCGACGATTCGCACTATTGCTTCCCCAAAATGGGTGCCATCCATTCCAGTCGCCGCCGATGAGGGTCTTATTCAACCTTTGGCCTAGAACCTGTTCCATGTGATGATCACACAGACCAGTGTTTGGCGGAAGATAAATTGACGCAACTTCGATCGCTCCAATAGACGTAGGCAGGGTGATGGCTGAGACCTGCATTGTTGCGTTGCAAATTGGCAGTAAAGGTGTATGCGGTATTGTTGCTCGTATGAGGATTGAGGATCCACCAAAGCAGTTTGCTCCTTCACCATGAGCCTGATAGTGTTCGTATCCGAAAATTTGTGTAGTGGGGCACTCATGAGTTTCTGTTATTAACATTATATCTATGTTTTCTTGTGAGAGAAACGCAGCCAGTTCCTGAGTCTTGTTTCTCAGGCCATTGGCGTTCCAGATACCCACACGTAAAGCCATTATTTGTAGGCAAGCTTGGTTATGATGGCCATTAAACTGTTTAGCATGGTTGCTTGTTGGGATTGTACTTCTCGCATCGCTTTGAGCTCGGCATTAATTGCGTCAAACTGACGTTGTTGTTGCTGAAGCATTTCAGTGAACAAAGTGTCACTTGTGGTATTCTTATTTGACGGTCCACCTCTAGCGGCCTGTGCGTAAGAAACACCACTAATAGGCGTTGCAAAGCTCGTGGCTTGGGTAATGCTCCGGGGCCTTGTAATTTCGGAAGCAGTACTCGGACCCGTAGACGGTGTTTGTGTGGGACTCCTTTTTTGTGCTGGGGATTGCAATTTGCGCAACCGCTTGTATACTTGGCAGCCCTTATAGTTGGCTGGGTGCTGTAACTCACAGTGCACACAAGTTGGTGCCTGGTCCTTTTCGCGGGTGCAGTCTTTGGATGCGTGTTTCCCGGCGCAACGCACACATCTGGGAGCTTTGTGGCAGTAGCGTTGTGTGTGTCCAAATTCTTGACAGCGATGGCATTGTGTCAGGTCGTTGTATCTTCTTGGCAGTTCCACTGTGCAGCGTTGCCTGCAGACAACTCGAATGTCCAAAATTTCTTTGTTGTTGGGGGCCTGAGCCACGTCAACAAAAAATATATTTAGCGGTGTTTTGTCCATACGGCTCAGTGGGTTGTGCACATTTGTAATTGTGTGGCCTTTGGTTTCCAATTCCTTTTTAATTAGTGTTGTATCAGTGCTGGAGTGAAGCCCTTTGAACACGACTCTATATGGTTTGTCCTCCTTAAGCTGGTAGCAGTGGAACTCCAATTCCAGCTTAGTAAAGTGGTCTATAACTCTGCGATAGTCCTCACTGCATTGGGTTAATACACCTATGTTATTCTTCTTTGGCTTAATTACGTATGATTTAGCATCAATTACTTTATCTATTATCTGTTGAAGTAGGGCCACAGACTTGATGTTTGGACACCATATGGGGGGCGGACGAGGTTTCGGAGTAGTTTGCTGGTCGGTCAATACTGGGGCTTCTGGAGCTACAGGTGATTCGCTGTAGTCTTCATCTTCTTCTACGAGCAGTGAAAATCGATTTTCTGATATTAATGCTGCATTGCTGGTGCTTGGTTCGTCGAAGATGAGCCTTTTCTTGATGGTTTTTGGTGAATTTGGCTGTTTACGTTTCGTGTTTTTGTTGTTAGTGATGCCTTGCACGGAGGCGATATCTATTTTTGAGTTTATTGGCATGATGGAGGCTTGCCTATTTGCCATCACAACGTTAAGCTGGGCTTGCATTTCTGCATTTACCTTTACAGCTGTAGCGAGGTTATTGACATTAGATGTCATCGCGGATTGTGCTTTTGAGTGCAGGCGCACTCGCGCCAAGCGACGAAATTTCGTAAATTGCAATTAAAGCAATTGAGTTACGCGGAAGCAAGCGATAAGAAAACGCTGCGTGTGCGGTTTTTGTTGCTGTTGCGTTGAAGAATGCACCGCAAAGTTCTATTTTTAGAACTCTGCAGCAGTAGAGCTTAAGCGAAGGCTGTTCGAATTCACGTCTTTACAGGTCGAACGACTGATCGCGATTGGGCAAAAAATTGTTTTTACATTTTCAACGATGTTGTTAACAGGGCACACTATTGCCTTTAACAGAACATATGTTGCTTAGATATGCATCGATAGGTTGGTCAACGCTAAAATTATATCGATAGTTGTCGTAATAAATCAACAAACATTGATCGAGTCATCAAGTGAAAGCGGGGCTATCAGTTGTGTCGAGCATCGCGCGGTTGCGTTATAAAGATTAGTTAATTAAAAGCATATGTAATACCTTGTTGACAGGGTGAAAGTTCACAGACAGTCGACAATGTCCGCAAAGACAGCAACCAAACCGATTAAAGCGGCTTCCAAAGAGCCGTCGTCGTTGACCAAACTCTATCTGTTTGCCTACAATGCCATTCAGGTGGGTGGCTGGAGCTACATCCTGTATCAGTTGATCAACTACTATGTGCTGGAAGGTCCCCAGTTTCGTGCACAAATCACGCTGTGGGATTACACGCGTCTCGCCGTCATCATCTTCCAAAATGCTGCCTTTGTGGAGATCCTGAATGCAGTCTTCGGCTTGGTCAAATCGAATCCTGTGGTGACCACCTTTCAGGTGTTCAGCCGCATGATGGTGGTCGTCGGCGTTGTGATGGCCACACCGACAGGCAAAGTGTCACCCGGCCTGCCAATCGCTCTCTTCGCCTGGTCCATCACTGAGATTATACGTTATGGCTTCTATGCCTTGAACATCATTAAAGTTGTGCCCAAACTTGTGGTCTTCCTGCGTTATACCACATTCATTGGCCTGTACCCCATTGGAGTGACTGGTGAGCTGTTGTGCTTCTGGTGGGCACAGCGCTATGCCCGAGAGAATAGCGTCTGGAGCCTGGAGATGCCCAACAAACTGAATGCCACGTTCTCCTACTATGCGCTCCTCTGGATCGTCATGCTGGGCTACATTCCCATATTCCCGCAGCTCTACATGCACATGTTCACGCTGCGTCGCAAGATTTTAGGCGGCGACAGCAAAAAGAAAGCCAACTGAACTTTAGCCAGCTCTCGCCTTGATTGGCTCTTTGCATAACATCGCTAATTAAAAACTGACTTTTGCACTTTGGAGTGCAGCTCACCTTAGCCTGACATCGACGTTTCGCGCTTAAGCTAATATCACTGGGGGTCTTTGTGTACAAATTGAAATTAAACAAACATTCTTATTTTCCATTTGCGTCGAACGAGCTATGCATTTTAATTATTTGCTTGGGTTGCAACAATAAACGATTGTGGGTAACTAGTGCTGCGACCATTGGATGGTCTTCAGGTCGATGCCCTCCTGCACCATCTCCCAGAGGGGCGACATTTCGCGCAGTCGCTCCACGTGTTTAATGCACTTATTGGCCGTGTAGTCCACCTCCTCGATGGTGGTAAAACGTCCGATGCCAAATCGTATGGAGCTGTGGGCCAAGTCCTCATCGGTGCCAATGGCTCGCAGTACGTACGATGGCTCCAGCGAAGCTGAGGTGCAAGCCGAACCGCTGCTGAGCGCTACATCCTTCAGGGCCATTAGCAGCGATTCGCCCTCGACGTAGGCAAAGGACAAGTTAAGGCAACCACTGTAGGTGTGCACCGGATCGCCATTGCGTATCACATGCGGCAAAGAGTTCGTAATGGTGTCCATTAGACGCTTCGAAAGAAAATCCACCCACTTCTTATCGTAATCCATCTCTTGCATTGATAATTCAGCTGCGGTACCCAGTCCCACAGCCAAGGGAGCGGGCACGGTGCCACTGCGTAGACCACGCTCCTGGCCACCTCCACTCTGAATGGGTTCGAGGCGCACGCGTGGACGGCGTCGCACGTACAAAGCACCCACGCCCTTAGGACCATATATCTTATGTCCCGATATTGACATCAGATCAATGTTCATGGCATTCACATCAATGGGTATCTTGCCCACAGCTTGCGCTGCATCCGTGTGAAAGAATACTTTGCGTGAGCGACACAGCTTGCCAATCTCCTGAATGGGCTGCTTTACGCCAATCTCATTATTGACCGTCATAATGGAAACGAGTGATGTGTCCGGAGTCATTGCCTCCTCCAGCTGTTTTAGTTCAATGATGCCATTGGCCTGCACGGGTAAGTAGGTGACCCGATAGCCCTCGTTCTCCAGTGCCCGGCACGAGTCCAGCACGCACTTGTGTTCAGTCTGGGTTGTGATCACATGCTTTCTGTTGGTGCCATAGAAGCGGGCTACGCCTTTCACTGCTATATTATTTGATTCGGTGGCGCCGGATGTGAAAATAATTTCTTTGGGATCGGCGCCAATTAGCTTGGCCACCTGTTCGCGTGCGACTTCCACAGCCTGCTCTGTCTCCCAGCCGTAGGCATGTGTACGCGAATGTGGATTACCAAAGCAATTGGTCAAATAAGGAAGCATTGCGTCCAGGACGCGCGGATCCATTGGCGTTGTGGCCTGCGCATCCAAGTATAAGGGTCGCCCCTCTGTATGCTCATTCTTGATGTTGAAACGTACCTGACGCTCACGAAATTCTAACATGACAACGAATAAGTCAATGTTTGAAGAGATAATTACTTGGATTTTTACCTTTTGATGTGGTCGCTTGATTTTTTGTCGATGGCTTGGCAGCTGCTGCGGCTGTCGAGCTCTGGCGCAGAACAAACGCTAACGATGTGACATTTGGACGCAGGACCTGAGCCTGCAATCGGCCCAACATTTTCTGCATATTTATTTGTACTGCACGTGTGTTTGTGTTTGCGTTTTTACAATTATTTACTTCTATTATTTCACAATCTAATCAGAAGCAGCCGAGTTAGTATGCGTTTTACAGCACTGGTCTGCGAATCGATGTTATGCAGGCACAAACAGTGTTGCCAGACCATTTAAATTGTTGGCGCCCAATTGAGTTGTTTTAAAATGTGGTTCATTTTACAAATTTAATAATTAAAATTACTTTATGTTGATTGTGCGGTTTTAATTAATTGGACCAATTTAATACTTTCACGTTAGTTAAAAATTGTTATAATTTCATGTTGTATATACATAAAAGCATAAAATATATATTGCAAAAATAGACATATGTATACATATTTAAATGGTATGCAGTGGTGTATAATTTCCTCCTCTCCTTGCTCTAATTTCTTTTATATAAAGGTGTATATATATATATATATATCATATAATATGTATATGCCTATTGCTTGTAATTAGAATAATTTTTTACATTTGAACACTTAACTTGTCTGTTTTGTCAGCTAGCAACGATTTTCGATTACAACTTTAAGCTTATTAACTAAATAGATTAACGAGTGATTTCTGTTTTTGTTTTGTCTCTTTTTGCGGTAAATCTGTTCAAAAGTGCTACTTTGTTCGTACGAATTGGTTAAAATACACATATACACTAACACAATATTGATAATTTAACAGCAAATAATAGGCTTCATAAAAAACATAATTGAAACTGGCTAAAGTTAAATAAATAAACGTCAACAAATCCAATAACCATTGCCTATTGCATAACGGCCTGTCCGTTGTCAAAGTAATTGCTCTGTGACCAGCACAACGCTCTGCTCCAGCGCAATGGCTGCCAGCTCCTTTAGCCACTCGTCTAGCAGCACGGCGCACAAGGCCAAATCACGTGATCGCTCTGTTCCGCTGGTGTTCGCTATGATGCCCATTGAGGCCACCGAATCGAGCGATACTGGCTCCGAGTTAAAGCTGGCCGTTTGTACACCACTCTCCACGCCATGCAGCGTACTGGACGAGTGTGTCCCAGATAAGGTTTGAGTAGAGCCACCAATCGAGCTATTGCTGCTGCTACCCACATTCGTTTGTGCCTCCTGTCGTGGTGCGGTGCTCAGACTCGTCTCACAAGTGTTGCCTCGCGAGCTATCCTGCGCACCGCCGCGTGCACCACTCACCTCCCCACTGTTGCCACCCACCAGCGTGGATGCTGCGCCTGTAATATTCAAATTTGGATTAGTTATTTCCCGATGGAAGCTCTATTCGATGGCAGCAACGACAACAGGTAAACGTATGATATTAAAGTGGATACAGTTAGAGCAATATATATATGTACAAAGCTACAGGAGGCGTCTAAATACTCAACAGCTTCAATAGCTAACGACAATGCAATGATGGATTTTAGTTGGATTGTTTTACGGGTTATATCAGTATAAATATTTATATTTAAAGAACTTTTACTTAAGCGTGAAATATTTACCGGTGAAGAATGCGTAAATTTGTGATAAGCCAGATGAAGCTAAGTTTTTCGTAGTAGAATAATTTTTTGTTCATATCGATCAAAAAAATAAACAATAAAGAAAAAGAGAGACAAATTGATTATAAGCAACGACGTCTGCAGACATTGTACAAGATCTACGTTAAGTGTGTTTCTTGTGTGGTGCATCAACTGAATTCCAATGGCCAATTTATTTTTGACATTTAACTGCTTTTCGCTTTAGCTGAAAATGAGATTCAACAAGCATGCGGGCATACAGCGCTTGACTACCACGTCGTCTTATCTCTTCTGTGAGTAATATCATATCGTGGCAATGACATATATAAATATAAACAATTTACTTTACTTTTTAGTTGCCTTTGTTGCTAATTTATATTAAACAACTTTGACCTTAAGCTGGGCAGCTTAAAAATAGTTGAACTCTTTCAACATAATAACTAAAGACTATTATAGTAATTAAATGATATGACAATTTAGTACATATTATGGGTATTGAACAGGCATATATATATACATATGAATATGCTTCGTTAAATAAGAAATCATTTCTTCAGTTTTGCACAAAGATTATTTGGCCATTGGAAACAGTCTATTATCATATGTTTATGAATTTATTTATGTGTGTGTATGTGTTTGTGTCTGTATGTGTGCATTTAATGGTTAAGATCCCAAAACCGGCTTTCTTCCAACATCCGCTGCTGTGTTTTGTTTACTTGTGAATTTTTTTTGTTTTTGTTTAAATAAAAGTAAGTTGTGCAAAATGGTTAGATAAGTCGTGTACCACGGCATCACCTACCTGAATTTCCATTGGTCGCCGGCGTGGACGATGTTGATCTGCGGCTAAACATGCTGGTTATGGACTTGCTTATGCTGCGTCGTTTGTTATCGCTGCGTCTAAACGGATCATAGGCACTGGTGGGCGATGCCTGCACAGGTGTTGTTGCCGATAGCGTCGCATAGGTGGAACGATGTTGGGCCTGTTGTAGCTGCTGTGTGTGATTGTTGGCTTGCTGTAGCTGCTGATTATGTTGCTGATGCGGCTGTTGCTGCTGGTGCAGTGGTGAATTCTCACTTATCTTGCGGACATTGACCAAGCGGAACTCGCGATCAATCAGATACGAACGTGCCACATCGATAATCTCAAGCGAGTTCTCGGCGACCGGTAGCTCAGCATCGATTTGCTGTTTGAGCATGCGCAACACCTGATGGAACGATGGCGTATCCGAGGTGATGGCAATGTCGGAGCGGAGTAACAGCGAATGGATGAGCGGCAGTGGATACCAGGCGAGTCGTGTGATTAGCCCAGTTAAATGCAGGTTGACGTACAACGAGTTGCTCGTAAAGGTTTGCAGTTTGCCCCAAATGGCATTCAGAAAGGGACCTGTCGAAGGTGAAAGGTAAACATATATCAAAATATATTGCATGAAAGCATTTCAGCTGGAACTCACCTAAGCTTACGGTGCCCTGCGCAAACAAATCCTCCGAGAAATCCAAATCGGTGAGCAATATCTCGTTGCGACTGCTGTGCGATATGCGCCATGAGTCGCGTCGTCCACTGCTGATGCTGCTGCTGTTGTTATGATCCAGATCCGTGTCACTTGCAGACGCCGTTGTTGTCGTCGTCACATCAATGCCCTCGGCATCCTCATCGGCAGGTCGCCACTTGAACGACTCATAGCCACTTGATTCACCTATCGATTGGAGGCTATCTAGCTGCTTTTCACCCGCTTCACTGGCCACGGGCGCCGCAACCACCGGAGCTGCTGTGCCGAATTCGCTGAAGAACTGCTTAGCCAGTTCCAGAGCATGGGCGGTGGCGCGTGCTTGACCCTGTCTTGGCCATTTTTGATAACGATAGCTGTTCGCCCATTTCCCACAGTCGCGCTGACACTGAGCGATCCGCGAATGTGCCTCAAACAGGTAAGCCTGCACGTTGGCATACAGGCTGTCGCCCGTGTAGTGTCCATAGTAGTTCCAGTTGGCCCCAATAGTCTTGCTCATGACTGGCGAGGGCAAACTGAGAAGCAAGGCAGGTGATGGTGCCGTAGCCGTTGTCGTTGCTGGTTCTATCGGCTCCTGAACACTCTTTGGCCTCGCCAAGTCGCGGGCGCGCTTCATCACATCGGGCGTTAGCTCCAAAAAGAACTCGGTCGTGTTCAGATAAGGATCGATCTTGTTGATCTTGTGACGATGCGAGATGGGCACATGTTTGCCCGGCAGCATATACTTCAGCAACAGCTCCAGCATCAAATCCTCGCAGTGCAAGCCCAACAAAGTGTCAAATAGAGCCATTGTAACCATACACAAATTGGCATCGGGCGAATGGAGGCGCTCCACAAGAGCATCCAAAATCCGTTCACCATCAAATTTCTCTGTATCCAACAGAAATTTGACAAAGGCACGCATAAGGCCGGGCTCCGTAATGGAGCGTAATATCAAATCGAGATAGGACATGGCCGAGATTTGTGAGTCGATGTTCGTCTGAAAATGTTTGCCCTTCAGTGTCTGCGAATTGGAGCGCAAAAAGTTGTTTCGAGATTTCGAGGCGAGGTGTGTTTTGGTTAGCTTGGGGTCGGCCCAAAATGAAGAAAAGGATAGCACACATACTATATACTACGTTTATGTCGCACACATCACGAATGGCATTATCGTTTCTTGATTGAATATAGAACCATTTTACATCCAGCAGAAAATGAAAGCAAAACTTTTTGCGATTGACGAAGCACAAAACTTTGAAGTTATTTAAAGATCTGACATAATGATTGCGTATAAACGTAGTCATAGATATATAAGTAGAAGCAAACACACACTGAGACAAGAGCACCAAGGACAATTGACAATTGACAAATTTTGCAACCAACACCACAGAAATGCATCGAAGACAAGTTTTTACGTGTGAGAGCACAAAGCAAAAAACGAGACTCACCTGCAGTATAGCTGGGCCCAGCACCGGTACAATGAAGCCTTGGTACATGAAGTCCAGCAACTGTTGCTTAATCATCTCGTGCGCCACCTGCACCACTGCATTGCAGAACTCGAGGGCATTCATGAAGAGCGTTAGCTCTGGTATTTCGGTTACATCGTCGGGCGTAATGCGATGCCAGTCAATGGAATTGATCTCAATGCTGTTCGGAAGGCGAGAGTAGAGTCCACCAAGGCCGGTGACAAGCAGTGGGCAAATGGACGAGTATTGTGCTATATAGTGGCCAATGTTGGAATTCTTCTGCGATAGGGCCATGCAGAGCAGCAGAGCATCTCGCGCCTGATGACCCAAGCTGCCCTCCCGGTGCACGTAGGGTATGAGCAGCGAAAATATGATGAAACTAAGCAATTGGAATGGAATAATTGTCAATGAAAGTTTATAAATTTCTAGTTTTTGACTCACTTTGTTGTTGTTCCACTTTTGGGCGGAGGCAAACTTCCATTTTGTATTTGCTCCTGCACTTGGGTTTGGGCCGAAAAGAAGAATAGATCGAGCAGATGGACATTCTGCATGAGGACGACGCACAACTGATTCAGCAGTATGACCAAACGTTTCTCTAGGTCAGGCGGAAAGATTTCGCCTTGGCTGGAAGCGAGTATCTTGAGCAGCGGCCGCAGAAATGGCTCGTGACACAACAGCTGATGGCGCGAGTGGCTCACCAGCAGCTCATACAGTTTCAGCTGCTCCAGGCGCACAGCGTTCGCATAGCGACCCGTTGTGCTGGCCCATTCGTACAGCTTGTCCAGCAGATTCTCGCTGAGCAAATACTCCAAGCAGGGCGCTGCAGGTGGCGCAGAGTCGGCCGAGGGTAGTGAAACCTTGTTGCAATGATGCAGTTCAACCAGCAGCAGCGTTACCATATAATCTAAATGCGAGACCACGCCCAGCACATCATCATGCGTGGGCGTTCCCGGATGCTGAATAATTTCATGCGCCTGCTGCCAGTGCTTGCAGAAACTATCATAGCAGGCGCGTGGATCACAGTCTGTGGCTGCGTCTATCGGTCGTTGACGCATCGTTGTTGCAGTGCCAGAGCTGCCGTTGCCAGAGCTGCCACTGTTGCGCGTCAGACTTTGACGCAATGGACTCGTACGAAGCCAACTCATTTTGGGTTCGTTCCGTTCGGCTATTCCGTTGAGCTTTGGCGGCGTAGTTGCGATAAGTGTAGTAGTTTGGCATGTATTGTTGTTATCTTGCAGTTTGTGCTTTGTCCGAGCTTTGTGTGAGTATTCTCGTTCCCATACATAAATATACAAATAGATTTTATAGCTGAAACATACAAAAGCGTCAACCAGATAAGCTTTGACCATTGCATCTTCAACAACGAATACACCAATAGCAGCAACAACAATTGCAACAAGAACATACATAAATACATACAGACATCTGCATCATACACTCTCACTCATTCGCATGCATACATACATACAGACAAATGTATTTATTTGGGCAGGCGAGCGAGCAAGTAGCGTTTGATAGTCACTGAAGCGCTGCGAATTGTTGTTGGCACATTGCTTACTAAGTTTTCTGATTACCTGCTGAATTTTTATAGTCCACTTCGTCATCGTCTTGGCGTTTTTGTGTGCTGAAAGATTCTTCAACCAGGTATTGCCGTTTAGCGCGCGTAACACCACTAACTTTTTAACTGGCTTTTTTTGGCACTGGGAAATTATAGCGAAAAGACGATGTCGACGACAGCACGGCCCCGTCCTTGTGCGCGCACTTGACAGGTGGAAAATACGCAATAGTGGTTTGTTTGCTGTTCACCTACATGCACGGAACATTATTTACACTTTAATGCCTCATTTTGGACTATTTTTGATTGGTTTTACGCGAAATTATTTCATTTTTATAAATATTTACAACAAATAGAAAGTAATGAATGAATTGGTGGTAGTCGAACGATAGATTAGTGGTGGTCGCCCGATTACGATAAGTCAAACCATTGTGAATATTTTTACAACACTAGTTTACGAGCACCCGATTGTTATTTTACATTTATTTACCGATTACAACCAAATTCATTTCGCGCTTAATATATCGAAAAGAACTACTTTGAACTACTGCAAATAAACAGATTTATTTCTGCTGAATCGCAATTTATTGATTAATAATAATAGACATACACTTTCTTTAGCACACAAATTACGTAGTTATATTATAAACGCATTATTACAAAAGAACAACAGCACAAAGAAGATATGCAATGAATAGTTTGTATATATAGTCATTAATAGTTTGTTACGCTCCTCACATTGACGTGCTGTTGCGGATTTTTTTTGTTAATTAATATTCGTGTCAATGCGAGTCTTCTTCTTAATTTCATAAAACCATTAACCAAGTTAGAGTTGCACATGTTAAAAATTCTTTGTATGATTTTGCTAACAAATAACATAGTTAAATAAATTGTCTCTAAGTATTTGTAATAATAGGTAGTAAAAAACGGAAACGGTCTACAACAGTGTGTCCAAATGTCAACTCACATCGGCAACAGCGACGGACCGGCACTGCTTGATCGTGAGCTGGGCCTTTCTATGGTCATAGTTTGCTGTGGTACTTGGCTATCGGTGCTTATGCCCAAGCCAGTATAGATTTCCTTCATCACAAACAATATGGTGTCCTCAGATCCCCTGTTATTTAAAATATAAAACTAGAATCCAAATTTGAGCAATATTAGATCAACGACTCACCAATAGCAAACGTGGCTACTGAGTGCAAAAATATACTCGTTGATGAACTCAAGTGGTGCCTCCTGCAACACGTAGTCCACCCGTTTCGAGTCATTCAATTTACCCAGTGGAAAATCGAGCTCAATGAATTCAGGATCTGACGCTGTCGTCGACTCGGAGTCGGTACGATTACGCGCATTTGTTGAAGTAGTCGCTGTTGACATATCATCGGTTTCCTCAGCTTGCTTATTGAAGAGCTGCGAAGTACTCTTTAGAATGGGTTAGTATTCAAATCAATCGAATATCAATGTTAATTTAGTTGAAACTTACTGCGGTCACCTCCTTTTCCAGCGTCTCTTCGGCCTCCTTCTTGACCCTGGTCACTGTGGCTAAGAAATTGACGCTATCTAGTGTTGTCTTGAACGTATCCATGAATCGTTGCTTGATGTCCGCTCCCACACGTGTCATTGTCTCCTTCAGCTCAAGGTGCATGCGCTTGCGTCCCTTATGATGTGGAATCAACACGGGACGAATGCCCTTCATATCCGGATTGACTAGAGCTTCAATGCGATACGCAACCGGATCGAACGGATGGAATATATTATAAAAGCCCGCACACGTGGGTAGCCGAAAGTCGAGGCCAAGCTTATCGATGCCACGTATGGTCACAAACATGCCAATGGGCGAGCCCAGGGCAAAGAACTTCTTGGGATGGAAAATCAGCTGCGTATAGTTGATCACCGGCTGGCCAGTGCCAGCTGGTCCAATGCCCATGGCGTAGCTGACCTGCTTGGGCATCATTTCATCATTGTTGGGAAGTTGTACATTTTTCGATTCAGGGCCCTTCTTTTGTGGTAGTTGATCGGGATTTTCCTGTTGAATATTGAACTTTAATGTTATATTGCTTAGCATATAGTCGAAGCGGTCTTTGTCATTTGCTTACCATATTTTCCTCTTCGCTCTCCTTGAGCGGCTCCTGGTGACACAGCAGATCAAAGAGTATTAACGAGCCGAGACTGTGACCAGCAAGCGAGACACCGCCATTGAATTCAGGATGTCGCATTCGGTACTTTAGATAAACCTCATTCAAAGCATCAGCCACCGTGTTCATGATCTTCTGACAGTACTTGGGACTGGTATAGAAGAGCACATCCAGCAACGTGTCGTTTGTAAAGTTGCGCAATCGTGGTATGGACTCTAGGGTAATGGACTTTAGTTTCTCATCAATGCCAAGCTCCTCAGAGTGCAAGTGGCCATGCCATTCAATAGGTAGCACTTCGACGCGACCCACTAGGCCCATGTCTGTAGAGTTCTTGTAGTGGGACTGCACCAGCTGCTGGGCAATGTAGCGGAAATCATCCACTGAAAAGCAGTTGTTAAGCAAGTGAGTTCTCAATGCAGTGTTTCCCACTTACCGACTTCCTCGACATTGCGCATCTTCAGGTCACAAGCAGAGCCGATGCCATGCACCATGAATAGCAAGTGATCCACACGCTGAGATTCGCCCTGCTGTATCTTAAAGTCATTCAAGTCACGCTTGACGACCAGCGGCCGTGTTGTGCCTTGCACGGTGCCTCCCCACGTATCGGCGGTCGTTGGTGGCATGAAGTGGACAATTACGCTGGGTCCATGCATGGTGACCTGTTCACCATTGCCCAGTGGTATCTTCTTATGCCATTCGTTTGTTTCGGTGGCACGTCTATACTCTATTTCAAGTGCTTCTGCAGTTTGCTCCGCATAGGGCACATATTTACCATCCACGCCCTTATAGAACCATGAGCAGCGACGCACCTCAATGGCCTTGCCCTCCCAATAAACGGGCGTCTTGGTGCGCTCTTTGATGTTGACATCGTACCGACCGCCCTCGACGGGCACGATTGCTGTAGAATCTGTTTCTTCTGCGTAGAGTAAATGGAGTATATGAATGAGTTGTTCTCATAGTTATTGAAGCATTTTGTAAACTTACCGCTGTTCAGGCTGGTCTCCAAGAGCGCTGAATCATAGTGACTGAATGGTGTCCACACAAATTTGCTGTCCACACTGCGTTTGTAGAACCAGTGCGGCAATACGGGCGTATAAACCACCTAATGAAGAGAAATATCTATATCTTCTTCTATGCTTTACAGATTTCATATTGACTTCAGACTTACAGTCGCATCGGCAGCGGGTGCTGTGGCCAAGCTCTTCTCGTTGGCCATTCTTAGTTGTTGCAGGATCTCTTCGGGCAGTTCACCCTGATGTAGTTGCAATAGATATTCGGTCTGACGATCGGGTTGATGTGGGTTTGCTGGATTGGCAACTGCAGCCGGTGCCGCTGTGGAGAACTCCGAGCAGGCAGATGAGGGCGGCTCGACAATATTTGAGACAGATGTTTGGGAACACTGCTCGAAGCGTTTGTTTGGTAAGCCGCTGTGCACAATATCGTATTTGAGTTCACCCGGTGCAGCTGGCTGATCCTGTAGTGGCGGATTGTTAAAGAAGTTCTGTATGCGCTGATCCTCGTGCCCCTGCCCGCTTGCGGCAAAGTGATCAAAGAAATTAGCTGTATTACAGCCAGTCAGCGGCTGTGGTTGTGGCTGCGGCTGTGGTTGTGAGTGGGACTCTGGCTGTGGCTGTGCGGCTGCCACTGGCGCCTCTACGGAACCACCAAAATATCCAGAAAATGAGTTTACACTTGAATTTTGATAGTTATTTTCGTTAGAATTTTGCGTTTGCTGTGCAGCTTGCTGAGAGTCGCTGATGAGTTGTTCAAAGCCAAGTGCGTGCGTGGAATGAAGCGTGGCTATCTCGCCAACAGGCGGCTCTTGAACCAATGCTGATGGTGCTACACTATTCACTGGCGGCAACTCCGGAAATTGACCCGCCTGCTGTGGTGATCCAAAGAAGTTGAAGTCGCTGCCGTTTCCTGTGGGCGTAAAAAAGCTAAGCAGAGCCGAAGGAGCTGCAGCAGCAGTTGATGTTGGAGCTGTTTCGTTGGCTTTGCGGAAAGGATTCGCCTGTGAGGCGGGGTCCTGGCTGGTAGCTGCTAGTGGTGGTGGCGGCGGTGCTGCTGCAGATGTTACTATCTCCGCTTCAGGCAACACCGGCTCAATGGTCTGTGCGGCGAAAAGAACGTTGCCGTCAGCTTGAGTGCTGGGCTCGACAAAGCCAATGGGCGGCAGCAACGGATCTTGTGGCAGCGGAGTTGTTATTGTCTGCGCAAACGGATTAAAGAATGTGGTTGTTGTCTGAGTGGTTAGCGCAACGCTGGTCAGGTTAGAGACAGCGACTGGCACCTGTACAGGCGGTGCAAATAAGTCGCTGGTGCTCAGTGGTGGCGCGAATGGAGCAGCTGCTGTTGGTTGTGGTGCGGATACGCCTAGAATCTCTTGAGCTGTGCCACCTGTTGCCGGTGGTGCGAAGAAGTTGTTGGCGTTTAAGATTGGTTGTGGCGCGCTTGTTGCTATAGCTGCTGGAGCAGAGTCCTGATTCGTTAGATGGAGCTCCGCTGCTGTTGTCGGTGCTGGTGGGTAGAGCTCTACGCCTTGACCCGCTTCAGCATTGGATGCTTCTGGTACTGGCACAAATAATGGAATTTCTCGTTCAGGTTCAGTGGTAGCTACTTGTGCAGGTGGGTAAAAGACAGGTGGCTGTGAAACTTCTTCAATTAATGCAGTTGGTGGTGTTTTGGGGATTTCTTGACTTGGTATGGATGAAGAGTCGTTTGGCCCTGCCGCCGCGAAGAGTTCGTTAGTTGTTGCTGGCGGATGAGCTTCTACTGTTGGTGGTGGTGCAGTAAACAAGGGAGTTTCCTCAACTAATTCCGCTTGTAGATTTGCCGGCTGTGGTTCTGGCTTAGCATCCAACTGTGGTGCGAATAGAGCTGTTGCTGGTCCTTGTGAAAATATGGGCAAACTCTGTGATGTTGGGAATAATGGAACTTCCGAAACAGGTGCAGTTGACGGTGGTGCAAATAGTGTAACCTCCTGATTTTGATTTGAAGAGCTCTTTAGCTCTTCCCTCTGAGTCGGTGACGTAAAAAGGTTGTTGCTTGTATCTGGTGTAAGTCCTTGCGTTGCGTTAGTCGAACTGGAAAAGAGAGGAACCTCCTGAAGTGTATCGGATGGTGCTGGTGCAAAAAGCGATGTAGTTGCTTCGTGAGTCTGAAAGAGGCCCGTCGATGCCTGTGGTGTAAACAGCGATGTTGCTGGCCCAGTTGGGGGTGGTGCAGCCGCAAACAGAGGAACTTCCTGGCTTGGCGCTGGTGCAGCTGACGGAGCTGGCGCTGTAAATAGGGCAACTTCTGTAGGCTGTGCGCCAAAAGGATTAAAAATAGCAGCAGGTGCTGCGAAGGGTGCAAAGGGCGTGGCTGTTAAAGCTGTTTGCTGGCCAAAGCCTGTTGCGGGCACTGCAGTTTCCTGAGCTGTCAGTGGACTCTTGTAGAGTCGGGTACCCTTCTGCAGGCGGTACGAGGAGTGTGCAGGTCCTGCCGCTGGTGGTGGTGCTGATGCTGTCGCTTGTGGTGGTGCTGCCGCAGTTATTGACGGTGGTGCTGCTACTGCCGCTGGTGGTGGAGTTGCTACTGCCGCTGGTGGTGGTGCTGCTGCTGCCACTGATGGTGGTGCAAACGTTGGAGTACTCTCGATTAAGCCAGGTGCTTGAGCAGCTGTCAGTGGCTGAGGGACAGTGGCTGCTTGGGTGACTGTCGGAATCTGAGCGAATGTCGCTGGCGGAGCAGGTGCCCCAGGCTGAGTAAATGTCAGTGGTACCGCGGCTGGCGTTGGCTGAACACCGGTTGATTGCCCAGAAACAGCTGGTGCTGGCGTAAAGAAGTTACCAACAGACGGAGCTGCAGCAACTACGGAAGGATTGAAGTAACCACCTACAGTGGGTGGTGCTACAGTGGGCGCAAAATAATCAGCAGCAGCAGGCGGAGCTGCAGGCGTAAAAAAGTTTGCAGGCGGCTGCGGTACGGCAGCGCCGGATGTGCTTATGTCAAAGTAGCCACCTGAATCAGCTGGATTGTAGCTGGCTGGTGGGGGTGGCGCAGGTTCGTTGGTTCTGCCTGTGGCCGATTGCACTAGACCCGAAATATTCTGTAACACGCCAGTGGGCACTAAACTAGTAAGTGAGAAGAGACCACCGCTCTTGCGTTCCTCTTGAACGGCTGGTGGTGCAGGCTGCTCGAATGCTGCTGCTGCCGCCGCTGCCGATGGCTGTGTGGGATATGGCGGTGCTTGGAAGGGATCAACAGCTGGCACTGGCTGCTGTTGCTGCTCGGAGAGACCTGGTATGGGTGCGTATAGCTTCTTTCTGGCACTAATGCGATAAGTGTTCTGTCCGGCCGATGGTGGGGGTAGTGGCAAAGCTCCAGCTGCTAAGCCAGGCACCTCTGTGGGCGCATAGAATTTCGGTGGCTCTGGGGCAGCTTCGCCGACATGAGCCGGTGGGGCAGCGTAGAAGGGCGGCGGTGCAACAGCAGCTGCGTGCACTTGACCCGCTTGCTGTATATAAGTGGGCTGTATATCCAATTGGGGCTGTGCCTCGTCCGCTTCTCGAGTGCCCGCGTATATGCGCTTCGAGAAGGTTGAAAAAACGTTGGAGGCCACCGAAGGCAAGGCGCCAAATGAAGACGCCGCCTGGCTAAGCAGAGAGTCTGCAGCAAGCGGCGGCTCTAGCAATGGATTCGCGTTGGCATCCGCAACGCTCTGATATGGATTGATGGATGCGTTCGCTGTCGTCGAGTCGTCGCTGCTGCTGGCGTTCAAGTTAATCTCGTCAAGCGTTTCGCTCTCATCAATGCCTGACGGCTGTCCAACGGTCACCAGGGTTTTGGGCTCTGCAAGAGATAACCAAACGAAACCCAAATGAGTTATGCTCGCATCTTTAGGTATCCGGAAGTTAACGCAATAACTAAACAATATGCTAATCAAAACAAACGCGGCCTTCAACTGGTTACGATCGAGTGATTGGCCATAGAGCAGACAACAGCACAGCTAATCAAAGTTAATATAATCTATTTATCTATTAATCGAAATGGCTCTCAAATATAAATTATTATTATATATATATTTTTTTAATGTTTTCATTTTAGGCAGACTTAACAATTTATTATTTATTTTTAATATTTTTTTAGGAGTTAAGATAGTATTGGGAAAATATTAAAAATATCAAAAAATAAAAAATATCAACATTTTCAATAAAAATATTCGTTTTATTTACTTTATATATTCACTGCCTGAATTTAAGAGAAATACTTAATTTTGGCCGAACAGCAATTCTAATAAATCGCATTCTTTTATTTAATCATTGTTTTTAGCGATCTTCATTGCTCAATTTTTTGATTGGAAATAAAATATTTATGCGCTTGCGCTGGTCCGAGTTTCATAAAAAGCCAAAAATTGGCATTAGCCGAGCTCAAATGTCATGACATTTGAAGAAGTTGTTAGTTTTAGCTGGTTTTTCTTTATTTATTTACTTATTGCTATCATCTTCGTGTGTCTGTGTTAGTTAGACGTTGGGCCAAAAAGAAAGTCATTGCAAATGCAGATGCAGTTGAAGCTGACGCTAAGGCGGACTGAGACTGAGGGCTTGAAGCTGTCGAACCATGCTATAGCAAACGTGCCATTTGGCTGGGTTAGCGGCGGTAGTAAGAATTCACCTCGATCTTAAAACGTGATTCGAACTGTGGAGTGTGGCTGTGGCTGTCGCTGTGGAGTGTGGCGGCCTTTGGTTGGTTTTAACACCTTGTTGTAGCCGCTGTAACCAGTGTTCAAGTATTCCAAGCATCGCAATTCGAAATCGTAAATATTTATGCTCGCGTTTGGCATATTTGCGAGCATTCGCCAGCTGCAACAGCGATAAAAGCTAGCCAGCACTGCGAGATCACCTTATAGCAGCACATATCTTACAGTTAGAGAGATAGAACTCTTAGAATTTATCAGGTGTCTGTCGTGTCTGTGTGTGTGTGTGTGTGTGTGTGTGTGTGTGTGTGTGTGTGTGTGTGTGTGTGTGTGTGTGTGTGTGTGTGTGTGTGTGTGTGTGTGTGTGTTTATTGCATAACTTTGATTAGTTCTAGCTGAAAGCTAGCGATAGAGCAGGTACTTGATATAACGACCCAGTTAATCTCAATTGTCACGAATGGCTGTATATCCGCTTACTCTGAATCATCTTTATGGGAAACAATTTGATTACGCGCACTTTGAGCGTTTAACAACACTACTAAACATGTGTGTAACATGCGTCGTAATGTGTTATCGATATTTCTTTAAGCTTGAAATTGAGAGGGGAAATGTGTGAAGGGAAATTTTCCCATAACGAAAAATGTGATACAAACGTTAATTAAGTATTGTATTATTATAATCGATAATATTTAAATTGTTGCTACGGTGTAAATGCTGCTCAGGTAATTGAAAGACTTGACAGCGATAGATTATAACAAGTTTGCATAAGAGAAATTAAGTTGGAATATGCATATTAATCGAAAATCATTAATAAAACTTGATAGAAATTATAAGCAATTAGCTACAGATATAATAAATATAAATAGTCAGCTATACTCGAGGAACTTGCTATATAGTTTAAAAATACATTTCCTGCGAAAGTTAGAAGACATTTTAGAACGATCATTTTGTTGAAAATCAATAAAAAATTAGTTTTCTTAGCCAGCAGTTATTAAATAATAGTTTATGAGCTTTTTCCTAAACATTACTCGGCAAAAATGACGAAAACCCATTTGTCATGTCTGACATAAACTATATAATTATTTATTCTACACTGGATCACACAAACAAAAATATTGTAAAACCATTTTAGTGATAAACAAAGCCATTTTTTGTGCTGCAGTTAAGTTGAGGTATTATGCCATATTTTCAGTGTACATTTATAGATTGCGATTCACTTGGCTTCGTCGTTTTTTTTGGCTATGTTTTTCAGCGTTGGCCTCTTCTTGACTGTTTTATTTTTAAGGCGTCAGCCAATTGTTTGACTAATGTAACTTCATAAAGCGACCAAAGCAAACAAATATAACAAATAACAATAAAAAAAAACAAAACAAAAACATCTACAGCAAACAGCTTAAAACAAATTTTAGCTATAGACTCTATTGGAAAACGATTTGTAAGGGGGACGTACGGCTTTAAGTCATTAAATAACAGCGAAAATTTCCAGTTTCGTCTTGAAATGTTTTTTTTTCCCTATTTTTGTTGAAGTTTTTTTTCTTTACTTATTTTTTTATTTATTGTTTTTTTTTTAATATTTACGAAAGGCCGCAATTACAATGACGCATTTTTGACAAATTGTTAAAGCAAATATATGTGTGTATATATGTGCGATTGTCTAACCGCAAAGTCTAGTCACATATGAAAAGTAGAACAGCACAGTTCAAATATGGCCCGAACCGCACATTAGGCATAAAAAAAGAAATGAAGAGGAATTCGCTTTGGCATGACATCATAACGATCATAAACGAATCGAGCCAGCATAAGCACTTAAGACAAGAAAAAAAAAGAAAAAGAGTAAAAAAACCCGTCGCTGTCGTCTGGCCCAAGTGCCTGCACATAATAGCACTCAAATAAAACAATTAAGGCACACATAAGCACGTCAAGAGACGATGAAATCATTTGCAGGATACACACACATTGGGCACAACCAATAAAGATGCCCCGAAAAGATTGCCAGCAATTTGGGTTTAAGGCTCGTGCAGGTCGCATGCCAAAAATGAGGGATCCAACGAAAAGAAAAAAAACGTATAAGATATGTCGAAAAAATGAAAAGAAAAAACCAAAATAAATAAACACCAGCTTGGCATTTTTGGCATTGAACCCTCCGGCAACGAAATGCCCAAAAAACAAGAGCGAAATGAAATCAAAATAAAACTAAAAAACTCAATAAAAATGCGTGCTTGGAACTGCTTGGAGACGATGCTCGATGCTCGAGACGGTTTGTCTGCCAGCGGCAAAACGATGATATAAATAAAATGCACGATTTTTCTATAACCATCACAACAAGAGCCCAAAACCAACCAATAAAACACAAGAAGACAAAGAAGAAGAAGCAGAAAATGTTCAACATTTTTGTTTTTGTCTTGTTTTCTTGATGTTGTCGAAGCCATTTATACGCTTGGCTTTTTGAGAACATTTCATAGAGGCCATAATAATGTCGATTAATCAGATATCATTGTGCATTATTTTAGGTATTTTATATAGTTGACTGGATAGAGTAAGAAGTAGAGTGTTACATGAAATTCTTAAGATTTATTTGTAACTGAAATCTTGGTTAGCTGAGTTGAACCTGTTTGAATTAGAAACTTTAAAGTACTTTTCTGCAAAGATATTACATTTAGAGATAAAATATCTCAGCTGAACTGAACTGGTTCGTACCAGGAAATGAGAGTTAAGAGTCGATGCCTAAACTTCGATTGAAGCTGCGAATTTAAGCATATTTCAAATCTTGAGAAGATTTGCCCTCTTCTCTCTCTTGTTTCTCTTGTCAAGATTTTTACACAGTTAAAATATATTCTCTATCTATCTGAACTGTAGGCTATCAGCAAGCATAGCATATTGATTTTCTACAAATTTATGTATTATAATTAATTCATTTTGGAACACGAGATATGTCACATTGCGATAGCCGCAGTCAAGATTTCTACAAATAATTTGAACTTTAACCACATTTCAAATTCAAACGATTATTGAGTTACTTCACAGCACATTCCATACCCGACAAACATCGTAAACAAGCAGTCATGCACATAGTCCAAATGGCAGGCACAAATACAAAAGACTTAGACAACGAACTCAGGTAGCAGCCAATTCAAGTGAAATGCTTTTTTTTTTATATTTTATTTAAGGCTTCATGCCTGTTAAACTCTGCCAGCTGGGTAATTCCAGCAAAATATGTCTATTTCCACCCCAGCCTAAAAGTCAAGCACACACACCCAGTTTCAAGTCGCTCAGTCAGCGGCCTTGTGACGCATTTCGAGCAACTGCCTGGTAATTCCGATATAGATTCTTGGCAATATAATCTTATCAATAAGGTGCGCTCTGTTTGCAGCGTATTATGTCTATGTCCGCTTGCAACCAATTGCTAAATATTTAAACAATTTATGTGACACACTCAAATTTAAGCACACACACATACACATATATATATGTATATAGTTGCATAACTATATGTTAAGTTGATGAACTGCGACTACAAAAGGGCGTGTAATTAGGGAACTTCGTTTTAGTATTGTTACGATCGTTAGCTCGTACAGCAAGCAGTATTGAGGAGTATATATCTATATCAAGTGTGATCACCCACGTCAGGATATATTGGCAGATATTTTACCATATATAGTCGCGACTTGCACAGCCTCTCACCAGTTCGTAAAGTGTGAAACGTTTATTGGGCATCGAATGCAACAAGTTGGTAATTTTTTGATTGATTAGCATCTATATTAAACAACAACAAAATAATGGATATTTGACTTCAGAAGTGTGTTTTCAATCAAAACGAACGATCACTCGATCGATCAGCATCACAAATTTAGCGTTAATCAAGTAAATTAATACATATTGCGAGTGTCCGCTATAAATTCACGAAACGATTGCCAAATATTTAATTTCACTTAGTATATTTGGGGTTTTTTCACTTTACTTCCCTTAAAACAAAAAGGCTGCAAGATATTGTGCAAAGGAAAAAATAAAATGCAACAACAAAAATGAATTGCAAAATATTTAACGAAAGCGCAAAATGCATGAAAATTGCGTGAGGCGAATAAATTCTCGGCGCAAAATGTGCAATAAATAAATTGATTGTAAAACGCAAAAAAATTGTTATAAAATTTACATAAAGTATAAAACAGAAATGAATAATAGAGCGTGAAATTTAAGTGAATAAAGTTGAAATTAAATACGTTATATAAATACGAATCGTATCAAAGGAGTGGGTAAGAGATTCCAGTTATAAGTCGAATTCATTCAAGATTTCCAGCTTTCTTTAACGATCTTGTTTTGTTTATTTATATATAAATGTGTTTATTTTAATGTATTTATATACGTTGTCAATCTATAAAATATTGATGTGCGACTCAGTTTTTGGTCACTGCAAAATATAAATATAAATATAAAAAAATATGTAATAATAATGTTAGATCATCAAAATTCACTTGCTTTAAACGGAATTTATGTGGTTTCTTTGCCTTATTTATTTATATCTATGTCAAGAATATACATGCATATATATGTATATATATGTGAGTAAACAATAAATTTTATGTTGCAATTAAACATTCAACGAACCACAAAGACGCAACCGACTACTCAGCCACATTGAGGAAGCTTTGAGGAACGCACGTAGGTCACAGCGCGTACACGATTTTTTTTGTGGACAAAAAACCACAGCGGCCACAACCGCAATAATGCCGGCTAATATTTTGCCCAACAAGTAGATGAGATGGACGCATAATTTGCTGTTGTTGTCATAAAAAGCGACAACTTCATTGAAAAAGCGCGAGCAAAGAAAAAAAAAATAAAAAAAGGCTAAGTAAAAAGTATAATTAAATATGACTAAAAACTTCAAGTTGAAGATATAATACGCTTACAAAAGAAAATTGTATATTAGATATTCCTTGGATGTAGAAATAATTTTATGTTGATAAGCAGACAGCATAGAAGAGAGCTCATGGAACAGGCAAGGGCAAAAGTTGGAGACAGAGGGAATTGGAGAGAGAGAAGAGAGCGGTAAGGAGACAAGGCTGACGAAAAGAAAAAACAAATAGATCGATGGGTAGACAGAGAGAGAAAGGTAGAGACAATGAGAAATACAGTAGATTGAGTGACAAAGTGCGAAAGTAGAGAAAGAGAGATAAAGAGTGAGAGGAGAAAGAGTTAGAACAGAGAATGAGCGCAGATAGAGCGAGTGAGGGATCAGAGAAAAAACAAATTAAAGGAGCGAAAAACAAAGTAAAACAGCAGAAAGACAGGGAAGACTGAAAGATTCTCCGATGGTCTCATAAATACAATATAAATATCCACAAATATCCAATACAGATATAAATATCCACAAGTCACCAATATTTTAGAAACTTATAGATATACTTACTACTAATGGACTTCATGTCATAATGCACTAATATAATGACACTTAGAGCCAACTGGCATAGCAATGGATAAGCTGCTGTCTCATTGCGTACATATACGATGTACTCTGTGCGATACAAGAGTATATAATTCTCATATTACACCAACTACAGACACAAAAAAGAGAATTGTCTAGAAATTCCTTAAAATTTTTGCCGAAAGTTTGAAAGCAAAACAAAAAAAAAAAACACAGAACAATTGCTGCGTGTTGCCTTTTTGTTGTTGTTCTAGTTGGAAATGAGTCGAGAAAATGTCTTGTGCTGTACAAAAGAATATAAATATTTAGCGTGTAGAATTTCTCGTTTGCTGTTGCTGAACATTCTGCAAACGCTTTAGTTTTAAGTGCAACATTGAAAGAACCTTGGGACGCCAACACAATAAACAAGCCACAAAGCGATTTCATAGTAAAGAAATTTTTAACAACAAAGAAAGCAAAGTTCCAGTTTTTTTGTTTCTACTCTTCTACTCTGTTTTATATATATCTTTAAGATCCAAACTGGAATACAGTAGTCATAAGATTTTGATTATTCGATATAATATAACGAACTTAGTTGCGTATGTCCAAAGCAGTTCCGCATGTATTTATTAAGCTTTAGTACGATTTTTTTGCATTTTTATTGATAGGCAAATCGAACGTAGCCGGCTCTACAAGGGGGGCATGCTTATGAGTTTTATGAGGTAGACAGAGCAAGCATATTAAATTCGATACACGCTCCATTTTTAAACGCTGCGCCTGGGTAGACGAACTTCCTCCTACAGAGTGTGACAGACCTCAGTTCGCCTTGCACATTATTATAATTTACTATATATATATATATTTATTTTTATTTTTTTTGCATGAATTTTGATGGCTTGTGTTAAGCATATATTTATTTTTATTTTATTTTTAATGCGCTTAATGGCAACAACAAATAAAAAGGTCAACGTGCAAAGAACTTTGTCATATAATAAACAAAAATTAAATGTAGCTTGGATTAGAGTAAACGCATATTTTAAATATATATATATATATATATATATATATATATATATATATATAATCTATAGAAAGCAGATATTTTATTTACATAAAAATGATATAAATTTTTCAATCATCTGAATATTTTAAAATATTTGTATAGAAGAGGTGAGATTTTGAATTGAAATTTGTTTTTTTTTTTAAACAAAGTTTTGCAATTATTATTGATGAAATAGTATAGATAAGAAACGTTTAGTATTTCCAACAGCAATTGGCTATGAAATATGTATCATAAACATCATACACAGAAATAAATACTGAAGTATCTATGTATAGAACAGTTAAGTGAAGCAAAAATATATTGTTGTGCCCATTAGTCAAAAGCTAAAGCAACAAAAATGATATATTATTTCATAAATTCTACAAGCTATGTGATGGGTATCTAAACAGTCAATCAAAGTCAACTTTATAATATTCTGATGTTTGTCATTTTCTAAGCACTAATACTACATAATCACACATAGAACACATATACAGATATATATATATAAATATAAGTATATCTATATGGCGCCTATTCAAATTTGGGGGCCAGCACGTTGCCACTTTATCAGCATCACGCTCTTAAGATTCCAGCTAAACAGAGCGAACGAGACTGAATGCTGTTGCTGCGGCTGTTGCTGTTGAGGCTGCTGTCAGCGTCGCAACGTCGACGTCAACAGCGCTGATCGAGCCAAGTTGAGCTAAGTTGAGTCGAGCTGAAACTGAACAGTGATCGTGGTGCTCTGAGTTGGTTTTGGTTTGGTTTGTTCGTTGGTCGCTGTTTTCTGTGTCTGCTTTCAGTTTCATTTGAGACGTCGTCGCGGCCGCAAGTGCTGAAAGCAGCTCAACAATAGCAACAACACGCAACGTGTGTGCCTCCACTAAATGAACATAAACCAACGCCAGAAAGAAGCAAAAAACAAAGCCAAAAACAACTAAAATTTAAACGGGTTAATCAATATACGACAACAACAAAAGCAACAACACGCTGGATTTTGAGCTTTTTCTGTGTACGTGTGTGAGCGTGCGTCTGTCTGCTTTGTACTAAAGTGCAAGTGATTGCTTTTGATTGTTATTATTGTATTGTTGTTATGCTTTGCATAAGCGTTGGCAATTCATAAACAATGCAAAGAAGTGCGCAAAATGCATAAATAAAGTGCATTCGTTTTACATATTGATTGAACGCAATTTTCAATCGTATAACTTATAAAGTGCGGCCGCTAAACAAGTTCGTTGCCTAAGTCATTTGTTTGCCAGTGCCAACTATCCATACTTTCAAAAAAAAAAACAATATCATAAAAAACTTAATTATTTATAATACTCGCAATTTATTGCTAATATATGCAATTTTGACCGTCCAGCCAGCCACGTCGTCAACAAGAAGTCGCATATAAGGCAAGTGTGAGGGGTACAACAAAAGCAAAAGCCAACAGAATAAAAAAAAATAATCTTTTGCTCGAAATGCCAGATGTCAAATAAAAGAAGAAGAACAAAAATTTATGTGTATTTAAAAAGCGTTGTTTATAAATCACAATCGAAATAATAATATAAAAAACAACAATCGAAGCGAATCGCTTACAAAGTTACTGCGATTTCAATGTCAAGAAAAATCAACAATAAAACAAGCAGCAGCCGCAGCTGCTCGACGGCGCGTGGGTTCTTCCAAAAGGGTTTGAAATGAACGCGCTGCATCGTCTATACTAGTAAAATGTCAGACACCAATTGAATCTTATGATTGCAATTGCAATTGCAATTTGTTATTTGCGTTTCTAAAGCAAACACAATTTGCTAGAAAGCAAATAACGAGCTGCAGGTTCTCTCTTTGTGTTTGTGGGCATGAAGTGATCTACTAATTGATACCCTGTTCTAAATGTTTGCATTAGTAGAAGTTGCCTTTTAAATTTTTTTGCAGTGTAAAGTGTAGTTAAGAAAGACTTTGAAACATCTATCAATCCAGAGAAAATTTATGACTTGAATTGCCATTTTAAACGTTTTTAGGGCACTCAAAGTTAGAAATAAAATTACAATATTTATACAAATTATAATACATAAAATCGAAGCACATAAGGACCTACTTTATGTTTGAATCTAATTGTTAAAAAATTAACAAGGTGTGTTTTCATGAAATTAGAAAGCTTTTTATATCAAGCATCTCCTCTTCTTATCATCAGTTGGATTTTTATATATCTCAAAGTGACTGTCTATATATCAGAAACATCACAGACTATTATTTGAATTCAGTATTAGATAGTTATGCATTCATCAGACATCAGACAGTTTTCTTTGTGTCTTCTAACATTTCATGAATTCTAAATTCTAAATTTAATTCTTAAATTTCTTTGCCAAAAACTTCAAAGTAAACCAACCATTGGCCGCTGTTGCTACGTTTAGGGTATACAAAATACGAAATAAAAAGTGTGCAAAAACGCAATTTGAATTTATAATTTTTGCAATTATTTTTCATAAATTTGCGGGGCAATAAAAAAGTCATAGCATATCTGAAATGCTTACGCGCTATTTGAATTACATCCGCTCCACCTCGGCCCGCCCATAGAGCCAACACCTACTCACAGGGAACTCGAATAATTGCGCGTCTCTAATTTGTTTATAGAATTTTAAATAATAATAATAATAATAAGTATCAGCTGCTTCTGCTGCTGATTGATGAACTGACACAGCTGGCTTTGGTTTTGTAATTTGCTGTTCTCTGTTGTCTTTCTTTAATTAAAAAAAATAAATTGCCTACAAATAATAATAAACAAATTACTGTCTGAGCTAACACTTCAGTTCAGTTCAGTTCAGTTCAACTTCGAATCGGTTTCTGTTCGGTTCTGTTGCGTTCACTCGCAGAATTCACAATCTCACGTCAGCTGCAATCGAAAAGTGAAATATTTACCACCCGCCAGCCCTCTCGCACTCTGTCTCTTTCGCTCTTTCTCTCTCCCTCTCTCTGTGTCTCTGATTGATGTCAGAGTTAAGATCTTGATGATGTTGACGCTGTTGTTGATTAAAATAAGCACGTCTCATTCGAACGATGCAAAGATTTAAATGCTTTTACGCTGCTTTAGTGATGGCACGTAAATAAATATAATCTATATATATTTGGCATATCGTTGTCTTAGATCTTAGTTATATATATAGTACTGGCTCAACTTATCTAAGAATATATGCAAACTGTTCACGCTTTTACTATGAAGCCTTCAGAAATATTTACAAATATTTATCTTATCAAGACCGAATTGATTAGTTTATAAAAATAAACTATAGATAACTAAAAGTACTATTTCATTTTATTATATTGGTTAATTCTAAAATAAAATAAAAAGTAAAATTGATATTTAATTTTAATACAAAATTTAATATAATTGATATTAAATTTTAATCAATATAATATATATAAATAATAATAAAATAATATAGGCTAATAATAGAACCGGTAGGTTCTGGAAATACCTTTACGGACAACCTGCTTATATTTTGTTTATTAAACCTTGTTAATTTGTTGATTGGTAATAATCAACAAATATATTTCGTCAAGCCTGCTAAATGTATAAAATTATAGATTATAAATATAAAATAATAACAAGCAGTACGACTATGCATATGAATTAACAAATGTGACTCAGCATTGTTAATATATATATATATATATTAGTGGGTTCTAATACAGGTCAAAAGGTTTAGTAAACAGGAATTTGACTCAATGTTTGCTAAGATTGTTAGCATATAGAATTCTAATATAAAACCTGAATAGCCTTATAACTAAGCAGAGATGCCCTATATCTGTCGTATTTCAGTTTCAACTACAAATAGACGAACAAGAAAAGAATAGTTTGACTTTTAGTAATTAAAGTTTTCGCCTCGTTGATGACATGTACATGACAGAGCTATAGAATGAGTAGTGAATGAATTACTTTTATAGCACATTGTGATTATCTCATTGTCTCATCAGATTCTCGAATAATTTCAATTCTTCAATCATTTGTATAAATATTAAACATGTAAAACGTTGAAGGATTATGTCATAAGGCTTTAATTATTTAAACTTAAATTGCGTTCCAGCCTTGTATCATTCGTTCATTCATTCTAAAAGCAAGGAAATATTATAATTTTGATAAGTGTTAAGTGAATTGCATGACATATGATATGCAATGTTAGCAACTGTGTTTAACCTTTAGTGAGCTGACAAATTGAAAACACCTTTTACACTATAAGCTCAGTGATCAGTGCAGCATTCAAGAGCTACGTGTCTCGATGACTGCGATGTGAACGCTTTTGCCATAGTTTCATGAATGAAAGCTGCGCATATTCGATAAGGTCAATAATCAGTAGATTCAGAAATCAAACGTGCCATTTGTCTGCATTCCGCATTTATCGTTCATTGAAAGCGGAACTGCATTTAATCTGAAATGGGTTCGCTGAGAGGAATGTAGGTTCTCATTTCGAATAGGGGATTTGGTGTCAGGGCAACAGCAGTAGCTCAATTCTGCCTCTAAGTGGCAGCGGCGGCCTCTCTTCTATGAACGAACGAACCGGCTTCACGAAATGCGCATTGACCTTGCAACGCCTGAAAAATGTACAAATCAATTTTCGAATTTAAAAAAAAAAAAATAATAAAAAAGGCGTCGTGAGCAGCTGCCAAAAAAAAAGATCGAAAAACGAGAAAAACGAACGCAGAATATTTTAACTTAATTTATTTCCACATGTTCGTTGTTGTTGTTTTTGTTGTTATTCACGCATATAAAAAACGTTTCAGTTTTAGGGGTTTTAATATACATATATATTTATCTATATATATATATATATATATATATATATATATATATATATATATATATATATATATATAAATATATTTGTTTTTTTTTTTATAATTTTATTGTATTTTTTGCATGTCGTTAATTAATGACAACTGTTAGCCTGAGTTGACCACGTTGTTGCACACATCACGAGACACACAGAGAGCCAAAGAGAAGCCAAGAAATCAATCATTCAAATTGATTTGTTGCTAATTTGTTATTCAAACAAGCCGACGCTCTTCAACTCGAAACCAATAAACGCAAAATGCATTTGACCACAAAATAAAAGTAAATAAAAACATATAATATATATATATGTCTTCATATGTTTGTATTTATTGTTCGAATGACGCGCAATCCAAGTGCTAATTGCATTTAGTTAATTAAATGTTAAAAGTTGATCAAATTGAGCGAAACAGCATTGGCTATTGCGAAGGTATATTCATATTGAACTTGGGTAATAAAGAGCTCGAATAGCAAATGCCCTTTATAAAGCGGATTAGCTTGGAACTAATATAAAATGTGAATTCATTTCTAGTCTTTAGATAAAAAATGATTAGAAGGGAAAATAAATAGTTTAAGTCGAAAAAATTAACAGTTTCCTGAATTTCAACTTTTAGATATAGAGAAACTATAGAGTAATCATATACATAGAAAGAAAAGCTAAAATTTGCAGTCAATCAAATGAAATAGAAACATCTTGAAGACTCCATATTATAAGTTTTTCATTTCGAAAGAAATGTATTCAAATATTTTAAGATATATATAAAATTTTAAGATTCTCAGTTGAAAAATTCTATAACTCCATTAGTTTCTAGCTCTAATGCCCTTAACTTGCCTTCCAGCTATATTTGCTGTGCAACCCAGTCAAACACAGGGTATCCAAACCCATTCAAAAAGTCAGATTTAATCTAGCGCTGGCAACAGTTTTATTTAGTTATTAAGTTTTTTTACTGATGGTTTGATGGGGCCTAACAAAAACATGTCTTCATAAAGTGGTTGTTGTTGCTGCTGTTGCTGTTGTTGCATTTGTGCGTCTCACGCTTTAATCATTTGCTAATGTCAACGGCTTAAGCGCCGCCTGCTCTTCGTTTTCCGCAGCTGCAGCAGGTTTCGATAAAACTTAAAAGCAAATAAATAAAAAAGAAGAAGAAATATAGTCAAAAACCTTGACCATATAGTTGATTTGTTTGTTTTTCGTTTTTACAATCCATTTATATATGTTTCTAATGCGCTACTCAATTTAATCACGAGTTGTTTGGTTTTTTTAGCCTTTTTATTTTGGCAAAGAAAAACATTTCTCCAGCCTCAAAAATTGCTATGCACAGCAATTTTTATTTTATCTTTTTTCTTGTATTTTTTGTAGAGCCATTGTTAAAGCCCATTTTGTTGCTCGTTGGTGGCTCTTAATGTTTTACATTGACTCATGTTCATGAACATGACTTTTGGAAAATATTTTGCTTGGCGTTTATCAAGTTTCAAATTGAAAAGTGCGTGATCAGCCGAAATTGCTGTTTTTTTATTTATTTATAACTAGCTTTTAATAGCAGCAGCAGCAAATTGTAAAATAATTGTTGGCTAAATACAAAAGAAATACATTTAAAATCGAGGAGACTAAGAGAATTGCTTTTGTGCAATGAATTATCTTTCTAAGCTGATTTCATTAAAGAAAAATGTGGATTTTGTTATTGTGATGATAGTCATTAGATATAGATAACGACTTATTGTAGTCAATGTAAGGATATACGTCAATGTAAAGATATACTTAGGATGTAGATCTGATGTCTATAAGCCAAGCTATAGATAGTTGATCTATATGAAGTATTTTCGCAGCTTGGCCTATAAATGTAGATGTCTGATCTACTACCTATATCAGCAATCTATCCATATCATAGAATTGCCTTTAACAAGCAGCAGAATATATATGAATATCCATACATGTTATATAAATATTACAAAAGATATTTTTATATATACATATATATATATATATTTATGATTTTTTTCTGCCGCAACAAATTCCCTTTATTTCTATTTTTTTATCACCAAAAATACATTTCTATTTAGTCATATAATAATTTGCTATTTTTGCTAATCTCTACCCTACTCTTTCTCTACCATTTCCATACACTCTCCCTCTCTCTCTAATTAGAATCATGGTTAATGTGTTTTTACCCTTTCCTCATTTTGAGCTCCATTAACGTTAATTAAATTGAAAATGTTTTTAATAACAGAATAATAGGATAATTGTAAAGGCATTTCACTTTTTCGCATTGCGAAAGTGTCGAAACTAACGAAAACAACGGTAATTTAACAATAATAAATTTTAATAATAATAATAATGATGGCGCATAATTGCGTCAATTTACTGAGCGTCAATCAATCAAGACTCGCATTTGGTTGCTTTCAAAAAATGTTTGATTTATGACATTTCTTGTTGTTCATTTTTGTTGTAGATTTTTTGGATGCTGATAGAGTCACGGGAGATACCGAACAGAAGACTTAACTAAATATCAAACCAAGACACATTCCATTGCAATGATACTGCGAACGAGTAGAATTTGCCTGCTGGGGCTTTGGCTGCTCACGCTGCTTACCCTGCTGCAGGCCCAGGGCGAGGATTATGGCGGCGATATGGGGGACGGTGGCGGTGTTGGTGGCAGTGATGACATCTACGAGCCGGCGCAGCAGGAAACCGCAGTTGATACGGAAACACAGCAGCGACGCAATAGCATCGAGGCCGAAGAAAGTGCTCTGCCCGCAGAGACGGTCAATGCGCTGCAGTCCATGGAACAGCAATCGACCACGGAGAAGGTGCCGATCGCGGTCACTGAGATGTCAGTGCCCACAGCTGCATCGGCAACCACCGAGTACGATGAGAATACGGCAGCTGAAGTTATGGAAGATGCGCCCACACAGAAACAGGAGACGAAAGTCGTCAAGCCCGCGAGGAATTCGCAAGAGTACTACTACGAGGACATGCAGGAAGAGGAGCAACACGCAGAGCCGCCCAAAAAGCAGTCACAGGAGGAGCAGTCCACAGTCACAACGACAACAGTGCCCGAATATGTGCGCAAGGCCAAAGCGGAAAGATTTCCTCACAAAGAGCCCGACTATGTCGAAGACGATATGGTGGTGGAGCACCAAACGCAGCCTATTTACGTACCCAAGGATCAGGAAGACGGCGTCATCTATCGCGATGAGCCGGCCCAGCCGCAGGCACACATACAACAGCTGCCCATGAGCCACAAAGCCAAACCCTTTAAGCCCAGCTCCGACGAGTACTATTACGATGACCAGGACAGCACGGAGCATCGCATCACAACCACAATTCAGCAGACCCCAACAACGACAACGACGACAACAACAACAACAGAGGCACCGCTGCCAGTGCTCGCAGCACGTTTTGGTGGTTTCGCCGGCTTCGGTGGTTGGCCCGAACCAACGCCCATTGCCGTGCCCACTAACGGGCCACCAGTCCTCATGCCAAGCTCAACCACAACGACGACGACGACAACGACAACAACAACAACAACGCCAACACCGACTGCAACAACGCCTGCGCCTCGAAAGCAATCGAAGCACATACATCTGACCAAGCCAGAGCTGTTGCCCGCCGATCAGCTGCGCAACTACATCAAGGATGTCTATATACGCATGCCGCTAGCGGTTATCGTGGATCCATCTGCAGCATCGCTGGACCAGGCCAAGCGGTTGTACATAGATGCGTTGCAGGACAAAAATATAAATATAAAAATTGTGCTCGTCACGCTGAATGCCTCAGGTATGTAGTTTTAAAAACTTATCGACTATCGATGATCGATAATTGTTGAAAATAGGGGTACTGGGAGATGTTATAAGAATAATATGAATGACAGAAATAGTCGGAGTTTGTTGCCAAGCGTAAGATATAGAAAAACTATCGAAACTATTACGATAATGTATCGATAACTATGCCGATTTCAGCTGTAACTTTTGGATATTTTAAATTCTTAAGAATAGTTTGAACCGTGGTGAAGAAAATAATTCGATTATACAGTTCTCAGTAACACTTAACTGATCGATAACTACAATGAACTTAATCTAAATAAATGTCTTGAGTCTATAATCTGTCTATATCTGTTTATAATCTGTTACCTTTAACTTATACTCAATCTGTATTTATTCATTTCAGGTGTGCCCTCCGCTTTCAGTTTCAACAATACGCGAGAGTTCATTGCGGGCCTGAACAGCACTAAAGAGATAGAGGGCGGCAATGCCTTTGTGGGCGTGTTGCAGGCCGCCGAGTTGGTGCCCTATGACAGCGCCATATTTATATCGACAGCTGTCATACCGCCGCACACAGATATTGTACAGGATGCAGCGATTACATTGCTAAAGAAGCGCATACGCGTGAGTTGATAAACTTTTAAAGAGAGTTAGATAATATTGTAACTTTTATTAATCGTACTCTCTTTGCAGTTGTTTATGCTGTGGTACGGCGAGCGGTCGGCCAACGAGAATGAGACAGAAGATGCTGTGGGCGGCATTTTGGGCGAGGTGGCCATACGATCAGGCGGCGAAATTATTCATATTGTGAGCACAGAGCATGGACAGCATATAGCGGGCAATACGGTAAAGAGCGCAAATAGTCGTACGAGCGTAATTAGTGTAATTAAAAGTCTGATGGAGCTCAGCAAACAGCCAGCAGCTAGCAGCTAGCCTGCTGCCAAGTGTTGAAATTGAAAGTGGCGACAACAACAACAGCGGCAGCAACAAGTGTTGCCCAAGCAACCAAGTGAGACGCAAATAGCAGCTTGGATTACCTTTCAGACAGGTGCTCAAGAGCACGACGACGCGATTTGCTGCTGCTGCGATTGTTGTTGTTGTTGTTTAGCTGTTTGTTGTGTTGATGATGTTGCATCTTTGTGCAAAACTAGGTTATGGAAAGAAAAGTGAAGGGCAAATTTGTTTATAGAAAGGAAACTAGACATTCCAAAAACAATAACAACCAGATAACAACGTCTCTTTCTTTCTCTCTCCCTCTCTCTCCTTAAATCTCTAATTTCAGTTAACGCTCGTCTCAGATGCGTATCAAGGTACCCAGGAGCTGGAGCTACCTGTTGATACGACGCTGTCCAGTTTACATGTGCGAATCGATGCCAACATGCGACGTGCCACACTGGCAACGCCCAATGGTGGTTAGTTTAACAGTTAAACCCAAACCCAAACACACACACACAGACACACACACACACAAAATAAGCTATCTCACTCTTTTAGTACTAACCAAGTAGTTGGAGTTGAAGAAGCAGCAGAACAAAGAAAACGGGGCTGTACTTCATACTAATAGTGTTGTAAAAGTTCAGCGTGTACGGGTTCAACAATAAGGGATCTTCAATTTCGTGGCCCATGCGTATGGGCGCGCCTAGGCTAGCTTCGATTTAAGTTGTTTTGTAGCTAACTTTACATATATATGCATATATTTATGTATATCTCTATATACTATATACGTTAATTTAACTCATTCACACACGCTACTTCTATCTCAATATCAATATTTTCTTACTAAAAAGCCAGTGTTGTAAAATGTCTCAAGAGTCAACTGTACTTATTTATATGTGCTTAGCTTTAAGTTTTATATTTTAACTAACCGCCTACCCTATCCCATCCAATCCTCTTCCGACTTATGTTTCCTCAGCCTGTTTTATGTACATAGCCAAAAAAAGAAGAACTAATAACACATCCAACGCTTCCCCTAACCAAAACGCTAGCCTAATGCTAAATACTTAACATTAACGTGTAGTACAAAAGAATTTCTTCAAATATTATTTACAGACGCAGATATATGTTTATGTTTATGAAAGTAATAAATGTTTAGCTTTAAGGGTCTACAATAAAAAAGACACACAAATAATTTCGCAAATAACTTTAAAAAAAAATAAATTGTTCAGCGTACTTTTAACTTTAGCTTCCAAACCGACCCCAGCACAGGTTTAACTACAATTTGCACTTGTCGATCTTTGTTTAAGTTTGTTTGTCCTAAGCGTAAGTATACAAAATGTTCGTATATTTTTATATGTCTATATGTTTGGCACTTTTTTACACTGTACTAACTAAACGTTCTCCCGGCTATACACAGCACAAATTGTGAATGTTTTCTAACCACGAGCCACTTTTATTAATTTTATATAAATGGTTGCTATCAAAATTGGTCTAGAATCGGGCGACTTGCGTATTATTCACACATCAATGTCTATGTCCACGTAGCCAGGGTGCATAGTTCAGACACTCCCAAAATAGATTATACGAATGCAACCAGACTAAAAGCAATAATGACTCAAGCACTCTCGTACTGTTTATCTCAACACAGATTCCAATGTGAATGGCGGCTTATCGCAATAGAAAGAATAATGAACGAAAACAAGAAGAGCTTTAATTTAGCATTCTAAAGATTATATATAATATATACCAAAGATTAAATATAATCCATACTAATGATCAGCTCAACTACAATCCCTTCAAATCCCTTCCAAATACAACAGCTTAAAGTTAATATGTTTATCGATATACAATAGCTAATCGATTACTTCAAAGAAATCACAGCTACTTTCCATGCCTTAAAGACTTATAACAAACATAATAATCAGTTATAAAATTCCCTAATGTAATTGGCTCATTTGAGATACGCAAACTCTGTTTTAAAATTTCTTCACATATTGTTATTCGTTTAACGCATGTGCTCTATATTATCAATTTATTGCACTGCTTACTTATCGTAAGTACGCTGTGAACTTTGCCATAAACACAGTTATAGTAGAGCTTACGGAAGTTATTTCCAGATAGAGTGAAAGAGAGGGAGAAGTGGATGACACATACACATACACACGCTAGCATACACACTAGCAATGCTGGCGCCGTTTTAACATTTTTTGTACAAATCAATTGAAGTTGCCTGCCGCAATATAGAAAATATTGCACATTGCATTTTGAAAATCGCAAAACTATAAAAATCGAAAAGCTTTCAATTTCCCAAACACATAAAATATATTTAATACTCTCACGAGCACACACACACACATGGCGAGTCATTTGTTTAAATTGTTGCCAAATTTTTGACGTTGCAGCATTAGTTACAATTATATAGACAAATACGTACACAATTAGTCGGCTGGCATGCATTTGGCCACTGCCATGGCCAAGTTCAAAAGTGGCCTCTGACCAAAATCGAAGGCAATTTTGTTGATGATGCACACGAATTGGAAATTTTATATTACGCCGCGGGTCATGTCAGCTGGCAAGTAGGCTTTCTTAAAAAAAAAAACTAAATTGTGGCTTAACACTTAACACTTTAGAGCTATTCAACTATTTATGTTTTTGTAATTTGTTTGATTTCACAATTCGAAAAACAATCGTTTTTATGTTAAATGTTTTGCAGAAGTAGTTTCCTTGCACAACAATAACAACACAATTAATAACAGCAATAACAGAGCAGCTGCTCAGCGTAGAGTTGCCAGCGTGCAAGTGGTTATATATTCATATAGCTATAATTACAGCTGATGACAATAGCTTGCACAAATACTTGCATGTCATAACTGAAATTACTTGCACTCATTTTTGAGTTGCGCACAATATTTAATAAATATATTTTTTCTGTATACAATGATCCGCTAGCAATCTGGCAACGCTGCATGGAAAACAGCTGTGTGCAGTGCTCGCAGTGAATGGCAAAAATACACCTGTTAATTTGTTTATGTGTGCATTACATTCTCCGTTTTCGTTTAGATATAAATTTAAAGAAACTGGTCAAATTTAAATCAATCAATGATACACGAAATGCTAACCCCGATGAACTGGATGCATACGTACCACTCAACAAGCTGCGCAAGGCAACAATCCTCAAGCTGCAATTGACGCCGGATTCACCAAAAGCCGCTTACAATGTTTTCATACGCGCCGAACGTAAAGCTGATGTTTTTCTTGGTAAGTTTCAAGAAAACCAACACAACACACAGCTAATCAATTAAAAATCAACTTGGCGACCGTGTTGGACGCATAGAACTGAACTAATTATAATTAAGATGCGTCGTTTTCTGAACCACGAAAAAATATAAAAACAACAAGCTAACCGGTGCTCGGGGCTCGTTTCCAGAGATAACGATGCCCGCCTGCTTGATAACCGTATCAACCTTGAGCGTCATCTGAGCGGAATGATTGTTGACGCCATCCAACTGAAAGTACACACAAAAGAGCTGCTTTTCTGCACCGACAACAACAACAAGAAGCTGACGTACTATCTGAATCCTGTTTCTATTATACAAAACAGAATATCTGCTTCCGGTGAATTCAATTACTGTTTCTTTGATCAATTACAGGTGATATTATTAAACGCATCGATAGCTACTATTCCCATGCTGTACATGAACGTCCTTTGGCGCGTCTGGCCAAACTCAAATTTCCCGAGTCACACGAAAAGCTAGAGAATGAAGTGGATTCACCTAAGAGCGAAGTGGAAACCTTTTCGCAAACGGAGCTAGTGCAGCCAACGACAAGTCTAAATCAAACACAATTTGCCGCTGCTACGGGTGAGCCGCAGCGTGCCAGCTTGAATGCCATGTTGCTGCAACGTTGCGGCACCAAAATCGAACTCAGTACGCAATCGCAGCTGCTTTTGAATGCGGGTCAAATATCTACGCTGCTCTTTGAGGTGACCAATATGCGAGCGGAGCGTGTCTATCAGACGGTGCAAGTGACGGACGAGCGGCGTTTCCTGGTGCAGCTCAGCCCGACGGGGTGAGTTGCCATTGAAACTTGTAGCAGGAAAATTTTAATTGACATTCTCTTCTCTCTGTTGCAGCTTCTATTTGCGTGCTCGAGAGACAAGCACCGTGCGTCTGACTGTGCTGGCACCCACGGGCACATCGCCCGGCACCACGGATAGAGTGACATTCACTAGCTATGGACGCGAAACGGCCACCTTGGCGGTTAGCCTAAAGGTCGTGTCCAGCATTGATGCGCAGGTATATTCCAGAAATATCTAAACTAGCTTACATTTTTGCATAACACGTTTATCACTAGGATTCCACTGGACCAAATCTTTCCTGGGAGTTTGGTAATCGCTGCGACTATGTAAGCAGTGATGGACAAAGCTGTGGCGATCGTTTCTGGACTTTGGATGTCACCGCTCAAGACTGGCAATCGGGCATACTGCGCTTGCAGACAACGCCAGCGGATGGACTGTTCTATCGCAATTACTATACGGCTGGTACAACGGAGCCCATGAAGGCCACATATATGGCATCCTGCTGTGAACCGAAGGTGGCCATAACGGCATACGATGCAGCGGGCAATCAGCGCAGCATTAACATTGATGTTAGAGACGTGGTGTTGACTGAGGCGGCTATAGCTGCCATCTGTTTGGGCGCCATTCTGCTGCTGTTGCTGATTATGCTGCTGATATGGGGCATTGTGTGGTGCTGCAAGCGACGCAAGGTGTCATTGGAGCTGCCCACGTATCGCTCGCACTCGACACGCAGCATGGAATAGATTAAGCGAGAGACTCTGCCAATACAAAAATAACAGCTACAATAACTATATATAGAGACGAACTTTAAGTGTTGCCCAATAAAAATACCAGAAAACTGTTAACGCTTATCAGCCAAAATATGGAACATAGAAGCAACAAGTGACAATTGACTCGTTGCTCTCCCTCTGAGTCTCACTCTCTCATAATCTTCAACTCCTCTCTCTCTCTCTCCCTCTCTCTTTTTGTCTGACACACTTACCGCGTTTGAGAATGCCAGCGATGAGAGCGTTGGCAGGCTGTGCGGGTGGTGCATGCACCACAGGCGGTGCTGCTGGAAGCAGGAGCGGCTTATTGGGAAAGTCGTCATAGCTGAGACCAGTCACCGAGGCACTAAGCAGTGGATTTTTAACAATTCGATTTGCATTGTTGTTGACGCGCGACGACGACACGTCACCTTTGGAGCGTTCGGACATGTTTACAATCGCGTTTCAGCACGGCACAGCGCTCTGATCAGAAGCTTGGGGTTGCGCAATGCGAATTGCGGGGCAGCAAAGATGATATTTGTTCGCACAGATGGCAAAATAGTTAAGAAAATAAAGCAGTCAAAAATTTACTTGCAACGCGCACAGTACCAACACCAGGGCTGCATCGATTCAGACAGTTCGTTAAGTGATTCGCCCTGGTTGTGCTCTTTCGTTCAATTTGGCCCAACGTTAACATATGAATGGCAAGCTTCAAGCTTTGGCGGTTTATTTCAATCTCTTTCATGATAATAAATTTAAAATACACAAAACTACAATATTTTTATAAGTGTAGCTGATTTTTATGGATATATAACTGATATAGATCAAAAATTAACTATTATAAAATATGCTGTGCCTATGTTGCATATTAGTTTGATAATGCTTGTTATATTTAACAGTGATGGCTGCTGTTATGCCACTGTTAAAGAAAACTTTTAAATGTTGTCTCCTTCCCAACAAACACAAAGCAGCGGAAAGTTTTTAATTATAGAAATAGTTCTAACGCAATAACACTAGTGTACAGTTGACTAACACAGCTGCGTTACAATTTTTTGGAAGGTAAAATTGTGAATTGCTAAGAAAGGTGTGTTAATATTTGTATTTATACTTGTAAAATTAGCCGGCACTTAAGTAGCCACTGTGCATAAAGTAATTGAAACTATAAACAGAAAGTGAGAGAGTAATATGCGAACGCGTTGTAAATGCAACTATGCGCATTAGCAGTAAAGAATGCGAATATGGCTGCTATGACACCTGTTGGAATCGCCACCCCCAACTGCAGTACACAATCTAAACAAAAGCTTTGCAATAGACAAACTGTTAAGTTAATGTACATAGTATATACGTGTGTCTCGTTTTGTCTCCCTCTATCTGCAAATATATACAAATATATACATACATATATATACATTAACAGAATAATAATTGTGTACATGAGTACTCATGTATGACATACGTAAAACGTTAATATACTATATTAATGCAAACAAATATCACAATTGATGTATAGATTAAATGCAGATATTGCCATTAGAATATTAATTATAATATTGCGAAATTCCAACATCGTTATCTAGTGGAAAAGGCATTTCCATTAGACACACATAATTCATTTGTTTTATATATAGATTCTTTATGATAGAGTATAGAAGTATTAACGAATGCTTACCTAAACATGTGAACCTTAAATTATTTGTAAATTATCTCGAGCCCTCATAAAGCCTTAATAATTATACAATTATTTTTTTATAATGTTTTAATAATATTAAAAAAAATGTATATTATAAAAAGTTTAAAATCTTAAAATACAACATATTTTGAATTTTTACCCTCTACAAGGGCATCCAGATAAATATTGAAGTGCTACCATTGAGTCTTATCTGAAAGTATCTCTCTCTGTCTCTCTCTCTCTCCCCACAGCTGATAACACGCCCCATATACATTACCGGCATCAGCGTTTTCATATTTAACTAACGTCAGTTCTCACTTTTAATTCATTTGCAGGTCTTTGGAGACACGTTAAACATGTCATCGGGCAAACTGATTCGTTGGGGCATCGCATCCGCTGGCAAGATTAGCGAGGACTTTGTCATTGCGCTCAGCACATTGCCAGCCAGCGATCACAAGGTGGTGGCTGTGGCTGCACGCGCTCAGGAGCGCGCGGCAGAATTTGCCAAGAAGCACGAAATACCCACGGCCTTAGGCAGCTATGAGGAGCTGGCCAAAAGCAAAGATGTGGGTACGTATCCTGCTTGACAGTTGGTTCTGCAACTGTGGTCTAACTTCCTCTTTCATGCAGATGTGGTTTATATTGGCGTGCTGAATCCGCAGCATTACGAGGTGTCCCTGCTGATGCTCAACCATGGCAAGCATGTTCTCTGCGAGAAGCCGCTGGCCATGAACAAGAAACAGGTGGAGGGCATATTGGCCGCAGCGAAGGCAAACAAACGTTTCTTCATGGAAGCTGTCTGGTCACGCTTCTTCCCTTCCTATCAGCATGTGCGTCAGCTCATCCAGAGTGGAGCTCTGGGCGAGATCAAGGATGTGCAGGTTAACTTTGGTTTTCCCATGCCGAACGTGGATCGTCTTCAGTAAGTTGGAACTGGACAACTGATTGATAAATAGAAAGAGCTAAACTATTTTGTACTTGCAGAAAACGGGAGCTGGGTGGAGGCGTCGTTTATGATCTGGGTATCTATACCATACAAGCCTCGCAGTGGGCCTTCCAGGAGCCACCGCAGAAAATCGAATCAACTGGCCACACCAATGCCGAGGGCATCGATGATGATGTCAGCACCACGCTCACCTACAGCGGCGGACGAACGGCACGCATGCGCATTTCCTCTCGCGAGAAGTTGGACAACACGGCCATCATCAAGGGCACCAAAGGACAAGTGACGGTAAGTCAATGAATCAACATTTGCTGGCGAGCGACAAACATTGATAAACATTGCTCACGTGGCCGGCAAGTGATCAAAGCTCTGTGACGTCACAGTTCTGTATCTGTATCGAAATGTATTTCCTCATTCCAGCTTATCGATTTCTGGACGCCAAACAAACTGATAGACATCGATGGCAAGGAGAAGGAGTGGCTGCCGCCCAAGGGCAAGCATGCGACCAACTATGCCAACTCGGAAGCCATGCGCTACGAGGCGGAGGCAGTGCGTCAGTCCATATTTGCTGGCGAGCTGGAAAACAAGAATGTCAGCTATGCGGATAGTTTGCTATTTGCCCAGATCGAGGATACGATTCGCCAACAGATCGGCGTGCTTAACAAATATGATGAGCAGTAAATAAGTCAAATAAATACTTCTAAACATACTAATAAAAATAGAATAAAAAAAAAAAATTGTTTTTTTTTAAATATATAAATAGTTTAAAAATATTAAAATCGAATTTCTGATTTCAACTCAGTTTATATGGGAATCTATGCTCAGGGCGTAGTTAGATCTAATAACTTATCTAATCTTCATCGAAAATCTTCACTTAAAATCTATGCCAAGTCATTCAACTAAGGCACTCTAGTGATAAGTATAAGTAATAAAAGTGGACTATATATATTGTAAACTTTGCCAGCAAACCAATTTACACTAGCTTTGACTTTGTTTAGGTCAAGCTATAGGAAATCACTTGCCAGTTAAGTCACGATTGCAACTTGAAAATAAATATTTATAACTACAATATATATACACGAACGTCGCTAAATATATAAGCTATACTATTTATACACATAATGCATATCTCTCTCTTAATATATGAGACATATTATTATATATAACTAAAAAGATTATAGAGATAGATTTGCTTTTCTATATAGTTCACTTACCTCTTTTTTATTCATATTATAGACTTTAAAATTAACAACAAATATTTAAATAAAAAACAAGTAGTTCATTACGTATTATAATGTAAGATAATTAAACTGGTTTCCAACATGAATAGATTTTTTATTACTGTATACGTCATAATTAAATTCGAATTTCACAACAAAATTCAATGTTTGATAATTTATATATTCAAATATACATGAAAACTCTACAACCATTAAAAATTGTAGTTAAATTAAAATAAGCTCAAACACGATCGTCTTCTTTAGCTCTGTTACGGTCCAAATAACTTATGACCTTTAATGTTCGTCAACAAAAAACCAATGTAGCTAGTTATATATGAGATCATCAAAAAGAGGGCTCGTCCCTAAATACATGATACGAATAACGTTGAATGCTTACTGGACATGTGACTAAAGTTGTTAGAATGCGTGATATTGAAGACATTGGGGCAATACCTATGGGAGATAACTTCATTTACTTACAAACCACTATAATATATAATAATAATATAAAGATTGTTATAAAACTATAATAAAAACAACAAATGCATTTGATTATAACTTCTAAATTCCAAGATTTAAATATTTAAAAAAAACATATATATATATTTTTTATTTTATTTATAAATATCTATGAAATAAATAACAAAATCTACTTACGAATTAAAACCTAAGTATAAATATTGTTATTTATATTATAATTTTTTATTTTTTGTTATTTATATTTTTTTTTACAATTTAACATTTTTTAATTATTACTTTAATTTTTTTTTATTATAATTTACAATATAAAACATATATTATCTTTACATAAAAAATAATATGTTTTACATTTTTATTTTTAATGTTGTTTTTCTATTCTATTAAATTTTTAAAATTTTTATGACTTAGTTTATTTTTAATGCATAACTTTTTATATTTGTTTTTCAACTTTTAACATTTTTTGTTTATTATTATTATTATTTGTATCCTCCATGAGAACGTATATGAATTATTGTGATATTTCAAAATTATATATGTGAACTTCAGAGGATTTCTTCTAAAGTATTCCGACTGAAAGGGGTTTCGGTCAACAAGAAAGTTCACTTCTCACAAAATATAATCAAAGGCAACACGGGGATATATACGTATATATGCACGAGTATTGCTTAGGTATACCTACTATAGAGCTCTGAGAACTAGCAGCTCGTGTTATACTCTGTTATCAGCAGAGAATGTAATGAAAAAGTGCAAATGCAGTGAATGCAGATGTTTGGGTCTGATAAGGACGCGCACTTGGCGCACTTGGCGCACACAGCGTCAGATCCGTTCCGACAGTTGTGTCAACAGTGGCGATTCGACAGCACACGGAATTGTAGACGTATATTCTATATATCGGCAGCAGATCAAGTTTATAATGCAAAGTCAAGTTCTGAATTGGGGCATTGCAGCAGCTGGACGAATTACCCAAGATTTCGTCACTGCTCTGAGCACCATTCCAAACTCGCGCCACGCAGTGTTGGCCGTTGCTGATGTCGAGGGATCGCGCGCCCAGGAGTTTGCGCAGCGTAATCAAATACCGAGGCACTTCGATGGCTTCGAGGCGCTCTCCTTGGACAAGGAGGTGGATGTGGTATATGTGGGCACATTGAATCCCTTCCACTATGCCGTGGTGCGTCTGATGCTCACACGGGGGAAGCATGTGCTCTGCGAGACACCCTTGTGCCTGGGTCTCGAGCAGGCCCAAGAGCTCTACAAGTTGGCCGAGCAGCGAGGTGTATTCTTCATGGAAGGTGAGCGAACGAAGCTCCTGGGAAATGGCAATTGGTAATTCGCTGTGTTTTGCAGGCATGTGGAGTCGTTGCTTTCCCAGCTATGAACGATTGCGCGAGCTGCTCCTTAGCGATGCCATTGGCGAGGTGAAGCTAGTGAAGCTGCAGCACGGCTTTCGTTTGGCCAATGTGGAGCGTGTTGCTAGCCGCGCTCTGGGCGGTTCCATTACACTGGACATTGGCATCTATGCGCTGCAGCTGGGCCAATTCATCTTTGGTTCGTCGCCCGTCAAGATCATTCCCAGCGGCACTCAGCTGAATGCTGAGCGCGTCGATGTTCAAACTGAATTCATATTGGACTACGGCGACAATCGTCGACTGATAGCGCTCATTACAGGTCTGGAGAATCTGGAGAACGATGCGATCATCGTGGGCACCAAAGGCGAGATTAAGGTGAGCTTATCGCAAAGTGCCCTGACCCTCCCAGTGCGACGCGAATAAAGTGTTTACGCTGTACAGCGAGCATCTCTAGAGTAGAGTTAAGGAGGCTGCAAGGATTTCTCAATAGACTCAAGATCTGAAAATCTTTCAGTCTTACTTACTTCCAAGCTCTGTACTACATTAGTATAACAGATTGTCTTATAACACTTTAAAACAGCTCCCCAACTATTGGTGTCCCACTCAACTGTCGCTGGTCAATCACGCGCCTGAGTCTTGGCCACTGCCGCGCGCCAAATTTGACTTTCACTATACGAACTCCTGTGGCTTGCGCTACGAGGCGGAAGAAGTGCGTCGTTGCATCGAGAAGCGTCTGCTGGAGAGTCCCAAGTACACGCACGCAGCTAGCTTGGAAGTTATTGCCATTACGGATCAGATACGCAGTCAAATTGGAGTGAACTATGATAATGTGCTCGGCAGGGATGCTTAGAGGCATTTGTAGTGCTCTAGACTATGTAGTTATCTAGGCTATATATATTTTTGTATAGCCATAAATTGTCTTATGATAAATTTCTCACAAAGTAGATACGAATGTTGTACGCTCTATGTATCTCTTATTTTCTATAAGTTAACTGACGACATCTGGACAAAGCTAAAGCCTATTTATTCGGCCATATATTCAAATATACTTACGATAAATATGATAAATAAATAAATAATATCTTCTATAATTAGAAGAGAAATAGTTATTTATGCCTTTTTATATAGACGTTAAGATCAAAAACTTTGGGAAAGGGTTCAAAATCAGATCAAGAGAAAAAATTAACTGATTTTGGTGTAATATAAGATAGAACATAGATACTATTTGTTTCAAAAGAAGAAATTCTTGAGTTGAATTCATGAGAATCACACAGAAGATCAATAAATATATTTATAGTACTTTTTAGAATACTTTACCACTACTAACTAACTTTACCAGCAACAATAGCCGAATTAATATATTCATATTTAATCCCTAAGTTTTTCTCCAATGTAAAAAATATTTAATTTTTTTAAATTTTGAATCTGAAAATTAAATTTACTAATCTTTTTCGACAGAATATAGTCTTATAAAGCTTTGTTTGGGTCAGAGGCACGTTCATGGCTTGTCCATGTCTGGATTCAAGTATGTAGATCTTAAGACGTCTATCTCGGACGCATTTGTACATAAGAACAGATATTAGAACAGACATTAGATCAGGAAAAGATATACATGTATATAGAAAACACAGTCTCATGTTAAAAAAAATTCAATCACTTCATATTTTGTATTCAATATTTTATTTAAATAATTGCATTTACTTTTTTACTCTTTACTTTTTTTAAGTTCATTTTTCGTTTTCGTTTTATTTTCTTTGTTGTGTTATTTTTTGCTCTTCTATTAAAGTTGTTTGCTTGTTATGTTGCATATACATAAATATTACTAATTCATGTCTAATGTATATTTTGTTGTTGTTGTTGTCGCCGTTGGTTCATTAAGGCTAATCAGCTAAGGTCAAAACGGGAACTTAAGAGCTAAAGGAATACTTAAAAGCAACAGAGAAGAATTAAAAACAAAGACGTTCAAAGCTACATTGAAAATTAATTTACGAATTTTGTTTTCAAATGTAAATGCAAAGCAATAAATTAGTTACAGACAGTAAAAATTGAAAATTAATTGATTAAAAGTGTATCGTTTTTATTTTATACATGAATTGTTCAAGGCCCAGCTGGATTAAATTCGTTGAAACAACGCTAGACGTGTGGGAAGAAGTTGGGGGTGATTTTCTTCTCGAGTGGAATACAAAATATCTTAACTGCTGTTAATTGGGTAAGGCGAAAAAAAACTACATAAGTTCCAAACCTAAGCAACGAAGTGACTAAATTACATTGTGTACTTAAGACTAATTAGAATTGTAACAATTAAAACTGATTTTATACAAGGCGAGCCAGACATTATGCATATCATGCATAGCGGATGATTGCCAGCTGCCAGCTGAAGTTTTGGTACGTCAGAGACGAAGGAAGGCGGGCGGCACGTAGCACGCAGCACGTCGGACGTAGATGGCCCGAAACAAACATAATGTTGATAAATCCTAAACACGCATTTTGATTCAGACGCTGCCGCTTAAATATAATTAAGTCTTCTGCTGTGTAAAATTGCTATAAAAACTATCCACAGATGTTGCGCAAATCCTGGTTCAATTGCTTTTGCTGTTGCTGCTTGTGCAGCTCGACACTGATTCGATCCCGATGCTGGATTCCAGCGGTTGACGCGGCTGAGGCGTCGGTGTGGACACAACGAGCAGTGGCTTGTGCGGCTGCTCCACAACGGCAACGATGGGCGTGGGATTAATAAGCGGCGGTGGCAGCTCCTCAAACGTCATACAGCTCCGCTGCGCCTCCTCCACAATGGGCGGCGTATCAATTGAATCGAGGTCGATGGTAATGATGGTGTTCGTGTTGGTGGTGTTGGTGGTGCCGCTCCTGCTGCTGCGCACAGTGGTATAACCCTCAGAGACGGCTACCAAAGCGGCGGTGGTATTACGATTGTGCTGCAATAGATCATTGATCTGCGAGATGCGCGACGAGCTGCTAATCGGCGCATTCAAATTGATAAAGTCAACCGGGACGTTGCCCGTCAGCCGGGCCAGGCCCGTGGCACAGCTGCTGGCCGTTATGGATATGCTGCTGCTGGTATTCCTGGAGACGGCGGCGGTGGTTTCTAACACATTCGCGTGCTGATATTGCGTGGCATTCGAGGCGGTGGTGGTGGCATTGCCAAAAGGCGGCACCGACGGCACCGCACATGAGCTGTACGCACCAGGCGATACTATACCGCCCGATAAAGTCGTCGTCTGTTGGTAGGAATTGTAGGAGTTGAGCTGCAAGGAAATACGAGTTACTAAGTTAAATCGCTTTAAATGAAAATGGGCAAATGGCGAAGGCCTTCATCTGTCTCTAGCGGCATAATAATGTGTAGATTATAACTATTATAAAATTTGTGGTTTGAGAAAATGTTGTTTGGGCAGAAATAGATGCCTAATGGGGTGATTGGAAATCTCAGTCTAGGAATTGATTAAATATTATATAATCACAGCTATGTGAAATGGGTCAGGGTTCAGTTTGCATATCATGTTTGCCGCTAGAGCTCAATCAATTAGGTCCCTCCTCCAATTCTCACTCACCTGTGCGCTGCCATAGCTGACGGTTGGATGATAGGTAGGCGTTAGAAGCTCACCGTACGAGGGCGTGGCATTGCTACCGCTCGTAAATAGTCCCGAATCAAGGCTGTCCAGTTGCGGATAACCAGCAGCGTAGCTAGATTGCTGCGCCGTGCTGCTGCTGCTTGCTGTGGAACCAGGCGAGGCGTTCGACTGTCCCGGCGTCTGCTGTTGCTGGTAATAGCTGACGCTCGTCTCGGGCGTGTAAGCTGGCGAGGCATAGCCGGAGCTGTAGTTGGACTGCGGCTGCATGAAGAAGCAGTGCGAGGCGGCAGCAGCAGCAGCGGGTGAAACGACGCCAGCGCTGCTGCTGCCGGAGGCGCTGCTGCCATAGACCAGACCATTATTGCTCGTTGCCGTCGGCGGGCCCTGACTCTGGCGCTGCTCCATATCCAGCCGCATAACGGTGTGTATGTAGTGGGTGCGCACGCGGGTAGGATTGAACTCGACACGTCCGACGGTGTTGCCGCAGGCTTCGCGTGTGCAGCCGCACGGGAACATCGCTCGATCCACTTGACACTTGATACCCGCCTGGCTGCAGGCACACGTCTCCGGGTCACAAAATTCGCGACACGAACAGCCGCACACCTCGCGCGAATTGCGTATATCCTTGCAATCGATCTTCTCGCTGGCATCGATCTTTCTCACTCCGGCCGCTTTTAGCAGCGCTCGTCGCTGCTTGGGCGTTACCGGCTGCAGGAATCCATTGGAGCCATCGTCAGCATCGGAGCTACTGCCCTCGCTTAAATAATCCTCCTCGGATTCCTCGCTGTCATCACTGCTGGAGCCGCGCGTTTGCAGCTGCTGCTGTTGTTCCTGATTTTGGCTGCGATGCGCACGCCTCAGCTCCGCCGCATGCTCGGCCAGCGTCATCGTCTTAAAAGCAATGTGCCGAGCACCCATGCCCAGCGTGCAGCCACCGGCTGTGGGCACACAGCTAAAGCCTTGCTGCCTGGGAAAATAGTAGACCTTAACGCTATCAAAGTTAATGCAACGCTTCGAGCGTTTCTGTGTGCTCGAGCAGCAGCTGACGTTGCTGCTGTTCATGTCCGGTACCAAGGCCAGCTCCATGCCATCATCCTCCAGTCGCCGCTTCAGATTGGACCGCAGCGGCTTCTGCACGCTCGTCGTCGAACCATTAACTGTTGCTATCGTGTTGTGTCGATCATTTTCGCTGCCCAGTCCTGAATCGGAGCCGCCGTCGCTACGCAGCTCGTCCTCTTTGGTCTTTGTGGGCGGCTGGATTATAGCCGCTCTTCCATTGCTGCAGCTGGGTAGGGGCCCGACAATGCCACTGTCAACGTTGCTGCCGACTGGCGCTGGCGTGTCCAGTTTGAGCCACAGCAAATTACCGCTGCTCTCTGCATCCTCGTCATCCACCACAACCACCTCGTTGTCATCCTCTCGCAGCAAAGGTTGCGCAAAGTCATCTATCGCCAGCGGATCCTCAGATATATTATCGGAGGCCAACGATGAATTGACCTCGCTATCGCTAAGCACAATAATCTCATTGTTGGGAAAGTTGTCCAGCTCCAGAAACTGTTCTTCCAGATCATCGTCCGCGTCGTTTATCAGTACCACCGGCTCGTGTGCAAAGTCTGCCAACTCATCGTCTAGTTGCAGCTGCAGCGGCAGCACAATTTTCGACTTTGACGCATGCACTTTGCTGGCATCGATAATTGAAGTTTTTATTTGACGTTCAATGTCCTCATCCTCGAGCCGTTGGCCCGACTCCTTATCAATTGTTGGCAACTGCAGTTGCTCCTCTAGCACCAACTCCTTTGGCTGTTCCATTCTGTTGGCATCGCCAACAACGCCACCGCCGCCACTGCTGCCGCTGCTGGCTTCATTGTCAGCATTCACGCTGCTTGTGCTGCCAAACATGGTTCCATTGCTGGCATTCTTTTGTATGTACGTAAAAATCTTCTTGATCGGACGGAACATGCTTCTCATGACCGCCCCCAAAGGCTCACCCAGCTGTAGCTTAGTTCTTAAACCTCCTTGCAGTTAAGAGTGTCTGTTGCAACAGTTCCATCTGGATGGATGATAAGGGGAAATTGAGTTTGAGTATAATTAAATTATATTTTTTTAAAAGTAATATAAAATCATATCAAGATAGATTTGTATCTACGTATCTATGTATAGCTGCCTTTTTAAATTGTTTTTAGATATATCCATTAGAGTAGAGTGAAGAGTTATCATTAGTTTGCAGTACAGTAAACCTCCCAATTTCCTTTGACTTTAACTAAGGATACAATATAAGCTACTCAAGGGTTAAGACTAAACTGACTTGATAAAAATGTAAATTCCCTTTATTCAATTAAGTCTTAGATAATACATTAAATATGAAAATTTCTTATAAAACGCCCTTAAGCTGAAGCATACATATCTAAGGACTTATTGATGATATAATAAAAGAAAAGTTAACATTTTGAAGGTTTGTTATATTAAGACTAAGTTATCATAAATGGAATTGCCCCGACTTTTATGTTAAAGTGTTTTGTACAGCTAAGAAGACCAAATGAAGCTACTTTGCTTAAATAAGGAAAACTCCAAAATAGAAAATTCATACGACTTGGCCAAGTTAAGAAGAGAAACGCCACGTTAAGAGTTTTCATTAGAGCTAAACTATTTCATGAATACCGGAAATAGCAAAAGCAAATTCTGTATATTCACATAACAGCATTGACTGCATAAAGCAAAACGGTTCTCTTTTGTGAGTAATTACTGTACTGTATAAATTGTCTGCGTAGATTTTGCTGGACTTTTTGGAGTAGTAAAAGTCAGCGCTTTATCCCTTTGCCTTAGCAGTCACTTTTTTAGTTCAACAGATCACCAAATGAAAGTTCTCTCGTCACTTTTCCGTTTTTCCGACTTGTATATAGCGTTGTTGTTTGTGTGTGGCGGAAAGGCAAAGGAAAATTCCGGGGCAGCTCGAAGTATGCAGTGTATGTGCAAGTGTGTATGCGAAGGGCACGCCTAGGCAGGCACATCGCCACGTGCAAGTGCAGCCAGGATTAGTGAAAATTCAATTTTTAGCTAAGTTACACAGAGGCATACATACAGCAATCTGTGTGCAACAGCTTGTGGCAAAAGAAATTAATTGGCATCGCAATGGGGAAAGAAAAAATACAATGAATGGCGTATGAAAAGGTTTTAAGTCTAAGCAAAATCAATAATTTGCACACCTTTGGTCTGATTATTTAGCACAATGCGCTCTGATTACGCTTTCCCGGGACACTTGATGCAAATTTGCAAACTCCTTTTTCGAATTTGCGTTGCAGCTGTGAAAACTACGATGAACGGGGAAACCGCAGTGTACGTGTGTGTGTGTGTTTGTGTGTATGAGCAAAGGAGACGCAGAGCACAGATCACAAATGTCAATAGCTATGTGTGTGTGCGTACGCAAGGGGCTTCGCAGCAAGACGAGCACTAGATCTATGTATTGGTGCTGATCACTATTTGATACGTTTACACGGTTGTTCAGTCGCACTTTTGTCGTTGAGCTTTAATTATTTAATCAAATCCTGCTTTTCGGATTCTCGACCGACGTTTTCACTTCTCGCCTCGCAATGTTATTACCATTTACTGCCATTCACAAAATACTCAAATTGATAATGTGACCATATATGCCAAAATACCGAAAATACCAACTTTGGCATACAATTTGCAAGCACTGTCGTAATTGGTCAAAGATGACATCAAATCAAAGCACAGTAACCGAACGCCACGTAAAGTCCGAAGCGACGACTGGTATCGATAGTTGACCATTTTAAATAGAGAATATAGGAATATAATGGATGAGTCACATACTTAGAGTATTATATAATTATAAGAAAGTCTTCATTACAGAATATGTGATTACCACAGAAAAAAACTGTCCGAAAAGAAAGCTACGAATATATAATAGATTGCAGTCGATGTAAACTTCGTAAATAGATGGCGATATTGATTATTATTAATTTCGATAGCGAAATAAAAAACATTGAAGCGATGAATCGAATAGGAAAAATAACAAGACAGTTATGTTTGAATGAAATTAATTATACATTTTGTTGTTAAAATAAAGATCTAAATATAATATATAATATTTCTTTGTATGTAATCAAATTAATAGCTTTATTTAGCATTTAAAACTTTACAGCTCTATATTTAAATGATATGATTGTGAAGTAAGAGTATTTTTAACGCATTAGATTAATTGTTAAATTGCACAGATTAGGTTGATAATTTATTTAAAATCGGTTAATAATCGAAAGCCGCGGCAAAGATATATCGATTAACCATCAATCAATATCGTTAAAACGAACATCGATTACCTGCTGTTTTCTTACATCACTAATAAAAATTGTAAGTGGATTCAAGTTCAGCAATAATCCAGGCAATATTTGCAAAAAAAGAGAGTGGTAAAAACAATAATATTCGCGTACTGCACCCAAAACTAAAGGGCCGACAGAAAAAGTGCAAGTCACGTCTCACAATACATGCAGCGCCTCGAAATTGACAAAAACAAGACCTGAAACGTTGGAGAGTCGTGGGGATAGAGTCAGTCGCTGTCTATCTCTGTCTGCGTGCGTTTGTTTCCAAGTTTTCGTGGCTGTGCTACGTTCGAAAACGCAAATAAGAAATCGTAAATCACAGTCAAACACAAACAAAGAGTGAGTTGCAGCAGTAAAGTGTATAAAGAGTTGTTGCTACAATCAAAGTGCGTAATTGTAAGCGAGAACAGAAAAGTGCATGTGAAAAGGGCGCTGTTGTTTTTCCATTAATTAAGAAAGTTGTGTAAAATTTTTCATGTCCACCATTACAATCGTCATCGATAGCTGGCGCTGAGCAGAGAGAAAGAGAGCGCGAGCAGCAATCAATTCGCCCCACAAAACACACACACTCATACATGCGAATACTGCTGCTCTGTGAGCCTGTGTGAGCGAGCGCGATAGCTGTCCCTGAAATTGGGTGCGTTGCACGCCAGAGCATGTGAGCAAGCAAGACAGAACGAGTTGTCTCATAAGTATTGGTGCTTAAATGCAGCGCACAGTGGCAACACATAGCGCAATAAATGTGCGTTTGTTTCTCTGTATGATAACCAAAGGGCAATATAACTGTAAATAATAGAATTACAGGTGCGGGAAAGTGATGGGCACAGTCTAGTAATCAGTAGTTGGCTAAGCTTTGCAGCTCTTAGCCCAGTCCACCTGCTTCTTTGTTCATTCGCTTTTTGCGTCTTAGAATGTGGAGCTCATTCTACTAATGTGTGCGTGCGTGTGTGTGTCTACGGATTTATCTACAATCGTTGCTTATCGTCATGACAGCTTCAACGCCCCCGCTTCATGAGGCCTTCCTCCGATATTTCAACCCTGAGGAAGAACAAAATTGTGAAGCTCTCTGTGCTTAATGTAAACAAAATTGCATATTTCATTTTCTTTGTTTTTGTATCCGCCTTTTTAATGCGCTGCCATTAATGCTGACGCCGCTGAATATAACAAATGTTATGTCGACGTGTTGCAGACCGAACCTATAGGGGTTATTTTTCTTTCTTCATCATATTTCAAATAATTACGCAGAGAAGTCTTGTATTACACTTGTTGACTTAAATGTGTACTCATACGATGCTAGCTATTTAAATATGTCTACTTTTCGGAGTTGCTGGCCATATTTGAACATTGATTTTTATAATTCAACATCGATTTTAAAATAGAATAATAAAGTAAGGTTTAACAATTTAAACTCCAAATTCTACTGATCGCAAATTTTTAATAATGGCGTAAAGTTTTTATGTCAACGGCTCGAATTGTATGGAGTGCGCTCTTTCTCGTTTCCTTTGCCACTTGTTCTCTCTTGTGTATGCACGTATGATGTGTAATTGTGTGTGTCAGCCGTTCGTTTCGTTTTCTGTGTGAATGACGCATCGTCAGCTGTTCTAGTGTTGCCTACGGTAATTTCCGGACTTGTCGCTGTACCGTTGTTTTATATTTTATTGAATTTTCCTCAAAAGGGTTGCGCGCCGCTTTTGTTTTCGGCTCGTGAGCTCGGTGTTGAATGTTTTTGTCCTCGTTTTGTACGATCTATAACTCTAAGATTCATAATTCACTACGCTCTTTAGCTGTGTAGAAACGCCAGCTGTTGGAATTGCTACTCGTGTTTGCAAAAACATTTATCAATATTGTTCATTTAATTTACAATATTTGCTTTTAAAAATCATGTGATCGTTTGACTTATTAAAATCTTAGGCAAGTTTTGCAGCTGTCTGCGAGAAGAGAGACTTCAATAATCTACCTGTAATACAACTGTGATAAAATGCATCGACGTCATGACAAACAGAAACTCGAAAACAAGTGAAATTTTTCTACTTCCAGAGAGCGAGAGAATGAGAGAGTACAAAAAATAGCGACACTCGCATTCATACATTTGGCATATTTGAGTTCGTGAGTGCGTGTGTGTGTGTGTGTGTAAGTCGTGCTTGACAACTTGATTCTTCTATTTGCTTGTTAGTGTGTCTGTGTTTGCACTTTGCTCCAAAGCGCCAAAGCCTCAAACGGGTCTCACACAGCAAACAATAGAAAACGTAAAATGTTAGTGCATCAAGTTTTTACTCGATTATTGTTCACTTTGATGATGTCGCCTGCATCGTTTGTGCAATATTGCTTTGACGCTTAATTTAATAATACCACAATAACGAAATGCGCCGCATTTCACTTTCTCTGTGTTACATTGCTTCTGCCTGCCCACTACCCGCCTGCTAACTGCATACACATGTAATTCATTTTGCATTGATTTTTGTCGCGCTCTTTTGTCGCATAGTCCAGTGCCTGCTCTAGTGCCCGCACCCGCAGCTGCGTCTCCATCCTGAGCATATCCGCTTTCAGCCTGTGCTCATCAACGCGAGATCCGTATTTATCAATCTCTCTTCCAAATCTCTTGCTTCTCTCGTCAGTCTTCTAACCGATTTCTCTGTACAGTTTAGCATTTTGCTGTTAATTAATTGTAGAGACTAAATGTATACGCGCTCGTGTGTGTGTGTTTGTTCTATTTAATGACGAGGAGTTGGCAAAGGAAACGAACAACATTTAATTCAAATTAAACAGCAGAAATTTTAGTTACTTATTGTACTAGTGATTCATTCCCAACCGATTTTTATAGTACTTTCTTTGCTCTAAAGTTGCTCTTGTTATCGCTGTTTATTGTAGGAGTATTTTCTGCTCTAGTGAGAACGTAAATCAGCATGCTCTACTTATGTTAGCTAACATTTTTGACATGTACGTAAATTACAGAAATGTTAATCTCAATACTGATTCAGAAACACTGTTAACATTTACATACAGTCAACCTTTAACGGTTCTTTATGGGCGCGTTTCGTTCATATTTGTTTAATTTTTATATTATTTCTGTAGTAGCCAAAGTGAGCAATTTGTTGACTATAATATGAGTAAGTCAGATAAGATAGACATTTAACTGATAACAATTTACATTTGTCTGAGTTTGTGTTTTGTTTATGGGGTGCTTGAAAAATTTTAAAAAAAATTATAACTTTGTAACCAGATGAGTAAAGTCTTAAAACATTTGTAATTATTTGCTTAAAATACTGACACACAGAAATATACATGAAAACAATAATTGCGCCTAAACATTTTTAAGGTTTCGCCTATTGTGTTGCGCGTGTTTGAAGTATTTTTAGTTGTTCCCCTAGTTGCGCGTTGCTTATGTTGTTGTTGTGATTAGCGCAATTCGCAATTAACTGAATGTGTGTGTTTGTGTAAATGTGTTTGCTTGTGTTTGTTTTTGTTGCCGACACGCAACTATTTCTTCTCCACACAAATTCTTGACATTGAACTTTGTCGTTCAATTAGCATATATCATATATATAGTACAATCCCAAAAACCTTATGAAATGCATATTGTATATATCAGTTATTCATACGAAATATACGTCGTATAACATATGCGGTTATAGCTGATACGTAGATAAGCTTTCGGCCTTCAGTCGGCCTTGTTTGAAGAGCATAAGGCTCTGTAAACGTTTCGTTAAAAGCTCTTTAATTTCAGTTGAAGCAGCTCTATGTTTTGTATACTGCATAGAAGATAATATATTTATATTATTTTTTGTTTATTTATCTTTCATTTGATACTTTTCGTAGCATTCATATAACGATTGTTTAAATGGGGCGTTTTTGATTTATGCTCTGCCCCTTCAGTTCACCGATAAGCAGTTCTATATATAAAATGAGAGTTTTTTGTGCGTTTGCTACATGTTTAATTAATTTCGATTAGCGCCGATGCAACAACCGAAGGCGCCACACGGTCAATGACGTTGATAGCATTATTTTATAATTTATCAGCAGCCGCGAAATTCTCGCAAATTCCTGTATTAATATTTGTTCTCTTTTCTAGATTATACACACACAGAGCCAGAGACAAAGAAAGAGAGAGCGATAGAGAGAAAGCTGGCAAGAGTGAGAGATTGAGAAAAAATTGAATCTTTTTCGACCGTCCGCAACAAATCTCGCATCTAAAGGCTTATTCCTACGTTTTAAGCGCAATTACAACAGCAACAGAAATATAATGGCAACAGCACCACGCAGCGGGGGGTCAGGCTCTGGAGCCGCCCAACGTCCCAATGGCACCTCGCAGAATAAAAGTTGCCAATTCAAGCTGGTGCTACTTGGCGAATCGGCTGTTGGCAAATCGTCGCTGGTGCTGCGCTTTGTTAAGGGCCAGTTCCATGAATATCAGGAGAGCACGATAGGTGCGGCCTTTCTAACACAAACCATTTGCATAGAGGATACAGTGGTGAAGTTCGAGATCTGGGATACAGCCGGTCAGGAGCGGTGAGTCTTAAAAGAGCTTAAGCTTAATCATGTAAAAGTTGGCATTAAATTTACTTTTAATTCTTCAATAATGTTAGTGCTAATGCTAATATTTATGATTAATGTTAATGTTATAATTATGTAAAGTAATCTAAGAAGTTAACATTCAAGTATATGCCACATTCACTGTGAATGCTAATGCTTCAAAGTTAATGTAACTATAAATGTTAATATTAACATTCATAGTCACGTTACCTTTAATGTGTTTGCTAATGCCTCAATGTTAATGTAATTAATATGTTATTAGCTGATAATGTAAGCTTAAATGTAAATGGCAATGATTCAATGTTAATGTAATCATTAATTCAAAAGTTTATGCTTCACTTAACATGATTGTTTAACCCAACGTTAAAGTGCTCATATTGTTTACGAGGGTGGTCTGAATAATTGAAAGTAATTAGAAACATAGAAAAATAATTAATACATATAATTAATCAACCTTAGATGATTTTATGTTTATAGTTTTTTCAGACCCCTCTCGTATGCTCACAGACAACATTTGGCTAAAATATATTTCATTTGCAGGTATCACAGCTTAGCTCCCATGTATTATAGAGGTGCGCAGGCCGCAATCGTTGTCTATGACATACAAAATCAGGACAGTTTTCAGCGTGCAAAAACCTGGGTCAAGGAACTGCATAAACAAGTGAGTAAACATGGAATACGATCTCTCTTTCAATTCTCTTGAGTGAACAAGTTAAATGCGATCACAAGTGGACAGCATGCAGAATATTCTCATATACACAAATGGAATTGTTTTTGTCTGTTTTGTGGATATATATAAATTTACTGAATTGAAGCTTTCTGCTGTGCATTGAACTCATTTATTATTTCCGTCATTGTTTACGGCTCATTGCAGTCATTACGAAATTATGGACGGTGCATGGTTTTTCAAAGTCTAAAGTCCGCAAATTAATGGGCTTCAAATATAAGTTGCAACTAATTCGAGGATATTTAAGCTTAGTCAAGCCTAGCTTTATATAACTTAAAAGGTTTCTTTTTCTGTTTTATGTCTACTTGTTTAGATAGTAAAGTTCAATGTTGTTTTGTAAGATAATATTGTCATGTAAGATAATCATTATTTGCTTAAAAGAAAGTGTTCGGAATTGATAGGGCTTATAATGATTGGAGTTTCAACTTGTCTCTGTGAGGCAAGTCATAACTGACATCACATGCGTTTCAAAGTAAATTTGAAGAGCATGTTATGTTAGCTCTTTAATTTTATTATTTATATTCTTTATAATACAAACAATTTGTACTTTTGTAGGCCTCACCGAACATTGTCATTGCGCTGGCTGGCAATAAGGCGGACTTATCGAACATTCGCGTCGTGGAGTTCGATGAAGCGAAGCAATATGCAGAAGAGAATGGTTTGTTGTTTATGGAAACGTCAGCGAAGACGGGCATGAATGTCAATGATATCTTCTTGGCAATTGGTAAGTAAACAAAACGTTTATTTACTTAAAGCGAAGCAAATAATATCTATGAATTTTCAACAGCCAAGAAACTACCCAAGAATGACAACAATCCTGGAACTGTTATAAAGCCAAATGGAAACGAATCAACTCAAACGACGAACAACTGTTGCAAGTGATGTCCCTTTGTAGGTGTGTGTTGTGTGCGCCCATCAGCGAAATTAATTGGATCGTATAGAATTTCAATTTTAAATTGGTTGCTTTTTGTCATTGCAGAAAATGAAATTTCCAACGAGAGATTTGAAAAGTTTATGCTGATAATTATAAATAAAAACATTATTTAAAATTTAAAACTAATGCCGGCTCATAGGGGCAATCAATTTAATTTTCATGATTGATGATGATGATGATGAGGATGATGATGATGATGAAACACATAAAGATAATATTAATTATAAATTAAATTAAATGGAAAAAACAAAAACCAACAACAAACAAAACGTAAAAGCAAAAAGTTAGTTTAAATAAAAAGAAAAACAACAACACATAGCCCCGTTAAAACCAAGCGATAATTTATCAAAGAAAAAGCGCTCTTAAAACAATATTTCTACTATATCTGGGCCCACAGTTCATAGTCGCCACTTAGAGAGCTCCCACTTCGATTTCATCTCAAAACAAACGCGGGCAGACGCATTCTAAATAAAATTTAACGTAAGCATTATTGAAAGCGGATTCAAGTTGACGTCGTATCGTAGAAATGTTTAAACAAAAATTTGAATTGTATAAAAAAAATTAAAAGAAAAAAAAAACTTGAGAGTTGCAAATGTTTTCGAAAAGTTTGCGAAAGACGAAAAAATTCCAGTTGCAGTTGTTCTCAGCAGCGTTACAAATAAGAGAGAATCACATATATATATATATATATATATATATATATATATATGTATATATATATGTATGAATATATATAGCGAAGATAATGATAAAACGAAAGATCAGTTCAGTTTTGGTTCAGTTCAGATCAGATCCGTAGTAGAGAAGAATCGCTCGTCCTTGATCTGTGGCAATGTGTGTGCCTATCCGGCTCTCTCCAGCTGCGTTCGGCACGTGTGATAGTTGCAATTTATATAAATTATATATACACGTATGAAAAAAAAAAACAAACAAAAAAATCTAATGAAAATTCAAAAAAAAAAAAAAAAAAGAATGAAAAATACAAACAAATTGAAAGAAATTATTCATAGTTATAAATTTTTGGTTCAATTTATGTTTAGCTTTATTCTTTTTTCTACTATTATTTCACATTCTAGCAACAATCAAAGATTTAATGCTATACCTATAACTAAATAAATAAAAACAATTATCGTAAACCCTCTTATACAGCATATAAGATGAAGTCTTAAGCCGAACAAGTTGAAGTATGAAAAAACCACAAACTGAAAACTTGCTAAAAATAGTTTCACAATTTGTTTATCTCGGTTCACAAAGCGTATTTGATTTCTAATCTACCTACTGTATATAGGTGTATATACATATATATGTATATATATATATATATCTATATATATATATCAACCAAGCAAACAAAACAAAAACAAACAAGAAACAACAATGAATCAGCGTGAGAAAAGAAGCGACGCCTAAACAGCTGTGTGTATTTTTTCCAATTTATAATTTTTATGTTGTATGTATGTATTTAAAAATTAAACATTTATAATAAAAATCGTATATATATACATATATAAAAGTCGAAATAACATTTAATGGAGTTTCGTTGACAACAATTCGTGAAATAGAATTCAATTCGCATTTTTTATTTTATATTTTTTATTTAAAACTTATCGTGGTTCATTGGCTTCAATTGAGGAACTTGCGCAAGTGCTTGAAGAGTTTCGAAATGCAATGAAAACTTTATCGACTCATAGTTATTCCAAATCTCCTCAAGTCGTGAAATAGTTGAAAGAGTAGCTGAATTTATGCTGTTACTGAAAGAAAAATGGTCTAAAAGTAGATAAATAATGTAGTGCAGTAAAACTTATGAAAGCACAAAATGAACTAGTTCAAAGAACGATGTTTTTTTAAGATCAAAAGTAAGCTTCGTACACTCATTTCATTATGGTGCGCAAAAGAGATGTGTGTGAACCCGTTCAAATTGGATAAGTTTCTTCGATAGCTTCGAGGAACTCCATCTGTCGACAGCTGGAACAGGAGTTCTATAGTTCTGAGTACTCAATGATTAATTCGAAATTCTGAATAGAATAATATTCTGAATCAGAATTAATCACAAGCACTATATTTATAAAGAATTTTCTAAGAACAGAGGTCTACGATAAGATGAAATGGAGATCTTACTTCAGTTGCATTCGAATGGTTCAGAACTGAGCCTCTCAAAATGCCAAAGGCTAAAGTACAATTGCGCTTCAATAAAGGCGCTTTGGCAGCTACGCATAGGGAGACAATGGCCTGGCTGCTCAAACGCTACAAATTGGTAATACTTGGCGCTACATCGGTGGGTAAATCCTCTCTGGTTTCATACTATATCAATGGGAAAGCTTCTAATGTTGAGGAAAAAACGTTAGTTGCATCATTTTCCAGCTTATCTCTGGATAAAGCGGTCAAATTTGATGCCTGGGAAGTGGCGGGCGAGGAACGGTTAGTATAAATTATGAATATATATATATACATATTATATATATATATCTATATCAGCTGGCAGAGCCTGGCGCATATGTATTACACGGATGCACAGGCAGCGCTAATTGTCTATAATGTTCAGGATCGGAATAGCTATATTTGCAGCAAAATGTGGATCAAGGAACTACGTCAAAAGGTTTGCATAGAGTAATCTATACATATAAAAAAATACCATATATATATCACATCTGCTTCAGTTGGCGCCGACTTTGGTCATTGCCATAGCCGCGAATAAAATTGATTTATGGGATAATATGTGCGTTGATTCGACTGAGATGAGCAATTATGCTCGTGATAATGGCTATATCTTCATGGAGACTTCGGCCAAGACGGGCACAAATATTTATGAGATCTTTACAGCTATTGGTATGTCGACAGATAAGCAAAGTTAGCTAAGGGATTAGTCTGAATTTATTTTTTAGCTGATGAACTCAAAGCGAGTAAACGTTCCGAGCTAAACAGATTTGACAAAGACACTGGCTGCAGTTGTGAAATACTATAGAATGATGTGTACTATGTACATTTACCAATATAAATATAAATATATATTTTTATAATATAAATCTTAAGAAATCAGTTGATGCTCTACTCTATAGACTTTGAAAAAAATATATAAAAACTCCTCTATGTCTAGAGAATTCCAGAAGTCATCAAGTGGATAGATATTGGCTGTCTTTTAAAATAAATAGATAATATATATATATAATATAAATATGTAAAATAAAAATAAAGTAAAAGATATAAATTCTGAGCAGCATATGCTCGATATATATTAATACACCTTTCTTATCATGAAACCATTGAGAGAGAGAGAGGGAGAGAGAGGGCATGGTTGAATCACTTTGGCTTTGAACTTTAAATCAGTGCAATTTTTTTCTTGTGATTAATATTTAGTTACACATGTCCAATCGCAGAGTTCAGAACGTTCGAAATGAAACGACTTTCAAGTCTAAGTTTTCGAAGAAGTTCCAAATATGAAGTGATGTTGCTTGGGAATGCGGCTGTGGGTAAGTCTTCGTTACTGCTACGATTCGCTTCGGATATGGCGCCCAGCCCATCACAGATCACGCCCACAATTGGAGCTGAGTTTAAGGTGAAAACAATTAGCCTGCCGAATCGAGTTGTGAGGCTAAAAATTTGGGATACTTCGGGTCAGAAACGGTATGTAATATATGTATATCTATATATATCAAATTTCGAATTGGATTTTAGACAGTTCTCAATATAGTTTCAAGGATGTGTTAAGCACGTACTATTATCGCTGTACGGGAGCTATAATTGTTTACGATATTCAGAGTCGCGAGAGCTTCGAGGAGGCAATGGATTGGGTGGTTGAACTAAGAGAAAAGGTATGTTTCAGAAATAGCATTGTGAGTGAGTGGATTAAAAGTATACTTTCCATATATATATTGAAGACCTCGACAGGCATGGTGATTGTTTTAGCAGGCAATAAAGCGGATATGGAAGCGAACCGTGTGATAACGAAAAATGAAGCCGAGGAATTTGCAGCATTGCACAATTTGATATTCATGGAAACATCATGCGTGAGTGGCATGAATGTGCACAACTGTTTTGTAGAATTGGGTATGATAATGTGCGGACATACTTATATGGATATAGATACGTTTATATTTACAGCTAATGTGATTCAATCTGAAGTCGATGAGAAAGATTCAAGAACAAAAAAAGTTAAGGGCAGTTCGCATGGAAAGTGGAGTTGCTGGTGTATTACCGGCAGCTCTCCGGAACTGAATAAAACGAAATAATTTTGCACCACCTGGCAAAGCCAAATATCATTAAGTTGGCTGCACACAGCAGCAGGGTACAGTCTGATCAAAAGTAAAGTAAGACGAGCGCTAAACTTAACTCATTCTAGTTTTGTTTTTTATTTCTTCAAATTATAACTCGAAATAATTATTACATACTTAATGTAATTTCGGTTACATTGTTGTTTTTTCTTTTAATTGTATAATAAAGTATTGTATATATGTATATATATTTTTTTGTTTTTGTTTTTAATCGTTTACTACTTGATTTCATTTTTATAAGAATAATTATTTTGTATTGTATAATTTTGTTTCCATAATTTATACGTAGAGTCAAAGTTGTTGAATAGATTCTTGACGAAAACCATAAATCAGAGCGCGAGTCATATAACTAACTTACTACAAGGCAACTAAATGGCTTCAATTTGAGTGTTTCTTTTGTTGTTGTTGTTAAACAATACTAAATCTAAATAAATTTGAAAATTTTTAAGAAACTAAAAATGGCAGAAATTTGTTAATTTTTTCAGAGGGCAGTAGAGAGAAGTTTTAGTTTTTAGAGAACACAATAAGGTATATAGAGATATAAATATATAACACATTTGCATAACAAAAACGTTGGCTCAACAAAACAATATTACATATAATATATATATTTGAATAAGAAATGTCTTTTAGTTAAGGAGCATGTCTTTACTTTCTTTTATCATTATTTTTTATCTTTTTCTTTTGTCATTATTCCACATTAAATATCACTTATGTACGTAAGAGAAGTATTTTTGCTAGATTTATAACCTAAACTACAATTTTTGTTCAAGTATTTGTTTTTTAGTATTTTTTTCTCGATTTATTGATAAACCACATTCTTTTCATTTTCATTTTCATTTTTATTTTCTTCATGTTTTTTACGTGTCTAAATTTTTGTTCATTTTTTTTCTCCTTTATTTTTTGTCAGTTATTTCTATAAAATTTACAAAATTATGTTTCATTTCGTTTGCCTCGACTGTATATATTTTAAAATTGTTTTTGTTTTCAAAGGAGGCTTTTGCAAATATAAACTCCCTTAACACTTAATCTTAAAGTCTAAATTTTTTAAATTTTTCTTCTCTTGCGTTCAGTTTTACTTGAAATTTCGTCCACAATTATTTAATTGTAATTCACAATAATATACGAATATTTGGTTATACAATGTGTTCTCTTATTATTATTATCTTTTCAGATTTTTATTTTTTTTTATTCATCTGTCGATTTATACAATAATCGGCTCATCACCGTGCAAATCACAAGAGCCAATATTTTCGCCTTGGTATGCTGAGAAATCGCTTATAACGGCTGTTGGCTCTGCACCGAATTGTATGTCCTGCAGGCAACCTTTAAACGGTTCGTAAAAGCGTCCTTGTGTCCGTTTGCTCACCGACTCCTGATTGGGAAATCCACCTGTTAAATAACAGAAAATTCAAATAAACGTTAAGTTCGATATCCCAATAAATCAAGCGCTGCCAACTCTTTGCAACTGCTGAGGTCAGCTGTGCGTTAACAGTTATCTGTTAAGTAACAGTATGCAGATAATAACAGCGAATGGCTTGGTGAATTTTTCATAGCTACACAACATATCTAATTTTAGTTGCATTCTAGTAAACAGGTTTCCTTAAATAAAGAATTTCTTTTCTATTTTTAACTACTTGTTGAAATTTAAGACAATAGCATTCTGACCGATTTTTTAAGCTCGTGTTAATAGATCATCTATGCATAACAACGATATTTGTTAATCGATAACGATCACACAATGTTTTGACTTGTTGCACATCTCTATTAACTGAGACTTAGTAATTGTTTAAAGCCCTCTAGACGCGGTGGTGCATTGTGAGTTTTTGTGAATGTATCACACAATATTGTTGGTGGGTGAATTGATCTAGCATTTTGTGTGAACGTTTGCAATGTAAACGTTGAAAGCTTAAAGTGTGTGCAACGTGGATATCAGAATCCCAAACAAAACGCAACAAGTATAAAATTAGCTTCGGACAGTCGCAGCGCAGCCGTTCTCTGTCCGTGCAGTGTTGAAAGTTCGCAGCTATCCTGCTCTTGCGCACAGTGAATTCGTAACGCGTCTTTCTATATTGCACATCTGCGCCGGCGCTACGGTTCCATGCGAGTTAACACTTATAGCTGAGGCGCGCGTCGCGAATCCATTTATGAATTCAAAGACACACAATAAACAATCAGCAGTATTTATTAATTACAAGACTTAAGGTAAGTCTGCAATTGCCTAATTTAATTGCTGAGGAACATGCACAAGTAACATGAAGAAGTTGCGGTTAAGCAATTGGTGAAATACGTTAGGGCTGTGACGTCTGGGCTAATTAGCATGCAAGGTGTGACCAACACTTACCCAAATAGAAAATATCCTCATAGCTAATCGTTGGTTCCTTGCCGCCTCGTCGCTGCAACGATGTCGTTGGTGTTGTATATCTTCGATTGAGCTCGGGCAATCGCTCTGTAAATATCACGGCTCCATCCAGCTGCAGCTCGAGCCGTGTGCGATCCAGGAGTACGCTGGTACCATGCCAGGCGCCATCGGCGATAAAACCACTGGCTGCAGCCTGCACGGTGTCATTGCTGCTGCCCAGCAAATTGCTGGCTAGTTTCAAATGTCCGTTCTCCAAGCCAAGACCCAAGAATTTCAGCTGATTGTGCTCGCTCCAAAGCAATAGGCCATCCGGTTCGATGGTTGAAAAGTTCAGCGATATTTGTACGGCTTCGCGCGGTGGACGCGCATAGAGCGAAGGGCCGCGGCGTTTGTCTTTCATTGGTATGCGAGGGGGTGGCAAGATCAGGTAACTGTTGCCGCGGAAGCTCGGTGTTGTTGGCTTGCTCAGTGCTGCGAAAGAGAGGGCGAGATAGAGGGAGACAGGGCAAGTTAGTTAAAATGCATTAAACATATTGCATGTACACATGTTACAGGTATGTGTGTGTATTTGAACATGTATGTGTGTGTTACAAATGCATAATGAAATTACAGCATCAGCAACAGCGTCACAGCATAGCAATTTACTTCATTATTAACAATAGACTTATGTTGATCAATATAGTATATTGAATATGTCACTGAGTTTGTAACGCTTGCAAAATTTCTCTGACTCTAGAGCCAGATTATATTTATTATATAGTTATTTTATTTTAACTAATTGGGATGATCTTGTAAAATGGAATTAGAAAAATTATAAAATTAAAAAAAGTTCAAAATTTTTTTTTAATTGAAAAGAAATTAAATTAAATGTAAGGAAAATTAAATTAAAAAGAAGAAAAAATAGTCAATTTAAAAAATATTTAAAAAATACACATCAATTAAAAAATCAAATTTAATTAAAATATACTGGATAAAAAATGAGTTTGATCTATTAGAAAAAATTGAAAACTTAGAATTTTTTTAATATTGAAAAATTATTGAAGTTTTTATAATTAGGTATATATCTTAATAATATTTTTTTATTATTTATAGTATTAAATATTTACTTGTTTCAATTTTGCTTACAGTATTGAAAGTATTATGTTATTCAAGATCTTATCAAGCTCATATTGAAAGAGCTCATCAGTAAACTTTGCTTACACTTCTGTTATTTTTTATAGTATTCTATCCTTAAGAACAACAATGAATATGTTGTATTTATTATTATATAATTATATCTACAGTTATCATGTTATAAGAATGCGCTGGAAGTATTAAAATTTTTATAGAAACGGAAATCGATAAGAGTTTACTATAAACAAATTGCAGGAGATAAGCTCAAAAAATTTGGATATATATATAAACTTTGCTTTTACCTCAGCATAGGGTATTTGTGCTGCAACTACTTTCAAAGATGTCTGCTACCTTGTCATTATCAACTTTGGCTTTGTCTGGCTCATTATGCCATTTGGCCGTTGTCTTTCTGTCTGTCTGCAAGTCCCTGATCTCGTTTGGCGCTTCTTTGGCTGCGTCTATCTAATCTGTTCAACAAGATCTACGAGTTGTTCTTCCTATGCTACTGACGATGCTGCTGTGGCTGTGGCTGCCACTTTTTGGATTCTTATTATGAATTTGCGTTTTGTTTTCTTTCCCATTTTGCCACCACTCAACTTGATTGCACTTGTTGCTTCGTGTTTTCACCAGCTTGTTTATGGCTTATTGTTATTAGTGGCATGTTAATTCACTTTGCTAATAAGTGAAAGGCTGCAAGCTAGCTAGCTGATTGTATGCCAACTGCCAATTGAATAACTCAGCCTGGCCACAAAGCAAATAATCATAAAACTCTGTTTTATAGTCAAAACTTTTAGGCCTCCTGCGTAAATAGTTAGTTTGAGGTTTTTTTTCTGAATTTTTATCATATTTTAATTTAATGTGTTTTAAATTAGAAATAGTTTGAGTTCAGTTGGGGCATTCCTTCTATATTGAAAATAGCACAAGCTTATCGTAGTTGATAATAGGCGATGGTCAGATAATTTTTTTTGAAAAGTTTTTATAATAATATTTTGCAATAAAACTTGATTATATTTCAAATTTTCTAGATTAACATTTACTATGCATTTTATTTATGTTTATTTATTATTATTTATTTATTTATTTTATTTATAGTTTTATATATTTTCTATTTATATATATAACAAAAGATATATACCCAATTTTTATTAACAAACTTGAGCCGCGCAATGCCGCCTCATAAATGCTTATGATTTATGCAAATGCAACGAAAGGTTATTCAAAAGTTTGTTTCAAAATTGATAATATATAATTATTATTATTATTATTAATATATAGCAACTTTGATAACTTTTATTATTCAAATTTCTTGTCAGCCTATCGACATCTATATATAAATATTTTATTTAAAATTTACGATTTCTTAATTGCTTTATTGCCCTACACAGTTCCTAAACACAATTATTGTTACTTGTTCAAAATAGCTGAAGCTGATACTAATATTGAAGCTAGAGTCTTGAAATTTGGTTTATATATAGTCGGCTGTAGCCTCGTCTTCTAAAATGTTTAGATTTGTTGAATGTGATCAAAGCTAATTGGAAACTACACTGTCCTACACAGTTAGGATCAAGATGTTTTGCAATTTGTATATTGTTCAGCTAGACTACAAATCTATTCTATATTATCTCTCTTATCTAGAGAGATCTATTATATATTATTTGAATGATTGGCCCATTGGAGTGTGGAAAAAAAATTTTTTTTTTTAAATTTTCTACCCATTAGTTGTATTATATATAGTATATGCATTCTTTTGTTTCTAAAACTTATTTATTTTTCTGTAAAGCTCTTGAACCCTTTCAAGTTCTGTTCTAGTTGTTAATTATAATATAATTTTTTTTCGCGGAATTTCCTATGGGTTTGTGCTTTGTTCTTTCCATTATTAAAGCATGTTCCCAGTCATGCAAATTACGCTTTTCTATTATATACACATTATATATATATATATATGTACATTGTAGATCACTAATTTTAGCCTCTTTTTTTTTGCTTTTTGCGATATCAACTTCCTGACCCCGCTGCGCATCGAACCGTAAGCTTCGTGGTGCTGTTAATGGTTTTGTTTTCATCTCTTCCCCTTGCTGCAGATCTCTAATTATAATAATAATATTGTTGTGTTAGATTGTATTTTGTTGTTGTTGGGATTTTTTTTGGTTTTTGGGTTTTGTCGTTTGCTTTTAGCATTCGAAATTGAAAACTTGTTTCGGCGTTTGAACCGAGAACATCAGATAAAAGCAATTTCTATACAAAAAAAAAATAAAAATAAAATCAGTTTTCTGACATTTTAAGATCTTCGCTCGTTGTAGCTTCTGTTTATTGCTGTAAGCTGAACTTTTACTTTGCTGACACATTGAACTTCAACTTGGCTCTGGAGATTTATGAAACTTGTTTTGAAGATTTTCAAGTGAAATGATTTATGCCTTTCATTGTTGGCCAGCTACTGCTGCTGCTGCTTATGTTGCTGTTGTTGCTTCTACTCTTTTTTATTGTTGCTACGGACATTAAGCACTAACTAAACATCTGGCGCTTGACTAATTCGATGACGAATTGCCTAACCCCCCTCCAACCGACTCTATCCCGGCTGCAGTCAGGAAATGACAGCTCGACACACGAGTTGGCAATTATGAACAAAGCACAAAAAATACACAGTTTTGCGCTGCGCATCCACAAACTTTCAATTAGAGCCACATTGAGGTCATTGACCTGATCCAGTCTCCCGTTCAGCTACTCACCTATCTCACAGTAGAAACCGCCCCAGCCATTGGGACAGGAGCAGCGGCCACTGCGCAAGCAACGTCCATTGTTTTTACAGGGTATTAGCTTGCAGGTCTCCGAGTACTCGCATCGATCGCCCTTGGCATAGTCCGGACAGATGCAATGTGGCTGCAGCTTCTCATCCAGCCAGCAATGCCCGCCCGATTCGCAGGAGTCGCCGCCGCAAGCTGTGCCGTCGCAGTCGCGAATGTTGCGCGATTCTAGAAATAAATAAGAACATTTAAATATATAATAAATAATACATAAAATATCTAAATAAATAATTTTTAAAAATATATTTTTTTATCATTTTTATAATTAAATTTCATTTGTTGTCAAGATTTCTGCATGAATGTCATAGTCTAAAAATCTTCTAAAATCAGCTATTAGGCAAATTTTTGAGCTGCTCTGCTAAATAGTTATTATTTTTTAATTTAAAAAAAAAATATATATAATTAGCTGTTGTTTTTTAAATTTATATATGAATTGACTGATCGATATATATGTGATCGATATCGTTGCGATTCACAAAAATACTTTTTATTTTTATAAACTTTTAAATGACATTCAAATTGGGAAAGAGTTATCTCAGACTATAGTAGTATATAGAATTTGTGTACGTGGTATAATCTTCTGCAAATTAGCGCCATTATAAAAATACTTATATTTAAGAAAAGTCTATATATATATATTAAAATTGAACCTTGAAAAGTTGCCAAAAATTGCAATGCGAATTCCATTTTCTTTTACTCTCAGCTTGCATAACTTTGCCGAGACTCATTCGACTTGCATGCGACTATTATTTATGGTTATTAATTTAATTGATATATATGCAAAGTATATTTATGCTTTTCATTAATGGGAAATGTTTTATGCCGCTTGCTGCCTGGGAGGGGGCCATCAATTATTTGCTGTCATATTTTGTACACTTGCGACTTACCCACGATATTCGTTTCGTTGAGCACAATGCGAGTGCCGCTGACGACGAGTCCGCGGACACAGCCACGGAATGGTATGGGAAAACCGGAGATGGCATTGTGCGGCAGCTTGGAGACGTCCTTGAGGCCGCCAATATAGAGCAGAGCATCGGGCTCGACCAGCACCTCGGCGGATGGCGCCAGTGCCGAAGAGGCGCTGCCCTCCACCCACAATGTTAGCCAGCGTCCGCGTTGAGCCATTTTGATCTTGTGCCACTCGCCGATGGCCAGCATCCGCACGCTTCTGACCACCGTCACGTGATTGCTGGGCCCCGAAATGCGGAACTCAACAACGCCACCCTGCAGTGAGAGCGAAACGAATCCAATCTTCTTATCCTGATTGTTGTTCAGTGTGCCAAAGTAGAGGAGCAGTCCACGTTCGGAGAGCGGGCGCAATTGGAATTCGATGAAGAAGAATTGCACGCGATGATGCTCCTCGAAGGTCTTGGAGCCCATCAGCGGCACGGGGGAGAAGCTGCGCTGCTTCTCCACCTCGTTGAGCAGCTTCATCACAAAGTGTGTGCTGGGCGTTGAGATGGGCTTGGGCGGCAGCAGCTTTTTGGTAAAGTTCCGATAGCTGACCATTTGCGAGCGCTTGGCCCCCAGCTTATCGCCGCCATCATAGAGATAAGGCCAGCGCACGGCCAGATACGAACGCCGACCAGTCAGTGAGACGTCGCTAAGTGAACGTATTTCTATAAAGAGAATCATACCATATTACAGATGGGTTATTGAATGCATATATATATTAAATCGTGAATCGTTAAATCCTCACTCACCTTCCTCACAATTCTTGCCTGTACGTCCCACTGGACAGTCGCATTCGTAGCCATTCACCAGTGGCACACAAGTTGCCTCCTCGTAGCATTTGTTATTGAAGGAGTCGCAGGGATTTGTGGCCTGTGCACAGAGCGGTCCATACCAGCCCTCTTGGCAGATGCACCTGTGTGGCAAATGAGAAAAATCATTAGATTTTATTTGAGACTCGTTAACTTTTAGTGGACCTCACTGACAGCTGCCACACGACAGCTGTTACAAATTTTAGACATCTATTTGCGCAGCTTTTCGAGGCAACAAGACTAGAGTCGAGCCTATCACCTGAGTGATTTTAATTCACAATGGGAAACATAATTGAATTCAAATTTATATATTTTATATTTATAATTATTTATATTCATATTTATAATTTATAAATTATTATAAGGTATTTTCATAGGGAAAAATGTGATACCAAATCTTAAGAGCTTAAGAGCAAAGTAAAATTAAATTCCACGTGACGAATATTTAATGCTCTACATTTTGCTTATTTTGACTATCAAGGGAATTCTTAACTTCTTCAAATGACTTTGAGAATACATTTTTATGGTTGGCTTATCCAAGCTTCTATATATGAAGATTGAACTTCCCATCCGTTCTTTTAGTTGTTTACTGTGCCTGATGACGTTACTATACAGTAAAATCTGTCATACTTAAAAAAATACTTACGTAAAGGTGGCGCCATGCTGCAGGCAGGCTCCGTCGTGCTGGCAGGCATGCCTGTGGCACTCACGCGTGCCACACTGCCCGACACCGCGTCCTCTGACGCCGCGGGTCTCTTGCAACGGCACCGTCACCTGGCCCGCCTTCAGCTGTACATCGTAGATGCAGCCCTGGAAGCCCGAGTGTAGCGGCAGATCGTGAGGCAGCGTATTGAAGTTGGCAATCTCATGACCGCCCAGATAGAGTATGGGCAGGACGTCCATGCGGCTGACACTGCCCGGCGAGCGACCAGTTATATTGAACTTGCCATCCACGGAGAGCCAGGCCTGGCGACCGATGCGACCCACTTTGATCTCGTAGGGCACACGCGGCGCATCCAGTCGAAAGTCGATGGGTTTCTGTGTGAAGATGCGTCGCGGTCCAGCGCCTAGATTCCAGGTTAGCATAATGTAGCCCTGTATAAAGCTGACGGCCAGATGATCGCTCTTCTCATCATGATAACCGGACTGTCCCAGGAAGGCGAGCAGTGATATCTGTGACATGGTCTGTGGCAAGATCTTGAAGCTCAGCTCCAGCGAATACTCCAAGGGCACGGGCACCGTGTAGGCCACGAATGAGGAGAGCCCGTTGACGCTGCCCGAAAAGGAGGGCAGTGCCACCTCGAGATCTGTGGACACAACAGAAAAAAAGTGACGTAGCTAAAGTAAATGAATTAAAACGGGAATATGATAAATCACACTCACTGTGCTCGCAGTAATGGCCGTGCTTGCCCAGCGGACAGAGGCAAAGGTAGCCACTGCCCGGAAATTGGACACAGGTGCCACCGTATTGACAGGGATTGTCCTCGCACACGGATATCTCACAGGTCGGACCCATATAGCCGGTGGGGCATTTGCATTTCCATTTCTCGGCCTTGTCACCGTTCTCGTCCAGTTCGTTCGATTCAATCTTGATGCAGGCCGCGCCATTGCGGCACGGACTCGACAGGCAGGCCAATGAGCCGCATTCCGTAATGCCAAAGCCATCCAGCGCGTCGCTAACATGAACGAAACCGAAGTGCCGGAGGTGGGCAGATAGGTTAAAAGGCTGGTTAGTGTCATCTCCAATTTCATTACCCTGCCGCTAATTCGCATGTCAATTGTTCGAGGCCCGGCCTACCCAACGCCGCCCACTCCCCTTTTTGCGGCTCGCCCACTGTTGTCAGCGCGTCATCCCCCATACGCAGGGCGCCCGTTAACCATTTGTCTTGCTGTCCGTTCTGACCGGCTGTTTGTGAACGCGTTTTAATGCGCTGACAAATGGCTTTCGCATTTCTCGACTCGCTCTCCTTCTTATGCGGCTATCTATACAATCCTTCGTTTGCAAAGTGCTAAAATTGGTTTAATCCGTAATGTCCTTTTAACGTTGACATTTTGTCTGCCTTCTATTTGCTGGCTTAAGCTGTCAAAGGGTTAACGCAGCCAATGCTTATCGATAATAATAATACACAGTGAACAGAAAATTGAGTTTATATCTAAGCTAATGGAATTATATATATATATATATATATATTTTTTTTTTACTTGGGATTACTATCAGCTATCGTTGGCTTTTATTGCAGTTCGATTTAAGTAATGTTTAGTTCTGTTATTACTTTAATTTGTTCTTTTCCTCTTCTCTCGTTTATATTATCGAGACTATCGACTGTCTTTTCGATTATATTATCGAATATATATGTTCTTAGCATTTTTAAGCTCGTTTACGTATTTTTGCGTCATTCATCAAATGCTGTATATGGCATGTCTTATCGATTATTGTTAATCGATTACAGTTTATCGATTGATACACATCAAATGTTGTTCACTGACTACTGTTTAGCAAATGTTGCTTATAAAAAAAAGTTTATCGAGTATGATTATTGTATATCGACTCCTGTTTATCGACTGCTGTCTATCGATAGTCGCTTATCATAAACTGTGTTTTTAATTATGACCAACTAATGCGTTTTTTGAAAGCTATATATCGTACGACACTTATCGAATGTTATTCATCTAGTATATATCGAAAGTTATGTATCGATTTTCGTTTATCGAATGTTAGTTATATCGAATTTTTTATCAAATAATATATAGATTGCTGGCTATCAAACCATTGTTTTCAAAACTATTTATCGAATGCTGTTTATCTTATGTTTTTATCGTCTGCTGTTTATCGAGTGCTAATTAGCGAATTTTGTTTGTTGAATTGTTTTTAAATAAAATCTGTTTGAATCGTGAAGAGCTAAACAGACATCAGATCGATTACAATGAGAGTTTCCAACATGGAGTCTGCAGCAATTAGTGTTCTATCGAGCGCTATCGACTGTTTCAGCTTGTTCTCATTTCATTTATGATGAAGATAAAACTTTAATTGCTTGACTTTGCGTTCATTGTTCTTAGTTGTGCACAGAATCTTTGAAGGAATTTGATGATTTAACTTCTTGAATACTTTTTGTTCTCGGGCTTCATTTTTCTTTTAATTATTTACGCTAATGATTGACGTATTCTTCTGCTTCGTAAGGTTTCGCCGTAAACTTCAATGGCAGAATGTTCGTTAGCTTATTTCTTTTGATGTGCCCAAGTTTTGCAACAGTTGCCGATGTCGACTGGGCTTAGTGCCCATTTAATCCTGTAGACGATTTTACTGCATATTCCCGCAGAGCTTTCTACTGGGCTACCTGCAACTTTGTGGCATGCCACGCCATAGCCGCCGGCTCAGATGCGTATGTGGCATAAACATTTAAGAGGCAGCGTCATAACTTCGCTCCACTTGCCTTGTCTTGCTCATTATTTGAGCTACCCAGAGACTAAGGACTACAGTTCGGGTCGGGCCAATAAATGGCAAATGGCAAATGGCTGCTGGCTATGTGTCCTGTCTGTAAAAGAAGACTTACCCAAATATTTCGCGAGCCTGTCCGTTAATGCGCAGTGTATGAAGGCAGCCGGTAAAGCCGGTGCCGCTTTGAGCTGGCGGCAGTTCGATAATGAGGCCAATTGGCGCCTGGGGTGCGCCGCCCAAATGCAGCCAAGTGTTCAATATGACTTCGGGCGTGTGCAGTCGCGGCGGTAACAGTTTCAGCCATGTCGGCTGATCCCCGGACATGGCCAGCGTGTCGTTGACGAGCAGCGAGGCATTGCAGTGCGTGTAATTGCGGCTGAAGTCCAATCTGAAAGCAGACACAAGCGTTTTCGGTGGGATGAGCAACGATAAAAGTTTCACCGCCAGCCGCCCACAGCAAACCCGCCCATGTCCCATGTCCTGGCTGTGTAGTGCACATATAAAATATTTAATATGCCGCACACTGCGGGCAACTTTTTCGTTGCGTAGGGTATTCAACAACAACAACAAATATATATATATATATATATATATATATAAATTTATATGTATAAAATAAAAAGAGAGAAGAAAAAGTTATTTTCAGCATGCCGAAGCGTGCAAATATTTATGACGCCCGCACAAAGATGCTTCATAAACCCCCATCGACCCCATCGGGCAGCATTTTTTCTCTCAACTGACCTTTTATGGCGCCCCCTCCCCCAAACTTAACCCCATGACCAGGCACCGTGGCGCGCTAACCGCCTTAAATGACCCAATATCAAAGCTATAAAAAGAATATAATTTAAATACGAAATTTATTTATATAACTTTATATATTATTGAGTTAATTATATTGACTGTGGAAACTTTCTTCTATTCTTCTAGTATATAGTTTTCATAAGCTTGGTGCCACTGTGCAGCCCGCTGCTGCCAATAGGCTGTATTGTCAATCGACTGTCAAATTTTTGTCTCGCCTGTCGGCCATTCAGAAAAATGCCCCCAGTTCGGCATATTTTTTTGACCCTTCCATCGAGATTCCTGTGCCCCTTCCTTGCTGTTGTTGTGGAGTTTTTTTTATTGTTTTGTAATGGTAAACGTCACCTGGCGTTATTTGAATGCTTTTTGTTCGCTGCTCTTTGGACAGAAAGTGTTTCTGATTTTATTTTGTTTTGTTTTTGCTGTTGTTGTTGTTGTTTTTTATACTCGTTCTGGGATTCATATCTCAGTGCGTTCATTACGTTTGAATGTTGACATTAAATGCGAAAAGGGAGACATCAATGGGACACCAAAGTTTTATTGATACAATTTTTTATTTATATTTGGGCTCAATTTGTACTTATAGAGAGAGAGAGAGAGAGAGAGAGAGGAAGGGAGGTGGCGAGGAAAGAGTTACTAAAAAAACTCAGTAAAATATTAAAAAATTGAATGAGTTCCATGAAGTTTTTTACTATAAATTGAATTTGCTGCAAATGTAGTTGAAAAATATTTAACGAGAGAAGGGCTTATCAGAAAAAATTATAAGTTAAGTGATCGAAATTATGTAGTGAATGGATTTAATTAGAAAACTGCGCAACTATAAATTGCATATATTTTTTAAAGAATATTAATAATATATTGTATGAATATTTTAAGTTTTCCATAAAAAATTAAAAGAAATAAAAAGTTAAAAAAAATGTAAATAAATAAAATATATTACAAGTGTTGCAACAGTATTAGAATGTTACAGTGTTAGAATTTCTATTCTATCTATGTATTGCTCAAACTGCAAGCCATGTCTTTAGTTATGTGTAACATAAGAATCCATAAAAGAAGAGGAACTAAACTGTGTGTGAAGGAGCACGGCAATCCTGCACAAAAAAAGATATTTTACTTTCAAGCTAAATAGTAATTATTTTCTGCTGTGAACAATATGCTAAAAATATGACATGCAGTTAATAAGAGACTCAACTAATTTTAAATAATTAAATTCTGATATTTTTCAATCAAGCGACGGCGAAACTGCTTACTTGCAGAATCAATAAATATGAAAGCTCTTCAATACATAATCCGCGAGCAAAATACATTAACAGCCGCTGCTGCCCCTATTGCAGTTAAGCATATAATTTGCTAATGTTTTTTTGTAAACAACAAATTTTCACAACAATTCCCTTTTCAAGCGACTCTGCCAAGCACTCAAAATTGGCTTTTAGCCGCAGCCAATGGCAAAAAAATGAATGAATCAACTCTACCCAAGGACAGAAATTTTAGAGAATTTTTTTTATAAATGTTTCGACCAATTAGCCGCGATTGATTAAACAGCAAAAAGTTTGGTTTTTTTCACTCTAAATTAAGTTGGCGGCAAAGTTGCGGCCTTTAATGCTTGATGCACTCAATTCGTTTGCGGAACGGCATAAGCTTTAGTCGAGATTAAGCAAAAGCTTCATAATTGTGCGGTAATTGTTATTGCTTTCTAATTACACGGAATTCTTGCGAAATCCTTAAGTAAAATGTCAATTGTGGGGAGCATTAGGCTCATTAGGCGCGACCCGGCCCAATGAAAATTTAGCCAAAGGCAACAATGCGACAAAAGTTCAAGCAGCACTTTCACCGCAGGACAATCATAATTGTGTCTGTGTGTGTGTGTCACGAACTAGTTCATTGGGAGGTCTATGTTCATTGCCATTGTCGCGTCGACTGGGAGACGCTAAATCGCTTCTGGCCGAATAAGCTAGGCGTAGGAGCAGGGGCAGGAGTCGGAGCAGTAGCTGGAGTCGGTGCAGGAGTTAAAATAGCAGTTGGAGGCGTTGTAGTCGAGGCGAACATGAAGTGTCCTGGTGGCATGGCCATTAAGCACGCAACTCAAATAAAAATAGGCAACAAACATAAATTTGTTGCTCGTAAATCCAGTGGCAGACCCAGTTTTGTGCCACATGAGCATGCCCCGAGCTGGGACCAAGTGCTAAAAAGTAAATTTTTTTTTTTTTTTTTTTTTTTTTTTTTTTCGTTTTTATTTCTTTATTTTGTTGCAGCTTATTGTCTTAGACTCTATAGCGCATTTAGCTCTAAACCTTAACTAATGGGAGGGCAGATATGCCAATTATTCTGCACTTGTAGCTACTATCTTAATTAGTTCTAATATTGTCTAGAGGATGCAATCTCTTCAGTCTTCGCCTATTGTTGTTTATAGCCAGGTTGCTTGCGAGATGGTTAGGATGCGCTGCAAGTCTGTCCGCGTATCTTGAACTGTGTCGCCCAATGAGTTCAGCAACTGTGGGAATTGCTAAATCCCTATGTAAGACTGAGTTTCTTACAAACCAGCTGGCTCCAGTCCATCTGCGTAGTGCTTTATTCTGCAGGGTCTGAATTTTGTTCCTTGTAGTCTTCGCCGAGGAGCCCCATAGAGAGATACCATATACGAAGGTTGGGACAACTATTGCCTTGTAGATGGCGGCCTTGCTGCTGTAAGACAACTTGCTTGAAGCTCTCAGCATCCAGTCGAGGGTTTTTAGCTTGCTTTTGCATTTTGAGGTTACTTGACTTATGTGCGCTTTAAAAGTCAGCCTTCTGTCAAGAGTGATACCAAGGTACTTTACTTTTGAGGCTTTGGGAATAGTGGGCCCCAATGCAACGCTTGGGCAATCTCCTCTTCTAGTGGCGAAGGTAGTATGTACAGACTTTTGTGCATTAATGGTGATACACCACCGTTTTGCCCAGCGTCCGAAAGAGTCCAGATATTTTTGTAGTGAGTCTGAAGCTTCTTGCGCAGATACGTGACGTGATAAGATGGCGGTGTCATCTGCATAGGTCGCTATGAGTACTGCATCTGTACTTCCTATATTTGGCTCGGGAGTTGGCATATCTCCTGTGAATAAAGTATAAAGTGTTGGGCCTAGAACACTACCCTGTGGTACTCCAGCCATAATTGGTCTAGTCAAGGATACTGTTTGCCCCCTTGACACTTGGAAGGTTCTTCCAATAAGGTATGAGGATAGCAACGCGAAAAATGGGGCTGGAAGGGTGGTCCTCACTTTCTGCAGCAGTCCCAGGTGCCAAACTCGATCAAACGCCTGTTTGATGTCTAAAAAGACGGCAGAGCAGTACATCTTTTCTTCAAAGGCTCCAAGGATATGGTGCACAACTCTGTGAACCTGTTCCGGTGTTCCATGCTGTCTCCTGAAGCCAAACTGATGGTTTGGAATGGCCTCCTGGCGTCCCAGATGTGTCAGTACTCGTTCCAGAAATATTCTTTCGAATATTTTGGAGAGTACTGGCAACAGGCTAATTGGTCTGTACGACTCAATTTCTCCCACGGGTTTGCCAGGCTTAGGAATCATCACAATCACGGCGCGCTTCCAGCAGGCTGGAAAGTGCCGGATGCGGAGCATGGCGTTGTACACCATAGTTATGTAGTCTATGGTGGAGTCAGGCAGTGCTCTAAGGACTCTGCCGTTTATTAGATCATATCCAGGGGATTTTTTTGCCTTCACTCTTCTGATGTGTTCAAGAACCTCTTCTTTTGTACATCCAGTTATCTGGTCTTCAGCTGGGAGGGGCGAGAGAACGATGTCTTCTGTTGCTTCGATTTCTGAGGCCTCTGCGGTAATCACCGGCGTGAATTGGTCTTGAAGGTGGTTTGCAAAAGCCTCAGCTTGAGCTTCGTCTCCAATGTGCCAGGAACCAGAAATGCTCCGAATGGGATGACGTCGTATTGGCTGCCGTTTGAGCTTTCTTGTAAATTTCCATAATTGAAACTCTGCGTCAGTGGGCGATTCAGCTCGTACCAGCGCATCGCTGATACACCTCTTTTGAAGCAGGGCGAGAGCAGCTTTAAGATGCCTCGTGGCTTCGTTGTACATGGATTTGGCATCAGGCGTGCGTAATCTTAACCAGCGTCTCCTGGCCCATCTTTTGTGTATTAGTAGGTGTTGGGCCTCCAAGGTGAGGGGGATGTTGTACGGAGACTGTTGTCTTGTTTGGCAAGATGGTGGGGCGGCTTGGTGCGCAGCTTTGACTATTTCTTCCTGCAGTTTGTTTGCTGCGTAGTCCACGTCTTCAGGAGTGTTAAGTTCCATTTCTATGTGCAAAGAGTAATGGAGCTCGCGCCTAAAGACTCCTAAATCTGATCCTGCTGGCAGTAGTTGTTTCCTAATGGGCAAGGGCTGTGGCTGCGCGTGGATTGTGACTATTAGTGGCAGGTGGTCAGAGGATAGGTCCAAGGATTCTTCAATGGTCAATTGCCGGTCACAGATGCCTTTGTAGACAGCGAAGTCGATTGCCGAGGGCCTGTGTCCATTAATTGGGTAACGGGTGGGGGCTCCAGTCGCCAATATGCTGAATTGTAAGTTTTGAATCGCCTCAAATATGACTTCTCCGCGACGATTCGCACTATTGCTTCCCCAAAATGGGTGCCATCCATTCCAGTCGCCGCCGATGAGGGTCTTATTCAACCTTTGGCCTAGAACCTGTTCCATGTGATGATCACACAGACCAGTGTTTGGCGGAAGATAAATTGACGCAACTTCGATCGCTCCAATAGACGTAGGCAGGGTGATGGCTGAGACCTGCATTGTTGCGTTGCAAATTGGCAGTAAAGGTGTATGCGGTATTGTTGCTCGTATGAGGATTGAGGATCCACCAAAGCAGTTTGCTCCTTCACCATGAGCCTGATAGTGTTCGTATCCGAAAATTTGTGTAGTGGGGCACTCATGAGTTTCTGTTATTAACATTATATCTATGTTTTCTTGTGAGAGAAACGCAGCCAGTTCCTGAGTCTTGTTTCTCAGGCCATTGGCGTTCCAGATACCCACACGTAAAGCCATTATTTGTAGGCAAGCTTGGTTATGATGGCCATTAAACTGTTTAGCATGGTTGCTTGTTGGGATTGTACTTCTCGCATCGCTTTGAGCTCGGCATTAATTGCGTCAAACTGACGTTGTTGTTGCTGAAGCATTTCAGTGAACAAAGTGTCACTTGTGGTATTCTTATTTGACGGTCCACCTCTAGCGGCCTGTGCGTAAGAAACACCACTAATAGGCGTTGCAAAGCTCGTGGCTTGGGTAATGCTCCGGGGCCTTGTAATTTCGGAAGCAGTACTCGGACCCGTAGACGGTGTTTGTGTGGGACTCCTTTTTTGTGCTGGGGATTGCAATTTGCGCAACCGCTTGTATACTTGGCAGCCCTTATAGTTGGCTGGGTGCTGTAACTCACAGTGCACACAAGTTGGTGCCTGGTCCTTTTCGCGGGTGCAGTCTTTGGATGCGTGTTTCCCGGCGCAACGCACACATCTGGGAGCTTTGTGGCAGTAGCGTTGTGTGTGTCCAAATTCTTGACAGCGATGGCATTGTGTCAGGTCGTTGTATCTTCTTGGCAGTTCCACTGTGCAGCGTTGCCTGCAGACAACTCGAATGTCCAAAATTTCTTTGTTGTTGGGGGCCTGAGCCACGTCAACAAAAAATATATTTAGCGGTGTTTTGTCCATACGGCTCAGTGGGTTGTGCACATTTGTAATTGTGTGGCCTTTGGTTTCCAATTCCTTTTTAATTAGTGTTGTATCAGTGCTGGAGTGAAGCCCTTTGAACACGACTCTATATGGTTTGTCCTCCTTAAGCTGGTAGCAGTGGAACTCCAATTCCAGCTTAGTAAAGTGGTCTATAACTCTGCGATAGTCCTCACTGCATTGGGTTAATACACCTATGTTATTCTTCTTTGGCTTAATTACGTATGATTTAGCATCAATTACTTTATCTATTATCTGTTGAAGTAGGGCCACAGACTTGATGTTTGGACACCATATGGGGGGCGGACGAGGTTTCGGAGTAGTTTGCTGGTCGGTCAATACTGGGGCTTCTGGAGCTACAGGTGATTCGCTGTAGTCTTCATCTTCTTCTACGAGCAGTGAAAATCGATTTTCTGATATTAATGCTGCATTGCTGGTGCTTGGTTCGTCGAAGATGAGCCTTTTCTTGATGGTTTTTGGTGAATTTGGCTGTTTACGTTTCGTGTTTTTGTTGTTAGTGATGCCTTGCACGGAGGCGATATCTATTTTTGAGTTTATTGGCATGATGGAGGCTTGCCTATTTGCCATCACAACGTTAAGCTGGGCTTGCATTTCTGCATTTACCTTTACAGCTGTAGCGAGGTTATTGACATTAGATGTCATCGCGGATTGTGCTTTTGAGTGCAGGCGCACTCGCGCCAAGCGACGAAATTTCGTAAATTGCAATTAAAGCAATTGAGTTACGCGGAAGCAAGCGATAAGAAAACGCTGCGTGTGCGGTTTTTGTTGCTGTTGCGTTGAAGAATGCACCGCAAAGTTCTATTTTTAGAACTCTGCAGCAGTAGAGCTTAAGCGAAGGCTGTTCGAATTCACGTCTTTACAGGTCGAACGACTGATCGCGATTGTGTAAAAAAAAAAAAAAAAAAGTAAATTTGTGGTCGATTCGATAGTCATAAAAACAGGAAAGAGATATCAAATGTCCATTACTATTGCCGTCTCGCTTCAAGCAGTAAATTATTTATATAGGCCAGTCTGGTGTGTTATTTTTTCTATAGACTCGTGAAAGGAGTATATTAGTTTGTGCCTAACGGCTTGATATATAGTTCTGGCTACTTTGAAGCTTAGCTTATCGATTGATATTCCCACTTCAACTATGAGCGAGCATTGTGCAGTCAGCTACACTTGACAGCCTTCATCTCAGTGCGCTTTCTCTTTCACTTTCTCACGCCGCTCTCGAAAGTCTGGCGATGTTTGCTCTTGAAGTCAGCCGAGCGACCTATTTGTCTGATATATTTATTCCTTAATGTGCTGTTTATGCCACTCGTCGTTGCGGCGTTGTGGGAATTCGTTGTTGCTTGTTGATTTTGTAAAATGATTACTTGGTCATTTTCCATATGGCTGGCCCCATCAAGCCCGCTGGCCCCAGTCCTAAGTAATTGCACTCGACTGAATTGTAAATTTGCGAATTGCCAGTTAAATGCAAATGATCACATGCTGTAAGGGCACTCGAATTGAATTCGATGCGTATAAATTTCAGTTCGGTTTTTGTGGCCGGCACAAGTAGCACAATAAATTGGTTATAAGGATTTACAGTTGCAGAAATATGCGGTTGTGCCGGATGCCGATTATGAGTATAAAATTATTTAATTTGTTTTATTTTATTTTTTACTTTCTGTAATTTGGCTTAATATTGAAATTAAATGCATTGAAGACTCTTCATGTTTGTAACGTGCATTTCTCTATTATTTGCTTGAATAGTCAGCGTATTACCTGTATTAAATAATTGAGAAATTTTAAGTATCACTTGCCTTTCTGCTTAAATATGTTTGGAATAAGACTGAAGCATTTTGGCAGAAAGGAATTTTATAGGAAATATTCCAGTATGCAGTTCAAATCAGAATATTTCTCAAAAAATTCTTTTCTGCTAATAATCTTCAGTCTTATTCCAAACTTATTCAAGTTAAGATTTAGTTAATTTTATTTATAGTTGTATATAACAATCGGTAAAATTCTAGAGGAATTGCCAAACTAAATCTCTCGCTCCATCTATACGGAACCGGGCAATCAAAGCCTATTTAAAGAACTATAAATGCGGCTAAGAAAATGATTTTTATTTTGTTTAAAGTGCAAAATTTGTGCAAATAATGTAAAATTCAGAATCTATTTTCGATTGGATCAACTTTTGCCTAGACTATGCCTTTGATAGGGTAGACTGATGGTGACTTGCTGGCATCATGGACAATGGCTTTCTTCAGCGTCTTGAAGCGATGTATTTCTTAGCTCGAATCTTGCTCTAAAGAATTGACTAGAGAGAGATTAATGCATTTGGAGACTTGCTCGAATTCGATCGAAATTAAGTTTAATTCTTGACTTAATCACGCTTTGGAAGACAAAGCATAAAAATTATAAATTACAAATAAAAGATGTGCTTTGGGTTCATACGCCCCGTGGGCCAGCTCAGCGCACACCGAAACGAATATGCTCTCTTTCAATTTGTGAACGCGCATTTTGCTAATTTTATCTTATATAAGAGCTTTGTGCACACATGAAATTCTCTTTTGGATCTCATCGCGCTAAGTGGACTTGTGCTCAACATATTTGTTCAGCTTATTTCTGGCTTATCCGCAGCATAATTTATCTGAAGAGGTTTTGGGCTATTATTAGCCATGCCGGCTGCTGTCGGGCTGTACGTCTAAGTTCTTTGCCTTTGTTATCGCAATTGTCCTTTGCGCCATTACATTTCTCATTTGAAAGTGCTGCGCACAGTTTCGGGAACTGTTAGTTAAACGATTAATTACGCAGGGGCGCCGCTTTACTTTCCCTTTGGCGAAAAGTTGCGCTGCTTCCCAGTCTCCGTCTCTGGGGTACGTTGCAGCCATTCAACTTCCGCTTCCGTTTTGCGAGCGAGCGCAGAAAATGCGGCAAATTAAATTTGAGCCGAAAACCAACTACGCCAACTAATTACGCATGAATGCGAAGCCAAGGATCGTCGAAACGGAGCCGGAGGTAGAGTTGGGGTATTGCCGAAATAATAAAAACAAAAAGAAGAAGCGGCACTAGCGCAATTTATTCTACACTTGAAGCATTATAATTTGTGGTGGCCAAACAGCATGGAAATCGACATAAGGCAACTTTAATGGCCTGCGTTCCATGGCATCCAGCGCCCACCTCCTGCAGCATTGACAGTGACCCACATGCTGAACCCCAGCAGCAGTTGCCCCTGGACGCTCGACACTCGACACTCGTGTCAGGCGCAATTTAAAAAGTTAATTAACGTGCCGACCTCCCTTCTATCAAAGTTGCCTGCCTGCCTGACCCGTGATCCATGCGCTGGATTGGGTTGGCCTGGGCTGGGCCGCGTTCGCTGTGAACCACATAATTGCATTCCGTGGCCGGGCATTTCACTTACTCAGCTCGAATGGTAATTTCGTGGCCCGTATTCACAGGCGTTTCCAGTTCGCTCAGCAGCATCGTTTGCAATCCGCACGAGAACTGGAACTGCATGAGACCCTTTTGCAGGAAGAGCGCCATATAGTGTCCGCCCTTGGTGCCCTGGGCGGCGGCCAGCATGATCAGTCCATTGGTCGCCCGTGTGCGCACCTTCAGCTGTATGTGCATGGGCAGCACAGCATCCAATGCCTCATGCTGCGGTATATCCTTGTAGATGCGATGCGATACATACGAATCACCTGAGAAGGCGGCATTTCGTATGACAATTGGCTGCTCGCAAAGCGGCCCCTGGCGGTCGAAGCGGCAAACGCACTAAACCAATTGGAAAACAGAGAGAGAGAGAGGAAGAAATTTTATTAAAATGTTTGTAATAATCGTAATAATAATTGTAATAATCGGGAAGCAGTGCAAAGATTCAGGCTTATAGAGCCCTAACTTTATTCTATGCTTAAATAATAATTCGCATTATTTGAGGACAAAGTATCAATTCCCCATCATATAATAATAACTATTAGCTGATAATAATAATTTTATTATTATATCAGAAAACTCACTTTTCTTTACTTCAAAACTTTAAACTATCAATTTAAGTGTATGCCTTAAGTATCAGCCAAGTTGAGAACTTTTCAAAATTGATATGAAAGTATATCTAAGAGGAACACGAGAACATAAGGGAATACTTCGAAGCAGAAACAAACAAAACAAAAAAAAAAAAACATTTTTCATTTTTTTGAAACATATGACCAAGTTCCATTAGGTGCTTGGCTGGCTCATGTTTCATTGAAAGTCCTTATGGCTGTTGCCAGTTAATAGTTTGGCCTTTCACCCAGTTCGCAGTCTCCAGTTGCTTTGCACTTCATTTGTTCAATTTGATGGGGTTGGCGCTGGTTCCCCATCCTGTCTAAGACTCTACCACTGCCGCACTCTGTCGTCCTCTCTGTCTGGTCTGCGGGTTGTTAGAGTAGAAGTTACATGGAAAGTTTTGGGTGCTATTGCTGGCTGCTTGTTGCAGTTCAGTTGCATTTTAAGTGTCCCTTTGGTGGGGCATAAATTATTAAAACCAGGACAATGACGCAGCAGGACAATGCTACGGCTGCAGCCAGCGAGCCAGCGCGCCAGCGAACAAGCGAGCCAAAAAGTTAATTCATATTGCTTTTCAATATATTGGCATTTTTGTTGCCGTTGGCCAGGCTACTGCTTATTGAAACTGGAGTCTTGTAGGACTCCTTTTGGCGGTAAACTTTGTTTGCTGCACTTTCAAGAAATAAATTAAAATTACTGCAATTTGCGTTGACCCCACCTCTGAAAGAATCTTTTTTTTTTTGGCATATTTACTGCAGTTTGTTTTGGGCTTTATATTGAAGAAAATTTGGACAAAGTGTGGATTTTAGGCAGTTTATGGTAGAGAGGCCTATAATATATCATAATCTATATCTTATCTATATCTATATTAATATCTATATCTATATCTATAACTATATCTATATCTATATCTATATCTATATTAATATCTATATCTATAACTATATCTATATCTATATCTATATTAACATCTATATCTATATCTATATATATATCTATATATATATCTATATCTATATCTATATCTATATCTATATCTATATCTATATCTATATCTATATCTATATCTATATCTATATCTATATCTATATCTATATCTATATCTATATAATCATCCGTTTGACATAAATCCAATAGCATTTTGTCGTATTTTTCATACTGTTTCGTTGTCTAAAGAAATAATGAGCGCTCAACGTGCGTCCCAGACATAGGCTGCAGGCTAAATCATGTAGATGTCAGTCAAAGGATATTGCTGCGAGGCACATTTTAGTAAAGCAACATTCAAGCCATTGAAGGTGTATGCTAAAGAGTATAAGGTTCTATAGTTCGTTCAATATCTCATTTAGCTTAACCATACAAGAGCTATAGCCACAAATTTAAGTATATCAAAATATTTATCTTTGAAATACCTCCACCGCTCGTGCAATTCTGATACTGCAAAGAAAATGCACAGCTTGCGGCTGGATTGTTTTTGGCAGACTTGCGTGTGTTTTTGTATATAAATTTATAAAAATATATATGTATGACAGGAAGGAAGGGATGCTTGAAAATTTGTAAGAGAGCAACTTGGCGCTGGCTCAGGATATATTTTAGTCGAGCACTCCCGCCACAGGGTACTTTTGCATATTTTCATTTTTTTTTTTAGTTGTCGAGCTCAGGCAAGGTATTACACTATAATCAACGCCTCATGTTGCAGCTCGAGGGGGTGCGGCCTTGTTTTCCAGGGTCAGGTCATATAGCTATAGCTAAGCCCCACCTCCTCGGGGGAACAACAAATTGTGTACGCTGCTACATGCTACAAGTATTTTTGTGTCTTTTTTTTGTTTTGCTTTTGAGCACGCTATTTTCGCATGAATTCCGTTATGTGAAAAGTTTTGATGCATCAGCCTTTCCCGGTTTTCGGTAGTTGCATCAAAATGAAAACTCAACACTTGCTGTTCATGTTCGCACGGCTAACAATTATTTGAAATGTATGTTTCAGGTGTTTCAGGTATTTTTTTTTTATTATTTATTTTGGCATGTTTTAGATAAATGAAGATGAGTTTTTTAAAAATATTTTTAGCTAGTGCATAACGGTAAATAAAGTGTTGATTTTAGCTATAAATATTTTGCAGAATATTTTGATGCTGAACTTGCAAGCCAATGCTTTATTGACTGCCTTTAAAATATATACATATTTTATGGTTGAACTTTGCAATTAGGTTCACTTTTTAGTTTGCTTAAGACTGCTTTTTGCTTCATAAATAAAAAATAAAATCATTTTTTTAAATTTTCCTTGTTTTAACTCTGAGTTTTACACACATTTTGTGCACTTTAGATTGTGCGTCTTAAGGTAAAACTGTGGTTTTTAGTAGATTTTTATTTAAATTTTGTGGAAACTTTTATAATGGAGCTCAACGTAAGCCTGAAGTATATGTATATTTATATAAATGATGACTTTCCGTAGCATACTTTACTTTACACCTTTCAAGTTAAATATATTTATATATATGTATATTTTATCTTGACATTTTCATGGAAATGATAAAAAGATTTGAGCTTGCAGCATTGAAGCAGGCTACATACAACACTAATTGTAAGAAGACTCTTAAGTGTCAACTAGGAAATGATTAAAGGCTGTGCCAAGAGCATACTTTTCGGAGCAGATGCTCGGCGCTAAGACGACACACAGAACGCATTAAGGCAAATACGAGCTGAGACCTTGCAAAGCCATTTGGAGACATGGAGCGGAGCGTCTAACCAATGCAGGCATAGACAGACGCACGCAGACATGTGGTGAGCGTTTAAAAGGGCTCAACAAAGTTTTCATTAGTGGCGTCAGCTTTTGGCGTTGGCGTTGGCGTTGTCGTTGTCGTTGGCGTTGACTTTGGCAGAGCGCGCAATGCAAATGTGACGTGTGGCAAATGAAAAGAGAATATGAGACACACACACACGCAGACACAGACACACAAAGAGATAGAAGAAGAGCGGGAGCGGGGACGGGCCATGAGTCAAAAACCAGGCAAACATTTGCAAAAACCCCAAACTCGGCGGCTGGCACTTGAAATGTGCTTAATGCCACTTTACGAGTGACTTTCGCTGAGTGCGAGTGCCACTTTGCGTGCAGTTCTCGCTCTGTCTCTTTACTCTTCTTCGCTCTCGTTCCCCGTTAGTCGCTCAGTCTTTTGCGACTAGACACGTTAAAAATATGCTTTTTCATAAGTTCGCACTGCTCCCACACTTCCCCGCGCGCATAGTACACAAGGGTAAACGAAATGACAGCTGACATATGTAAGTGTCTGTCCAATTGTATGTATGTGTGTCTCTGTCTATCTCTCTTTTTTGCCTTTGCGCTCAAAATTAACGGATAAACTACACACACACACACTCAGTGCTTTTGTGTGTAGTTAAATCACTTGGCAACAATAAAGTGGCATTTGCTTTATGAAATAATTTCAACGCACACATATACACACAGACACCTGTCATTTGTTTTGGTTAGCTTTTCGTCTATTTAGCTGTTTGTGCTTTTACTTATCTGCGGTTCTGTGTGACACGCTCAGGCATGAAATTTGCTATGAAAATTAAATATTTAACTTATTAGTAGCGGCAGCTGTGCGTTTGGCTGTCGGTGTGTGTGTAAGTTTGTGTTTTTATCAGTGTGATTGTTAGTGTATGTGTGTATGTATGTATGTGTGTAGGTTATGTATGGGAAAAGCTGCTTTTAGGGCGTTTCTAAGATATCTATGAGCTGCTGTTTGACTGAACTTAAATTAGACTTGGCTTTAAAATTATAAAACTGAAATAGTATTGTAAGGTTTTGAAAGTGTGAACAGTGTTGCTTAACACTTATTTAAGCAAAGTAGGTTATATATGGCTAAGCTCCTATATATGAGTTTAAGTACATTAAGTTTCAAAAGGGTATGTATATAAATAGTAAATAAAATAATTCAAGCGCAGTTTTATATTAACTACATATGTATAATCGAATATGTAATTTCCAGTGTTGTACAGCGTGCATAAGTGAAGTTGCAAGCTCTGAATTTCAGTAAATATTTGCCTAGTTATACGCAATTGACTAAATAACTTTTACTTATTTACACAATTGTCGATTTGCGAGTTATTAGTAGCCAGAAAAATGGTTTGTCTGGGAATTATAATGTACAGCTCTATAGTTCTCTGCGTATTGTTCCTAATTGTGCTCAATTTATCAGGCACTAATTTAAAATACCTCCGCCGCCCTCAGTTGTGCTTCCAAAATCCCTGCCGAAATAAAACGTAATTTTTTCGTAGAATTACCTTACCGCAAGTATTTTCATAAATAGTTGAATAGGCATACTTTACAGCTGGCCCATTTAGTCCTGAATTTTGGGCATGGCAAGGCATGAGGCAGGGGAGTGGGCCGACACTTTTGTGGCTTTTTGTTATAGAACAAAATTTTGATGCTGTGCTATTTTGTCTGATTTTACCTGAAATTTGAGGCCAACTGGCACGAAAAATTGTTAACTATTCTGTTGCAGAAGCAATTGCCATTTGATGATGGCACACGAGATCTTCTACATGAAACAGACAAGCTGTCTATTCAGCCTAGTTTCGGAAACTTTTTACGTGCCAGTGAAGTGAGTCAAAGTTAATTTTGTAAATTATGCTGTATAAATAGTTAGAACTTATATATATATAAATTATATGTTTTCCAGTCCTGTGGTGACTGAAAGTTAGGTTGAGAGGCGACTGTGCCTCTTATTGCTGGC